AACTAAGTTAATTAAAAAAGAATAAAAATATTAAATTAATTAGTTTTTAAGCGGTCTCTATATATTATAAAATATATACTAGTAATTTAAATTCTAGTTTTATACTTCTAGTTATAAAAATATATTATTTTAATAACTAATTAAACAAGTAAAAGGTATACCTTTAAGGTATAAAATTATTTTTAAAATTTATATATTTTAATTATATAGTATATAAATCTTAACTATATTTATTAATATAAATTGGAATTAGTTTAATATTATTAGTAATATAGCTAGTATATAATATATAAAAATAGTAGGTTTAATCTTTTAATTAATATTAGGTTTAGTATTAATAATTTTTAAATTTATTAAATAATATTTTTTTAAAAGGACTTTTAGCCTTTTTTTTAATTAATTTTAAGATATATAAAGGGTATATATTATTAGATTAAATTTAATATTTTATTATAAAGGATTACTTTTAGTTTTAATCTATCTTTATATAGTTAAACTTATATAGTAAAGTAATATATTATATAAATAAAGGTGGTATATATTAAAATAGTTTTATTATATATAGTATTAATAAAAATTATATAATATTTATTTTATTATTTTAGTTTATATTTTTTTTTTTATAAAGTAGGTTATATAGTAGAGTATAGGACTGCTAAATATATTTTAAATAAATATAAATGATTTTTAGGTCCTAAAGTATAAATAAGGAATCCCTATTTATAGGTCTTAGCCTTTAATTATAAAGTTTAAGGCCTCTACTATTATTTTAAATTAAAAGGATATTATTATTCTTATAATAAAATAAAAATATTAGTTTAATATTATATTAATAAAAATAAAAATCTTTTAAAAACTATTATCTTATTCTATTTTTATAAAAATTAAAATAAATATTTCTATTTAAAATTTAGGTATTTAAATTAAATAAAGTTATAAATAAGGTTTTTCTACTTTTATAAAAATATAATTCTTATTTAATTATTAATAGTATACTATATTTATAATATTATAGTCTTTAGGGTTTTAATTTACTAAATAAATATAAAATAAACTCTACTTTATAAAATATAGCTTCTTTATATATTTATTAATTATTAAAAATTATTTTAATACTCTAATATTTATTTAAAATACTTAAATATATTCTTATTATTTAAAAGTATATTATTAATTATAATATATTATTTATTATTATTAAAAGCCTTATATTTTAATAACTACTTATATATAAATAAATACTTAAACTTTTATTTAAATAATTTTATATAGCTTTATTTTACTATATAAATAAAGTAATTTTAATTAAATTATAATAAAATTAATATATATAAGGATAATAGCTATTAAAATAAAGTAACTATAAGGGTTTACCCTTTATATAACCTTATTTTTTATAATTTATTAAAATTATATCCCTATACCTTTAAGCTTATAGTTTAAATATAAAATTATTAGTAATCTTAAAAAAATATAAGCTATATAAAGCGCTAATATACCTAATCTAAATAATAAGTAAAATAATTTTAAAAATATACTAACCTAATTTATATATAAAGTTTTCCTCTATTTATTCTTTTAGCTTTTTTAATAAGTTTTAATACCTTAATATTTTTAAGGTATAATATTTAGGTGCCTCTACTTTAAACTTATTATTTATATATACTTTAATATTTAAATAGTATATAATAAGGTCCTTTAAGGCCTTTTAGCAAAATTATAAAATAAATATATTATAATTTTTAATAGTAATTATCTTCTTCTAAAAGTTATTTTTAGCCTCCTTTTAAATATTAATAGGCTTAAATATATTATTATTAATATATATAAAATGCCTTTTAATTTTATAAATATATTTCTAAATGGTTAATCTATTTTAAGTCCTTTTAATATTTAAATAAAACTTTTAAATATTAAAGTAATAAAGGTTTTTAATATTTTTTAACTAATTACTCCTTAATTATATAATAGTATAAGATATTATTTTTATAGTTCTTATATATAATATAATATTAATTAAACTTAAATTTTTAATTACCTTAATAAATACTTTTTATTAAAAATATACTTAAAATAGGTTAGAAAGACTAATTTAATAGCTAGTTAAAATTTACTTACTATCTTATTAAGTAGGTTAATAAAACTAAGCTTATTATTAGAACTAATAATGTCTTATTAGTTTTCTAATTAATTATCTTTATTTAATTAAAAATAAAAGTAACTTTATATATAATAATAAAATTATAAATTATGGAAATAATAGTAGTAGAGTTTATAATTTAGGAAATTAAAAGTTTAAAATTATAAAGTTAAATAAGTTATTTTATAAAAGTTATTTTATAAAAGTTATTTTATAATAGGTTTTAAATATTAATTATTAATAAATTTAATTAATAAAAGGAGAAGGAGAAAAGGTTAGAAATAATTAAGTAAGATTTATAATAGGTACTAGCTTTTACTATAATTTAAAATAATATATAAAATACTATAATTAGATTTTAATAAGTGTTTTAATATCCCTTATATAAAAGAATAGTTTTATATATAGTAGGTAGGATATTATAGTAAACTTTTAATATTATTATATAACTTTTTTAAACTATTAATAAAATAAAATAAAAATATTTATAATTATAAATAAAATTTAAAGAATACTTCTATAAAAACTTTTTAATTAATAATTTTAATAATAAAAATAATAGTTTATTATAAAAAAACTTTAAGAAATATTATTAAATATTAAAAATAATATTTTAATTTTAATAAAAACTTATTAAAATTAAAATTATTAATAATAAATAAATATATTAATTTTATAATAAAAATAATTAAATAATATAAAGTTATAAATATAAATAATATATATTTAATTTTATTAATATTATACTTTATATTTTTATTAAATATTTAATATTAATATTTAAGTTTTAATAAATTAAAGTAATTTAAATAACTATATATAAATATAATTATAAATTTTATATAAAGTTAAGAAATATATTAAGTTAGGAATAATATACTTTTCTTATAACTTATTATTATTATATTTATTAAATATTAATTAATTATTAATAAAACTTTATAAATTTTTAAAAGTAATAAAAATAAATAATCTTTTAATAATTATTTTAACTACTATTAAAATATATTCCTTCCTTTATTTATTAACTTTTATATTTATATTATAAAAGTTATATATTTATTATTAAGAATAATTAATAAAATTAAAGTATAAATAATATATTAAATTAAAATATATTATAATTTTAAATACTTAAATTATTTTAAATAATTTCTTTTAATTAATAAACTCTTTTTAATTAATAATAAATAAATTAATTATATATTAATAATAGTTAAATAATTAATTTTTAATAGTTATAACCTTACTTTAATAATTATATATATAAGTTTCTACTTCCTTTTAAAAACTTAACTACTTTAATAAGTATATTAAAAGATAAAAGAACTTTTAATAATATAAAAATTTTAAAATTAAAGTATTTAAAGTGTTACTTTTCTTAAATATTTATTTATAAGAAATTTTATATTTCAACGTTATAATAATATATTATTCCCTTTTATATTAATTTAAAAGTTATAATTAATAAGAAATATATTTTAAAAGTATAAGTTTTATTTATACTTTTATTATAATTTTATTTTTAATATACTTTTTTAATCTTTTAAATATATAAAATTAATTTTTATTTTTAAATTATTTATTATAACTTACTTTTATATATAATTATAATACTTACTTTTTATAACTTAAAAACTTTAAATTAAAATATTAATTATTAGAAAATTATTTAAATTATAATTTAAAGTTTTTATAAATTAATATAATATTTATTACTTTTTATAATAAATTTTTAATAATACTTTAATTATAATATTATAAAATATATATTTTATTTAATAATTATAAAATACTTTAATTATATAATATTAAATAATTATTTAAACTATTAAATTTTAATTATAATTTTTAAATTTATTTAATATAAGTTAAATTAAAGTTTTATATTTATTTTACTTTAATAAAAGTTAAAAATTATATAATAAATTAAAAAAGGTAGTATTACTTATATAAGTAGTTTTAATTTTTATTTATATATATCTCGAGAGTGTAATACTTTTATAATTAATAAACGTTTAAAAATTACTTATATTAATGTATTAATATTTAAATAATAATTATAAAGTTTATAAATTTTATATAATATTTATATATTTAATTATAATAAAAGATATATTAATATTTTTATTCGTTATTTATTATAAAATTATAATTAACTTCTTTTTAAAAATTAACTTAAATTTTAATAATTATAAACTTAATAAAATACTTAATAATTTAATACTTATAAACTTAATTAAATAAATTTTAAAACTACTTTTATTTAAAAGTTTTTAAAATATAAGAAAGAATTTAATTATAAATATAAACTTTTTTAAATTTACTTAACTTCTGTGGTATTATACATACCTACCTAGGTAGGTATGTATAATACAACGGATACCTCGAATTGTTGGGGACCACTCCAGGCTGCAGGGGATTCCTCTTACAGGGCTACCCCCATTCAAGAGTCCGAGAACCGGCCAAAGCGGCTGATAATCCACGGGAACCAGCCGGGTGGATCCTCCGTAGTAGTCATTGTCTTGTCCTGAAATGTGCATGCTTATTTCGACCCATGTTTCTCTTCGAGTTCAGCAAGAGAGCAGTGGTTAGTTCAGGCGGAATGTTTCTTCTGCTTGGTTGACAAGACGATCTGCGGCCCGAACCCACACCCCTGCGTGATCCCTGAATGCCACTTTAAGCTCCCGCAGCGATAGGCTTATCGCACCCTCGCACCACTGCGACGGCATTTCCCAACCGAGCGAGCAGCAGCAGCAGCAGCAGCAGCAGCGAGACCGTCGACAGGTTTCCAGATCCCGCAGGCCGCGACCATCACTCACCACAAGCACCTCCAACTCCGAAGCGCCTCATCGTTGGGATGAGGAAACTATTCCTCCCACACTCGGCCTCGACCCCCCACCAGCTCCGAAAGGCCCTGCTCTACTCCGCGTCGCGCGGCCACAGCCCGTCGCCATGCGTCTCCTCATCCCGCCTTGAGCGATTCACGTCGTCCTCGACAGCCGCCCTCGATGCCGCACAGGCCTTGGACGCCGGCAGCGACCTGCGCAACACGAAACAACCCGACGGGCAGAACCACGACCGGAGCATACGCGAGCAGGACACGTCCCGGACCATCGCGGCGCCCCCGCCCAAGCTTCCCTACCGGTTCGAGACGGGCATCTCCCTCTTCGCCAAGCGCGCGCCGAGGCCCTTCCCCCCTCCCTTCCTCTCCCCGCCTTCGGGATCCTTCAGCGACCCTCTCAGCACGCACCACCAGAGTCGCGACCGCCGGCCCAAGGTCAACGGCCAGCTGATCAAGGGGTGGACGAACGGCGATGACGCCGCCTTCGCGAGCGAGTATTTTGTCGGCGCCAATGATGGCGTGGGCGCGTGGAGCGCCCGCCCGAGGGGACATGCTGGGTATGCCTCCTTCACCCCGCGCCCGGCTGGCGTTTCACCCCCAACACGGCCTCCGGGGCTGACCATGATGAATGCAGACTGTGGGCGAGGCTGATTCTCCATTTCTGGGCGTTGGCCATGAGCGAGGACGCGTCGCGACCGCGCAGCCCGAACGACCCACCCTACACGCCAGACCCGATCGCATACCTAGAAAAGGCTTACGAACAGACGAAAGAGGCGACGTCAGGGCCCGACTGGCAGGGGACTACGACAGCCACAGGGGCACAGCTGTTCTGCAGGGCGATAGACGTCGCGGAGCCGGCAAGACCCGACCCGACGGGCGACAGTGGCAGGACCGCGCCGGTGCTGTACGTGACCAACCTGGGCGACTCGCAGGTCATGGTCGTGCGGCCGAGCTCGGGCGAGTTGATCTTCAAGACCAAGGAGCAGTGGCACTGGTTCGACTGTCCCCGGCAGCTGGGGACCAACAGCCCGGACACGCCGGCGCAGAACGCAGTGCTGGATCAGGTTCCGATAGAGGAGGGGGATGTGGTCCTGGCCATGTCGGATGGTGTGATTGACAACCTGTGGTCGCACGAGATCGTGGAGAACGTGAGTAATAGTGTCAAGAGGTGGGCGGCAGGGGATGTGGGGAGGAGGACAAGGAGCAGCGACAATCCCGGGGGCAGTGGATCCATGGCCTTTGTGGCTGAGGAGTTGATGCTGGCTGCCAAGGCGATTGCGCTGGACCCCTTCGCGGAGAGCCCATTCATGGAACACGCCATCGACGAGGGCTTGCCGAGCGAGGGAGGTGAGTGTGTTCCGATCCCCATTTGCTTTTTCCTTCCCTGCTGGCAGAGGGACAAGTTTCTAACATTGTGGCTACCAGGCAAGCTCGATGATATCACCGTCGTGGCGGCGCTGTGCACGCGAAATGATGTTGTGTGATCACACAATTTCGGCCAGCACTGGGTGGTGCGTCAGGAAGCAGTTATCCTTTCAGACCCGGGCGGGACAGAAGCCGGAGTCAGGTCATCTTCATTGCAGCTGCCTGCCCTCTCGCGAGCGGGTCGGGCTTATGGAACGGAAGGGTAAACGTTGGATTCAGCAACTGGAGTTCAGGAGTTTGGAAATTGCCGTGCCTTCGATTATCATTTAGATCGATTACGTAGCTACCTAGGTACTTAAGTACCCAGGTACTTAGTTTTGGTCTGCAGCTTCGCCATTAGCGGCTCGCTGCAACCTTAATCTGCTGATCAGCCGCAATTAGCGAACGATGGGCCAAGGAACCTGGGAACCCACTGCCCACCCAAACCCCTAACAGTACATATACACTATGTACGGAGTAGTATGGCTTACCTAGGTATCAGGTACCTAGGTAGTCATGCAGGCGACCCTGCCCCTTATCGATAGTCGAAACTTAGGCTCATCCTTTTTATCGTTTGCCACTTTTTTTCTGGAGAGAGGGTCTTTACTACCTCCGACCCCGACTTGGCGACATGTAGAACCCAGCACGCGCTCACTCCCAGTCATTCTGTCGCCAAGCCATTGTTTGCAATCCCTTCCACGGCGCCCCTCCTTTCGCAATTCAGTCCAATTCTGAGCTTCCAACATGAGAGGTAAACGATCCAAACAATACCGCAAACTGCTCAGGCAGTTCGAGCTCGCGTTCGGCTTCCGCCAGCCATACCAGGTTCTCGTTGATGCCGACCTCGTCAAGGATGCCCACCGCTTCGCCATGGACCTGCCGCAGTACCTCTCCAATACTTTGCACGGAGAGGTCAAGGTCCTCATCACGCAATGCTCGATGCGCCACCTCTACGCACAGAACAAGGAGCCAGGCGTGGCCAAGGTCATCGACAAGGCAAAGGACTATGAGCGCCGACGCTGTGGTCACCACCCGGAGCAGTTCCCCGAGCCCTGCTCCACGCTCGAGTGCCTTGGAAGCGTCGTCGGCCCCAAGAACAAGCACCGCTACGTCGTCGCAAGCCAGGACCCGGAAGTCAGGGCCAAGATGAGGGGGATTCCCGGCGTGCCGCTGGTGTACATCAACCGCTCGGTCATGATTGTAGGTTTATCGCCCTGGATACCCCAAGGCCCCACTACTCAGCGGTCCCGAAATTTGAGTGACAGCCACTGACTGTGCCCAATGCAACAGCTTGAGCCCATGGCCGCTGCAACAACAAGAGTAGTTCAGAAGGGCGAGAGGGCAAAGTTCCGCGCAGAGCTAAAGCAACCCGACACGGCAACTGGGGGCAAGAGAAAACGAGGAGACGACGACGACAGCGAGGGGAGCGAAAGCGAAGGCGATGCGAAGAAGGATGAGGAACCAAAGAAAAAGAAGAAGAAGAGGAAGGGCGAGAAGGGGCCGAACCCGCTATCGGTGAAGAAGCCGAAGAAGAAGCCGCCGCAACAGCAAGAGAGCAGCTTGAAACAGAACCAGGCGGAGAAACCCGTGGAGGACGCGCCATCAGATCAGCCCGCCAAGAAGAAGAGGAAACGGAGAAGCAGGAGGGCGGAGGGTGGTACGGATGAGGTTGAAGCGCAGGGCACAGCTTTGGGCACAGCTGGGGCACAAGGCATGACGTCGGCTGCGGCTGAGGATTAGGACTGCCGGAATAGAGGCTTCGTCCGACAGGATCGACCATGGTCACAAAACGGATGGCTCAGTGGTGATGTGCAAGTCTTGAGGCGCACATGGCGCAGATGATAGATACTCTGCTGAGGAAATGATACCACATGCTTGATCATTGCATGAACGAACCCTTCCACAATTTACTTGGGCATTAGTGCATCACTGTACAATTACAACATAGATCCGGGCGGGCGTATTTCGCACAAGGAACTGTTGTTCATGGTCAGGAATGACAGCGACAGATGTTTTGACTACCAATGATGCTGGGTACAGTGTACAGGGAGCAAGTAGGTATCTATTCAGATGGATCCGAGCGAATCCAAAATCAGACAGGCACATGCCTTCTTGAAAGACACCGAGATGGTATGGCCAAGGCACAAAAGGGTACAAAAAGAACAGGGAGGAAACCATAAAAAGAAGCGCAGCTATGGAACAGTTATGAGCTTTCATCACGGCCGCTTCCGCCGTACACATGAACCCTCTGTCCTTCAGCGCAGCACCAGCCTTATTTCGACCAAGTAGCCCTCGAGCGGTTGCTCGCACAATCGTAAATGCCACCCGCTGCCCCCCTTTATTTGTCGCGAGCTCTCAGGCGCAGGAACTCCTAATGCTCGACAGTCATCGATGGAGAAGAAAGCGGACGACCAGTGGTAAAGACAGGAGAGACGAAAGGAGTTTGAGGACCCCGAAATCTCCACAAGCAGCGACACCGATGCTGGAATCGACTGGCCGGTATGACAGACCATTTCTCTTCTGTTGGAAGTCGAATTAATGGCAAGGTCTTGTGGTTGGCAATATGATACAAAAGCACGTTCTTGTGTTGCTGTTCATGGTCGTGAGCATCTTAGAAGTTTGTCCTTTTCGGACAGAAAGCACAGGGCTTTCCCCTGAGACATGAGCGCTGCTGGCGTACAGCAAGAGAGTTGTCCAGGTTGTAGAAACGATCAATCAACCGATTGTACAGCTGCATCGTGTGATTGTCAGCGACGGGCGGTTTCCGTGCTCAGCCAGGCGGTAGATTGTGAAGAGACTTACGCCGCGTGGTTAGAGTTTGACCAACACACGAAAAATAGTCTTCAGCCTATCTGGAAGGCAGTAAGGGACGAAAAAGCATCGCTGTGGCGGTCTATACCCGTCCGGAGGTGTGCTGGTCAGCAGAGCCCTCTCACCAACCAGAAGCTGTGTCAAGAAACGAGATCCAAAGAACATACCATCATCATCGCAACCACGCTCGTCATCGGGCTTGGCAGAGAGGTCCTCATCACTAGTGATCTCGCGGATCGAGAGTATGGTCACAGTATTGCCGGGGGTTGACGAGCCGACATGGTGGACAGAAGTCTTGCCGTCACGCCACGCATACGTCCCAGGGCGGGCATCACTGGCCTGCTGCTCCAGGGCCGTGCCCTCGCCCTCGTCTTCGTAGATTTCCCACTGTGGCTCGGTGCAGGGCGTTCCCGTCTCCGGCCGCGGATCCGCGAAGTTCCGCTCCATGTAGGCGTTGATCTCTTCGTTCGTTGGGACGTAGGTGCCGGCGGCCCATCCGCTCCTGCTCTGGCCGATGAACGAGAAGTCAAAGTCCTTTTGAGGAGACTCGCCGCTATCTCCTCCGAAAGCTGAATCCTGTCGAGAGAGACCGTTGACACTGTGCTCGGGCAAGATTCCGGGCTCGTTGTGGAAGCCGCACTGGCCCTGGGGTACGTGCTGGGCCTGAGGCCGGTACTGAGACGTTGGATCATACTCAGGCTGTTGTACATACTGACAGCTCTGCTGTGTCTGAGCAAAGCCGCTGCGCGGCTGTGAGGACTTGTTGTAATCGTATTCTTGCGCGGCAGCACTGTCGTAGTACGAATCACCCGAGAAGTCACGACGGCAATGGGCATCGCTGAAGTGGGCAGCAGAGTTGAACCCGTTATGGAAATTGCCGAAGGAGCCCGGCTTGGTGCTGTACTCTGGGCCAGAGCTAGAGCCAGAATATCCAGCACCGTAGTGAGCCCCATGGCCGTCGGGTTGAGCCAGGCTCGCGCTGTGGCCGTGGATCATGGGCGCGGTCGGTGGAGATGTCGGGGCCGCCCATCCAAAGCCATTCATCATATACCGATCGGGTACGAGGTCCGGCTGCTGGTCATGTGGCCAGCAGGACTCATGGGGAGGGGTAGGTGGCGCCGGAAAGCCAGACGCGTCGCGGACGCCTGTAACGCCGCTGAAATGGGCATCACCCCCGGATGTTCCTTGTGGAAGGACTTCCTGGGCGCCATATTGGGCAGGATTCCGGGCATAGGCGCGGGAGCCGAGAGGTTTGTAGCGCAACTCGTCACCAATATTCTCATGCATAGCGAGACACTCCCGCTCTGGGGGACTCCCGGTGCTCGTCTCCGCAGGGTTGCGGCGGGCGCGAAAGCGCATGGACAAGGCCGATGTCCTCGAGGTGCCAGAATGGAATCCACGGGACGCCACGGAGTCGTCGGTACCGCAGGTGGTCGGTCTGCTGTCAGAATCGCTCTGCTGGGCCTGCAAAGGCGAGGCTGTGGTCTCGGGCCCGCTTGGAGGAACTTGAAAGACGGAGCTGATTCGTGCCTGGCAAGCCTTGTCTGCGGTGTCAGAATCAGAGCCCTTCACCTCGCAGCCCCCATTCCCGCCGGCTTGAGCGAGATGCCCGGCTTTGGAGCGGGAAATGTGGCAGGCTTTGACATCACCGCCAACCGCAGGGTTGCAACCAGACGCCGACTCAACAGAAGGGGGTTTGTAAGAGGACACTGCAGAGAGGCGGGCTCCTCCTTCTCCGGCCTTTGCTCCAAATTTGAGCTTCTGGCCGCCCTCGAGGTGCATCCCTTCGAGCTTCTCGATGGCCACGCTGCTGTCAGAGGAGGTCTCCGAAGACGCCTTGGTCTTGAAGGAACGGTTCTTGAGCATCGAGCTGGTGGCCTCCCTAGACTTTAGAAGGCCCTGGCGCGCATCGTTCTCCTTTCCGGGTGCGCGTTCCTTGGGCGCGCTGGAACGGTTGTCCTTGTCCTCCGCGATGTCACTAAGGCTGGCGTCGTGCACCTGGCGCATGAATGCCTGTCGATGGATTTTTAGTGGCAGGCAGGAATGGAAGTCAGTTGGGATTCGATATACGCACCTTGTCGTAACCAGTAGTCTCGCCGCCAATCTCACTTGCCTCACGAAGATTATGCTCGTAGCCTGGCGATGCCTCTCGACAGGGTCTGCAGTAGTTGGGCCCTGAGGGCTGGTCCGGCTCGAGCACGTTTTCGCGATGATACTTCTCGGACCGGACGATGCCACATCCCCAGCAGTAGTGGCGCTGGCCGTACCAGGCAAGTGGCTTGCCCTCACATTCGTGGGTAATGCGACAGCGCCCGCACCAATTGGGCTGCATCTTCTGGTCGACAGCAAGCGGGTGCCGCTCTCGGATCTTGTCAGACCTGATCTTGCCACACTCGTAGCAGATCCATCGCTGCTTCAGTGGCTCGAGGTATGGGTCCGCTTTCTTGCCGTGCTTGCCGCGCTTCTCGTGGCCGTGTTTTGACCGCGTTGTGGAGTGCTTGTGAGAACTGTCCAGGGTGGGAGAGCGAGCTTGCTCACCTCTGCTACTGTGTGACATGGTCGAACGCTGGGTCGTGTTCTTGTCGGCATGGGGGATCTCGTGTTTGTTGGCGAGTGACGGCGACAGACCATGGAAGCGAAAGGGGTTGGTGGGCGAGTTGCTAATGATGGGGACGTAATGGACGTGTATTTCCTGCTCTGAAGACAGGCCTGAGGGTGCAACTTGACGCTGGACCCTCTCAATCTCCTTCAGTTGGCGGTAGACAACAGCCTTGTCCTTTCTGCGCGAGTGTCTCTCATCCGCATCTGACTCGACATCGCCATCGTACAGATAGGAGCTCTTTTGAGAGCGATCATAGTGATTGCTACCACGTGAGACCATGTTGCTTTCGCTTGTTCTGTAACCGTTTTGGTCTCTTGGGCAATGTTTGATGTGCTTGTGAGCGCGGCGGTCCTCCATGGAGAGGTCTGAGCTTGAGCTGAGAAAAGGTACTGAGCTCATGCAAGAGATTTAGGGCACTTGGGGGGGGGGGGGCTTACAGCCGGCGTCTCCACTTCATCCTTGGGTTTCCTGAGAATGATCAAGGGCAATGAGAACACATACGGCGGTGCCTGGTGGAGGCCTGGTGGCAGTGGTTTGAAAACCTTCAGTAAACAGCCAAGGCGGGTGAAGGTGCTTTTCCGTTGTGCTCCAAGTGACTCATAATGTGGAAACGCTACCAGGAGGAGACAGGATCTGAGATGGAAGACTCTGAACTTAAGAGGAAGGTAGTCCGAGGGTGGGTACAGGGCGACACAAGCAGTGGCCGCGATGGAGGAAGGATGCCAGTAAAGAGACCATACCGTGAAGGGAGAGGAATGCTGGTGTGAACAAAGTAAAGGGCAAGTTTTCAGCAGTGTGGCAAGGAGAGAGCTTGCTACAGTAAGGGGAGAAGTCCCAGAGGGCAGGAAGGTGGGAGAGATGGACTGGACAGCTCTGTGCAAAATGGTACGGCAGGGCGACAGTGTTACAAGCACACCACCCATCCAGTTTGGACGAGGACCAGATGAACCAACCCCATGGCTTCCCTCTGGGGAGTTGTGGCACTGCTCATGTGAGGCTATCGGCATTCATCCAGAACCAAGATTACTACTGACAAATGCCATCGTGCCATTCGTTTGAAGGTCATTCCGTCCTAAGCAGCGAGTGCAGAAAATGACATCCATGGGAGGCGGACTCACCTTTCTCGATGACCAAATGTCCGGACTTCGGACGACTCTTGGCTCAGACATCATCATGGGGGCCACATTCTGAAGGGAAGCCGCAGAAGTGGACAAAAAAAAAATGGCAGAGAGAGATCCCACACAACGGCCTCATGAAACAATCTCGGGTCTTCAATTGACACGATCGACTTTTGTACATCGGGGACTTTCCGAACCGCTTTTCCTTGATCCATATCGTTGATGAATATCCCTCTACTCTGTCCGTTTTGTACATGCATTGCTCTATATGTGCTCAGCTGCCTAGTCGACTCTGAGGGTTCGAGCGCCCCGCTTCTTAACGGGCTTCTTCTTCTTGTGGCCCTTCTCGAAAGCTGCCACGGCGCTGTGGTCCCTACCGAAGTTGTCGAGGTCCTTGACCTTGTAGATGCGGATAATCCAGTTCTCGCTGGTGAAAGCTTCCTCGACGGTATTGAGGACCGGGCCCTCTGCTGGCAGGCGGGCCCCACGGACACGATCTGTGGCCTGTCCCTTGGGGAACAGGTTATGATAGTTGTGGTACGACATCTTGTACCTGCGGAGAAGTCAGCAAAAGACGGAAAGTGCTGGCCTACAGAGGGTGATAAGCTTACATCAGCGAGTTCTTCATGGTGTCGGTGGCCTGGTCATCAACACGGTACTCTCCGCGCGACGTGAAGAAGTCTCGCTCCTTGACCTCGTCGGGCCAGATGCCTTCAGCAATCCTGACCATCCAGAGGAACTTGTTGATGTCGTCGCCCGAGTAGCCGAGCAGACCGCCAAAGACGACCAGCACGTAGTCGACCTCGTGCTGACGCATGATGGGGTAGCTGACCTCCTCACGGGAGCTCATGGCCTTGCCAACGGTCGCGATGTGGGTGTTGTTCCAGGTGTTGTTGTCAACCAGGGTGGGCCGATCAGCCATGCCACCGATCTGGTAGCCGTAGTCCCACCATGACATGATCTTGGCGTCCTCCTTGGTGTTTTGTCGCAGCCACTGGTAGGCCTCGCGGTAATCATCGATGATGTGCTGGCTCCCGTCAGGCATGCGGCTGGCCAGGACCACAGACGGAGAGGAGTAGGCGTTGGAGGTGACCCAGGTGCAGTGCATGACGAAGAGGATGAGGTACACCAGCATTCCCGCGGCCACGACCAGCTTCGAAGTCTTACTGTAGATCCCAACAATGGGCTGCTTGGAAGGGTCCGAGTGCTTGTGTTTGTTGCTCTTGTCCTTCTTCGCCGGGACGTCGGCAGCCTCGGCATTCTCGTCTTGAGGCTCCGGGCTGTCCGCCGAGAGGTAGTTGTCCAGGATGGTCGAAGCCGCGATGGCTGCCGCGACGACGACGCATGGTGTGAGTGTGAGCATGAGACGAACCATAACACCGGCAAAGTAGCTGCCGAGCACAGCATAGACGATGAGGAAGATGTGCTCGTCGCCCAGTCTGTCGAAGCACAGGTAGATGCCGGCAGGGAAGAGGTAAATCAACATGTTCAGGTCGAAGAAGAAGGCTGGCCAGGCAGTCGGCTGGTGCTCCGAGACAGAGGCGATGATCGGGATATGAACCTTAGCATATCCGGTATCGAAGAGCGAGTAGAATCGTCCTCCCCAGGCAGCGATCTTGCCAGTCCTGACCAGAAGGACGTTCGCCGCGATGCCCACCACTATGAGGGCGAAGAAGGATACCCATCGCCACTTGTTCACCACTTTGGGGTCAAACATGCCCGTGAACCAGTTGAAGAAGCCATAGAATTGCATCAGGCCAAAGACACCTGGTCATTGTCAGTTAGAAACCCCGCCCAATGTGTGCGCGCGGGTTGACCCAGCTTACCGAGGGCTCCAAAGTGGTCGCTGGTGCTGATGGCCAGGAAGTTGATGAATGGGACCTGCATGATTCCCAGGAAACCAATTGCGTAAAAGGTAGTGTAGGCGACATATAGCCGGTTGCTGTACCGGCCGGAAACGCAGAGCATGAGACTGTGGACTGCGATGAGGTTGTCGATAAAGGTATATCCACCCCAGGATGCGGCCATCCAGTCGTAGGAAAGGGCGCACAGAGCGGCCCACATGATAGAGCCCTGCTTGACAGCCTTGATCCAGAGGAAGAAGGTGAGGACCAGCAGGAAGATGGCGATGGCCTCGTTGTCATAGCTGCCAGCCACAGACCTGGAGATGTATCCGGGGGCAATGCCCATGAAGGCAGCGGCCAGGAGACCGGCGGACTTGGAGGTGGACAGCTCGTTGGTCAACCAGTATGCTGCGAGGGCAGTGAGACCGGAAAAGCCCGGGGCGAGCAGGACGCAGATATTTCGGATGTCGACGGGAATGGTCAAGAGGCGGAAAAGATGGTAGATGATGCCGCTGGTGGCCATCAGGCCGGGATACAGGGTTCCGCCGGTGACACGACCCAGCGGGTACCATGTTCGGTCGTCGAACCAGTCCCAGAAGCTGTAGAATCCATTTGCAACGAGGTACTTGGTGGCCCTGAAGTTGAACCAAGGGTCGACTGAGAGAAGGCAATGGTCAGCGGTCAGAGCAGGTGGTGCTTGAGGGAAGGCGGAGGTCGGGGGTGCTGCGGCGACGACGAAGACGCAAGCCGGGAGCAGACTGACACTCGTGGATGATACTCTCGAAACCTGCCCCAGACAATTGTTAGCTTGACTCTCACATGCTGAACTGACAATGCAATGCCATTGATCGCAACGTTCAGTGTCACACATCGTGGTGAAGGGCAATGTAGAGCTTCATGGGCGGTGCGAGGCAGGTTCACTCACGGATGACCGAGAACAGACGACTGGCAACGGCGGCTCCAGCGATCAGGACGAGGATGACAACACGGAACAGGGCTCTTGTGTTCTGGCCCTGGCTGCTGCCAGAAAGAAGAGTAGAGATGCCAGCCGACATGGTGGGCTGATTGATGAAGAGAAAAACAGGCTATGCCTGAGGAAAGGAGGGTGGGAGTGTCGTCGTTGTCAGGCAGCTTGTTAGTGACGATTCCCCCGAGCTCCAGAAGTACGTCGCCTGTAAGAGGTTCAGGACAGTTTGAAGCTTCGCCAGTCCGAGCTGGGGTGCGGCAGTAAAGTCTTGGCGGCAGTGCAGGCACAACCAAGTGGGTCCGTCTTGGGGAATAGGTGGTGTGAACTCCGAGTAGGAGAAGCTCGGGCCAACTGGTACCTTATCAGCCAATGTCTGTCTGCGTATGTGACAAAGCTCACACCGTCACCTTTACAGGCAGAGCACGACGATAGTCGGTATAAGTCACCTAGTTACCTAGGTACTCAATGCATATGCACACAGGCTGTTGGTCACCCGGCCTTTCTTTATCGCTGGGATCTACCGTTATTTCTTCCACGAACGAGTTCCTGCTTGTTTTGCCTGATTCATTTAGCCTGTGTTGATTACTTTCATATTGTGCTTTGTAGGGCTCCTGCGGCGCCATGGATTCCCGCGCAAGGAACGAGGAGGGCTGGTTGGCATCTTGGTAGGTGTCTCTGAATACGGCAAAGCCGTCACATGGGCTGCCCGGTGCTGGTGGAATATAATCCGTAGAGCTTGCGGTGGCAACGCTGTAATACTGACACTCTTGTTCCTCGCTCGACATTTGCTAGCACTACCCCCGTGTGTAGGAAGCCATTCAGTAGTCATTCGAGGCTTGCAGGATCATCGCCAAACGGCCGTCCCTGCTCTCACTGAGAGCCAGTTGCTGGATATAGCGCCGGCCTTGGCCAGATAGAATACGGGGGGTTTGGGATCGGTCGGTCACTTGGCGCAGTTCAAATGAAACCCATGACATGCCGTCTAATTTAGTATTGTACAGTCGCAAACTTTTTCGGATAGGTATCTAGGTTGGTCAGAAAGGTCTGGTAGCGCAGTCCTTGTGGATCGAATTATCGCGCGGATCTGCTTTGTTTGCTTCGGCCAGGCAACCCATCGTGCCACAAACACGCCGGATCTTGTCGCAAAGGGTTCGTACCGCCTCCCCGCAAAAGCCACTCGTCCGCCTTGCTGCGTGAAGGTGGCCTGTCCTCTTTCCCGCCCGGCCCTGACCGCCACCACTCCATTGTCAAGGTCCCCAATCGAACGGTCACTTTCACCAGCTCTAGGGGCTCTCCTTGACCAGAGCGTTGAAGTATGCCTCCAGGTCGAAGTTCGGGCTCATTGGATCTTGGTTCACTGCTTCCTGCGTAAGCCTGCGTTCCCGTCTCCGGAGTCGATGCACCGCTGCGGATAGCCCAGGCACGGTCGTCCTGGCCTGTTCCTGGGGGTTGATACTCACGTCCGCCGGTTGTGGAGCCCAGGGGTGCTGGGTTCTTCTTCTTTGCGAACTCCTCCTTGGCCTTCTGTATTAATTGCTGCTTGTGCTCATAGTCCCGCTTCTCCGAAGCTACCCTGCTTGCGGCGTTGATCGATCTCTGATGAGAAAAGCCATAGAATACGCCAAAGGCAAGGGCGGAGTACCGGAGTACCTGGAGGGCAGGGTTGTCAGCATTGCTTTCCCCGGTGCAGCGTCTCTGACGTTGGTGACGGGATGCGGGATGGGCTGTGTCGTGGTCGTGCGCGGAGGAAGGGCACTGTCATGCAGTGCGCCCGAATGACATACGTTGACTCCTGATGTGGCAGACATTGGGAGATTTGACGGCGCCTCGCGACTGACACAGGGCAGGAGGGACTGGAAAACAGATCGCGGGGCGGGCAATTGATGTCAATTGACCCGGTTGGGATGGTCGTCGAGCCGAGGAGACGAGATCTGGGTGTCGGTTAGGAGCTGGGCGTTGCGAAGTTTGTATGTCGGGAATTTTCGCCGGGCAGAGCTCCCAAGGCCAGAGCAGGCTTGCTAGGATGGGGGATGGCTGACCACCGAATGAGCGAACGGGCTGGCAGGCTGGCAGGCTGGCAGGCACAGGGAACAGGGCGGGCACGGACGTCCCCGGTTGCCGAAAGACGCCCCGGGGCGTGTCGCTACGGGCACTGGGCCTGGGCCTGCTGGCCATACACGCCCCCCTGTCGCGACCGCGCTGTTGACATCTGGACGAGGGAGCATTGAACACATGAGGAGCAAAGCACTCGCGACACTAGGCGATCATCCATCTTCACATCAAAGGTCTGACAACCACAAGGCAAAGGCAGGGGCAATCAAAGAGAGCCTCTCGAAAGACTCCCTTCGCATTGCTCTGACCCCAAGAGTGCTGGAGATGGGCTGTTGAACAGCCGCACACCGCACCCGCAATGCAACAACGTCGGGACGAGATTCTTGCGAAGAAGGCCAAGCTCGCAGAGCTCAAGCGCCAGAGAGAGCTTCGCGCCACTCAGAATGGACCAGGCCGCCCCAGTTTCAGCGGCAGCGATGTCAGGAACCCCCGCCCCCAAACCCTGGCAACCAAAACAGTTCCGGCCTGAGGCCCGACCTTGCTGACCAGCAACTCAGTTGATCTCTCCCGCGCCTGCCCGAGCCGACAATCGCCGAGAGATCGAGTCCCTGATCAACAGTCTAGTTGGTGAGAGCCGGCCCGGGTCTGTCACGACAGGCGGCGCTGCATCGCCAGCACACCGTGGAAGCCGCCCAAACAGTGTCCTCAGTGCCGGGGAGACCAGTAATGGGGCCATCTCCGAGTTCACGTCACCGCCAGGCATCGAGATCCCAGCACAGACCGTATATAGCCAGCCGCAGACCCTGAGCACGGTGCCCCTGACGACAATATATGAGTGCCCACCGTCGCCCATCAAGGAGATATTCTCCTACAGCAAAGGCGTGCAGACGTCCGAGGACCTGTTCCCGGCAGCGGCTCGACCCCGTGCATTCTCGCTCGAATCCTTGCCCGAGGATGCGTCGTCGACACCCAACAAGCGCATGAGCAGGAGGGAGCGAGACAGGGAGGAGGAGCTCCGGCAAAAGCTCCGGAGGGAGATAGAAGAGGAGCTCCAGGCGGCGAAGGACCTGACAGCCGAGGGCGATGTCAAGAAAGCGGCCCTGCCGGACTCTAGCTTCGCCACCAGGACACTGACAAACGACGAGCTGAACGCCATTGTCTCGTCGGACGAGTTTGTGGACTTTTTCGACCGATCACTAAAGGTCATCGAAAAGACCCTGGACCAGTATGACGTCTTGACAGACTACACGCTGGGAGCGCAGGACATCGAGGACGAGGACGAACAAGGCAATGTTGGGGGCAAGGGCCGCCGCAAGGTCAAGGAGATCCGGCAATTCTACGATGAACGGTGGTCCAAGAAGCGCATGGTCAGCGCCATAGACTTTTCTCCAAAGTTTCAGGAGTTGGTCCTGGCATCCTACACAAAGAACCCTTCAGCACCGCATGAGCCCGATGGGGTTGTTCAGGTCTGGAACCTGAACCTGCACGACCGACCCGAGTTTGTGTTCCACGCCCAGTCCGACATCCTGACCGCCAAATTCTCACCTTTCCACCCCAACCTCATCGTGGGCGGGGCATATAGCGGACAAGTCCTCCTCTGGGACACGAGAGCGCGATCTGCGCCCGTCCAGAAGACCCCGCTCACCGGCTATGGTCACACGCATCCAGTCTACGCTGTTGATATAATTGGCACACAAAACGCCAACAACATCATATCGTGCTCGACCGATGGTACGGTGTGCGGCTGGGCGGTCGACATGCTGGCACAGCCTGCAGAGACCCTCAACCTACAAGCGCCGAACCCCAACAAGAATGACTACATCAGCCCTCTCTGTCTCTCCTTCCCACAGGCCGACCCGACCTTCTTCTTGGTTGGGACGGAGGAAGGAACCATCTTTCCGTGCCATAGATACGACCGCGCGGGGGCCAAGGCTGGTGTCGATCCGAGGGTCAGCTACAAGGGCCACGCCGCGCCGGTCATGTCCCTCGATTTCCACCCGGCCAGGGGTCCGGTCGACCTCGGCGACCTAGTAATCTCCAGCAGTCTAGACTGGAGCGTAAAGCTCTGGAAGGTGCGGGCACCGGCCACTACGTCTGGCATCGGTGGCGCGGGTGGTGGGGGTGAGGGCGCGGTCTCCCACCTGATGGACTTTGTCCGTGAGGACGTGGTCTACGATGCCGCCTGGTCACCCATAAAACCGGGGGTCTTCTCGCTCGTCGATGGCGCGGGCTGGGTCGAGCTGTGGGACATCACCGTCGAGACGGAGGAGCCGGTGGCGAGGATCAGCCCCAGCTCGAGGAAGGATAGCCGGGCCATGTTGTCCAAGAGCCTGAACAAGGTGAAATGGGAACAGCAGGAGGGCAAACGGTTGGCTGTTGGGGGTATCGATGGCGCCTTGACGGTGTTTGAGGTTGGCCCAGACTTGGGCGGCAAGGAAAACCTCAAGAACGAGGAGTGGACCAACGTCAAGAAACTAGTGAACAGGGTTGAGGCGGTTGGTGTGAACGGCGCGACGGAAATGTAGGGGTGTTCAAAGGGAAAGGGATCATAGCTGATCGCATGCTCTAGTCGAAATGCGCCTGCTTTGGACACAGGGCTCGAGTTGAGGGGGTGCTTCTGGCGTCATGAACTTTATGAATATACCCCAACCACAACGAAGATGTTCTCAAAGTTAGCGAGACACATATTCTTCATTTCGAGGTACACCGTACTCGTGTACACGCTACGGCATCTGACCGTCCTCCCGCCACCAACCGCCCCTCCCCTTTTTCTTGGGAGGGGGGCAGACACAAGTTGAATAGCCTCCTAGGGATCAGCCTTCAGATGACCTTTAGATAGACAGTCTGTGGGACTGGTTCTAACAGAGCAGAAGTAGGTAAGCTATGGGAGATCTTGTCTGGATAATGCAACGTTTTAAATCCATGGCTCCTCTATTTACCTTGGAGGTAAATATACTTACCTAAATGCCGACCCAAATATCCCTAGTTCCGGCCCCTTGCTGCGGGTGAAGGGGTCTTATGTAATCATGGTTGGGATTGGTCGGCCCCAGGTACTGTAGTACTTACCTGGGTTACCTTGGGGGTTCTGCAGGCATGCAAGTGACGCCTCGACGAAATTTTTTGGACCTTGTTAGACGTTGCTGCCAGCTCCCCCCAAATCATCGCTTTCCGTTCTACAAACGCAATTGTTTGGGGATTCCTTCATTTCTCTTGGCCGCAAATACTCCTGTTCCATCAAAATGTTTGTCACCATATTCCCTGACAGTCCGGTTGTCCAGACTGCCAATGCTAGAGGTCTAACAGTCAATTTCTTTACAGGAACTCAATCAGACGCGCCGCACTGCGGGCCGCCGTTTCGGCATCTCGCGCCCCCGCAACCAAGGCCCAGGTGCTCGGCCTGGCGACACAGATCTCTGCACCGAGAATCATCGTCCCTGCGGCAGCGCGGTGCTTTTCCCAGACCCTGCGTGTTGCCGACGAGGAGCCAGCCACCAGGGCCGGTCAAGGTAGGTAGCCTAGGGACCTGCCAAGTTGAGCCTCAAGGCTCGGCTTCATGACACAAGAGGCGCTGACGGCTATGTGTAGCTGAGACGGCCGCGCCCAACGGAGACGAGCCTGGTCATGGACTGTTCGTTCGGAACATGGTCTTCGAGGCCAACGAGGACCACCTGAGGGAGGCTTACGAGAAGTACGGCGAGGTCGTCAAGGCTGTTGTTGCTCGTGATGCTCGCGGTCTCAGCAGAGGGTATGTCATGATCCTGTCGCGGCAAGGCATGGGGCCGAGCTCGTGCGCCTACTGACCACGGATTCTTGCTGCAGGTACGGCTTCGTTTGGTTTAACAACCAGGAGTCTATGGAGAAGGCCGTCGCCGGCACCAACTCGTCATTCTGGCATGGACGCCGAATCCAGGTCTCCCCCCGGGCACCCAAGACGAACCGGCCCACGTCGAGCATGGGGCCAACCAAGTCCCTCTACGTCGGCAACATCCCCTACGAGACGACCGACGCAGAGCTGAACCGCATCTTCCGCGAGCTGGACAACGTGACCGACGTCCGTGTGGCTGTTGACCGCACCACGGGATGGCCCCGTGGTTTCGCCCATGCCGATTTCGAGGATGTTGAGTCTTGCCAGGCGGCCAAGGAGAAGCTTGCGGGTACCACTATTGGCGGCCGGGAGCTGAGGCTTGATTTTGCGTCCGAGGTCATCAAGTCCAACAAGAGGCAATAGAGAGGTGGAGAGGATGGGGCAAATGGCTGGCTCGGAGAGCCCGGAGGGTATGCGACGTAGGATGGGTTAGGACCGTGCAAATCGGCAGCGAGGATTGGGCCTGCTGCATGATGCAGTGTCGAAACTCCTTGAGCTATTCAGCCCTGTGGGTATCGATGACGGTCGATCACCAGGTAAGAGCAGCCTCCATCAAGACTGACAAGGTCGGCGAGGAGGCAGGGTGAGGCAGCGTTCTCCCCTAGGCGTGAGCGAGGGGGCAAGTCCCAACACCGAGTCACGAAACATCCTAAAATGTACATGTAGAAAACTCAAGTAGAACATGGGTCGGCGGTCTTCTCGGCGTCTCGTCGGGGATCTGCTAAGGCGTCTTCGGATTTATTTAGTGTACGAATCTCAAACGATGGAAGAATCCCACCTCGATTCCAGCCTGGTCTTGCCAACTCTATCTGTGAAAGTCAACATGTGACAGCTGTCCTGTGGTGGCCGGTTGCCCAAGAGGATTATGGAAAAAAGACAAAAGAAAGAGTAGGTACCACACCAGAGGGAGATTGTTGCAATGGTTTGGCAGAGACTGCTGGCCCTTCGCCATAGACCGCCCGGCCAGAAGACTATAGTAACAAACCCAAAGGACTTGTTATTCCCTGATCGTACAAGAGGCCCATTACCATCACAATTGTATATTACAGTAGTTGCAGTAGTCATGCTTTGATTGCAATGAAGTTTTGTCAATACTTTACGTTTCCTGAAAAGTTGGATTGCTCCACACAAAGTGTAAGGTGTTTTGATGAGGTTCAGCTGTCAGTACCTCCTTGGTGGACCTGGTGGACTACTGCCTTTAGATCCTAGAGCAGAAACCCATGCCGAGATATTCGGAGTGGAAACGACCAGTCCATGCACGGTCCACAAAGACACTGACCGTGTGACAAATAGAGGCATCAACACTGTTAGTTCAACCACGGCATGCCGAGCAAGCCGGGGTACGCAGACAGACAGGATGGTACGAATTGTGATAAATGCTTGGCATGGGAGACGTTAGTATGGTCTGAGTAGACAGCATTCGGAGGCTCGCAAATGCCTCGGCAAGTTTGAACGTCTCGTGCCGCTCGGCTGGCAACCTGGTTGGAAATCGGCCGTGGCCCGTGGTAGGTGGCCCACTTCCCCAAGTTTTGCCCCTCACATGTGCAGTGTAGTAGTAGCAAACCGGCAACTAACTACCTTTCCCAAGAAGCCCATCTCTCCATCTTCCAACAGCCTCAACCTGTCCTCCATCCTTCGGTACATCTTTGCAGGTAGGTGTCCTCCCACACTGACGTCTCGTGGGCAAGTGACATCCCTCCATCCCGAGCTGCCAGGCACGAATCCGTACCGCCCGCCCCAGCCGTCCGAGATCGTCACTTCCGATCCCTCCCAGCCCAGGGATACAAACCCACGCCATGTCCTTCCTCGCAGGAGGAGCCGAGTGCTCGACCTCGAACCCCATCGGCCAGCTCAACAAGCATGCTCAGCAGGACAACAGCCTGCAGCGGGACCGCTTCGTCAACAATGCGCCCGGCGGCTCTGCCCAGGGCTTCCGGACCAGCGCCGGCCCGAGCACTCCGGCTCTTGATGGCCAGATGAACGCCTTCATGCAGCAGAATCCTAACATGCCGGAGATGGCATTTGACCGGTTACAGAGGCCAGGGCCCGCCGGCGGGCAGATACAGATCGACCCTCCTCACCAGGGCGTCCACCTTCGGGCACAGTCTGCGTCGCCGTCGTTCTCGCCCTCCTTCTCCCCGGACGAGTTTGCAAAGTTCCAGCAGGCAAACCGCTCCATCGCCCACAGGTCAAGCCCCGCGCCGCAACAGCAGTCGATGGCAGTCTCGACATACCAACGGCCGATGATGGGTGGTGGCATCTACAGCCCCATGTCCTCCATGGGGATGATGCAACCGCCTGGCATGTATGGAGGCATGTCCATGTACTCCCAGCAGGCCCCAGTGCAGGCCGACGCCAAGGGAAAAGGAAAGGCGGTCGAGACCGAGGAGTCAACGCAAGAGCTACAGAAGAAATTCGAGGAGCAGTTCAACCTCCACGAGGATACCGAGGAAGGCGTCGAGGAAATAGAGCGCGAGCTGAACACAATGGACGAAAAGCTGATGGAGTCCGAGACCGGGTTCGGCGACTTCGAGTCGATATGGAAAGGCATCCAAGACAACGAGGCGGCCATGCGAGACATGCCGGAGCAGGACCTCGATATTAAATGGGGCGACGGCTTAGACTCCTGGAACCCGTCCCGAGGCATGTCCGCAGACCCTCTCATCGAGGACTACTTGTTCGAGGAGGATAACCTTTTCAAAGACCAGGCGAACCCCTTCGAAGAGGGCGTACGGATCATGGACGAGGGCGGCAACCTCTCCTTGGCCGCCCTGGCTTTCGAAGCCGCGGTTCAAAAGGACGCGTCTCACATCGAGGCCTGGGCTCGATTAGGTGCAGCACAATCGCAGAACGAGAAGGAGGACGCCGCCCTCCGGGCGTACCAACGCGTCCTACAGCTTGACCCCAACAATCTCGACGCCCTCATGGGCCTCGCGGTGTCATACACTAATGAGGGCTATGACAGCACAGCTTACCGCACGCTAGAGCGCTGGCTCTCGGTCAAGTACCCACAGGTGATCTCTCCAGACAAGCTGTCTGACCCCGCAGACATGGGGTTCACGGACCGCGCAGACCTGCATTCCAAGGTGACCGACCTGTTTATACAGGCGGCCCAGCACGCCCCCGACGGCGAGCACATGGACCCAGATGTCCAGGTGGGGCTGGGCGTGCTTTTCTACGGCAGCGAGGACTTTGAAAAGGCGGTCGACTGCTTCGAAGCCGCCCTTAGGAGCAGCGAGCTCGGCATAGCAAACCAGCGAAACCAGCGACACCTCCTCTGGAACCGGCTCGGCGCGACGCTGGCCAACAGCGGGCAGAGCGAGCAGGCCATTCACGCCTATGAGCAGGCTCTGGTCCTGCGGCCCAACTTTGTCCGCGCGCGGTACAACCTGGGCGTCAGCTGCATGAACATTGGCTGCTATGAACAGGCCGCCGGCCACCTGCTGTCAGCGCTTGACATGCACAAGATGGTGGAGAAGGCCGGGAGGGAGAAGGCCAGGGAGCTGCTCAGCGGGACCGGAGACGGTGGCGACGTCAGCGAGGAGCACCTTGACCGCATGACGACCCAGAACAGGAGCACCACGCTCTACGACACGCTGCGTAGGGTCTTCACGCTCATGAGCCGGCGCGACCTGAGCGAGAAGGTCGTCTTCGGGGTCGACCCGGACGTCTTCCGCCCAGAGTTCGAGTTTTAGGGAATTCCTGTACGGTTCTGCGGGTCTCTCAAACATCAATCAGATTCCGGTCAGTGGCTTCGTTCGATGAAGCAAGCGAGCGAGTCAGAAAGAAGCTTAGACCGAGCATGCGACCAGTACTGCGAGGAACCTGGTTGACCTCGCTTCTTGAGCGGTGCCCAGATTCTCTGTGTCAGTGTGTAGACCTCCTCCTGGTGAAGTCCTGTGGAACCGAGAAGCAGAATGATCAAGGTCGCTGTAGAAACGCCTTAGTCTTCTACAGACTATGTGGCTGTCACTGTAATAACGTGTGCGGTTGCCTGTCATACATGAACGCTCGCCGTGGTTGTTTCATTGCACGTACCTCTACACGGCGACAAAACGCGGTACTGACCGCGAGCCTCCCTCGACAAGTACCGCATATATGTAAGCTATGGACCAGGCTGGAACAAGCACCACCGTCCTTGCGAGCTGTGACGGGGAGTACCACCACATCACTTGACGCCAATGAATGCAATGCCGTTCCTAGCCCTCTGTGCCGCCTTCTTGAGGGCCTGCTCCTCGCGGTCCGTCCACTTGACGCTCAGCTGGTCCCACTTGGACCCGGGCGTGTTGTACTCGCGCTTCCACTGTGCGTGCATGGCCTGCAACCTGCTCATCTCGCGCGGGTCGCCGCTGCCGCTCAGCACGATGAAGGCCGTGCAGGGCGGGAGTGCGTCATGGATGCGCTTCAGCCTCTCCGCCAGGCTGCTGAGGGAAACCTCGAGGGCTGACTTTTCCCCGCTTGAGGTCCCGGAAACGGTGGGCTTCTGCTCCGGCACGGCCGGGTTGGCCATGTCGACGACGGCATTGCTGAACACGGAACCCTTCGAGTCGGCGCTCTGGTTGACGGCGAATGGGTTGTTTTTCGACGCGGCATGCGCCTCCTCCAGCTCCTTCGGGGGCCCCGCGGCGTCGTCGGCGTCTGTCTTGGCACGGTTCCACCAGCCCTGGAGGGCCTCAAGCTCGCGCATCCTCGCCCAGACGAAGTCGACCCCTCCGCCCCTCACCACCGCACCGTCCGGGTCACCCCTCACCGCGCGGAGCACCTTCTCCTCCACGTCAGCATCGCTGTTGCAGCCGTCCAGCACGATCTCCGCCAGGTTGGCAACACTGCGCCTGGCATCGCCCCAGTCGACGGCCGCAGTAGACTTGCCTGTCGGAGCGGCCACGCTGCCGCCCTGGGCCTTGTAGCTGATGCCAGTGCGGGCGAGCCGCTTGAACAGGTTCTCGCCGGATGCCTCCCCTGCGGCCCACGCCTTCCCCTTCTCGCACTTCTTTTTCACCAGGTCCAGGCAGGTCCTGGCGTCCTCGATGCTGTCATGGCCGCTGCTAGTGTTGTCTCCCTTCTGCACCTCGCGGTTGAGGTACTTTTGGGCAAGCCATTTCAGGGAATGCTTGAACGGCTGGCCCTTGGGGTGGGGGAAGATGACCGAGGTGTCAACGATGAAGGGGTGTGTCATCTTCAGGGCTTTCATATCCGAGTCGAGAGAGTGGCCAACGAGTATCGTCCTCGGTGTTATCAGGCCAATCAGACGTTCTTGTATGTCAGCCAAGGTGGTTGTCACCGGGTCAAGCATCTCCCTGGTGATGCCTGAGAACCTTGTCACGTAGTCTGTAATGGGCTTTTCTGGCTTGACGAGCTCGTCGAGCACTACCTTGCCGTCCCAGTTGACAACGCTGATCCGCGTGAGGGAAAACTCCTTCTCTCCGGTCATGCACATCTCACAATCAATGGCCAAGACGTCCCGGCCGGCCGTGACGCTGCCGTGCTGTATCTCGTTCTCGGGTACTCCTCCGTCTTCGAATCTGTCCACCTCGGTGTGGGTCCATCCTTCCGGATCTGCGAATGTTTCTCGCTGCTGTTCTGGTAGTAGACACGGATGCACGGAAAACCCATTCTCGACATATTGTTCTGGCGTCAAGACGAATTCGGTGATGCGAGTCCGTACGTTCTGCCAGCCCTGTGGGTCCCTGACCGGCTTGGGCCCCTTCTTCCCCTTGTCATCGGCGGCCTTTGGAGCAGGTGCGGTAAGGAAGGTGACAATGGGAGAGTGCAAGCGGCCCTGCTTGTCGTCACCGGTGGCTCTCACCGGCCAGAGATGAGGGAACATGCGGGCGAAAGGCTTGAGAGCCTCTGGTAGCTTTTCCTCTGCCAGAGGGCGCGGGTAGTAGTCATCGGGTGATGTGACCAGTCGCTCGACCGCTTGGGCGGGCGACTTGGCGTTGTAGACGGAGAAATCCACATTCTGCTTGAACATGGCCTCTTCCAGCCCGGGTACAAGTACAGTGACAATCTTTCTGAACTGTGGTCTGTGCTTGACCGACACCCATTGGGGAGCAGTGCCATCGGCCATGATATACAGTACGAGGTCTCTCAACTGATTGAGGTTCACCTTGGACTGGAGCCTCGCCTGGTTTGAGAAGGTGATGGATGGATAGTTGGATCCGTCTGGCTTGGGCGTCTTCTTAGATTTCTTGGTTGGGCGACGCTCGACGGTCTGCCAGTCGCCGCCACCGCCGCCATCTTGCTGCACATCATCAGCCCTTGACCGCTTCACGCCAGTACTGGATTTGCTGTGTGATGAGGCTGAACCAGTGTCCTGAGGTCTGTTGGCGGCGGGCCAGTCGGCCGCGGAGCCATTGGCCATGGCATCATCCATGATTCAAGAGGACGGATGGATCTTGGTTTGTCTGACGGATCTGCATCCGCTGTAAACGCGGCGTGATCCAGATACTTGAGAGTCGTGTGAGCTAACGATGAGTGCCCGTGGGGTTAATGAGGCTGTGAGGATGGTGAAAAGGCAGGCAGCTTCTTGGACTCGCCTGCCCAAAAAGTCGGCTTATCTTATCGAGGCCCTGTCGAGGCCCTGTCAGGACCCTGTGGTCGACGCCCTGTTCGGCAAGTGCCGTGCCCAGGCCCAGGCGCTCACTGTGAATGTGGAACCCCGTGGGGAAGCTCCAGCAGGAGGGTCCTTGGAGCAACGTCACCGTCACTTGACTACTGCTTCGTACAAAACGTGACGATAAAATGTGCCGTCTTCCTCGGGCAGCATTTGCTGCTGGCCCACCCACACGTGTGAGGAGTATATGCTTCATGACACCTGCAGAATATGCAAAGCAATAAAAGAAACGGATCATATGCCGATTCAAGTTGGTGCTTGAAAGGAAGCAGCGATGGGCAGGGCACGATTTTGGACAATCTGCCCTTGAGACCTTGATACGCTCCGCTCGATTGCCAACTGGGCTGTCTCTATGGCAGCAACGAGGCCCTTTTGTCGCCTTAACCTTCAGGCAGACAATGCATGTCTCGCTGCATATTACTGTCCCACCACACGCTGCCTGACAAGCAGTCCTACGCCCCTGGTTAATGTAGCTGTCGAAGATCCTCCTCCAGGCACAAGTGACGGCCTGTGGGACTATGTTCCACTTACGGCATTGGTAGGCAAGTCTATGTATGCACATTTGATTCCAAGGTTGTCGAAGTTATGCTTCCCGGGAACAGAAGTTGCCGTGAAAGGTACAAGCCGTGTCGTCCGCGTTGGAATCGGATTGCGCGACAGTCAAAGGAGCGAGATCCGCGGGGGTCAGGAAGACGGCGGTGGCGTCAATGTGGTCTTCATGCGGCGGGCGCGGCCCGCCACATCATCTGTGGGATGTGAACAAGTGCCATCATCCGTGAAGCTGGCCACACTTGGAAGACAAAAAAGCTGCGCGCATGGGAACTACTCAGGGAGGACTGGCCATATACGAGTTCGTCGCACATGAAGATGTGTGATCTGGAGCACCACGGACATCCAGCCCAAAAAGTCGACTTGCTCTCATCAATCCGCATCAGACTCTACAGTCTTTCCGTGGGTCCCTTCTCCTCCCTGTCCAGACAGTGTTTGGCAACCATGCAGTTGGCAGATACTTGGCAATAAGGCATCGAGATGGGCTTTCAAGTTCCGATCGTATGCTATCAGGGCTGCCCAGAGCTCAATCATGCTAATCTCGCACGACGCCATTGAAAATCAGTCGCATCGATGTTCCATGCACCCAAGACAGCTTCCCGCCTCAGTCGACCTTGTCGACCTCCAAGATGGGCTCGTCTGTCTCGAAGTCCGCCTTCATAATCTCAACAGCAAACCCTGCGAGGTCCTCAATCGGCTGGAGTATCTGCTCCTTGAAGTACTTGTTGCCAGCCTCATCCCTGCTCCCTGCCCAGGCCCGAAGAAGCCCGGCCTGCTTCTCTCGGCCAGGAAGGCTCGCGATGTCCTGCAGCATACTCCTCGCAAGGTCGAGGATCTCCCACTCGTCCGACTGTGCCACCGGGCCATATTTCTCAACCATGAGCGCCAGCGCCTCACACATCGCAACCTGATCCGCCTGGAGAAGGCACACCATCACCCGCTCGTCAGTGACCTCGGTCAGCGCCTCCATTGCTGACGGAGGAGCCGTGTTGGTTAGGGTCTTTGCGATCACCATAAGGCCCTTCAGCCTCCTCTCTTTGAAGGGCGCCGGGTACTTGTAGGGCGCGCAGTTGAGCGCCGCGAAGCATGCGACTGCGAGCGCGTGCGCGTAGCTCCCTGTCTCCGAGTAGTACATGATTGCATGTTCAACGGTCAGCCCCAAAGGCTCCTGCGCCCACATTCCGGCCTGGATCAGAGGCTGACACTGCCGCCACTGATGTTTGAGCACCATAAGCCTCTCCTCGGTGGTTGTCGGGCCTTGTGACCTCTCGGGGGTCTGACAGGCGACGTAGATCTCGTCAATGCTGTCCTTGAGCTCCTGAAGCTCATTCTTGGACGTCGGCGGGCTGATGGCGGGCTTCCGGAGCCTCTCAAGGTTTGGTACCAAGCTAAATGAATTTAGGTGGATGACGGGTGATGTCTGGCAGACGTCGTAGACAGTCAGGTCATCCTTGCACCGTGGGCAGGTACATTCAAAGTGATACAATGCCAGACCGAGTTGTCGGAAGAGCTTTGGTTTTGTGAAATCAATGTATGATATGTTGATCTCGTCGCCCTCCTTGATTGGCACCTCGGCCTTTAGGAATGCCTTGCGCTTGAGGAAGCTGACATTCGCATTTGGCACGCAGGAGTGGTTCACCATGGCCAACGTAGGATGCAGGAAGATGCCCGCCTGCCCCGTGTCCACATCGGTCCGGTCGAACGAGTTCGTCTGGATCTTGCATAAGATATCTCGTGCGAGGTGGAGCTGCTCGTCCTCCTCTTTCCTGCCGGCATATTTCATGCCTCCATATGCTTGCAGGCTCAAGTCTTGCCAAATATCTTCTCTGGCCTTGAATCTCTGGACGTTGCCTTCCAACGCCCCGAAGGCACTCCTCAGATCCGCATCATCGTCCCACCGCAGCAACACCTGGAGGACGGCGCGGACAGGGGTGGGCAACCAGTCCTGGTCGACTGACTCCTTGACCTTACGAAAGCTCTTGCATTCCTGCTTGTGGATGAGGCTCCAGTGATGCTTTTGGCACGTGGAGCCACAATACGACACGAATTTGCACCCTGTGCACGCCTTTGTGGGCACATGATGTGCGAGGCAGTTGCTACAGACCGCCCTAGCAGAGGGACCGTTGGGAAGTGCTAAGGCGTGTTAGCGTTTGTGTGGTGGGCGGGAGGCGAGAGCCGGGTTTCACCTAGGATCGGGTCTGTAAACGTTGTGATGAGCTCCCCCGGCGCAAATGACTTGGTAGCATATAGGCTACGACCGGCAGCACCTGAGCCTTTGCTCCCGCGAACTTGGACGTTCGGTTGTGATGGAATGGATGCCATATTCACAGTCTCGAATTTGCCATGTCATATGATGGGAGGCAGCTGAAGTTAATCGAGCCTCTGGAATCAACTCGGAGAATAGGATAGACCCCTGAGAGCACAGGCCTTGTAAAGGATCCTGGGAGCCTGGTATTAGGTAAGCCAGCCCGGTGGGGATAAAAATGTCTTCTCGGTTAAAGCATCGATTCTCGTCCATGCAGACGCAGCGTCGACCTATCAACCTTTATGTGATATAGGCACACGGGATGCCATGCCGAAGCACATTTTCCGATTCGCTAGGCAAAGATCAGGTGAGCAACCATTGCATTCATGCTCTTGCTATCGAGGCTCAGGTCGTCTGTCAACATGATGAACGATATTTGAATTCTGCAATGCTCAAGAACCATACTTCACTGTGGAAACCATACCAAATCCCGCTTCCGTGGGTGCTGAAGACGAGACCTGCATGCTGCCCTCGATATTCCCACATCAACCTAAGACACAATTGAGGTTTTATTTGCTAATTATCGCTCGTGCTGGTGTAGGGACCCGAAGGCTTCAATGTTTGCCGAGTGCTCACGAGTGCCGTGTATCTAGTAATAGAATAGTCCCAGCATGCACTCACTGTTAGTTTGTCATTTTGCGTAGGGGCTCTCACATCCCGGGGGTTTATCACGTGCAGATGATGTCCGGGAGACCTGGCCCAGAGGAATCTCCCATGCGAGATCATCGTGCTGGAGCAATACTTGGGGCAGGTGAACTTCCTTCGAATTGAGTTCTACCAAAACATGCTGGATACGTGAGAGCACACGTGCAAGATGTTGGTTGTGATTTCCGATTCCGATCTCAGCCAGAAGTAAAGACGCCTAAGTATCAGTGGGCACGAAATCAGGATAGCGGGCACCCTTGACCTCCATCTTCTCAAGAATGCCATCGATCACGCCCATCTCCTCGTCCGTCAGGTCCACCAGCTTGGAGTTCTCGTTGACCCGCTCCGCGGTGGTGGCGCCGGGGATCGGGATGATGGTGGGCATGCCGGGCCGCTTTGATAGCGTCCGGACCCAGCCCAGGGCGAATTGGCCCGGGGTGCAGCCCTTCTTCCTCGCCATCTCGTTGACCTGGTGGACGAGGGTGATGTTGTGCTCAAAGTTCCCGGGCTGGAACCTCGGCATGTGACGTCTCATGTCGTCCTTGGGGATGTCCTCGGGCGACTTGATCTCGCCGGTGAGCAGACCGCGGCCCAGGGGCGAGTAGGCGACGATGGGGATGTTGTGCTTGGCGCACGTGGCGGCGATCCCGTTGGAGAGGGCCTCAGTCGCGAACAGGCTGAGCTCGATCTCGACGGCCACGACCTTTGTGATCTTGACGGCGTCGAGGAGGGTCTCGTGGCGGACCTCGCTGAGCGAGATGCCCCCCAGCTTGCCCTCGTCGATGAACTTCTGCATGGCTCCGAACGTCTCCTCCATGGAGACGTTCTGGTCCCGGCGGGCGCACTCGAAGATGTCGAGCTTCTTGCGCCCGTTGAGCTGCCGGATGACCTGCGAGATGGACCTGTTGATCTCGGCCGCGGTGCCGTTGGGCTGGTGGCCGTGAGGCCCGGCCGCGCCCTTGACACTCAGAACAACCTTGTCCGCATCCTCGGGGTACTTGGCGAAGTAGCGCTCCAGGAGCACGAGGGAGTTGTACTCTGGGGGCCCATAGAACTCCCCGCCATTGAAGAAGTTGCAGCCGTTGCTAAGTGCGGCTTTGATAGCCTCAAAGGCCTGCTCTTCCGGGCAAGGGTTCGCGCGCCAGGTAAGGCCTGGCCAGGGTGATGGTCAGCATGCCCTCGTTTTGCAGACGGCTCGGCGTGCTTGGAACATACCCATGAGGCCATAGCCAATGGGGCCGACCTCCTGCTCGTTGATCTTGATCTGGGGCATTTTTGGCGGTTGTGTGTACAGTGTGATGAGTATGGACTTGCGCTGAGAAAACCAGGAAAAAGACTTTGCGACCGACCAGGGAGTGCTGTCAATGCCGGAACAGTGGCGCTTTTTGTATGGCCGTGAGGCTTGGGGATTCTGTCCGCATCTCAAGCTATCTCCGCCGCGATCATTGACGGCTGTTGCTGCTGCCACGATCAATGTACATAGATTAGGCTAGCGGCCCATAGCGTAGTGCCTTCGCGGCGGGTAGTAGGCGGGTACTGCTCATGACCTCATTCGCGTCGCGCATCCGGCGTTAAGGCGGTCAACCACGTTCGAGAGCATGCGACAGCGACCGCGACAGCGTCTGTTCGCCTGCTGGGCCATGTCGTCGGCCACTTCTGCCTAAACAACACATGAAGCTGACAGTAGCACCGTTGACTGGCGGCGAATGCGTGGGCAGTAATCACAGCATCGGGTTGTGTTCTAAACTCCGGGCTCCTCGAGTCTTCGGAGCTCTGGACCGCCCTACGCATCCTTCCAACACCTCAAGGCAGAGGCCACGACGTGGCTCGCTCAGCAATACTCTACAGGCACCGAAACCCGTCTCCTCAGTCAACATCCACGAGCTTCTCCTCTCCGCAGCCGGCATGGCCTGCCACAACCCCCGGGCTTCTCGCATTCGTCACGTCGGCCCGGTCGTTTCTGGCTCGCGCGCGTCTCCTCTCAGGTAGGATGCACCCTTCGCCGTTGTTACCGCTGTCGCGACCATACTCAACCCCCAACATCGCCGCGGCTCGGACTGGCGCGACCACTGGGATACTGCCTCTGGTCTGCTGCTGAGGATCTGCCTGCCGCCGGATGTTGATCGCATCAGCGCATATGTTCGTATGGCCGATGCCATTCTGCCGGCGTGGTGGTCGCTGGCCCTGTGTGGGATGCACGCCGGGGCCGACGGGTGGCTGCGGCTGCTGGGTCGTCGTGTGCTGCCTCGTGTGCTGCCTCGTGTGCTGCCGGGTAGAAGGCTGCACGTCTTCGAGCCGTCTGAGCCTGGCGTCAAGGCTGGACAACCCTGGTAGCTCGCTGCCGCCGTCGCCCACCATGAGAATGTACCAGGTCGGGAAGCCCTTAAGCCCTATCTCGCGCAAGCCCTCCACGGTTGTGGGCATGCGATGCGCGTAACGGCACTGCGGGCCCCACTTGCACGTCCCGTGGTAGCACCAATGACGGCAAACGGCCGTGGCAGGCTGCTTGTCTTGCTTGACGGTGCTGTGCTTGGGACAAGCGCGCCGCGACTCATCCAAAGTGGCCTTGGCCATGTGCGGGCGAAGAGGCCTCTCGTTGCTGCGACAGGCCTGAACAGAGGTCGCCAAGTTGTGGCGGGAGGCGCTGAGCACACGCTCGCTTGAGTGGCCGTGCTGCGGTGTCTTGTCGACGACATATGGCCCGGCGTTTTTGGAGTTGTCCGACGAGATAGCTGAATCGTCACTGCCAGCCTTCTCGCTGGTCTTGATCTTGGTCTCACAAATGGGTGTAGTCCTCTCGTCTTGTGTTGCCTCTGCTTTAGCCTTCCCATTTCCCGGCGAGTATGAATCCGTTGCATCATATGCACAGCTGGGAATGGCCCGGGCCTGGGTCTTGTCATGGCGCAACCGCACCTCAAAGGTGCTGTCTTCATCCGCCTCAACGATTCCGAGGTTAGTCAGTCCGATGGTCTGCCTGGCGTCGAGCTCGCGGGCCACGCCCACGAGTTGCATCCACTCGGGAAGCTGGTCGGCGGCAACGAGGGGCACGATCGGTCCGGGTCTGCCATCTTTCGTGTCTGGGCGGACAATGTAGTAGTCCAGTCTGGGCTGCATGGCTGCAACTGGTCGCAGTGGTGGGTGGGTGGCATGGAGTGCCCGAACGAAGAAATGAAAGGAGTACCTCTCAATTCGTCAGATCTAATCTGTCCCTCCTTTCACCTGATCATATAGCATTCGGCCGGAGAGCGGTACCGTTGACTGCTTGCCAAACAAGTGGGCGCAAGCTGTGTGCCTCAGCTTGTGTCTGTTTCCACCAATTCGCCTGCCAGCCTGCCAGCCTGCCAGCCTGTGTTCAGAGCCAAACTCTACAGTGTGTCTATTTGCCTATCTCTGCTCCACCCTAATTGAAATGTCAAGCCCATCGACACAGAAACCGAATTGTCTAGGGGAGTCCCTCAGCTCCTCCTCGCGTTTTATCCACCGGCCAGTCTTGCTGCTGTCCAGGTGTGCGCTCGCGTCGTCGCGAGCAGCCTGGGCGCCACCCAAGGCCTCCTGCCCTCCGGCTGCATGCTCGTATTCCTCATCACTGTTGTCGCCCGCGTCATCCAAGCCCGCCACCGGGTCCCATTCACCCGTCTCCCAGATCAGGCGAAGCTCGAGTGGTTCGTGTCCAAACAGTCTGCCTGCGATGCCCTTGACGGCATAGATGTCGGACGTCTTCGGTATCTGCGCGTGTTTCTCCACCACCTTCACGCCATCCCCTCCCCCTGACGGACAAAACCGGAATGCGACGTTGACAAGCCTCGCCTCCAGGAAGGCAGGGTTGACCTCCTTCCTCCGCACCACGACTGGCTCATCGTACAACTCGCACAGCTCCGCGTACCTCCGGTGCTGGGCTGTGACCGCTGCCTCGGCCTCGTGGCTTTCAGGCACGGATGCGAGCTGCCGGCCTATCCGGGACAGGTAAAACATCTCGGCGTTCGTGCGGTCCGTGGGCGTGACGGAGCTGAAGTTCAGGGTTTGTAGGCAGGCTAGACGCGCGACAGTGATCATGTATGCCTCCTCCGTCACGGTGGCCTTGGAACCAGCTGAGCCGGCGGCTGAGGCTGTAGTGCTGGACTTGTCGAAGCCTGGGTCTTCGTACACGGGGTTGTGAGCCAGGCGGAGGGAGTTCAGGCCTGGGAAGGAGTCTGGCAGGGCGTCCACGAAAGACCAGCTGCTGATCTTGTTGTACGATATGTCAACGTGGGTTAGCGTGCCGCTGAAGACTGGTGTTTCCTGGGACGGGTCAGCGGTGATGGTGGAGATATTGTTGCCCTTGAGGTGCAGGTTCTTCAGCAGGGCCAGTTGGCCGAGACAGGCGAGGTCGCTGAGCGCCGTGAAGTCATTGTGTTCGAGATAGAGCGTGGTCAGCGTCTGTGTCGCTGTGGTGGCGCCCAACGGGGAGATCCGGGACAGCTGGTTGGTGCTGGCGTGCAGGATTGCCAGAGACTGGAAGCAGCGAGATATGTGGCAGATGCTTTCCCAGCCCATGAGAGTCTCATCGAGTGCAAGCTCTCTCACAGAGCCAAAGGCCTCCCGCGCCTGTTCCGTGTCGAGCCCTGCGATCAGTGACTCCTGGTATCGGTTTCCGCTATCAGAGCTTAGCCGGGAGGTCTCGTCGTGCACACGGGGCGTCCCTTACTTGAGTCCCAGACGGCGCAGCGCCTTGAGCTGAGAGCACACGCCAACGATCTCCCCGAAGTCAACAACCAAGCTGCGGCTGACGTCCAGCTCAACAACCCTGGGGCAGACCTCTGTGATGGGCTGCTCGCCGAGCGCCGATGCCGACGAGACGCGCAGGCCGTCGAGGATGACGATCCTCAGCTCGCCCAGCTGAGCCTGCTGCCTGCGGATCTTGTCGAAGCCGATCTCCTCGGCGACCTTGCCCGAGATGACGATCTGCTGGCCCGACGACGCCTGCGCATGGTCCGCTGCGGCAGCTGGAGCGTACTTCTCATGAAGGGCCTGCAGGAAGGTCCGCGGCTGATCTGCCGGCCTCGTGGGGCGGACAAAAGATGCGGCCTTTGGGGACCTGGAGCGGCCTGTACGTTCTATCAACACCACATCTCAGATGTTCGCATCTGGGTGCCGAGTTCTCACATGCGAAATATCTCACACCCTTGTGTGAGCCGTCGTGTTTGCCCCGTGATGGGTCGTCCCATTCTACGCCGAGCCAGTCCCCGGCAGTCCCGCTGACCTGGCCAACATACCGAACGGTGCAGAGCGCCCCGTCATAGGAGAGGCGCTGGCCGGCTGCAAATTCAGGGCCCGTAGACATGCTGGGTCATTTTTGTTGCTGTGCCCCAGTCTGTCCTTCCTCGGGAAGCCTAGCGAGCAGAGGAGTGGTGAAATGGCTGCGGGGGTTGGGGGTTGCCGCCTGTAAGCCAGGGGGTGGGTGGGTGCTGAGTTAGGCGTGTCACAGGGGCTCAGCGTCCACCCTTCCTCTCTAACTGGGCACTTATCAACATGGAGAGAGTTTGACCGCAATTCTCTACTTGTCTTGCTTGTGGACCAACGGACACGGTCACATTATGCTCTGATCAACTACTCGGCACACTCGCATCCTCCACGGGCCAGCTTGCAGCATTATTTACAGCTTGCTCTTGGTAGATCCAACGGCCTTGACCAGGGCCCTGCCATTGCTCAGGCAGACCTTCTTGCCCTCCACCTTGGTCTCGAACCGGATCTCTTCCCATCCGTCCTTGACATCCCCCGTCTTCCACACCGACGTGACCAGCTTGTCCCCAGGCTTGACCGGGCTGGCGAATCTCGCCTGGAACTCCTTCAGGTTCTTGGGGTCGCTGCCCGCCACGTGCTTGAGGAGCCCGTGGCAGGTCGAGTTGAACGAGTACAGGCCGTGGATGATCTCGCCGCCGAAGCCCATCTTCTTGCCGGGCTCCGGGGTGGCGTGCAGGGGGTTATAGTCGCCGTTGAGGCGGTACAACAGCGCTGTCTCCCTGGTGGTCTGGTCCTCAAAGGTCAGGTCGGGCTGCTTGCCCTTTGGCGGGGGGAAGTTGACCGTGGCAGGTCCCTTGGGGCCGCCCCAGTTGCCCTGGCCCACGAAGAAGGCGCTCCCGATGGCCCGCGAGTAGATCTCGCCGGTCTCAGCGTCAACAAGGTCGCTTTGGGTCTCGAGGACGGACCCCGGACGGCCCTTGTCGTAGACACCAATCACCTTTTGGCGGATCTCAAACTTCCTGCCTTCCGAGGAGGGCGGCAGGGGCTTGAAGAACTGCAGGAGACGCTGGCCGTCAACCACCCGCGTGTGATCAAAGTCAGGCACACTGGGGATCTTGACGGCCTTTTGCGCTGCGTAGAAGTCAATGACCTCCTGGGTGGCACCCTTGAATGCTGACATGGCGGTTAGTCCTGCTACCGATGGGAGGCCCTGGGAGGCCCGGCTGAGGCGGACTCACGCAGAATGACAGGGTAGCTTGGGAAGACGGTGAACTCGGGGTGCAGTTCAAAGAGGAAGTGAAGCTCATCGGCCGTGCAGCCAATGCTGTTCGCAAAGAGAAGAGCGTCCCGCTTCAGCCATTGCACTGGCTGGGCTGGATACTCGAAACCGACGCCGGGGCCGCTCATCGTGAAGTCAGTGGGAACAGTGTGGGTGTGTTGGTGTGTTGGTGTTGGTGTTGGTGTTGGCGTTGGTGTTGGTCTGATGATGGTAATGTCGAGTGTGAGACTGAACAAAGTACAGCAAGACCTGGGCTCGGGTGTGGGTTATTGAAGTCGAGCAACGAAATAATAAAATGGAGAGGTACGAGGAGAGCAGCCTGTCTCCTGTCTACCCGAGCTGCAACCATCCCCAGAGATGCCGAGGTCCGGCGGTTTCCCCTGGCACTTCGGGTGTGGGGTTCGACCGTTTTGAGTTTCACTCCCCAGGATCTGACGAGATGGGCTGTCGATGGACTCATCTACCTCCGTACAGACGGATCAATTCAGAGCTCGCGATATGTCTGCATCTGTTCGGTATCGATCTGGTTCATTGAGCTTGACAATGCCAGCCATAGATCTACAAATTGCAGTCTACAGCCCCGTCCCGAATCTGGGGGTCGCGAAGTGCCGACCCGTGGTCCATTGGGGTGCGCTTGTCAGTTGACGATGCCACATCTCGAGCCGCGACTTCTCGTACCAAGCCCCATGAGAATAGTATTGTGTGGGATGAGACACACAGCGGTGCCGCTCAAGAATGCACCAGCTCCTGAACTGGCGATTCGTCGAGTGTCCATTCTTTCCCGTCCCGACAGGTCCCCAATTGACCCCCGCATTTCAAGTCCTAGTCGTTGCCTCTTGCAGTTGGTTGCTCGGCCGATTGGTTCCGACTCGGCAACCCCACTTCGCGATGCACCGACCCGCAGAAAAGTTTCGAGGTCGTCGCCAAGTCGAAGGTGCATTCAGTACCTCAACTTCGCATCCCAAGTCATCGTCACATAGCCTCTCCGCCGTCGTCTTCCCTCTCTTGCGTCTCAGCCACCCTTACCATGGCTGCAGTACGTCCTAAGGAGGGTGGCAAATCTGTCGGCAGAGGGAAGGTCAACCGGCATAACGCTTTGAAATTGGAAACTACACCGCCCGAGAATCCCGACGTGCCCAATCGCTCAGGGTCGAAGCTGCCCAGGCCTTTAGGCCCGAGATCCCGACGGATACTCGCCCAAGAGACCTCAAGTCTGATACGAAAGCGCAATGAGCTCGACAGGGCGCTGCTTGTGCAGACCTTCCGACCCCTCGACCAGCTCAATGCTACCGACTGGCTGCCCCGCGAGGAGCTCCTGAGACAATGCGAGCAGATGGTGAGCTTAGAGAAGGACTATATAAGGACCACAACCAAAGAGCTAGGCAATAGAACGGCATTCTACAATCATGATCCTTCCAAGGAGCGGGCACTTGATGCCGACTTCATCCGAAACCAGCTCGGGAAGTTCAAAAGGCATCTTGGGCCATACCTGGCTGCTGCAGAGGAGGCACATGGCGGGGACGAAGAAGGTGCCTCGTCTTCTGGCTCTACTTCGAGTACGAGTGATAAGGAGGCCGAGTTGGCCCAGGGAAGGCCCTACGACTCTGGTCCCTCTCGGCCAGCCGGAGGAAACGCCGCAGACGGTTCAGCAGACCATGGTGATCCTTCCGTGGGCCTCGATGGCGCTTTCGATGACATCAGGGATTCCAGAAAGAGGAAGATGAATGGATTGGACAGTGAAAAGAAGTCACGGAAGAAGGCGAGGAAGGAGCAGCCTTCTGACAGCTCGCAGTCAACCGCCCCCCAAAGCCATTGTGCCCAGGCCGGCCCGCCTACAAGGTCCAAGGATATGGAGAGCTCGCTCGCACAAATCTATACCAGCATGTCTCAGACCAAATCATCTCAGGCCAGTATCAATGGTGCCATCAAGACGGAAATCAAAGAGGAACCAGTCAAGACCACACCAACGGACGTGATTGCGAATGTCGAGCGAAAGCCACCGAACCCGTCAGCCACCACCACCACCACCACCACCACCACCACCAGCAGCAGCAATAACAGCAGCAGCAACAGGAACAGCATCAGCGACGGAGCCCTGAGGCCGTTCTATCAGCGTCATGCTAAGGCCATGATCCGACCCGACTTCGACGACCTAGTCTACGACCGGCCACAGCGCCGACGTGCGCCCAAGTCGAAGCAGAAGCGTAGAGCTTACCTTGTCTCTGGCGCCCTGCCTGTTCCCCATCTTCCGAGCCCAAGGCCAGAGAAGCCCAAGGCACGAAGTGTGTCGACAGATGGACCCTAGAGGGGAACGAAAAGTCAGTCTGGCGCGAAGACTCGCAGAGTCGAGCTCCAATCCGGAGGAGCCTGTTGGACTGATGCTCTCGAGACTAGACGGAGGCGATACCCGAGGTGGTCCAGGAGGCAGCGGTCAAAGGGCTAAATCCCCCCACGTCAAGGAATTGGGCCGACACCCGTCTTTGGCCATGACTCGGGAGGGTGCAGCTGAGATCAGAGACCAGCATTGTGGCCCACGAGAGGTTGGTCACAATCGATGAGAACCCGCTTGTTTCATGGTGCCAACGTGCCTTAGTTATTCAGCTGCGGTCTGCCTCTTGGTTTCTCATCGTGCTGGAAGTGAAGCGAAACGTATAAGATACGGGTGGGACTGCGTGATGCAGACTGGATGTGGAGCAATACACGAGTGAGGCGTGTGACTGGTATAGACCACGCCTTCTGAATTCGCATTGCGAGGAGTTGTGGCTAATAAGGGATGACAACTGCATATTTTTGGAGTCAGAGCATTTGCTGGAATTCTATCGTCGGCTTACCTACGGCAGAGAGTGACCTCTCGCGCATGTAGGTAATGTGAGCTAACCATGTCTGATGTGCCAGGTCTGAACGGTCGCTCGAGGGCTGGCCCCGGACAATACGACACTTGGGTAGAGCCTAACATGCGGTGTCCTTGAGTTGGACGGTGGCAACTTAGTTGTGGCACACAAGACTTGTTCAGAGCCGTTTCTTGTCGAGGTGTCTGACATGCGCGAGTCGAATAGAAGAGCGGGTGCTCAACGGGGCTGCCTAGACTCGACGCCACCAACCTCCTCTGCCTGGCGACACCCACCCAGACAAGAGTGCACAGTGACAAGGACCGAACGATCCCGTAAGGCCGTGCCCACCTTCGTGCCAGACACCGTCAGACCGTCAACTCGAAGCTGTTTCGAAAGGCGCAAGACCCGCGTCGATTGTGGCGAGAACAGCGTATGGCTAGGCGACCACCTGGTCATCCAGTCCGAGGCCAGCCGGTTGACAGAGCGACCATTCCGCCTTCTGTCTGGCCTACATGGACGTACATATGCACAGATGGCGCTCGAATATCCAGGCACAAATGGCGCAGGCGTACGCCCGCATAGACATCCACAGACGCAGAGATCCAGACATCCATGCCAAGCTGTATGATGTGCAGCGAATCAAGGCGAACCAACACTATGACAGCCGCCCAATGATGGGACGGCGCGCCCCAGCCGCCCGGCCGCGGGACGCCCTTTCGGGAAATCCCATCAAGGCCGGTCACACGCCCGGCCGCGATGCACCCGGCTGCTCCCACCTACCGCCAGGAGAGCGAGCTTCTCCGCGACCGTGGTATCTCTGCCAGATGCTCTCTCCGCATGGCTGTCCACATCGTATTACATGTTCCACAACAGACGACAATCGGGCCAACCCATTCTGATCATTCCTTCCCCGGCCCAGAAGGGATTGAAAATCAACAAGGCCTGGGCAAAATCCGGCAAAACGTCCCCACGGGACCAAATGAATGGACGGGACCGGGGGGGGGGGAAGCTAGCTGGACACCACCCACGCCTGACCGAAACCCCCATCCCACACACCTAAGCTTCACGCCCTCCTTCCCACGGGGCCAAGTGTGGTTTGGTGAGCTGATAGTTAATCATTGCTATCGCCTAATGGCCAATCCCCGGCCAAGGCGCGTCCAGGCGGCATTCTGGGCCGCCCGGCACCCAGGGTTATCAAGCGCCGAGGAGGGCTTCTCCCGCGCCGGCCGAGGGGTTGGAGACGGAGGATGGGGGTCTCTGGCTGGAAGTTGGGGGTTCGCCGAGCCGGTCGGTCCAGTAGATGCATTGGAAGAGTCAGTTACTGCGGAGCATCCGACTTGTGACTTCGCACGTACTATGCATTAACGAGGCATGCTTTGTGCTGTTTGCCTGACTTTCTACGTGCTCCCATGCGGGCCTGGCCTTGCCCGAGACGACCACGCCCACACCATCCATCCGTCCGTCTATCCACCCATCCATCCGTACGGCTGGAAAGCTAGCCAGCACATGCGTACTTGCTTGCATACGGCTGGGAGGTGTGGTGCATGCGTGTGGGTGTGAGTGGGTGGCGTGGGTGGCATGTGCCAGGTGTGTGTGTGCGTGTGCGTGTACTTACGTGCGTATGAGGGAGGGGGGAAAGCTCAGGAGGCGGGCGGGCCACACAAGATCGCCCAAGGCTATCGCCTGCTTGCTGCAGAGAGTTGGGCTTGAGATGCTGTGCGACCTCGTGGGATGGAGGATGGCTCCCCCTCACGCCCTGGTTGCAGTGTTATCTAATCGAATCCCGCATGAAGGAGGAAGAGGTTCTGGAGTAGGGTATTTAAAGTCCTCGTCTTCATCGTCTCTTTGTCCGTCCTTGACCACAAAGGTTCTCATCTTCCACAACTCTTGCTTGAAGAATACAACCCATCCAAGGACTCCAGACCAAACAGGCCACCCCCCATACACACTCAACAATCATCATGTCTCCCTGGTGAGTCCCTCTCCACGTGGTTTGCCGTGTCATCCACCCGAACTGGTGGTACCACCAGTTCATGCGGTACCTCCCCGGTCGGCATATACCTTCTACGCCTCCTGGTCCCTCCGCAAGCCTCTGCTGACCTCAAGCCCCTCTGCCCAGCTCCTGCACCAACTGCTGCTCTAGCTCCTGCGCTGGTACCGGCTGCTCTTGCGGCTCTTGCAAGGTGAGAGATCACCTCTCAGCCTCATCAACCTCTTCCCAGCCACGTGAACTTTTCGTCTCTTTGACAAATGCCGGTACTGACATACAGACCGTAGCACTAAACGGCCACTCGTCATGACATTCTGAAATTGCGTTGATATTCGGCTTCGGCATCCACACGCTCATTTTCGCACCCCGGGTTGCTAGTTCCCTCTTATGAAGTGGTCAGTTTAGTACAGGCATATCGAGAGACACATGAACCAGCCGGCCGGATCAGCGGGACAAGTTGATGATACACTGCTTTCTTGCGTGGAAATCACCGTCGTCGTCACCGTCGCCAGCTCTTGTACCGGCTTAGGTAGTAACAGTCCGCCTCGTGGGCGGGGTTCGACAAAGAATTCAATACTCTCATTAGATGATTGGCCTGAAGCACGCCCTTGGGTATCGCATCGTCTAGCTGTGCCGTCTTGTATTAGCCCCCATCCCGGAGCGTCCCGTCGCATCAGAGTGGTACGTGGGAGGCTTACTCTAGCAAAACCCCGTCCATCACAAATCGCAAATCGCAAATCAACAAACTGATTCCACCAATGAGCATGCAATTATTGAGCTGAATACCCCGTAGTCGAGAAGAGTCGAACAGGGTCCTGGCCAGGTTATTCCAGGTTCCGCTTCTGCGGAGTGAAACAAAAAAGTCCCCCCAGAAGTCAGCGAATCTGCCGGCTCACGCCCACTTGCCAAGAAGGGCCATCAAACCGGCGCCAAGACACATGCACCCGAAGGCCGAGAGGGTCATGCCGATGCTGCTCTTTCGCATCTCTGTGTTGAACATGAACTCGTGGGCCATGAGCTCGACCAGCCCAGTGTAAATCAAGATGCCGGCGGAAATCGAGTCAAAAACACCATTGACAGTCAGGGTCGTCAGGCTGCCAGGCTCGAGGGTCTGCCTTACACCAAGGCCGCAAGCAATGGCGATCGGGGTTGAGAGAGCGTACGCGGTGCCGAGGACATAGGGCAGCCACTCCTTGCCCTCGGGCCACTGGGCGACAGCCAGCCGGGAGCCGAGACCGAGGCCCTCGAAGGACTGATGGAAGACGAGGACGATGTATAGGACGGTGAACTCGTCACCGGCCACGGCGAGCGTAAGGCCGATGAAGATGCTATGGAAGATGACGCCGAACTCGAGGATGAACAAGGCCGTCATCTGCGCGGCAAAAGACTCGGGATCGATGTGCTCTCGCTTGTGGCCGAGGTGGTCTTCGCCTCCGGGAGGGTAGGTGACCTCGGTTGTGAAGCCGGAATGCGGGTTGCTGGCTGGGGCCGCGGCCGTGCTGCTGGGAACCCGGCCGCTCCCGCTCTCCTCGTCGCCTCCTTTCTTAAAGGACGGCGACGTGAACTCCACCGATGGATCGTGGCTATGGCCGAGATTGATGTTCCATTCGAACCGGCTCGCAAGCAGCTCGATGAAAAACATGGAGAAGACGGTCCTTTGAGAGGGGGTTAGCCACAAAACTTGCCTGACCAAAGGTCTCAAGAGGATGACATTTGATCCATGGGGAAGGGTCGCTGGGGACGTGTCTGAAAAGCCATGATGCGGAGCTCGAACATTTCAAGGCAGGGGCCAAGGGGCAGAGGTAGGAAAGGGGATGGAAAGCCACTCACATGAGAGCAATACCCTCGGCCCAGGAGTAAGACTTGATGGCGGAGTCATCAGGGAAGCATTCCGATCCAAGGGCCTCGTTGGCGGGAGCGAGGAGGTGGATGAATGCCGTGGCTATGATGACGCCGGAGCCAAAGTACTTTGCGACGAAGAAGGCCGTCTTGGGGACCCGCATTCGTTTGGACCTAGCAAGCGCGATGGGGACAACGGCGCCGAGGAGACTGCCGATGAGAATGACAAAGATGGAGCTGATGCGCAGGCCCAGGCTGCCATTGTACTCGTTGCCGGAGTCTACAGTTGCCGAAGGTCAGCACGTTTCGGCCACGCTTGTTTGGTAGGACGACGCAGGAGGCCGAAGGTCTCTACAACCTGGGCGGCATGTGGGGAGGGGTGAACGAACCGCACTCAACGGTTACACTGCTACCCGTATCTTCGGCAGACATGGTGCGCGGGGCTGAGCGGGACTTGTCTTGTGGGGCACAACGAAAGTAAGGTCCGGGTGGTGTCGACGGGTACGTCGAGGACGAGATTGATGGCGAGGAAGGAGAAGAAAAAGGCTCGAGTGACTGGGCAAGGCTGAGTCAAGTCGGGGGTGAGAGGAAGGATGGATGGCAGAGCGCGTGAGAGCAAGTCGCCGAGAACAAGAGATGGACCAGAGACTTTATCGATGCGTGGAGGGTAGGAGAGGAACAAATGTGTGAACCAGAGGGTGGAAGAGGTCGAAGAAAGTGGGCCGTCAACTTTTGTGCGGACTGGATATTCGCTGGCGAGCCATGGGCGCGAGCACACCTTATGGGGCCGTCGTGGAGCAGCGATGCAGGGCCTTGAAATACAAGTCACCAAAGATGTACTCGGCCACAAAGGTTCTCGGACCGGGGGGGGGGTGATGTGAAGAATGATGGGATACGGAGTGGGCCTCTAGTGGGCTGCATGAAAGTGATCCTCGATGCTTACCACAGTACACAGGTACTCGAGTAGTTTTGGCGCGGCAGGACTGGGAGTCCGATCACTCCAGACCCAATACCTGCCTACCTTAGGGTAGGCACACTAGCATAGTAGAGTGTTGGCTAGTGATCCAACCAGGAACCTGGTTTTGCTTGAGCCGGCTTCCTTGGTTTTAGACTGGGAAACTTTCCCCCCCTTCAACACACTTTCAACTTCTTCTCACCTGCGTGGGTTTCGGAGAGGGTGTATGCGCTACCGAGCCTGCCAGAGCCGCGAGAGACCCAACCGCATGCGTCAGATTAGCCTTTGAGGCTTGCGTGATTGGGCGCCGGGGGGTCCCTTGTGAGGGCTGAACAATGGGACCATGTCGAACCTCACATGGTCACCACCTTTCAACCTCCGGCCTCTCGCCTCTCGCCTCATTGACCCCCCACCCCACACACACTCAGAGAAACATTCCATGACCGGTCAATTATACATATCTGGCCATGCTCTCAAAATAAATATGCGAGATGAAAGAAACTTCATGCTGGCCGATAGGCGGGATGGACCATGAAACGTCGGTGTTGACAGTTCACGACATACACAGCGGATAAGTTCCACACTAAGTATCCTCTCGTCTTGTGCGCGGCTTCCATATCTGATAGTCAACTCCTGCGATGTTCCATTTTAAGTTTCAATGTAATATGAGCCACGCCAGGATCTCCCGACCTTTTTATCTCGCCAGCTCGGTCCAAAGTCCCGGGACAGCTGCCCTTCCTTGTTTCACAGACAGCTCTTTTTTCAGCGCTCCCGATCACTGTAGGATCTAGCTTTGCAGGAGTACATCGCCTTTTTCTCACCAAGCAGAGACTAGAGCCATATCGGGCACCGAGACTACTGAGGTGTTTTGAGCCCCAGGCCAAAACCCATCCAGGAGCTAGTTCTTGCTGGTGGGGGCGTCCAAGCCGCCACAGATCTTCTTGGAAATGCTTGGTGAGCTTGTCAGGTCAGTTCCGGCCGGGCAGCTCTGACCGCAACAGTTTCGAGGGGGCGGAGGAACCACGTCTTGACTGCGGGAACAGACACCCATCGTATGACCGGCCAAGCAGTCGCGTATTCTGCAGCCAAGCTGGACTGTGGGGTCATGTTCCCAGGCGAGCGCAGGACTGATCAAAGAACGAGCAGGGTGGACATGGCAGTGCAGGAGGGCACAGTGGGCGGTGAAACCTTTGCTGTCGTTGAAGACTGTGCCAAAAGACACAGGTCAGAGTCAGCGGTCGACAGCGTCCCCCACGCCGACAGGCATGTGCTTTTCGAGAGCTTCAGTCTCGCGCCAATGATCTCGTGGGCATGGGTTCCGGCGTGTCCATCTTATTTCCTGTCTTATTACAGTACCTAGTGAGAGACTGTCCAGCCGACGCAGAGGCCGATGGGGGGGACTAAAAAGCAAGCTCCGAGCCTAGCCCGTGAGGCATTTGGCCAGCGCATGCGGGCGGCGCGAAACATGGAGTGGTCCTTGGGTCTCCGTGGCCGTGAGAACCTTGATGAAAGATGGCCGCCGAATGAGGTCTAGTGTAAGATGTGTACCTTGATGGCAGCTGGATGGAAAAAGAGTGGTCCCCGTGTGGGTTGCATTCTAAAGCATCCGATTTAAACCCTTGCAGTCATCAAGTCCCCAGGGTACGTAGGTACTTAGCCACGCTCGCGCTAGGGTGAGGCCGATGGAGCCGGTCTGCTGGGACCAAACCTGGCTTACCTAAGCCAGCCTCCTTCATCTTCCAATTCAAACTCCACAACCTCCTTCAACTCACCCTCACTTTCTTCCCTCACCAACCTCGCCGGCCTCATCGATCCCTCCAGCAGTCGCTCACCACCTCTGAGAATCGCGAGATCGCGCGTGTTGCTGTCTAAACGACTTTCCACCTGCTTTTTCGATCATCCTGCACCCCTGCTCATCGCGTGCCATCCCCTCGCCTCCCACTCGATTCCACTCAACCTGAAGCTCTCACGCAGCTAAATTTTGACCATTTCGGGGCAGTCATCGTGACGTCACCGCTAGCTCAAAAAAGTCGCCGAAAGCCCTCAGGACCGACGAAGGGGTGTGCCCGGCCGACCAATTGCTAACTACCTGCGGTACAATGAGCTCTATGCTATTCTTCAGAAGCTCGGCCTCAAAGTCAGGCTTTTCACTTCGGAGATGTCCACGAAGCAACGGTCGGATGTAGTGAACGAGTTCAATGACCCAGAGGCTGACATCGACAGCCTTATCTACACGCTTAGTCTCTCGATACAGGGATACAACCTGCACAAGACCTCTCACCAGGGCCAGTCAGGCCAGTTTGGCTGGAACAACGAATCCGAGGACCAGGCCATGCGGCGGCTGGAACGGATCGGGCAGGACAAGTCAGTCGAATGGGTGATCTGGAAGAACACCGGCACATACCAGAACATGCAGGAGCTGCGTGGAATCATGAAGACTGCCCGCGACCTGGCCGGCAAGTCGCGGATTCCCGACTACATTCAGGGCGCGCTCCGTCTCATTGTGGCATTTGAGATGTGTCGTATCCGCCGAGGGCACTCGTTCAACCGATTCACCTGGGTCCACAGCAAGCCCGAGTTTATGAAAGAGTGGGACTCGGCCTACCACTACCAGAACGGCCGCTTCCTGTCGCTGGTTGCTCGCCTGGCTCTAGGGCTCCCAAAGGAGTTGCCCGACGGCCACTCGCTCGATGCGAGCGAGCCAACAGACCTGCTCGAGCTGCTGGGAGACAACTACCCCGATCTCGCTCTGGTCTAGGTGGCCGAAGATCGGGATGTGGAAACCATGGACTGGACGGCAGTATGCCGAGACATCGTCCACATTCAGCAGCTCGACCGTGGAGGTGAGGAGTGGCAAGGTGTCATGACCAAGGCCGCGGAGAAGCTCAACATGACGATCGCCTCGGCGAGGCATGTTCCGTTTGGGATGCTGACAACAAAGCCACGAGCGCAGACATCCCACAATACCACCCCGAAGACGCCAAAAGTGTCTTCGGATCCTAATGATCTTCTCATGGATCGCGACGACGCGAATGCTGAATCAGAAAGCGAGACCAGATCTGTCACTGTTGATATGGCCGATCTTGACAACGAGTCCGAGCATGGGGCTAGCTCAACCATGCTCAGGAAGTCGGAAGAGCCTGCTAATGACGATGGCGATGAGGAAGTCGAGGAGGAAGTGGCTCAACCGTCCCGCAAGCGCCAAAGGAAGGTGCTGGATGCCTCCGATGATGAGGATGACTTGGATGGGGAAGAATCAACGCAACTGCCCAATAAGCTCCATGAGAAAGAGGCGACCCCGGATACCGTTGATGGGTACGAAAATGAGACGAAGAAGAACCTGGAGAAGATGTTGAGAAAGCGCAAGATCATCATTCCGAAGAAGGCGAAGACGGATGTTGATCCGGCTTCCCCGTGATCGCGACAACAGACGAGGCAACCACAGCAGGGCTGAAAAAGTCTTAGGACACTCCTTATTTCTATATCTAAACCTATCAACATTGACTAAGTTTTAATCTTAATTTTTAACTTTTAATATAATTTAAGGATTATAATATTTGAAACTTAAATATAAAAAGTTATAGTTAAAATATTAAATAAATACCTTCTTATAAAAGATTTAACATACTTTTAATAAGTTTTAATTACACTACTTATTCTTTTCTTTAGGAGCTTCTAAGTAACTAGATATTATTTTAATAGAAAAGGAGTTAGCAGGCTAAATTAACATCTTATTTATTATATTCTACCTAGTGATAAGAAAATATGGTCTTGGATAAGACCGAAAAAGGTTCCTTCCTAAGGTCTTGTTAAGGGCCGGCAAATTACAAGCATGACTCATTTGTGATGGAGAGCCTGAATCACAACGCTGTGAAGCCTCTGCGCAGGTGTGTAGAGCAATGTAATAGTTATAAGAGGTAAGAATAGAGAGGGTAGGAAGGGGGAAAGTAGGAAGAGAGAGGGTAAGAAGAAGGAGGGTAGGAAGAGGGAGGTTAGGAGGGGGGGTAAGAAGGGGGAAGGTAGGAAAAAGGAGAGAAGAAAAAGGAGGGTAGGAAGAGGGAGGGTAAGAAGGGGGAGGGTAGGAAGGGGGAGGGTAGGAAAGGAGAGTAGGAAAAAGGAGGGCAGGAAGGGGGAGGGTAGGACGGGGGAGGGTAGGAGAGAGAGCAGGAGTAGAGACGTAAGGTTCCCGTAATCACCAAGGGCTTTCCTGGTCTCGTCTTTTCTAACATCCTCTAGTAACAGGTCCTCATCATCCCTCGCGTCGACAAGATGCCACCCTCCTCGGGTTCGAGACGCGCATCTAGCACAGTGGGCCTTGCTTCCAATCGGCAACCCCAGCGCCTGCACACCCTGGCCCCTGCAGTCGATACATTTCTTCGAATTCTTGACCAGCAGCCCGAGCATGCTCTGGTGGCCCCTGAAGCCGACACGTCTCTGCTGCAAAGCATTGAAGCTCACCTCGGCCGGAGATTCGACGGAGGGTCAACACCTTCAACTCCTTGACTAGTAGCAAGAGCCTCCCTACGCTCCAGCCCTCATGCGGCCTTCGAACCATCCCTCCTCCGAATCCTTTACCAACTTCCTTCGGTCGAACATCAACGGAGCTTCGACAGTCGAGCCCAACCCACCCCTTCCGCTACTATTAGGTGTGACAAGGTCTATTTATACGGAGGTCCTTCCAATAAGTCTTTACCGCCAAGGTGTAGGGGGCCCTAGTTTAGGCAGTCTGTATTTCTCTAATTTCTGGTTTTTTATAAGGGGAATTATATTAATTAGAATACCTATAAGAATTTAGGATTTATTTCTCTCTAATTTAAAAAACTCTTCTTTATTACTTTTTTTAATATTTTAATTATAAAGTATTTAATTATTATATAGTTATAAATTTTAACTTTTTTTATAATTAGATATTAATATAATTTAATTAAGAAATATATTAATATATTAATATATATTTAATAAAATATATAATATAAAATAATTAATTATAGATTTAATTTATATATTTAATAGTTTATAATTTTTAATATATATACTAAGGATAATAAATAAATAGGTTATTTATTTAAGAAGATTAAAAAGAAAGAGAAGATTTTAAAATTATTAATAAGGATTAATATAATAAAAACTTTTAAATAATAATATTATTAATTAGTTAGGTAATTATATTAATAAGAGTATTATTTATATAATTTTTAAAAGAAAAGTTTTAAAAATAAAGTTATAAGGATTGTGTATTTATAATAATATTTAAATTATTAATATTAAACTTTAAAAGATTAAAAATATAATTTAAAGTAATAAAATATTAGTTATTTTATATATTAAAAGGAGAGTATTATATTTAAAGGAAGTTTAATAAAAGATTTTAAAGTTAATTATTTAAGAGTATTAAAAAGTATTTTAAATTTATATTTTAAGTTTATTTTTATAAAGAAAGAAAAGTCTTTATTATATTTAATTAGTTAAGACTTTTTTAAAAAGAGAAATAAAAGTAATATTAAAAGTATTTAATATTTAAAATAAATTACTTTATAAAGTAAAATAGTAAATAAATAAGGATTAATATTTTATTATTATTTATAAAAAAGTTTATAAATTTATAAATATATTTAAAAATAATTTAAAAGAATAATAAGTTAATATATAAGTTAAAGTATAGAGATTAATTAATATTATTATTAAAAGTATATTTTATTTAATAAACTTTTTTATTTATAAAAATTAAAGTTAAAAGTAATTATATAGAAAGATAAGATTTTATTATATACTTATTTTATTTAAAAGGTATTTTTAATTTATTAAGTTAAGTATTTATTTTAATATAGAAATTCTTTTAATTTAAATATAATTAAGTTTATTTAATTTAAGTTAAAAGAAGGATAATATATAAAGAAATATTAAAGTTAAAGCTATAAATAAAAGTAGTATAATAAAAGTATAAATAGATTTTAAATTATTTTATTTATAAGTTTTTATTAAGAGAATTTTTAGTATATTTAGTAGATAATTAAGTATAAAAGTAATAATAAATATATTAAAGGAAGGAATAAATTAATTAAAAGAGAGTTTATTAAATTATATAGTATATATTAAATATAATTTAATAAAAATAATATTAAAAAAGTTAAAAATAAAATTAATAAGGAGTTTAAATAATTAATATATATTATAATAATATATTTTATTAAATAAGGAGTTAATCTTTAATAGATTAATAATTTTAAGTAGTATTATTATAGGGATAGATTTTCTAACTAAGGCCCTTATTTTTAATAGTAAAGATTTATTAAAAGGATATTTATACTAAGTTAATCTTAATTATTATACTATTTTTATAATAAGTTAAATAAGTTTCTTATTATATTAAATATTTAAAAGATTAATTATAATTAATTAAAATTTTAATTATTTTATTTAATAATTTAATATAATTTATAATATTTAAAAAATAAATATATAAATAATAATTAATTAAGTTTTATTAAAAGATATATTTAATTAAGTAAATACGATTTTTATAAGTAGAGATTACTAAGAAATAATAAGTGAAACTTATATAAAGAGATATTTCACCATGTAGACCCTTTTGCAACATTTAGCAGCCGTGTGTAGTGCACTATGTAGAAGCAACGCGGCGGCTCAACTATAAATGTTGCAGTGCGACCCAGTCCCACGGAGACGGTAAAGAGACTTGCAACTTTCGGGGCTTGGCAGAGCAATGCCCCTGGTAACCTGCCAAGAAAGTCACCTCGACGAGTCTGCAGGAAGACCCCCTCGGCTTGTCTCGGCGCTGCAAGTCCGAGGGCTTGGAGGGCCTCTTTACGCACCTAACAACGTGCTTCTAGGCACGTGGCTAATGTCTCGGACCATGGGATCCAGCCGCCTGGGTTCCAAGGTTACTAATCCCCAGGAACGGACCGGACGCGCTCGACAAACTCGCAGTTGGCGGCCCGAGACCTGAGACAAGGAAACCCTCGACCGGCCACGGACAAACAGACAAGCCCGTCACATTGGTAATTATTCTGAATTCCTTCGCCGTTGAGGTTTGGTGGCCAGTCTACATCGGCCGAAACTGCGGAACCAGACAACGGTCCAGGCCGCAAGTCCATCGCGAACTCTTTTACTATACCGGTACCACCGCCAAACCCTTGAAAAACTCGTGTAATGTTATATAAGCGTCCTTGCGGCTTGCCTACTTTGGTGAATCGTCCTACAGGAACTTGTTCTATAAACCCTCTATTTCGTAGGATTCTACTCCATAGGAATTTAAGAGGTTATCATGTAAGAGGACTACCTATTATTAGAGCTTCATCCTCATGAGGTGTTCCCTCAATAGGCTATCCCATGTGAATTTATCTTCTGGGACATTGTCTTACAGGAAGTCAGAACATACCCTATGATAAGCGGCGGCGTAGGTGGATATCCGAGCAGAGCTCGTTGACCATGCACGGGTGCAAAATAGAAGTCCTCCGCGGACTTCAAATGAGGGATATAAACCCACCATCTCGATCCAATGACGAGAGGTCAGGCCCACCCAGAGATCCCCTCCTTTGGCGATCACACGGTGCGCACTGTGCATGGGTCCTGTCTCGTGCATGGATGCTGCGTGCTACCGAGCTGGAAAAGGTAAAGGTACCGGCGGACACGCCAGTAGCGGTACTTGACTGTGTTCCATTTTCAGAATCGAGCGGGTTTGGTGGGGGGGGGGGGCGCCTGCAAAGACCAGGCTGGTGTGGATGGACTGACGAGTAAAGGACGCGGTCTGGTGAGCATCACCGCCACACCACCGAAATCACCACCCAAGCCTAGCACGGCGGATTAACATACAGACTCACCGGCGCTGCCTCAGTATATGGGTGTTGGCAAGATGAACTCCAGATATGTGACGTACATTGTTAAATGACAAGCGCTTACTTGGCAATAAATTGCCTAGTTCCAGCAGTTGGTCATTGCTGACTTGATGGTGCTCCCTCTGACGAAAGCCTCAACGTACAAGCATGGAGTTGACTGGTCAGAAATTACTCCAGTGAACAGCACTGACCCGATTTACGCGTGATGGGGCTCGGTTCGTATTCCACTTGAAATTGTACCGTAGCGATGACCGACTGTGGCATGCAGCCAAATTGATACCAACAGGTAATGCACGGGAAGACGCCAGGCCAGGAGTCCCACAAATATTGGGCACGAGATTTACTTACACCTGCATTCCCACTGCTCACCTTGACAAAAATGTGACTGTCTCACAAAATGTTCGTATGCTGTCATCATACCACTGGGCAGACTTTGAAGCTGGACGCCGGATGGCCACATGGAGGAGGCCCAACGACGTTACGCCTCTACATCCAGATGATCGTGTATGAAGTTCCCCAGTTGTAGGCTTATGGCGCTCGTTTTACTGTTATTGATCGCTTTCTGCGTCCAGAGAAGCCTTTGGTCGGGTAGCCGATCCCCACGGGCCTACAAGGGAGCATGTTTTGTCGTTCCACCCGTTTGCATGGGCTGCGAGAATCCAGCGAAATTAAGCCAGACTGACCCGGCTCCCACAACGCATTGACAGGGTCAGGGACACATAGCTCGGTTAGGGAGTTCTTTGTGAGGTACCTACCGGTAAGTACGAAGGCACAGGCTGTCACTTATGGGGTGCCGATAGCCATTTTCTCCCTCGAGTGTCCAAGTCCCGGGACAGAACTCAGACAACGGCCGGTTTCAATGAGCCAACGACGGCATCTCATATTCTCGACACGACGGAGAAGTCCTGAATAAGATCTGATAAGCCTGTTCAGGGTCATTCTGGTCGCCAAAACATTCCTGCGGCTCCTACCAAAGTGGCCGCCGCCGCTACCCCCTTGCTGGGCTACATGTTGAGCAGCCGCCTACGAGTCGACCACGCTTAGAGCGGGACCTGAATGTTGACCAAGGAATGCTCATGGGTTCCGCGTGGCATGACAACGTGTCCAAACCACCCAGGAAAACGGACAGGTCGTGGGGCGAACGTCTTGAGATGGAAACTCAACAATCGCGGGGGCGTTGAAAGCTCGTGGCGAGCCGGTCGCCATCCTTTAAAAAGGCCTGCAAAGTTGAGATTTGCTAAACCAAAATCCCCAGCACCACTGGATGGCATGCGTTTCACCAGGACATCGTGGACAGCGAGAGACGGAAGGCGTGACTACAGTCGTGCATTGTGGCTAGGAGACCTTGAGCGACGGGGAGGAGCCAAGTCGAGTCTATACCTCACTCATTTTCGTGCCGCTCGCGAAACCTACTTAGCAAGGCCATCAGCGGGCTTTTGTGCAATTGTCGCCGGCATGCTGTGTTTCCCGAGGGTTGCTGTCGGGTGGTTCCTGCCAGCACTGGCGGATTCGGTTGATTAACAGGTCGAGCGCACTCAGCGATGTGGCACAGAACTCGGCCCTCTCATAATTCGGAGTTCGGACGGGGTAACCATACCAGAATGCTGACGAGGTCGACGATAGAAGGACGTCAAGCCAGGATCGGGTGGACGGGCTGAGAGAGGACGAGGTGCCAGAAGCATGACTGGCAGGCGCTCGGGCCATGGGTGGGTCTTTGCGCAAGGAACCCCTACACCCTACTGGCACACAGGCCAGGCTCAGGCCAGGCTCAGCCAGGCTCAGGCCCAGCCCGGTCAGTGATCTTTGTTCTGCATGCACTTCCTAGGTGGACGTCGCCTCAGCCTCATGATTCAACAGCTGGGCCATGTCAATGCCAGCACTTCCACAAAGGCTCAAGTACTCGTCCTCAACCTCGCCGTGGCACACTACAATCCATCCTCTCCCCCCCGAGTTGTGGGGTTGCTCCAACTGCCATTTGCCATTGGATGGGCAAGCGGAGGCCCCCCCCGTACCTAGTGCGGCGACTTGAGCACCTGCCTGGGTGCGCAACAGGCCTGCTGCCCATTGCCCATTGCCGCAGACGCCCCTAGGGCTGGCTAGCCGTGTGAGAGGCCAGAGGCGAGAGGCGACACATCGAGCTCCCGCAACGCCGCGACGCAGAACCTCCGCGCATCAGAGCCTCATCCCAACCCTCATGGCCCATTGGGTGGACGGTTCGATCTAACTTGATGCCGCCTCCCGCTCCCTCTCTCCCTTCCCATCACCACATACCCACCTCCCCATGGCTTATCTGACCGGCGCGGCGGGCGCCCTCATGCCACAGCCTCACGCCGCCCCCGAGCCCTTCTACAGCCAGGCTGTCTTCCGTGCGCTCGACGATGACCCCTCCAGGACCTCCAGGACCTCCAGGACCGCGACGCCGGCTGCCACTGCCTTCAAACCACCTGCGCCCCTCTCCGAGCCGGCGACCGCAACTGCCACCGCAGCTGCACCTGCACCACCTGCATCCCGCAACGGTGACAGCCACTCGTCCACATCCTCCTGGGCCCGCCCCAATGGCGCCCGCATGTCGCCCATCAACCCTTCTGAGGTCGAGATGGCCCAAGGGCTCATCCAGATGAGGTCAGGCCTTGTGCCCACCACCCTGACTCCTCCGACCCGCTATGCGCCGGCACATGCGCCTGCACGCCCACCGCCCTATGAGACCCAAGGCGTCAACGGCCACAAGCCTCACCTTCCAGCAGGCCACGACGAGATCCGTCTGCTCCACCCACCGTCACCTTTGCCCTTGCCATCATCAGTCGCGGCCCCAGCCCCAGCCCCAGCGCCCGCCCCAGCGCCTGCACTTGATGACCACCCGACCGTATCAACGTCATCAGATGAACTTGCTGGCCGGCATTCTGACGACTTCTCATTCGGTGACAAGAGCGACACCACCATCACCGACCCTCAAGTAGACCGTCCTGAGGAACTCTCTGGTTTGCCGCCACCGGCCGGCCCTGCCTTCACCCCAGGCTACGAGCCCTCTCACGAAACGTTTTCAGCGGCCCCGGCACGTCCAGCAACCACGAACGGCCCAGGTCCACATGGCTTTGGCGACACTCACGTGGGAGGGCCCACCTTGAGTCCTCCAATGTTGCAGGCACCCACTGCGCCACCAGAGCTCGCCAGGCCGGGCACCCAGCCGCCAGGGAGCAGGCCGTATGATCCATCGGCGCCCATTCTATCATCTTCAATACCACCCGTGCATACTGGACGCTGCCGCTGTCGAGCCGTGCCTCAAGCCTTCTTGTCGGCGCTGGATCGCGGGGATTCCTCTGATGTCGAGGCCTTGGCGAAGCTATATGGCGCGTGCCGGGACGACCTGTGTGCTTTGCACCTGAATTGTTATGCGCAACTCATCACCAGCGCCCTTGAGGCAGCACGTTCGGTGAGCCCCATGGCTTTCACGCCCCAGCCGACCATCGAGAGGACGCCGCAGATGGGCCAGCCCTTCTTCAGCTTCGAGGAGACCGGTTCCGGCACCAGGTGGACAGCCGTACCCCGGAGGAGACGTGCGACGTCGGTCCCGGGCATCGAGGAGGTTGAGCTTGACTTGCCTCCAAAGAGGCGGCGGTTGGAAACGGAGGGGAATATCCCAATGTCTAAGGCCCAATCACCTCCAGCACATGCTGAGTTCTGGAGCAAGCCACAGGCGCATTCCAGCGACTGTCGGCCTCAGCCCGACGTTGCGTACAATGAGGAATTTAGGCACAAGGTTCTTATGGAGTTGGAACACGAATTCACCGACCTCAAGGAGGACGACTGGTCTCGTGGTGAGACGACCAATAGATACATCCACGCCATACTTTCAAGATGCAAGCACCCAAATACGGACGTCCGGAACGGTCCCATCGATGCCGGCTTCCTCAATTCACAAGAAGCTTCTACAATCTTGGAAAGGGGGGCGGAACGGCTTCCCATCATCACCACAGGTCAGCAACAGTTCAAATGGACCGGCAGCGAACGCCCAATAGCACAAATCTTCAAGCGCATGGAAGATCTGAGCAGACAGGTCTCTGTGCAAATACCTTCTCACAATTTTGACCTGCCGTCGTACGAGACGAAGAGTTTAAACGCGATCCGGGAGCGCTTCCTCCGGGGCCAAGTGTCGCGAGACCCGTGGAATATTCTGGATCTTCGAAGCCCCCTTCCACCTTCGATCTTGCCGTCTTTCCTTACTGGTGAGAATTGCCAGTTGCTCCCCCGAATCCGCGATGCCCTGTTGGAGGGCCACTGCGCCGAGAGGATCAAGGCAAGCCGTGAGGAATGGAACGAGTGGACCGAGCTGCTCGAGTGGGTACTGATGTCAGAGGGCGGCCACAATACAGCTCCACACATGGACAGCCACGGCTGGTCGACGTGGATCACGATTCAGGAGGGCAACTTTGGTTTCGGCTGGCTCGCGAGACCAACCGACGAGGAACAGGAGGACTGGATGAACGCCCCGTTGAGCTACACGGGGGGCAACTGGCGGTTTGTGATCCTCAAGCCGGGCCAGACAGTCTTCTTCCCATCCGGAACCGTGCACTTTGTCTTCAGATTACATGCAGAACAGACCCTCGCGCTGGGCGGCCACCTCCTGCAGTGGACGGCGCTGGAACGTTGGGTGCAGATCATCCTCTGGCAGCTAAAGAACCCGAACATCACAAACGAGGACTTGGGGACGGCGCCACTGAAATACATCCGCAGCGCGAGGAGGCTTGTAGAGCACCGCATGGCTAACTGGCGTGTAACGACCATGGGCGGCATGCCCACGGTCACTCGGTTCCTGGCGCTTGCAACAGTAAGTCTTCTGACCCCTCTTCTAAGCACGCGTTCCTTTATGGATATCAACCTGTGCGGATGATTTCGCTAACCAGGCCGGCTGTAGGAGGTGGAGAGGTGGTACCACCAGAAGAAGAAAAAGAAGCGGGCTAGGTAGCGTGGGCAGCAGGACCGGACTGCTCACACGGCGTCGATGATACATTACCACAGGCCTCATTGGCCGCAGCACTTTCAATTCTCCCTCGGGGCTGTTTCAGTCAACATTTCAAAGACGAAAAGAGGGAGGTAGATCCAAAAAGGCATTATTTGATTTTCTAGTATGGCGTTTGAGTGGTACGGTCTCATGGCCGCTCTCGTTTCTGACCACTGGGCCGCCCCAACGCGTTCCACCTCTCTACTAGCATGTGAGATATTGTGGACGGATGAACTGGGGATTGTCTGTCAGGATAGAAGAGAGGATGGCAAGGACACGACTGTCGTGTCTCAAACGGGTCGGGTCGGAAGAGAGGGCTATTTGGTTTCTGTTTCCCTTTTGCTTGATGCTCGGTTCCCTCACCATACTCACATCATCCATACATACAATGTGCTAGTGACGGCGAGTCACACCCCCCACCTCCACACCCACACATCATCATGACCATGAGCATCCTCACCTAGATGGGTGGCTGGCTTGTCGATTTCCCTTTGAGATTTTCAAACTGGGTGGTGCCTGCAAGACGCAGGGTGGGCCAAGCGGGTGAAGGTCGGCCTGTCGCGAGTTTCGGTACCGAGGGGCCACACACATTATGGGAATCACGGCATCGGGAGGCGTGCTTTAATGTCTAGCTATCACCCGCACTCAGTGGAAATGAAACGCGGCTCTGTCTTCATCCTTTTCTTTTTCTTTTCTCATCTCGGTTGACACGGACAATCGGTAATTGGGGCAGTGGCGCCTGCCAGCGTCACGAAAACCACAAGTAACAAGAGCTCCGTGTGGAGGTCAAGGTGTTTCACGAACGGAAGCTCGCGTTGGTATGCAACATCATTGGCCCCCAAGGTAAGAAACGCCGCAATGTGATGTGCTTCTCAGTCGGTATGACACCAAGTCTATCAAATTCACGCGCCGGCCAATGTTGAACGCCTGAGACCCCCGCTCACCCCGAATGAGGGGGCGCTTTATTTTGTGTCTGGGTTGATGCAGTGGTGACTGATTCAAAAAGAAAAACCCTTTCCATCGTCCAAAAAAAAAAGAAAGAAAAAAAAAAGGGAACCGACAAAACGCCGCCCCCAGAGCAAAATCACCCGACTCAGTCGCCGTTGACACCGTTGCCCCTGCCGGTCTCGGCAACCGCCTTCTCCAGCGCGTTGATGACATCGGCCCTCAGGTCCTCGGCGTCCTCGACACCGCAGCTGAGGCGAACCAGGTCGTCGAAGACACCCACGGCCTCACGCTGGTCCTTGGGGATGCCTGCGTGGGTCATGCTGGAGGGCACCTCGCACAGGCTCTCGACGCCGCCCAGCGACTCCGCCAGGGTGAAGACGCGGGTGAGCTGGCAGAAGCGCTCTGCGGCGGCGTGGCCGCCCCGGATGCGGAAGCTCAGCATGCCGCCGCCCATGCCGTCACGGTGCTGCTTCTTGGCGATGGCGCGGTGTGGGTGGGAGTCGAGGCCGGGGTAGTTGACAGCGATGACGTGCGGGTGGGCCTCGAGGGCGGCGGCAACGGCGGTGGCGTTCTTGGTGGCCTCCCGGGCGCGCAGGTGCAGGGTCTTCATGCCGCGGTGGGCCAGCCAGCAGTCAAAGGCAGAGGGGACGGCGCCGATGGCGTTCTGCAGGAAGGACAGGCGGGTGCGCAGGTCGTCGCTGTTGAAGGCGGCGACGCCCATGACGACGTCGGAGTGGCCGTTGATGTACTTTGTGACGCTGTGGACGACGATGTCGGCGCCGTGGTCGAGGGGGTTCTGGACGTAGGGGCTCATGAAGGTGTTGTCGACGACGACCATGATGCCGTGGGCGTGGGCGGCGGTGGCGACCTTGCGGATGTCGACGAGGCGCAGGGTGGGGTTGGAGGGGCTCTCGATCCAGACCAGCTTGGTGGCGTCGGTGATGTGCTCGCTGATGTCGACCTCGATGGCCGGGGTGAAGGTGACCTTGACGCCGTGGGCCTTGGCGACCTGGGTGAAGTAGCGGTGGGTGCCGCCGTAGACGTCCGAGACGGAGATGACGTGGGAGCCGGCGGCCAAGCTCTGCAGGATGTTGGCGGTGGCGGCGCTGCCGGAGGAGTAGGCGAGGGCGTACTTGGCGTGCTCGACGGCGGCGACGGCGGTCTCGAGGTTGGTCCGGTTAGGATTGCTGCTCCGGCTGTACTCGTACTCGCCGACGGGCTTGCCGACGGCGTTCTGGGCAAAGGTGGTGGAGAGGGAGATGGACTCGATGACGGCGCCGGTGGCAGGGTCATGGGGAGACCCAGCGTGGACGGCGAGGGTGCCGAAGCCCTGGACCGGCGAGGGGGCACGGGGCGGGGTCTCTATTGGCTGGTCGTGGGCATCGCCGGTGCCGTTGGCGCGGCCGTTGAGGACGGGGACGGTCATGACTGCGGCGGTGCGGTGGGGGCAGGGGCGGGACTGCTGAGCGAGGCCGGGGCGTAGAAACTCGAGGGGACGAGACGGAAGACGACGGTTGCTGGGAGCAGAGTCAGGAGGGGGGGGGGGGGATGAGGCGCAAGGGAGGAGGTGTTTGTTGTAGAATCACATACTTGAGTACACAGATCATACACACGGTGCGTGTGTACAGATATATATATAGTTAAAAATAAATATATATATATATACCTAGGTACCTAGATACTTGGGCATATACCAGTGCATATGGCCGGCGGTATCGACTGACCAGCGGCAGAGAGTCACGAAAAACACGGCGGTGATGACGAGAGAGAATCCGCTAGGGGCGATGGCGCAATCAAGACAAAAAGGACACACTGACTAATTGGGCGCGCTGTTAGCAGGCCTTTCTGGCAGTTTCGCCTGCTGACAGATGGGAATGCGGGACGAGCGGGTGGTGGTGGTGGTCTCAATCTCTTAATCTGGACAAGACGGCAGGAATTGAATTGCGCCCTTGTGCTGTCACAGCAGCTCACCACCGGAATTGCCCTGCGTGGGCGGTGAAATCTTTTCCACGTCACGGACATCACAAGACCTAACCTACATGGAGCAGGTGGTAGGTACCTGGGTAGGTACTTGAGCAGTTGGGCAATGGCCGAGGCCGATGTAAGCCGCTCGAGAGCCGCTCGAGAGTGGAGCAGATATGGCATGCAGCATGCAGCAGGTGCTAGCCAGGGGCACAGGGCGTAGGCACGAACTGGCAGACTGGCTGACTGCTGCCTCTGCACCCCGACACCCGAGCAACCGAGTCAACCAGACAGCCAGATCGTACGAGTCTTCCAAGCCTGTCGTCGTTGGGTTACCTAATCGACACTCTTCAAGACGGCGGCCGTCGTGCCACCCACCCTGCCACCCACCATCTCACTTCTCCATTCTCCACAGCGCACATGGCCTGCGGAGCCGGCAGCACTGGAATCGTCCCGACTTCCGACTCGTCCCTACCTAGGGTCGTCCCTAGGGTACTATGTACATAGTGTAGTACACTTCCAGAGAGCGGGTCCTGCGCATGGGCCATGCCATGCATGTTTCCGATGCTCGCAAACACATCACTGTCGTTGGCATAGTCCTGCCACCACGCACTGTCAGATCTCAGCCACACCTCGGCTCGACAGCACGTAGGAACGCCTGGGCCATTCTGGCTGTTTCGCCTGATACGGCTTCCGCGAGGCTGATGTGGCCGAGTATCACCACACCGAAACCCCCCCAGGTGGTATGCACCACCAGGACAAGCCATCTCGGCCCCGTGCCGAGCTCGTCGGTCCGGCGCGAGGCTGCAGATGCCGCACTGCCGCAGGGCGCTAGATCCTGGCCTGCACCAACAGTACAAGTAAGCTTTCTGGAGATCCAGATCTGCGCTGTTGCCTCTGGGGCGAATCAACGCGGGCCGGAGACACGAGGCCGTGCACGTAGCTGGGCGGCCAGGCGACTGGAGACCAATTGACCAGGTGCCCTGGTGCCCCGTGTGAAACCTGCCAGATCCAACCTCCCCTGGCAGCTTCATCCCGTTCGTCCACTGTGGATATCTGCGACGGCATGTCATCGGACGCATGCACCAGGACGATTCAGACCCATCGGCTGCCTGTGTCTCAGCCAGGTTCCCAGCACACTACTGTGTAGCCAAGCACCGCCATCTGAAGGCTGTCTGGAATCGAGATATCGAGTACGCCCGCCCGGTAGGCGCAGCCGTGGCAGTGTGCAACCTTAGTTTGTTATGGGATTTCATGACCAGCCCAGCTTCTTCCGGCCTGCGCTGCAGTCAACGGGTCCGGGAACACCGACTATCTTCCGGATCGACCACAGCCCGAGCATGAGCCAATCGGGCCCTTCCAGCAGCCCGAATCATAACAGCCCCTTGTCGCCCGCGCCCCCCCCCCCTGAGTCCCGCAATTCACGTCCATGGTTGCTTGTCTGCCACCCTCCAGCACTCGATAATAACAAGGCAAGCATATGACATCCCAGCAAGAGACACACGCTCGAACCGCCCCCCCCCAGCCGGTGCGCCTGACGAGATCCAGGCCAAGCAGAACAGATCTAGTCGATCTATCTCCGCGCCCACGACTCCACCGCCCCAAATCTTAATACCAACCCTCGCCTCGAACTTGGACTGCCGAGCGTAGACACCTTCTCTTCCCGACCTTCTCCTCCATCGAGACATTGCTCCGGGCCTGCTGTCATCTCTCTCTGGCCCAAACCCACCCAGACTGGGTGGCACTTACGAGCACGGACCCGACCACACCGGCCCGATCCCCCTTCCGCGTCTCGAGAAGCCTGTCACAAGCTACAGCGGCCTCGCGATGAGCCTGCTGCCTCGGTAGCAAGGACCCGGATAGCCCTTGGCCAAGACCTTGCCTGCTCCCAGAGACGTGAACGGACAGCATAACCTCCTCCTGAGACGTCCCGATGCCTCCAAGAAGGTCCCATAAAAAGAGTCGAGCCGGCTGTCGCCGATGCAAGGCGCGAAAGATAAAGGTCCAGCTCCCACGCCCCTTATTTGCTCCCTGCGCCCTTGCCGACCCCGCGTCCGTCCCCTTTTACTGGCCTTTCCACGTACCTGTGCAATATTCTCGCGGCTGACAGGACCTGTTGCAGTGCGATGAGGTTCACCCACGCTGTGGCAACTGCGTCAAGCATGGCGTGCCCTGCGACTTCGAGAACCCCGACGTCGCCCAGGAGCTCCACGCCCTCCTGGCCGGTTCCACGACCTCCCCCGGCTCGAGCGGCCAGGCTGCTTCGATAGACGACCTCCTCTCGGAGACCTCAATGTCTCGCCCGGCAGGCTTTGTTCCTGCCACTCCACACTCCTCCGCCTTCTCTGTCCCGTTGTACCGCCAACCACCCCAACCGCTGCCCGGGTCACAACCCATCGGCCGCCTGACCGAGCTCCGCCTGATGCACCAGTACACAAACCACACCTACAAGACGCTCGCCATCACCTCTCCGGAGCTCGCACAGATGTGGGGCGTCGCCATCCCGAACCTCGCCTTTTCTGGGTCTACGCACTTGGTCGATGCCATTCTGGCCGTGTCAGCGCTGCACATGAGGAGCCTCTGCCCGAACGACACCGAACTGGTCCGCGCCGGCCACGCATACATGGCGTCGTGCCTGAACAACTATAGTAACAGCTTAAAGAACGGTATCAACGCTGACAATGCCGCGACGCTGTTCCTCACCTCCACACTCATCGCCTTCCAAAGCACCGCGACGCGCATATTCACCAAGGACGAGTCCCCGTTCGCCCTGATGAACGGGGGAGGCTACGAAGGAAGGGATATTGGGGCATCTGGAAGCGTGTATCAGCCACCTCTGACTTGGTTTCACTCCTTTCAGGGCGTCAAGACGGTCGTGGCGGCTTCATGGGCATGGCTGAAGCAGAACGACATCATACTCGCAATCATCGACTCCCAACCGGTGCTAAACTTGAATTTTAGCCGAGCGACAGAGGGTTTTTTTGGCCACTTGCTTGACGATCTGGACGAGGAAATCGCGGCGCTCGGCCCTTCTGCACCGGTGACCCCGGCGCAGGATCCGAACTGTATCAGTGAGCCCATGGACCTCGCGACGAGCACTCGGCAGGCATACCAACACGCAGTGGCGACCTTGAACTGGGCACATAGCAAGCCGGGCAAGGGGGCGCTCGCGTTCCCGGCAACCGTCTCGAAACGGTTTGTCGAGCTCGTTGAGGAGAGGCGACCGCGTGCTCTCGCGATCCTGGCATCCTTCTTTGCCCTGCTGAAAGTACTCGACAACATCTGGTGGCTGCAGGGAATGTCCAGGAGGGAGGTTCTGGGGATCGTATCGCTTTTCAACTCTGACTATTTCGGACCGGACATCGAGCGCAAGTGGTGGCCGCATCTCGAGTGGGCGGTCCGCCTGGCGCTTTACGACACGGGCAGCAGTGGCCACACCCACATACCTATCGACATGTGGGGTCCGGGCTGGGCTGAGGAGCAGCCGAGCGAGCTCACATTCACGAGCCACATCGAGATGCTGAGCGAGCTGGTCAATCCAAGCTCGCCCATCCCCGCGCCGCCGAGCGACACGTGAGCTGACACCTCCCTCCCCTGCCACCTCGAACGCTCCTTGAATTCGTGCTTCACGTTGAAGATAGAGGTCAATTGACGCGTGCTCTTGTGTTTCCTAAAGGTCCAGGCTCAGGGGGTGCGAGCCGTCTACATGGAACTCGAGCCTTCCGGCCCTGCCTTCTGATTCGCCAATGCATGCTTTTGCAGCTTATGCACGGGGATGATGATGGTGCTAATTCGAGGTGTTCCTCATCAGAAGTAGGCGAGCCGCTTTCCCGCCAAAGGAGCACACACCAAGACAGAGCGACCGACCCGGCCCCGACACTCCCGGGACGACGAGGAGGAAGCTTGACCAGATCTACCGTCCCGGGACTGGTTATATTGCCAGCGAGGCAAGCGACTCTGGCTGAGCGAGGACTCTCCTGAATTCACAATCGGCCACGATACCGCAAGCAAAGCGGGCCCACCAAGAAAGACGCTCCGCGGCTGAAGAGGTGAGCGGCGAGGTGGCCACTCAGCCAGGCCGGCCCCTCCCCTGTCCTTTTCTCCTTCCAGGAGAGAGGACAAAGGACAACAGCCGAGGCTTTAAAAGGCCACGAGACTTGAGCATGAGCAGGGGCTGCGTCGCGTGATTATGCCCCGGATCGCGAGCGCGAGCGGCTTAGACCGCTATGGTTCATGATGACGGTTTCCTGACTAGCTACCTGCCTAGGTAGTCTAGAATGAGGTACATGCAAGCGAGGCGGCCTTGTTGAAGTGATGACTCCAGCTGCCAGGCGGGAACGACAAGCACAATTTTACAAGGCAATCTGTTGCTAGAAGCCACATTCACCGTTGTTCAGGCCTTCAGTGAGCGGCCACGGCAGGGGCGGGTGAACCCCCAGTATACATAGTGTATATCACGTATTATAGAATCGGCGGGCCTGGGCATCATCAACGAGTCCCAGGCCGGAAGCCAGGTGTGAGTGTACTCTCCGGCCAAAATGGACCTGTAACAGTGCCGTGAGTGAAACCGCCAACGCCATACACCATCGATGCAAAACTGTCCGCACGCGGAAGCGACCTTGTTCCTGCCGTGAAGCTCGCTCACTTCCTCCGCTTGCTGGGCACTTCGTCTTCCACCGGGCTATCGCTTTCGTCGTCCTCCGCCGGCTCGTCACCACGGCTTCTCTTCAGGCCCTTCATCTTCCTCGTCTGCAGGGCACTCAAGTCCACCTTGCCCATGTGGACGCGGCCGAGCTTGTCGCCCATCGAGTCGACCGTGACGTTCTTCTTTGTCTTCTCCTCGCCCTTTTTGGTGCGCCGCATGGCCTCCTTGAGCATGGCCTCCTCCGGCTCCCTCATGCGGCCCACGCGGAAGTCCATTCGGGGGCCCATCTCCTCTACCTGTATTTTGGGAAAAGGGCATGTCAGTATCTATGTGTGCCGGAGGGACGGATAACATGCGCAACAGAGAAGAAGAGGGGGGGAAAAAGAAAGGACAATGAAAATGCTCACCTCAACTCGCGGTAGGCGCTGCCCGCTCCGCTTCGTCTGGATAAGGTACGAACGCAGGTGTATCGCAGGCTTGCTAACGGACCCATCACCCAGGGCGGTGTTGGTGGTGGCCTCGGCCTCGTCGGCGGAGACAACGACGACGTACTGCAGGCCCTCGACGTCGACCTTGTCGGAGCCAGGACCCCTTTCACCGGCGAAGAAGTCGGTGAGCATGCTCTTGGCCATGGTGAACTCGTCCGGGACGGTGCTCTCGAAGGCAGGGCCCGCGAAGACGAGCATGGGCCTCAGGCCGACGGCAGGCTTCTTGCCGCGGAACTGGGCGAGCCGGCGGAAGGAGTCGGCGTCGAGCCCGAGCTCCAGCATGTCGAGGACGCGGTGGCCAAACGTGCGCACGAGGGTCAGGCAGTGGGGCCGCTTCTTGGAGGAGCTGCCGAACACCAGCAGGGAGGCGTCGTTCTTCTCGGAGAAGAACTCGAGCGAGGTCGCGTCCTCGAAGGGGTGGACGGGGTTCTTCTTGGTGAACTTCTTGGCCAGGGGCTGACGAAGCGAGTACAGGTCCGCGAGGGCATCCTGCGTCACCTGCGAGCACGTGGTGCCGCGCAGGAACAGGCACGTCTTGGGGTTCTCCTTCTCCTTGGGGGCGCGCTTTTCGAGGGCGCGCTTGGAGCGGGCGTTACGGGGTTTTCTGGGAGGCGATTATTTGTTAGGGGCGTGTCTTTGGATTTCCAAGAATTCTGATATTATCTGTACTCACATTTGTCGCAGCATACTTGCGATTAGCCGTTGCAGATTGGATGTTTGCGAATTAATCGTAGCTGATGTCAACTGGGAGTCGAAGGGCGGGCGGTTGTCTCGCAATTTTTTGGCGGGACTGGGCTTATCGATTAGATTAGATGTAGGCGCACTACTCAGTACTCAGTACACAGTAGAGGGTGTACCCTTAATTCTCGTCGCAGAGCGACTTCTAAGAGGTTAGGAAAGTATCCCCTGAGTAAGAATCAGATCTATATAGATTAACAAAGAAATACTAGTAAATATAGTAGAGTTTTTTATAGTATTATATCTAGAAAATATAAGTAACTATTTAAAATATAGAAGGAGGATATTTAGTTAGTAGGAAGAGAGTTATATTAGAATAGGTTAGAAGTACCTGTACAATAAAGATTAGGGGAACACCCTGTACCTACCTGGGTACCTAGGTAGGTATTTAGGTACCTAGGCACCTAGGCACCTAGGTAGGTACTTAAGTAGTCTAAATGCTCGACTGACCATGCCAGTCTCAGACCACGCAAAGCAGTCTCAGACGTCTCGGGCTGGACGAGCAGCCAGGTGACTGCAGCTGTCTGGTGTCTACCTATACGTGCTGCATGTCCTCTCGCGTACCATCGAAACGCGGCGATGGGCTGACGGCCATGTGGACGGTTTCGCTTTCGGCACACTCTCAGCAAGTGTGTAGTAGCATACTGTAGCAATAATCTTGTCTTGTCGATAGCGGGGCGGCACAGGGCAGGGCAGGGCAGGACAAGAAAGACTCAGGTCGCACTCGAGGCCAATGACATGTTAGGGAAAAGTGCCGAAGAGACCCACAAGTTAAGCGCGTGCAGGGGAGGGTCGGCATACCCAGAGGGTAGGTATCGAGGGTCGGGGCCGGTTCAGTGCACTGTGGGACTGTGGTCCTGTCCAGGCATGTTTGTGGTGGTCCGTATTCCCAGGGCCGCTCAATCTCGACGTGGGCAAGATCCAAGAGTGCTCTGCAGGTCCGCCGTGCCCCCAGTACTCCGTACATAGCTCGGTAGCTGCTGAGTAGGTACCTAGGTAGCCACTGCAGGTAGGGTGGTCCAACGGTACAGGGCTCGCGTGGGGAAAGGAGCAATCTTGATCACGGTCAGGGGCCCCCTGAAGCGCATAATTGGGTGGTGCAACGTCAAATCAGCCAGAGGTCCAGAGGGCATTGAGCAACCGGCCAGACGCCAATGAAAATCGCCAGTGGGAACGCGCCCCCTTTTTCCGAGCACACTACGGCCTGGCAGCCTGGACCACCGAGAGAAACCGCCGGCGGGCTTGTGTGCATGGTCCTCCGGGTCCTCTCCTCCCTCACTTGTGCCCTTCACATGTGCCCTTCACATGTTGCCTCCACATGTGCCCTCGACCAAGGCCAAGGCATAGCCGAGATCAGGAGCAGAGCCTCGCCCGCCTGGGCGGGCATCAGCAACACAATCCCATTGTCCGCCGGGCTGGAGAGAGAGCTTATGCCATGTTGTATGCCTTCCGCATCCAGCATGCCATGCTATGCAATAGCAGCTATCAATGCAACACGTATATTGGCCCGGATCGGGAGATGCTTCTGGCCAAGCGCTGTGTGTGCAGCCCGCCTGCCCGCCTGCCCCGTTGGGCTGGCTGCGTGCTCACCCACGGTGGCACCCCTGCCCCCGGCCCGCGCTCTTGCTTGCAAGTTGCACCTGCCTGTAGAGCCAATTTACCGTGTTCACGCCCTCAGGCTCTGTCTGCTCCTCTCTAGCAACTCAATCCCAGCTCGCTTCCTGGCCCTCGAACCAGACTTTCTTGTCTGTCTGTCTCTCTCAATTTCTTTCTTTCTCTCTCTCTCTCTCTCTGCCTCCGTCCCTCCGTCCCTCCCAACTTGGCCCTGTGGTGCTTGCCCATGCAACCACGTCCACTCGCTTTCCACCAATTGCCAACCTGCTCGGGTCTGACCGCGACACCAAAACATAACTCGGGACAAACCCATCCATCTATCTCGTCCAAACTCTACACGCACACTAGTCGGACCCGGGATCGACACTTTGAACCACTTACTCACACCCCGGCCCGTCCAGCCCGTCCAGCCCGTCCAGCCCGCCAGCTCCTCCTTTTTCTTTGTTTGGGAACCAAGAATTGCGCACCTCGTGCTTCCTTGGTCTCTGCCGAGTCTATTTCCCTGAGACTGTAACACCAGAAATTTGCCCCAACTCTCTCACACCTGCGTGGCCCTTGACTGCTGCTCCCGTCCCCGTGCCCCCCCCCCCCCGTGCCCTCCTGGAAGCGTGCCCGCTGCGACGTGCAACAATTCACACGCCAGCCTCACTCAACCTGCTTCCCGCCCACGGCACCGGATTTCGCGGCCACACCAACATTCTCGAGCAGACCGGAGCCGCTCCTATCCCGCCCTTCACACTCCCCACCCCACACGCCCATGACATAGGCACGACCAGCTTCGGCCGGGGAACTGCAGAGAGCCTTCCGAGGCAGGGCCTGCCCGTCGTGGGCCTTTTACCCTCTCTCGACCGTGGCCCCGCCGTTTGCATGCAACAGTGTTTCTGGGGGACCGCCCTACCGCCCCAGAGGCTGTCGAGATGGCCGCCACTACAGGATCGCGACCTGGCTCGACCGGCTCCGCGCCTGCTCACCACCCATCACTGCCCGCCTCGCCAACCCTTACCAACCCGGACATGATCCTGCCCGATTACCCTGACTACGACCGCTCCCCCTCGCCTGTTCGCCTCGACTCGAATCGCCCTCAGTCGCCATTGACCATGTGGAGGAACGCCCAGGCCGCCGGTGCGCCAAACGACCACAACATCAACAACATGCTGTACAACCAGGCCACCCACCACTTTGCCGGCTTTGCTTCTGCTGCCCCCGCAACCCCCATCATCTACGGGAACGGGACAATGCTCTCGGATATCGGCGAGGTCACCGAGGCCGAGAGCACCCCCGGCAAGCCCTCACCTCCTCGGCACGTCCCAGTCCGGGTCTCACCCCACGGCACCATGGACAGAGACAGCGAGAGCGACGCTGCCCTGCGGTCTTCCCCGACCATGGGCCAGGGCGGAAGTCTTTCTGCGATCAAGAAGAAGGCAAAGGAGCAGGCCGCCGCTCAGCGGGACCGGCGCTCCTCAACCGGCTCCGATAGTACCGTTACCGACCACCACGACCAGGCCAACCTATTCGCAGACTTTAGTGACGCCATCAGTGTGGGGGGCGACAGCGTCTTCCAGGGCGACGACGAGGAGAGCATGGCCAGTTCCTACGTCGACGATTCGGACGTCAATGGCGCGTCAGATGTGCATGGTGTCGTACCCGTGAGCCTCTCTTATGAGAGCAGGCAAAAGTACTCCACCGCCCAGCTTAGCAGGAGGGCTGAGCACATTCTCGCTAATGCGAAGAGGAGATTGACGGTGAGTTGAGCGCGAAGATAAGCCCCAGGCCAGCAGACTCACAGGCCCTAACTCGCATTTTCAAGACTATGGAGGACAATCTCACAAGGGCCCGGTCTTCACTGGCCGTTGCTACCTACTCATCCGGCTCCAATGGCTCAACTCCTTCTCCGCCAATAGCACGCGCAACGTCCGCACTCTACATGTCGACAATGTCCTCGTCGTCGCCCTCGTCGCCTGCCTTCTCCGGCCACAGCCGGAAGAGCAGTGACCATTCCCTGCGGATCGGCCTGCCTATCAAGGTCTATCCGCAGAGGTCATCGAGCATCATCGGACTCCCCACTAGTGCTAGGCAGCCGCTCACCGTTTCTAAGAGTGCGGACCAGCTGAATGGCCAGTACAAAAGGGCGTCGTATATAGTACGCGAGGCACAGGTCCCACTCGAGCCCCTGAGCGAAGACGAGGCATCACAGTTATCGAGCCGGGCTCACCCCGACGCAACTTACAGACACTCGTCGATCACGAGTCCGACTTTTGGCGGTGGTGCTGAGCGGGGTCTCGCACGGTCTGCGTCGGTGACGCAGATGAGGGACATCAAGGACCAGGTCAACGACCTCAAGGGCAAGATATCCAGCCTGCGGGAGCAGGCTCGGGCTGACAGCCTCAAGAGGAGGAGCATGCAGAGCCTACGCACGCCCAGCCCCTTCACGTACTCACGGGTTGGCCAATGGTCCGGCGTGTCAGACTCGACAACGGGCTCTGATACCAAATCGGACGCCGACCCCGACAAGCCGGGCCATTTGAGTGACGAGACGGCAAGTATCGGAAAGGACAGTGCCGTCAACATCGGCGATCTTGGTGACGGCGACGGAGGAAGTATTTACAGCGTGGAGGATATTCAACACCTGGGCCATGCCCAAGTCGAACAATTAGACCGCGACAGCGAGGCGGCGCTCCGGGCCGAAGGCTTCGTGCACGTGGACGACGACGACGACGACAACGACGACAACGACGACGACATGTTTACCGAGAACGGCGACATAGACGAGGACGAGCTGGAAGAGGTTTTTGATAGCGTCAGCGAGGGCGGGGACTCGCTTTATCACGAGGCCGTGCAGCACCAGGTTTCACACGAGGACCGAGAGGACGCCTTCGATTACGAGCATTTATTTCTCCATAGTGCCATGGGGACGATCAGCCAGCGCATGGCCCGCCGAAACAGCAACGCCAGCTACACTTCGGAATCGTCGATCGAGACTACCAGAGGTCCCATCATCGAGAACAAGCAGAGGAGGCCGCAGCATTCCAGGCGGGGCAGCGAGGCATCAGTATCAAGTGTTGAGTCTTTTGCGACTGCGGAAGAGGCTTTGTCGAGCAGGCAGAGCATGGATAGTAGCAGGAATGCTGACGCTTTGGGCGACTTGCCAGAGGAGAGCAGCACTCCCAGCACTCCCAGCACTCCTTCTACGGAAACAATGGACAGTCCGCAGACGGCAAAGCGCGCTACATTTACTGGGATCACCTCGTCCTACTATGGGATTTCCGGGCGGCCGAGTCCGGAAGGCCAGACACGGCGGGAGGTGATGTACTCCACCATCCGTCGGCCGGTGAGTTCAAATGCGGCGACAAAGACGCACCGGCCGTCCACGTCCTCGTTCGACTCTACCGGCACGACACGGAGCTTCCCATTGGTCAACAGGTCTAGCAAGACGTTCAGCACGGGAATGCTCACCCCCGAGGGTGGGTCCCCGGACCAGGCTGTGAGGTCGATTACAACCTCTCTCATGAGCGACACGACGGCCGCCTGCCGGGAGATGCAGAACGGCGAGACCACCGATAAAAGCCCCCCCGCTTACGGAGGGCACAAGCACAGCATCAGCATGCAGAGCATCAGCAGCACAGCAAGCCTCATGCAGGAGAACGGCACGACGGCCGTGATCGAAACCCTGCCCCGGGACGACCAGTTCCTGGTGGAGCGGACGGTGGCGAGCCTGGGCCGCTGCGTCCTCGGCCTGACGGACAGCGGCCGGGCTGGCGTAGAGGGCAGGATGTACAGGAGGAGGATTGATGCCGCGAGGAGGATCCTCGAGGGGATAGATGAGTCGTGAAAGATCTCCCATCGCCTCGGGACGAGGCTACTACGTGACCATACGGCTCAGCGCCTTTGCTTTTGTTCAGACCCCTCCCTGACGGTTTGTATGATAAGGAACCAGCGATGATTTAAGGCGTGATGGTTCTCATTCACATCATCCTGACCGTCTTGCCCAAGGCGTCATACATGCCTCTCTCTTTTTCTTTCTTCTTTGTGTGAGCGAGGCCTCTTTCTTTCTTTCTCTACGTGCTTGTTTCTATACACTGCTGCTTCTAGGTCCAGGAGGACGGGCTGGCGAGGATGGGCTTGGGCTGGGACTGCAAAACGAGAGACAGGCGGCCAAGGGAATGAGGACGGAAACGGCCGCTTGTTTCTGGCTTACTGAGGCCTACTGCACCTGTGGACAGCCCGCATGGGCTTGCACGGGATTTGATACCCCTCTATTCTATTCTATTCTTTTCTTTTTCTTCTTCTTCTTCTTCTTCTTCTTCTTCTTCTTCTTCTTCTTCTTCTTCTTCTTCTTCTTCTTCTTCTACCACTACCTGTTCTTTGAACACACCAGGCGGAGAGAGGCTCCTGTATTTACATGTGGGCTTGATCGAGGGGCTGGTGTCATGACGACTAGGTGGTGATGTAAATGGCTTTCTAGACAGGGGATGATAAAAAGTAATGTATTATGAATTATTGTAACCCTCGAGGCATGCGTGCCTTCGCGCGCCTTTGCTTGCTCGTCAGCTGGAACAGCATGGCTGCCGACAGGGGAGACGGCATTGTGGTGCAGGCTCTTGAGCAGTGGGACAAAAGGCCATGTGAATCAATCCTGTCCCGTGGATGGATCAAGCAGGGATCAGCAGCGAGAAAGCCACGGCACAATGCTCTGCGGGCCCGTGCGCGGTTCCCTGCCGGACGCGAACCCCTGCCGGTGCGGTTCGAGCGGGCAATTGAGAGAGCCCAGGCAGGCCTTGGACCCTCTGGACCCTCTTGACCCTGTTGGTCGCGCCCCACGCCGCGCCACCAGCACAGCGCATCACCTCCAGCACAACATGCTGGCATCTTGCTTTTGCAGGGCTGACCGGAATTGACATCTTTCTTTCACCTGGCCTGCCTTCCGTTCGCGTCATACTCGCCTTCCAGATCCGGTGCTTCTGCTGTGCATTATTCGCAAAGGAGACGGCAGCCATGGACGGTGCCGACAATCTTCAAGACACTCTCTGGGAAAACCTGAACTTTGCCCGCGAAGGTATGTGGCTCCTCCTGGGAATGCCACCATAGCTCCTCGGCCAGACCAAGCACCCTACCTACATACACCCACCCATCATTCGTATGCACACACCATAGCTTCAACCTCGCTGACCACTCCGCCCCTGCAGCCCTGTTCTCCCAGCAGACCCGCACCCTCATGAACCAGCACGTCCTCAACCCATCCTCGCCCCTACAGACCCTGCGCCGCCAGTTCGCGGACTTGCTGTCAACCCTATACAACGAGATCATGGCGCCCTTGCTGCGGCCGGTCCTGGACCGTCTCGCAGAAGCCCTCAACGACTCGCCCGACGTCGTCATCCTGGCATTCGTCGTCGTCGTCTTCCTGCTGGCGCTGCAGGTGCTGCTGTGGGTACGGCGCGTCGTCGCGTGGTTCACCACCCTGGTGTTGCGCCTCATCTTCTGGTCCTGCGCCGCCGTCGCCGTCGCCGTCGTCTGGCAGCGCGGCCCCGACAAGGCCGCCCAGGACCTCGCTGCGTTCGTCGACGTCGTGACTGGCTACGGCAGCCTGCTGTACGAATACACGCGGGACGTCTGGCTCAGCGAGTATAAGCGCTACGAGGCGCAGCAGAACGGCGGGGCCGCGGCTGGTCAGGGCTGGCCCTGAAATCGGGCGGCTCGCGGTGGGCTTGTACGGGCGAGACTATATCTGCGCGGTGTCGAGTTGGACGGAGAGGGGGGTCTCATGTCGAGGATCTACGCGGTTCTGGGGCGACGCGCCACCTATATAAGGTGCGCGTTTGGCGCCGGGCAGGCACCTCTCGTTGACATTATTGTGCTGTACCCACGAGTGCACGATAGGGATACAACGATGACATGAGCAGGCAGGTCATGGGCACCGGCCGGGACTCGGCGGTTCACCTTTGACGCACTTGAGGATAGCAGCGTTGTGTTTATGGAGAGAAAAAAAAAGGAATAGCATTCATGATGATCTGAGATACCACAACTCCAGCGCTATGCAAGCAATTAAACTTCAAGATGACCACATGAGGCATACCCGTGTCGTGATCCGCACACACAAAAGTCTCGCCGTTGATGTCGCCAGCCAGGGTGGTTCAGGACGCCTGAGCCGGGGCGCTACTGCTCGGGCTCGTCTTCAAACTCGTCGTCCTTCAGCTCCTTTGGCTCCTGCGCCTCGTGGTACTGTATGACGTCGTCGATGAAGCTCAGGATGGCGCCGACGCTTTCTTCGTCTGACGAGTCGAGCTTGAGGTAGTTGACCATGCTGAAGCTGTCGATCAGGTTGGCAACGGCCCGGTTCAGCCGTTTGAAGCTGGTGCCGCGCATGACAGCGCCCCTATCGGCCGGGTCGGCATCTTGGTCCTGGCCATCATGCTCGTCGGCATCCTGGCCGTCCTCTGCCGCCCGACCACCGATGGTGTTGCGGCGGACCTGCTCGGCTGGGTCGTCGTCCAGTAGGGTGGCGTCCGGGGTGAGGAACCTCTTGATGTCGCGCTTGCGCACCTGGCCCTTGACCAGGTCCATCTTGGACAGGATGTTGAGGTGGGGGATCTCAAGCAGGATCATGGCGCTCATGGCGCTGAGGGTGCCCGAGAAGAACTTTGCGCGGTCGACGACGAAGGTGGCCTCGAGCAGGTATGCGGCGCACAGGCGGATGTCGAGGGCGCCGGGCTGGCTGAGGAAGCGCACGAGGGCGGGCAGGATGGGGATGTGGGTGTACAGCTCGATCTGGCCGGGCATGTCGATGATGATGAGGTATTCCTCGGTCAGCCCGTCGAGGGCCTCGGTCAGGAAGTCGAGGTTCTCCATGAGGAACTCGAAGCAATAGACCAGGCCGCCGTTGGGGCCAAGGCCCATCTCCTCCATGACGTCCTCCAGCGAGATCAGATCCTTGATGTCCAGGTCGGGCTGGTGGTCGAAGGACTCGGCGGCCGGGTCGAGATTGACGTAGAAGCAGGAGCGGCGGTTGAGCTGGAGATGTGTTATGAGGGCCGAGCAGAACGTGGACTGGGGCGCCCTCTCCTGTCAGCCGTTGTGCCTCGACGGGCGATGTTGGTGCAAGGGGGGAGGGTGGGCTGGACGCCGCTGCGAGGCTCGACGCACCTTGCCCGCCCCTGCTGGGCCCATGACCATGACGCCGTATTTACTCATTGTTGCTGCAAAATGGGAGAAAATGGGAAATGGGACCTCGAGATTGCCCAGTCTTTGTCTGTTGATGAGGGGATGAGGGGATGAGGAGGCGCCGTTGCGATCGATCAGGCAGTCGGGATGGGAGCAACATGCATGCACTCCCTCCTGCACCCAGAATTTTTGTCGTCTCCCACCCATGCTCCGTACTGACGGGGATTGCCCCTCCTCCGGTGGTTCCTTATCTTATCAGTCCCCGGGGCACCGACACGCAGATCTTTCTCCCGCCCGCCTGACTCTGCGATTCCCTACGCAGATTCCCTGAGTAGCATAAACCCGACAGACAGCCACCTGGAAGCGCCAATTGGGCCCAATGGCAATGAGAAGGGGTTCCCCCCTCGGCTTGAGGTTGGGAGACGAGGCCTGAAATACAACACCTCATGCCATCAACCAGCCCTCGGTGGTACACCGGACAGCGATGGATGCTCGCCCGGGGCTTGTTGCGGTCAGGCACCCGGTCCTCACTCGGGCAGGTCAGTCAGTGTCAGCACATGTGCGTCATGACAGCTTATCATTGGCACTGGGGCAAGGGGCTCGCCTCCGCCCGTCGTCAGGGACTATGTGTCCTCTGCGAACTTCCCGAGTAGCCCGAGTCGTGGGTTGCGGCAGAGCCGTGAGTAGCTGCCAGAGGGCCCAGGAAGCCTGTTGAGCCGCGGGTAGACGGTACTGCATATCTCGGCAGGTGACACTGCCCCCAAAGGTAGCCGCGACCTGTTGCTGCCGGGGCGGTGGGAGAAACCCAATGCCCTTCCCCTCCCTCGGGCGGTTGATATAAGGTCCTGGCTGCAGGGGTGCTCTCGGCGGTTTAGAGCGGTCACTATTAGCAAACTTTAATTTAGTCACTACACCTACTATATTCCCTTTTTAATATTTAACTACTTAACTTTTTAAGTATAAATACTACTTTACTATTTAATTACTTTATTTATATTATAATAATAAATAATAATAAATAATAATAAATAATAATAAATAATAATAAATAATAATAAATAATAATAAATAATAATAAATAATAATAAATAATAATAAATAATAATAAATAATAATAAATAATAATAAATAATAATAAATAATAATAAATAATAATAAATAATAATAAATAATAATAAATAATAATAAATAATAATAATTTTATTTTTAAAAGAATATTTTATTTTTAATATTTTATTTTAATATTTTATTTTTAATATTTTATTTTTAATATTTTATTTTTAATATTTTATTTTAATATTTTATTTTAATATTTTATTTTTAATATTTTATTTTAGTATTTTATTTTTAATATTTTATTTTTATTTTTATTTTATTTTATATATATTTAAAATTATAAATTTAAATAATAAAATAAAATTACTTTATTTAATTATATTTTAATTTATTAAATTAAATAAATTTTTAAATAATTATAAATTTTTAAAATAATAATAACTTTATATTTATTTATTTTTAATAATTTATTTAATATTAAAGTTATAAATTAAATATTTATAAAATTAATTAATAAATTTATATATTTTATATATTTTATTAATTTAAATAATTATTATATTTTTATAATATTAAATTATAATTTTATTATTTTTAATATTATTATTTAAATAACTTTAATTTTAAAATAATTTTTTAAATAATTTAAATTTTCTTTTATTATAAATTATAAAAATAATTTTATTTAAATTATATAATAACTTTATTTAAATTATAAACTATTTATATTTTTAATTTTATTATTAAATTAAAAATAAATAATTAAAGTTTTAAAAAATAAAATATAATATATCTTTTAAAAATTAATTTAATTAAATTTATTATATATAAATTTTATAATAACTTTATAATTATTTATAATATTATTTATTATTAAAAATATTTTTATATTAATATTATTAACTTTAATATAAATTAATTTATTAAAAGTTAAAATTATTATAAATTATAAGTTATTTAATTTTAATATTATTAAATATTATATATAAAGTTATTATATAATTTAAATAAATATAAATTAATTAAAATAAGTAAAAATAAAGCTATTATTCCTTTAAAGAAGATATATAAAGTTTAACTTTATTTTATAAATAAATATTTATTTAATAAATTTAAGAGACTATTAACTTTATAAGTAAAACTATTTAAAAGTAGTTATTTAATTTATTAAATTAAGAGATAACCTTTAAATAAAGTAATTATACTTTATTATTTAAGTTTATAATTCTAATAACTTATAAATAAATAAAAATAACTATTAATAATTAAATTTATAATTATATAAAAATAAACCTTTATTTTAAAGAGAAGTTATTAATATTTAAGATAATTAATATATTTTTAAAAAGTTAAGAAATTATAAATTTAATTTAAAGGAAATTAAAATTTATAAAATTTTATATTTAAACTTAAAGACTCCTTTAAATTTAACTCTTAAAAAGAAAAATAGTAAAAAGTTTTAAAAAAGCTTAAATAAAGTTAAATAAAATTATAATAATATAATATAATTAAATAAAAAATAATTATAAAATTATAATTATAAATCTTTTAATTTTATATTTAAAAAGTTTATTTAAATTATATAATAATTTTATATATAATATTTAATAATATTAAATTAATTTATAATTTATAATAATTTTAATTTTTAATAAATATAATTTAATATATAAAAATATAAAAATTATAAAAGTTTTATATAATAAATTTAATTAAATTATTTTAAAATATATTATATTATATATTTAAATTATAATAAATATAATAATTATTATTAATTATATATTTAAATTATTAAATTTAAAATTATATTAATTAATTTATATAATTAATTATTTAATAATATATAAATATTATATTATTATTAAAACTTTATTTATTTATTTTAATTTAATAATAAAATTAAAATAATTTAAATATATTTATATTTCAATATTTATATATATTAAAATAAAAAGTATTATTAAATTTTTCATAATAAATTTATAAAAATATTAATTAAAAATAAATAATAAATAAAAATAAAACTTTTTATTTATAAATTTATAAGTATTTTATATTATTAATTATTATTTAAGAAGAACTTTTATATTTAATAAAACTATTTATTTAATAAGATTACTAGTTTTTATAACGGTAGGTAGTTAATTATAGTATAGACCTAGTATTTGCAGGGGTTTATGAATAGTGACTGCTATGAACCACCCTAGGTACTGGCCTAGTCGTGCGTCCTGCCCTCCCAAAAAGTTTCGGGCCCCGACTGTCGGCTCCTTCTTCTGACGAGCAAACCTGGGCTGCAGGTTTATCCAACACACCAACTCAATAAAGTCTCCTCTATTCCCCAGGGCTTTGCTTCCAGCCTTTCCTCCTCCTACTCCCCCCAGACTTCCTCCCTCCCTCCACCCACTCGCCCAGATTGCCTAGAGGTAAGACACACACCATCCAACACCGTCCAGCACGCAATCTTTTAGCCTCATCTTAGCTGTCTCATCCAATTGCTCGAGCGAGAGTCAACCCCGTTCTGCCCGCCCTAGCCCATTAACCCCCTCTACCCCCGCCGTCTCGGCGCAGTTGAAAACTCGTCCTCAACATATAACCCCGTCCCCATCACCGCCCTTCTCCAACCTCAGACTCGAAAGACTATATCCCGCAAGCGACCGTACACGAGACTAACCGGCACCCAGTAGACCTTTTCCTCCCTCCCTCCCTCCCTCCTTCCTTTATCATTACACATCCACAATGGCTGCCAACGGAGTCAACGGCCACGCCAGCCCACAGGGCACCTTCATGTTCACCTCCGAGTCTGTCGGTGAGGGTCATCCCGACAAGATCGCTGATCAGGTCTCCGATGCCATCCTGGATGCCTGCCTGGCCCAGGACCCTCTGTCCAAGGTCGCCTGTGAGACTGCCACCAAGACCGGCATGATCATGGTCTTTGGTGAGATCACCACCAAGGCGAACCTCGACTACCAGAAGGTTGTCCGCAATGCCATCAAGGACATTGGCTACGACGACTCCGCAAAGGGCTTCGACTACAAGACCCTCAACCTTCTGGTCGCCATTGAGCAGCAGTCCCCTGATATCGCCCAAGGTCTGCACTACGAGAAGGCCCTCGAGGAGCTTGGTGCTGGTGACCAGGGTATCATGTTCGGCTACGCCACCGACGAGACCCCCGAGCTGCACCCCCTCAGCCATCTGCTCGCTCACAAGCTGAACTCTGCCCTGTCCACCGCCCGCCGGGACGGCACCCTGCCCTGGCTGCGACCAGACACCAAGACACAGGTCACCGTTGAGTACCAACACGACAACGGGGCCGTCATCCCCAGGAGGGTCGACACTGTTGTCATCTCCACACAGCACGCCGAGGACATCACAACCGAGCAGCTCCGCAAGGAGATCATGGAGAAGATCGTCAAGAAGGTCATCCCAGCCAACCTTCTTGACGACAAGACCGTCTACCACGTAAGCCCCTACCCGGCGACCGCTTTCCCTGGTGACCTGACTGCTAACAGCCCCACAGATTCAGCCATCTGGTCTCTTCATCATTGGCGGTCCCCAGGGTGACGCCGGCCTGACTGGCCGCAAGATCATCGTCGACACCTACGGTGGCTGGGGCGCCCACGGTGGTGGTGCCTTCTCCGGCAAGGACTTCTCCAAGGTCGACCGTTCGGCCGCCTACCTCGCCCGCTGGGTTGCCAAGTCCCTGGTGGCCGCCGGCCTCGCCCGCCGGGCCCTGGTTCAGCTGTCGTACGCCATCGGTGTCGCCGAGCCCCTGTCCGTTTTTGTCGACACGTACGGCACCTCCAACAAGACCTCTGATGAGCTCGTCGAGATCATCCGCAACAACTTTGACATGCGCCCGGGTGTCATTGTCAAGGAGCTCGACCTCGCAAGGCCCATCTACCTGCAGACGGCCAAGAACGGGCATTTTGGAACCAACCAGGACTTCAACTGGGAGAAGCCCAAGGTTCTCAAGTTCTAGACTCTCTAAGGTTACAGGTCCGGTATCCTACACATAAAGTCGTTTATTCTAATCACAATTCGGGATCGATAACTGGCGTACGGTTTTCAACAACAACATGGAATATGGGTAGCTAAAAAGCGCGTGGGGCGGAAGGCGTCTTTCAACACAAGGCATGCAAGATACCCATTCAACGGGGCATTTAGGTCGGAGTTTTGCTAGATCCGCTCAACGAAGTGGCAAATGAATAAGATCCAGTTTTTGATCAGTACTCTGTGTTCCTGTGCGACGTGAAAGCAATATTGCTCATATGGCTTGGTGGGCTCCAAAAAGCGCCTTCACGTCATGGTGGTGACTACAAGCTAAATGAAGTTGCCATTAACGAGGCCGCCGGTGTTGAAGCCTCAGGTTTGGGGTTTGGGGCATGGGTCAGAGGTCCATCTGCTACAATGGGCTGCATGCCTAGGCACTTGAGAGTAATTGTGTAAGTGTGCTGCACGAACAGCAGCACTGCACTACCAACAACCCTAGTTGGCAGCTAGGACTTGATTAAGCAGTACGTACTTCCATGGTCTTTCCCGAATGAACAGTAAGCAGTCAACGGAACTGGCCTGGAGGGGGTGAAACAACAAGCAGGCCCCCTTGGACGCTGCCACAAAGGGACAACAATAGGAAGGAGGGCATGTTTCCCCCTCCCTAACAATCCCAGGGTGGGTAAAACTCATGTCCATTTCCAGCCCCGGCCCAGCAGGAATTGTTCTGATTGTCTCTGGGGGCGCCTCCCCTGCAGTCTGGCATTGTCATGGGATGATTGGTCCTGCGTCCTCATGTTACCAACCGCAAACCCAAACCCATCTGTGCTGTGGCGCTTCATCAGGACCACCACAATGTCTTGAGGGGGCCGTGCTAACTATTGTGCTTGAGAATTGGACCTTTTTGCAGGTATCACTTGTCCTCTTCCTGCCACATGCCCAGAATAAAAGCCTCCTGCTTGCCCCCCGCTGCCAGTTGGCCCCTCTACTTTTCTGATGCTCTTCTGTCCGTGCCTGAAGCATCCCTAGCCCATCCATCCGTTGCTCGTAACAAGCGTGCGGCAGTGAGCACGCTGAAGACTCCCGGGCTAGACCCCTGCTTGCTAACAGTCATTGGTTGCGAAGCATGGCTCAACCACCAAGTCCAGCCTCAGCCTCTCTTGACCCATTGACCGGTCTGCCAAAGGCAGCATCGCCAGGCCCTCCTTCTCCCCCTCCAGCATACTGTCCACCAGCACGGCACCGCGAGACGGCGCAGTGTGTTGCGGGAAATGCCGCCCGGCCCATCAGCGCTGGCCGGTTCGTCATGAACAACGCAGACTGCGACAACAGTCGCGAGTACTCGAACCTCGACGACGCACACGAGGACCAAGAAGACGGCAGCCCGATCGAGCTGCGGATTTCGACGACGGTCCAGGTCGAGGGCGACAACAACGCCATCCTGCTGACGGCCTCGCCTGCAGCGCACGCCAAGGTCATTGCTGAGGCCGTCAACGCCACGGTCCGTCACGCCGGCGGCATGAACGGGGGGATACCGATGATCGACGAGGAAGGTAGGCCGCGGCCATTCAGGATTTCCGTCTCGGCGGGTGTAAATGTTGAGGGCAGCGGGAACGTGCTCGGCAGCGCGGACCACATCATGCAGTTCCTGAGCGGGAAGCGCAAGCGGGGCGACGGCGGCGAGGGTCGGGGCGCAGATGAGGAGGCGGTCGTTGACGAGGCAGGCGAGGCAGGCGAGGCAGGCGAGGCAGGCGATGGTGTTGCCCGTGCTCGGCCGAGACGCCTGCGCAGGTCCAGTTTCTAATCACGGGTAATCACGGGTGGGTGGTGTTTGAATAGCAGTTGCGAAGCCTGAAGGTGGAAGGGCTCTTGTACCGGGGTGGGTGTGTGCTGCTGGGTGAGACGAGACCCACCGGCCTCGTCTCGACGAAATTAACACCAGCCGGCTGAGCCCCTGGAATCACTCAGAACACCCAGCAATGGAATGCATCCAGCAGCTAGCATCCAGCAGCCAGCAGCCAGCTGTCGTCGTCATCACAACCCTCCTCAGTAGATCTGTCTCATCAAGCCCGGCCAGGAAAAAGCAGGGGCTGGTGACGAGGCGTAGACCCAACACAGACAGGGCTTGGCTGCCGAGGACCGAGTTCATGACCGCCTCTCAGCAGCAGCCATGGCCTCTCTGAAAGCCCCAAAGTCCGCAGGCCGCACCAGTCGCTCCCGCTCTCCCTCCCCCCCTCCCAGCTCCAGACCCGACATGGCGCCGCTTACGATCCGCAACGTCACGGCCAATGTGCTCGAGCTCGTGCTCACCGAGCGCTTCGAGCGGGCCCCCGCGCATGGCGGCGGCTTCTCCCGCATCACCGCGCTCTTCACCACCAGCCCCGCCACGTCGCCGGCCCTGTTCGCGCCCGGCGACGGCCAGGAGCCAAGCGAGCGCGTCGAGGTCGCAGGCGCCGCCGTGGGCGCCTTCGAGACGCTGGTCACGGAGATCCGGGCCCCGGAGCCCGGCAGGTCGGTCCTGCGCCTGACCTTCCGTGCCGCGGGTGCGGGTGCGGGTGCGGCGCATAGATATGTCGTGGATTGCCCCAGCCCCGGGCCCCGGACCGTGGTGATGACCAGGGTGGGGGACGGCGACGATGTGACGACGCCGCCGCTGGAGCTGACGGCGGTGTACACGGCGGCGGCGCACCACCTGTCGGTGCTCAGCTCGGCCAGCCTGTCGCGGTGGATGCGGGAGCTCGGCGACGGGTGGCCGCTGTCGGCGCTGTCCATCCCGGGGACGCACAACAGCCCGACGTGCCACGTGGCGCTGCCGTCGGTGCGGTGCCAGGCGGTGGGCGTGCGTGAGCAGCTCGACAACGGGGTGCGCTTCCTCGACCTGCGCGTGTCGGCGTCGCGGGGCGACGGCAACGACGCCCTCGCCCTCGTGCACAGCGTGTTCCCCGTCTCGCTCGGCGGCAACAGGTATCTCGCCGGCCTCCTGGATGAGCTCTACGCCTTCCTGGACGACAACCCCTCCGAGGCCCTCATCATCAGCCTCAAGAGGGAGGGCACCGGCCGCGGCACCGACCAGCACCTGTCGCAGCACCTGTTCCGGCGGTACTGCGCCGACGCCGCCGCCCGGCGGTGGTTCACCGAGCCGCGCATCCCCACCCTGGGCGAGGCGAGGGGCAAGATCGTCCTGGTGAGGCGCTTCAACAACGACCCCGCCCTGCAGGCCCAACACGACGGCCGCGGCTGGGGCATCGATGCCTCGGCGTGGCCCGACAACTGCGCCGACGGCACCGTCGCCAGCGGGCTCGTCCGCGTGCAGGACTTCTACGAGGTCGGCAAGAGTGCCGCCATCGACAAGAAGGCCGAGCTGGCCCGGTCGCACCTCGAGAGGGCAGGCCAGCAGGTCTTTGCCGCTGCCGCCGCGCCCGGGGACGGCCCTCCGCCGCCGCCCCTCTTTGTCAACTTTCTCACCGCGAGCAACTTCTTCAACGCCAGCTGCTGGCCCGAGAAGATTGCCGCCAGGGTGAACCCCTCCATCATCGAGTACCTGTGCGTGAGGCACGCCGAGCAGGGCAGAGGCCCCGCGCGGCTGGACGTTGGGCATGGCGGCACAGGCATCGTCGTCACGGACTGGGTTGGCCAGGGCGGGGATTGGGACCTGATAAGATGCATTGTCGCATGGAACGCGAAACTACAGCTCCGCTAGGCGTGGACACGAGCGGTCACGGGTCACATGTCACAGGGGGAAAGCAACAAGTCACGAGGGGTGGTGCTACTGGATGCACATTCAGGGGATATCGTAATATTAATAACGGCTAGTAGACGTAGACGCAGACACTCGGGTCGTGTCTCAAAAAGAGCCTGCTGGGGACGGCATTGTCAGCGAGAATTCATCACAACCCCCACGGTGAGACAAAATCGACGTTGTATGGCCTGCTCAGTTCTCCAAGGTGATAGATAAGGTAAAATATGGTTGCGTCGTCACGTAGAAATCAGTGGCAAAATAGCAAGGTAATCATCAGAAAGGCCGGGGCGGGTCAAATAGGGAGAGTAACTCACCGAAGGAGCAGTCTGGCTGGGAGCATGCGTAAAAGCTTCTTTTTACCTGCCATTGGCAACTCGTCAGCTTGAGGGGTCGCCCCGGTGCGCAAAACTTGTTCGACAAGGGCAAACAGCTGTCAGTCTGCACCGACATCATTGTTAGCTTGCGGCCGTCTTGTTGCTGCCTGCGGGGGACATACCTCATTAAATCAGATTTTGTTTAGTGTTCATCTCCGGCCAGAGGCACGGATCAAACAGTGTGAATAATGTTCATCATGTTGCTGTACAGGAAGTCTGCGGAACAAGTAGGAGAGCCAGTTACCTGCCGTCCTCGTGGTTAGCCAGAAAGCCCGACCGACAAAACTCATGCCGTATTGGCGACAAGGCGCGGTTCGCGATTCGCGATAGCAAGATCAGGTGACGAATTCTCAACAAGGTGACCCGCGCGGACCCGCCTCACAGGGTGTACAGCCCTGTTTTTGACGAGACGGGCCGGCGAGCTCCGATCAGTCCGCCCGTTCGTTCAAATTTCATCATGTTGCTTCAGGCGTGGGAGGGAAGTGGGAAATGTACCTGGTCGGCCATGGTCAGCAACATGTTGCGGCAGGAGAGGGCAGCAGCAAAGAATATGCCAGACATATCCAATCAGACAAGGCTGAAACTTATAAAACATTATGTCCACATTGGTCTTCGGTTCGAGGAATCCCTGAATGTGTTGTATGCATCATGGAAAACGGGAGCAGGGACAAGGAGATGTTGGAACGAACCTTTTGAGTTGTATTAACTGAACGCGACCAGCGACCAGCGCGCAGCGAGGGCAAGACAGTAAGTAACCTGTGTGCAAACACGTCAGCGATCGAGCTCGCAGAAATTGTCGAAGCACGTGTGCTGGGTGTGTTTGCTCAGGGTAATTCTAGAGTAAAGTGTAGTCCCCATGGTGCTAGTAAGAATTGGATTGTTCGATGATTGTTCGTCACAGCAGATGATTCAAGAAGAGAGGGAGGTTTTGTCGTACCTTTCCTGAGTACTACTAAGTCGTGTGGTGGGAAGAATGCAAAGGGAAGAATGGTGGCGCTGTCTGAAGTTTTGCCAGGAGGGTTTTGTTGTAGGAAGTTTGCAAAAATTTTGGGTGGAGAGGTTGGGAAAATCTCACGGCTGAAGGTGGAGCTCAGCACGCAGCAGTCCAAGCGTCTCCGATGTGGCTTGGCCGGTTGGAGAGGGAGCTAACATGTGGGGAGCTGCCACAGCCCGCAATCTCAGCGGTTTCAGACCAGCTGATAAGCTGATAAGCTGATTAGATCGGCAGGGAGATGTGGCGAAGTCCACTTGTAGGATCCCGGGGCGTACCGCAGGGGGAGGGAGGGAGCTTATAAGCCACCGCGGACCAGTGTTTTGCACCTCTCCGCCTCTCCCGGCCGCCCGTCCCCCCTTCCAACATTGTCGGGACTGTCTGTACTGTTTCTCCCCCCCGCGAGAACACAGGGCACAGTCAAATCACCAACATGTCTCCAGCCGGAGGAGTGCTGGCCCCCGTGGTCATGCGCGCCCTCCGCAGCGCCGTTGTCAACACGGCCAAGATGACAAAGGTCATACAGCGCAAGTTGGCTGGCGCGACCCAGCCGCTCAGCAAAGAAGTCCAACATGTCACCGTCCGATCCACCGGCCGACAGCCCATCCACCCTACGGCCTTCCTGCGGCAGTCGAAGCGTGGAGTACGATGGTCCTCGTCCACCACGTACGGCCGCCTCAACGCCAATGTCCGCCGCTTCATCACCACCGCAGCCAAAGAGCTGAGCGCCGCCCCGAGGGCCGACCGCTCTGCCTTCAACAACACAGTTGTTGGGCGGGCATTCTCGCAGTTTACCGGACGAGCGCCCTTCGCACATACTTTGCGGCCGAACCTCACCGGTGGTGCGATGCCCAGGACCGCAGGCGGCTACGCCATGCCAGGCTCGGGTCGCATCGGAGGCCAGCGATACTTTAGCCACGGGCCTACATCTCAGGCACAGGTATTCCAGAACGTGTCACAAGCAATGCGTGCCTTCTGGCTCTCGGGCCAGAGGGCTCGTTTCGACGGACACAGCCCCAACGGCGACAAGAGATACAAGCCAGTCACCGCCTTGCAGGAATCCGCAGGCAGGAGGGTGGCCAGCATGCCGCGCATCTTGCCCGGCTCGTTTGTCGACTTCCAGATCAGCCCCACGGTCACCGCCCTCAGCCCTCTTGCCGCCGTGACCGCCATGGCGACTTGCCCGGACGCGATGCCCGAGGCTGGCCCTGCGACCCTGAACGCCGAGGGTTTCTTTGATGTCCTCTCGACCGACTTTGCGCGACAGCTCAAGGACCTCACGGCTGTAATGAGCGATCTCAGGCGTCTCGCGACGTTGGGTGACCTGCCCATCACGCTAGAGAAGAACAGCACTCTGCGTGTGAGGTTTCCAGGCCTCGATGCCGACACCGTTGAACGACTGTGTGATGATACCGGGGTCCAGCGAGGAGTCATCAAGCAAGACCCCGACTTTGATGTCAGCTATGGCAGCCCGATGGCACTACGGTTCCCGTACGCGCCTGACACCCACGAGGAGACGCTCACCTCACCTGGTGGCTCGGCGAGGTCGCAACTGTCCGAGTTGTCTTCTCTCGAGGAGGACGAGGCTATGTTTGATGAGTACGTCGACAGGTACATTGATGAGAGCCCGTGGCTGTCGACCCCGGAGCCAGAAATCGATGTCGAGGAGGGATACGAGAGCATGTCTGGCCACGTCTTGAGTTCTACCGAACACGTCTCTGAGGATTTTGAGGGTCTGGAGGGAATCTATCGCTTTTTGGAGGAGTGTGACAACTTGAAGTCCCGAAACAGATTCTAGGGGTTGCTTTTTCTTTTGTTCTGGCGGAACGCAGACGCCTTTCAGCGTAAACAGATTGCATGCACGATACCACACTCTTTGCCACGGTACATTGCCGGGTGGCCCATGCGGCAGCCACGACGCAACAATAAGAATCCCTACTGCTTTGATCTCATGGAGTTGACGTTTACTGGGCGCGGCGCGCATGGGTTCAGTGTGACAAATCGCAGACTACGCCCATCGAAGCAGGAAGCAGACTCCCACCGCTTACAAGCGGGGCTGCTTTTGCTTCATCCGGGCTCATCCACACATTGCATGCTGCTCGTTATCCGCTGCCTTGCTCCTTCACAGGCATACCCTCCTTATCGTGATTGGCTCGTGGTTGGCTCCACTTGCCCGAACGGGCATCTGCAATACGTGCGCCCTTCTCTCTTACATGCATTCTGTGGGCTACTTAAAGGGCCACATGCGCTCTACTCCCCAGTTCAAAAATACCCCGTGTGCCCCCGTATCATACAAACAAGTGCGGATACCAGCAGACGTCCGAAATACTGCTGGCTACAATGATGACTTCCGACAACCAAGAGACGGCCTCAACAGCTCTCCACTACTCGGAGAATCCATCGGCCTTCCCGATGGAAGGGGGCTGCTGCTGTGGCCATGTCCGATATCAATTATTGCAGGCCCCAATGGTCTCCCACAACTGCCACTGCACCTCCTGCCAGCGCGAGACAGGCTCGGCCTTCTCGCCCAACATCATCATTGAAGCCTCGAACATGACGCGCCTGGCACCGGCGGCGCCAACAACGCCCGCCCGCCCCAATGCATCAGGCAGCCTACCCACCGCCGGGCCTGCTCTTTCGGGTGCTCTTAAAAGAGCGGAGACTCAACCCGACGACGACGACCTCCTCCACGTGGTTATCCCGTCCGAGTCCGGGGCCGGGCAGACGATCGTGCGATGCCCTCGATGCCTCGCGGCCGTGTGGAGCGAGTACGTGTTCGGCCCGGCTGTCAGGTTCGTCAAGAGCGGCACCCTGGACCGCCCATGGATGATCGAGCCCGATCTACATATTTATGTGCGCAGCAAGCGGCCGTTCGTGACCATTGCCGACGGGAAGCCCCAATTTCAGGAGTACTACAACCGCGCCGAAGTCTGGCGGCCCGAGGGGCTCGAGCGATGGGTCAAGGTGATGGTGGATGTCCAGAGGCACTGGTCGAATCTCAAAGCGGGCAGCTGAGAGTTGCTGAGAGCGAGTTTGTGCCTGGGCCGCTGTCGACGCTCATCAAACGCAGAGGAGGTCGGGACTTCGTCATGGCCTTCACATGCTTGTGCGTAGCTGATAGCTACCATGATAACAATAGCCATTCTTTCCCTCGTCTATTTCAATAGGAAAGGGAAAAACAAACAGAGAGAAGTTGAGAGAAGGAAACAACCGAAATGGATTCCAATACGTCGCTGCATGGTACCCGTGGGGCTCCTGTGGCTTTGCCTCTGACCTGCCGGTGTCACAAATAGGAGGTTGTTATCCCACCCGGCGTTGTTGCATCCTATATTGTAGAATGAGTGCTCCCCGAGTGCCGCTGGGCGAGTTCACCACGCTCGGGCTGTGGTCACGTAGCATTTGCGTGCATGGGTTTTGTGGGCTCATGTAACAGAAGGCGCAGAGAATGTGAGTGCCATGATCCAATGTTCTCTCCGTCTACCCGGTCTGGGTCCAATCCAAAGACGATGACTGACGGGGCGAGACACCTGGGTACTCCACCAGCTTAACGACAGCCCTGGCACTCTTTGACAAGGCGGGGGGACATCTGGAGCCCCCCGGAATTCGGCCCCCAGGGCCGTCAGTGGGCCTCCCCATGCGAAATGATGCAGATTGGCCAGGCCGCGATGTGCTCAGGGGCCTGGTCAGCTCTTGTCTATCCGCCTCATCGATTTAGGACAGTGGATTCATTGCTCGTCGCTGTAAGCTATTACATTCCGGCTTGAGCAGCCAGCTGAATCGGCCTTGACGTATAGACACCTCGAGACAAGCAACGCCTTCCCCCATGGATGCATCAACGTCAGTACTGTTTGCTATATTACCGTTGACGTTGAACAAGCAGTAGTCTATGCCTCGTACACATGCCATTTTTAATCGAACCCAGATACACTTTTGTCTACAAAAAGCACTCGACTGGCAGAGCATTGAAATCCGCCGCATACAATGGCGCCCTCTCCCATATTGGTAGCAATAACGCAGGCCGCGTTTTTTTTTTCGGGAGCATTTAATATCGCTACTCAGGTGATCGAAATGTATCGACCTGAGGTGAGCCGCAACAGGGATTGATACTTCATGTGCCGCGGTTGCTGAGCAGGACCTCACTTTTGTAACAGTAAGCAGCACGGGGCGTTGAAGTCTTGCTCCTGTTGATGCCGTAAAATAGGAGACGATTCCTATCATCGTTGCTGGATATAAAATCTGGCCTATTGCATCGATCGTGAGCTTCAGCTCCGCGTCCGTGGAGAAGCACATTGTCTCCCTCGGCTTCAGCGGGTTCCTCCGGGGCATCTACATGAGCTTGGTGGCTGCGAAGACATGCGGAAAGAGAACTCGGCAAGGCTCGAGGTTTGACAGTTTGAAGAGCAAATAGCAATCAGTGCCCGTTCAGGTTGCGGATAATCAGGCCTGGTCCCAGGCTCTCGGCTGAACGGGTCCGATGGCATTCTTTTTTGCATCCAGGAGCCCATTTCTGCAGCCATATTCGTCCACTCAAATCATGCCACGCTACCGAAGGCGTCCCAAGCCCAGTGATGCGACTGTTTGAGTGCACGCCATACAAGCAAGAATACGACTGCACCATGAGCTGTGCCGGTTCGGGGTCTCATGCTGACCCTCGCATATCTAGCAATCCAGCGGCCAAGATGGCCAAAACAGCTGGTGAGCGCAGAACGCGATTGGAAAGACAAACCCCATTGCGGATAAGTAGGAATCTGGAGGTGCTAAGGGGTCAAGGAGGCTCGAGGTCCTGAAGTTATCGACCTGATCCTGTTGCCGGGATTGGCACGCATCACGTGGGCACACACGTGACCCGGCCAGCACAACCAAAAAATTCGAAGCGGAGCGAGCTAGTTTGGCCGGCTGGGTTTGGTTGGACTGCGCCAGGCGTCCCACTTCAACCCTTTCTTCACTCACTTTCGAAGACGACCATCGCGGAAATTTCGCTATTCGATACCAGCACCCGATCGGACAGCGAAATCCTGACAATCCAGACCAACCGCAATCATGGCTGACGCTGACTACGTACGTCTCCCCAACGACAGACAACCCAAACGCCCGACCGCTCTGGATGAGCCTGCACACAGGAAGCAGGATGCCAGAAATGATGACGGCGTGATGGCTGACCTTGCTCGCGATGCAGGACCCCGAGGCCGCCGCTGAGCTCAAGAAGAAGAGAACCTTCCGCAAGTTCTCTTACCGTGGAATTGACCTTGACCAGTACGTGGCCAGACCCCCTACCCCCAAATCGATCGATAAAAGACCAGATGCGGATCGGACCAGATGCGTCGCCGCCGCGATATCCGTCACCACGATCTAGAACATGAACCAGAAGCACCAATCAGAACGAAAAGGGATGGGCGGCTAATACAGCGGCTCGAAACACAGACTCCTCGATCTCTCCTCGGACCAGCTCCGCGATGTCGTCCACGCCCGCGCCCGCAGAAGGATCAACCGTGGTCTGAAGCGCAAGCCCATGGGCCTGATCAAGAAGCTCCGCAAGGCGAAGCAGGAGGCCAAGCCCAACGAGAAGCCCGAGGTCGTCAAGACTCACCTGCGTGACATGCTTGTCGTCCCCGAGATGATCGGCAGCGTCATCGGCATCTACTCTGGCAAGGAGTTCAACCAGGTCGAGATCAAGCCCGAGATGGTCGGCCACTACCTGGCTGAGTTCTCTATCTCCTAGTATGTTTTCACGCCTGGCAGCACCGGTCGCCTGTACTTCTTGCTGACAACTTCTCAAGCCGCCCGGTCAAGCACGGTCGTCCCGGTATCGGTGCGACGCACTCTTCTCGTTTCATCCCTCTGAAGTAAAATGGATGTGGTCTTTTGCGGGTGCTTTGCATTGTGTCGAAATGGTCTCGGCGAACGGTCATGGTTTTGCTTGGAACGGGAGGGGCACAACCACTATCTAGCATGATAAGTGATGGAATGAAGCACACAAGCATGTGCACTTGAAACCAACTTCGTGCCCACGATCCGTGAGTGGGGTGAAAGTCGCTACGCGGACCAGGGGACACGTCGCGGGGAGGAAGACCACCCGCGGCTTAGGTCGGTGGTGAGGCAGTCCACCAAGTCGAGGCGATTAAATGCACAAGTCCGAATCCACCGGGGTCCAGAGGCTACTGGACGTGCTGAAAATAGTCGTGCCATGTCATAAAATCCTGCCTTGTTGTCCGTCCGTTTTAGTAGTCAGGACGGCCGGTGCATGAGGTTTCCCATCAATGCTGAGGCGGGCCAGGCCCGGTGTCGATTGTGTTGGCGTGCGGTCGGCCCAATACACCCCTTCCGTCACGGCCATTTTCAGCGTTTGCGGCCCGGAATGACCTTCCTGTGAGTCCATAGTCGCAGGAAGTCCTGTCCTGTCCGAACAGACTGGCGGCATCACTGGGAATTGACTCTCTTTCCTGCTCTTAATCTCCACGTTGACTACCTAGGTAGTATGATACAATGCTCATAGTGCCTTCTTGATACGCCATTCCTTACCCCGTCTTTGCCAGGCCCAGCTTCTTTGCTTTCCTCGCTTCCTCGTCCAGGTGCTGCTTTTGGTAGTGTTCTATGACCTTGTCCAGGTTGGCGTAGTGTCCGGCGGGAACATTGTTGGGGCTGCCGGAGTCGATGAGCCTGTTTGGTGTGTCAGCCACTGTATAGTGGAGTTGAGACTCGATTTGAGCTGCCACATCGGCGCCAGAAAAGGCTTCAGGGAAGGGGGAAATCAGACATACTCTGGCGTCCTCAGCTCGTATCCCTGGTCCTTCTGCGATGTTGAGAAGAGATGCCTGTCTCGGGCCGCCTGTTCCTTGAGGTCGGAGCGGAGCGTGTTCCTATACTCCCAGGTCTTTTGGGACTCAGCTCTGTAGCTGTCGATCCATTTTGCGAGGCTTGACTTCTCGTCCCGGGAAATGGAGTACATGAACATGGAGAGGCCCGCGGCGCCAAGTGCGATGTACAGACCCAGCTGGGACAGGCGTGTTAGCTATTAGCCCACCATAATGACCTCTGGTGTCCCCAACAAGGACTGGGTTTCCCTGGGTAACATACTCCTGGCGACTCCTCTACATGAGGGGCGGGGTGGTGGTGGTCGTGGTGGTCGGAGTGGCCATGGTCGGATGCGTAAGATCGCATGGCTTGCCGTGGAGCGATGGCTGCCGGCCGAGCTGTGCGGGCGGCGCAGGCCGCTCTTTGTCTGACAGCCAGCATTGTGAGGTCTGGTCGATTTTGCGCTGTCAATTGGCTCGTCTTCTCTTGGGGCAAGATGGGTGCCCTCGAGGTGACGATGCAGGGGGAAACCCGAAGCTTCCCTCCCGCGACGCCCATCCGCTGAGTCAGCAGCCCCACAATCCTGGCTGTGGCTGGTCTGTGCTCCGCTCGTCCCTGCCCACTCGAGCTGGCCGCTTTGGTCAGCCGTGTGCCCACTGCCAAGTTGCCTTTTCGAGGGCGTGAATGGGAGGCGATGCGGCATGGGAATCTGTCCTTTCTAAAGCCTTCCATTCTTGTCTTTTGACTCATCTTGTTTTAATTGTAAACGTGGCTACTGAGAGGTGAATATTTTATTCTTTGGGCTCCCCCTTTCCAGTCCTCAACGGGCTCGTCGATTCATTTTCTCACCAACCTCCGTCCATCCATTTATCAGAGACACATCGCATATGGGAGCGACGTCTTGCTCATATCAACACTTTAATTCCCATTCCTGCGCACTATCTCGGTCATCCTAGATGATGAGCACCCATCAGGCGCCATCGGGCGTGTCGCCCGGGCCAGGTTTTGCCCTTTTATTGTTTCTTATTTTCGCTGTCTTGACATTCGGCGCATCGGCTGGCACGAGTTATGGGGGCAGCACAGCAAAAGATGAAGGGAAGAGCGACTTGATTTGTCACACAGACAATCCAGGCGAATGCTATCCTAGAGTGTTTGAGCCAACGAGTGAGTTCCAGGTGGTGCGTGCGGACCAGGAGATACCGCCAGGGCTTCATGTCAGACTAGACATCAACACCGGGAAGCGAGAAGCAAAAACCAACGACCCAAATGAGGCGAACCCGGCGCTCGAGGGTCTGCCAGTCGACTCGTCAGTGGTGGTCATAGACGATCAAGAAGACTCTGAGGCCGGGAACAGCCCACAGATACCAAAGGGCGCGCCCGAGTACGAACCAGTGGGGAAGATCAAGGAGCCTCAGGACGCGAAGCAGTCTTTCCGAGACTCCCTCACAGTCCTCAAAACCCTTGCTTTGGACGACCGACCCATAGGCGCAGCCCTGGACATCTTGGACGATATCTCTCACGACATCTACTACGGCCTGAAGATCGCTGAGGATACCGGTGCGGTCAAGGAGCTTCTCTGTATGATGAGCTCCCAGGGCGTCTTCACAAGGGGCGGGGAAGATGACGTGGTCAGGCAGGCAGGACTGGCGGCCTCGATCGTGGGCTCCGCGCTGCAGAACAACCACAAGGCGCTTCAAGAGGTCGAGAAGGCATGGGACGAGATCAGCGTGACAAAGTGTGCCGGCACAGATCAGGATCTCAGTAGGGCGCTCTTCAACATGCTTACCCCGGGTGTGCCAGCGGGCGAGGCTGTAGCTGGGGCCGAGGCCAGCGTCTTGAGCCTCACGAAGGCCAAGACGGCGGCGCTGAGGGGCTTGATAAAAAGCCCGGTCATCCGGGACGACTTCCTCGCGAACGGCGGCATGGCGCAGATCTTGGAGGTCCTGACCATTGAGAGGCCCGAGCTGGCGCCAGCGAAGCAGAAGCTCGCTAATCTCGTGCTGGACAACTTCCTGGATGAGAGCATGGGTGCCACAGTCGGCGTCTGGCCCCGGCGGGGCCAGGTTGATCATGAATGGGACTACAAGCTGAGGTCACTCGCGAAGCTTCACAAAGCGGACAAGGACCACTGGAGCGCAGAGCTGTGGAAGAGGCTGCAAGAGCAGAGGAAGGCCGAAAGGGCACAAGCTGGGCACTCGCGCAATGAATTGTAGAGCAGCGCTAGCTATAGTCCAGGTTTGGTTTTGATGAGCGAGATACCCAATGAAATACGCCAAAAAAAAAAAAAAAAAAGTGACAAGCACTTGAAGCCTGGGCCAGTGCTGGCTACGCCACTCTACGGCTTAATTGTGTGACAAAACATGTCTTCAAGAGGGGAGATCGCGAGCTGCCTCGTTAGGCCCTGCACCCCGCTGGCGGCAGCATCTCCAAAGGCGTCGGGTGCTGTCTACACCGCGGACGTGTCGAAGCTGCTGTTCTCTGGGACGCCCGACTTGCGTCTCACCTAGATCAGACAGCTGGCCAGTAACGGCTCATAGACGGTCCTGTGAAGACCGCCGAGAGACGTTGAAGATCACGGGACGGCCTCCCGCGCGGCTACCGACAATTACATACCTACATCATGAGATACTCTCTTCCGTACACACGCGGTTCTGGCGGGATCATACAACCACAGTCTGGAGACCTGTGTAGCTCAGTAGCAAGCCTCCCCTCGTACAGGCCAGTCTCCAGCCAGCTGTCGCCGACAGAACGGGTCGTATCCGCATGAGCATGTACACTTGTGAATCGTATACCGTCCTCGGCCGCGGGGGAAACTCACCTGACCGCTACCGAATCACCCGCAAAGTTCCAGCCGTGCTATCCCAAGTGAGCTCCAGGGGCAGCCTCGGGGCGACTGGGGTCAAGGTGTCACGTTCCCGGGGAAATGACCAGAGCAGATCAGACATGCAGCAGATCCGAGCAGGAAAGCAGGTATACGAGCCAAAGATTGAGCTGTTCTGCCGTGTTGCACGAAAAGGGGACCTCTCTGCGGGCCGAATGGGAGGACTTCCCTGAGACAGGCGGCACGGCCGAAACAATCGACGCGGCCGTCTCTCGAGCCGCGAATTGAGCTGATTCGGAAGGTGGAATGGGGAATGGCTCGTGTTCTCCCGAGGAACGAAGACCTATGTGTTGGCCTGTGGCTCACGACGTTGTGCGGTTCCCATTCCGCGGATGGGGCGTGAAATTCAACCGTGGTCGTTGCTTGTCTACATGGGAAGAGTGGCATTTGCTTCTCCCTCCGACCGAAGCACGTCAACCGGCGATCCCCAGTACTGAGACTGGCGGCGCCATGCCGCGACCATTGAAGGTGTGTGGTCCGGTGTCAATAGCTTTGGCGTTGCCGTGCTCGACAGCCGGGACGACTGTTGTACGGACTCGGCCACGCAGCACTTTGCACCTTTGTGTTACGGGCCCGTCGGCTCGAGCGTCGCTTGTATGGTCACATCAGTATGAACAAGTCTTTGGTGACCGGGATTCCACTGGAGTAACGATGTGTTCGATGTCACCCAGTAGCTCCCACTAGCCCGCCGCTGCAGCCCTGGACCCTTCAGAAACGGGGACGTGACGCGGAGATGCCGAGCGTCTGCTCCCTTGGCTCACCAGATCACGCCGGCAAGGGCAGACATGGCCCAGCAACTGATGAGGATGAGAAGCCATGTGGCTGCGCCAGCTGCGCCAGCTTCGCCAGTCTGAATGGAAACCTGCGGCTTGATCGAGTCTGTTCCAGCAAGTTGGCGACGGGTTGCGAGCGCCCCGATCGATCCCAAGGCTCGGGAGGGACCGCCATAACCGATTATTCTTGCCGTCGCAATCACCGAACGAGCGATATCAGGGGTACGTGAGTTTGGACCGTTCCCTGACGGACCGAATACACACGGGGGACGACAAGAACTATGTACACGCTGCGAGGAGGATCGGTTCAGTCTGGTCATTCCCACGTGGGCGAAATGGGCGCGGGTAGCTGATTGGGTTCTCCGCAGAACGGATTTGAGAACCGTACTCACGACCTGGCGAGCTTCGGGGTCTGACCCTTCATGATGCTCCAGCCGATCTTGGGATGGGGCCAGAGGGGGTTTGGTATACGAACCTGCATGAAAAAGAGGACCGTTGCTGGAGTGCATTGCAGGCGGTCGCGACACCAGATCGATGTAACCATCCCAAGGAGCTGCCCTGCCGGTAGGTGGCATACTCCGTGGCCTGCCCACCTTGTTAGGCCCAGAAACAGCATCGGGTGAGACACAGGTTGTCAAAGGCCGTATCGGAGAGCTGCCTTTGAACGGGTAATAAGGGCTCTTTCGATCCTGCGTGATGATCGACTTGACAATCTTTGTGGGACCGTTGGACGGAGCAGGGAAACGCCTCCATAGGCGACTTGGTGGTGACGGCTGAGCCTGGCGGTGGTCTTATTATCACCACACAGCAAATCGATGATGGTTCCGTCGACGGGCCCTACAGTTCGTCTTATCCTCGCTTATGGAAGCCTGTGCCCTGTGTGTGCGCGTGTGTGTGCGTGTGTGTTTCTGTGTGTCTGTCCCACTGCTTGTGCATTTGCATACGCTTGTACGGCAAGGCGTAGTCGTCGTGGGAGACGACGGGATAATTTCGGCCGCACCCCTGCCCCTTCCCGGCCCCTTGCAAGACTGTAGAGGCCGAAGGGACGGAGGCTTCCTGGCTTCCTGGCTTCCTCACGCCAGATCGTGCTGAGACCACTGACTGCTGCTGTGCATCCTCTGCAGGGGCAAGCTGCATGGTAACCGGCCACAAGACAGGTAAGGGAAGGCATATCGGCCGTCATGTCACGAATATGGTTCTGCGCAGCAACCCACCCGCAAAGGCGCCAGAGGCTCGAGTGGCCTACCCGTCACACCAACGCCCGATCAGCAAGACAGAGGGCATCCCGGGAATCCCAGGCACAAGGCAGGCCGGGCCAGCAGGCATGGCAGCCCGCAGGCTTAGGGCGCGCACTGGGCAGCAGACAGCACGCTGGGAGACCGGGCTGGGCTGGCTGGCTGGCCAGAACGAAGAACCGGCAGCGCGCCCTCCTACAGCGGCAAAGGCGCACGGAAGGCGATGCTCGGCCGCAAAAGGAGGGTGGGATCCCGGAAGCGGAAATGATCGCCAAGATGTCTCCTCTGGCTCGCTGGCTCGTCGGCCAAATCTCTCGGGCAGGCGGCAGGGCACGAGGCAGGCTGGCAGGGTGCAGGGCCGGGCGAGCAGGCGAGTTACGGCAGCACATGAATCTGGAATCTGGATGCCTGGGCTGCTGGGCAGCTGGGGAGGTCTGGAGGTGCGCAGGTGCGAAGGTCTTGCTGACGGCGGAGGGATCTGGCATGCAGGAGGACGTGCCCATAGTGCAGCAGAGCATGGGGCGAGGTCCGGTCAGCTACGACGGTAGGTAGCACTCGAGCCTGATGATGGTTTAGGGCCAAAAAGGAAGGGATTTGGCGAGCGCAGATGATTGCCCTTGCTTATTATGCAGGCCATGGCAGCACAGCATGGGGAGCGTGCATCCCTGGAGGCGGTCGCATGCCTGGCGTGGCTCGCCGCTGCTGGCGTGCGAGCACTTGGCGCTGGCTGTCGATGGGCCTAGCGAGGGCGCCATCCCACGTTAGCATTGGACAGATCTCGGGAATAGCTTGACAATAATGTCTGTGGGCGGTGCGTGCTGACGGGGGGCGGGAAATGCGGGAGGTGGCACACTGCGGAAGGAATATGCCTAAAGCCCGGTAATACAGTAACAGTAGATGACATGGAAGCCCGGGGGGGCTGGGGGGGCCAGGATGGGGGGGGGGGGTTTAGGACAGCAGGAGGGTCAAGCCACGCACCACGCACCACGAACCACGCAACACCCAGGCTGCGGAGTAGTGTGCAAAATTAACTATTACCACCTCCGTACTGTGTAGGTGGAAATGTGGTTGGTGGTGTAGTGCTCTGTAGATCAGTCTGCCGCCCACGAGGCCGTCAGGCTCAGTCAGACGGGCGACACGGGGAGCAGTGCATGTATCAGCCAGTCTCGCGTGGTGGTAGCTCTCCCCATCCCTCACCCGGCCGGAACCCAACGGTGAAGATGACAACGACGGTGGGCTGGACCATAGTGTAGAGGAAGGGGGGGGATAAGAGATGGCGGTGATGTTGTTCTCAGGCGATGCCAGGCCACGCCAAACACGCCTGCCCAAGAAGCATCGGAAAAAGAAAAGGTCAGAGACAGCGAGGAGAGACAAGCATCTCGGGTGGGCCAAGGACAAGGCAGGCCACCGGCACCCTGTATGTACCGCTGGGCCAGTAGGCTGGTAGGCCGCAGTCCGCCGGGGCGGCAAGTAAAATGAAACACGTGGTAGGGGCAAACTCGCTGCTGTGCAGGAGCCCGTCGATACTCGGTACTTTTAAGGCCACCTAGTGCGCGATCCCCTGCAGCCCTCGGGCTTTGAAAGGCGGCTTGTTGGGGCTAGCACGCATTGCCCAGGTGCCCAGGTGCCCAGGTGCCCAGGTGCCCAGGTGCCTAGGTACCTACCCAGGTTCGTAGGCAGGTAGGTATTCAGGTGGGACGACAAAGAACATGTCCGCCCACCCGGGTACCTCTCTACAGCATCTACGCAGTCGCTACAGGCCCGAGACAGCAGCCGCCGCCCGCGGCATGCAGTGATTTTGCTCTTTCATTCTCCCTCCTTCTCCCTCCTAATTTCCTCCCGCCCGCCATATTGATACTGTGACAAACTCCGAGGCCCTGCCTGGGCAAATACTCGGACCAGAGATCGCCTTTGGCCAGGCCCCACGCGTCGGGGCAAAAGAAAAACCTTGAAGGAACGGTGCATCGTGGCTCCTGGGAGCAGCCTGGGTGCACCTTCCAGGACGGGACGCAAGCAGCAAATCATCACATGGGGGAGGTGGCAGGTGGCAGGTGGCAGGCGCTCTTTGTCTGAAATGGGGGGGAGGGGGGAGGGGGGAAGGGGGGGAATGCCCCACTCGAGTGCGGACGGGAGCAACATCAGCATGCGAGAAGGCCTCGTGGCATTTCTGCTCGTAAAACTCTATGCACGGTCCAGCATTAACAGCTGCGAGCAGTAAGCACCACGGCCCGCGGCCGCGGAGCAGGTGCAGGGCAGGTACTGGCTGTTAGCCGGTTGCGTCAGCCGCTTGCATGACTCTTGATCTCAAAATACATACTACGTAGGGTACCTTGGAGCCCAGACCTGCACATTGCCGCCAACCTTTCCAACTCCTCATGGGCCAGGGGGGTGGGCGTGTGGGCGTGTGGGCGTGCGGGCGTGCGGTTTGATGGCGAGTCCCGCACGATGGATCGGTCGGAGGTATGGGGGTACCCAGCACCGCACCACACGCCTCAGAGGCGGCGCAGCACCCGGGCAACCACCAGAGCAGCAGCAGCAGCAGATATCTGCTGTTGAGATCCTGTGTGAGTGTTGTACATAGTACTGCAGCTCCTGGGCTGGTGGGCTGGTGGGCTGGTGGACTCGTGGGCTGGGACGAGGGTGAGGACGTGCTGCACCGGTGTACAGAGATCTCCATTTCCCTACGAGAGAGAGCGTACGGCAGCTGCAGGCCTGCAAGCCTTCCCCGGTCCCTGCCCAGCACACCCCCTCCCAACACTTAACTTACACAGTACATGCCACAAACCACATGCCACACACACCACTCCCAGACCCCATTGAGCCAGAACCACATTCGGCTTCGAATGCCACGCTTCCTAGCATCCTGGCCTCCTGGCATCCTGGCATCCTGCCCTTCCTTGTCCCCCATGCCCGCCGCCTGCAAGCACGCACGCACGCTTTCTCGGCCGCCCACGCCCACCCCCTGCCCACCCACCTACCCACGAGCCCTGCCCCTGCCCACGCTTCCTGCTGCCGCTGCTCGTGCCCTTGCCCTGGCCCCCCCTGCTCAACGACCCCTGTCGAAACCCCCTGTCCCTGTTCCCAGCCCGTGGCCCTTCCCTCATTGTGCCTTCCCTTCTGGGTCTCGCGCCCCGTTCGCTCTTGTCCACTCGATCCATGTCTGCTCTCGCGCAACTGCTGTCTCTCCCCCAGTTTTTCCCACCGACGGCAAGTACCTAGACTACCTAGGTACCTACCCATCTGCGGCCAGGTATCTGACCCTCATCCCGCCCGTGCCTCTCTGCCGTCTGCTATCTGCTGTCGCCATCATCAGGCCCGCCCCACGAGCACGAGAGGGCATACCTACGGGCCCAGGCAGGCAGGCAGGCAGGCAGGCAGGCAGGCAGGCAGGCAGGCAGGCAGGCAGGCAGGCGGGCAGGCGGGCAGGTGGTTAGGTACCTAGGCAGCTGGCTGGTGGCACTGTGTAGTAGCATGCCGTGGGCGAGGGACAGGTGCAGTGTGCCTCGTTGCCCCGTGCGCGTGCGGTCGTGCGAGTGTGGAGTGCCCAGTGTCAAGTGTCAGTGTCAGTACTTGCGGGAAGGCACATAACACTGGCCACACCAACTTGTACGGAGTATGCTACATACCTCTGTATGTATGTTGCTCTTTTCTTGTCCTCCCGTCCTTGGTCAATTTTGGCGGCCAAGTCCAAGTCAGGTCCAAGTCAGGTCCAAGTCAAGCCAAAGTCAGGTCGAATCAGGACGAGCCATCCCGCGTGGCCCCAATCTCCCCATTGGTCTCCTCCCCCTCCGGCCCCAATATCCTTTCCTGCACACCATCAAGGCCTTGCGAACCTAACTCCCCCGGCTTCTTCTTTCCCTTCGAACCAGAGGCCCGAGTCTTGGTTGAATCCTCACTGCCTGGAGATACCCTTGAGCAGAACCCAATCCCCAAGGTGCTTACTGTGCTTACCTTGGACATTGAATCCTCCTCCGCCTCTCCTTGCCGTCACTCACCCGTCGCCCTCTCAGCTTCATCTCTCGCCTCCCCTTCCGCCTCCCCCTCCCTCCCCCTTCTCCTCCCAACCTCTCCGCCCGAATCTGACCCTGTGTCCTCGTGCGCGTCCTCGTGGTTCTGAGCCTTGTGCCCTGCCCTGCCCTGCCCTGCCCTGCCCTGCCCTGCCCTGCCCTATCCGTCCAGTATAATCCACTCCCCGGTACGGATCACGGAGCTGGTAACCACCTTCGGATGTTAGTGTTCGGCACAAGCTGCTGAGGCTCTCGGTCATAATAAGCCTGTTGCTGCTAGTCCAGGTTCCGTGCGAGACCCATCAACGTTCGTCGCCCAACTAAAAAAACCCACATCCACATCCACAACCACCCGCACCCACCACCAGCACACCCTTACACCCTTCCGCGCCCGTGCGAAATCGATTTGACCCATCCTCGCTGGTCCTGACCCGGTCCCCGTTCCCCGTCGTCTTGGCCCTGAATCTGAATCGAATCTGAGAGACCGCAGAACAGACACAGCCTAGCCAGTCCCGCCAAACCCACGCCAGCCTTCGATCGCCGTTGCCCTCCAGCCCATCTCGTCTCTTTGTTCACCAACCTCGTCGTTCTTTCTAAAGTCGTTCATTTCCTCCCCACCTGTTGGACACACATATACACACATCCCACACTATAGCTACATGGGACTGCACCCCGCCTCGTCCGTGGCATAGCACGCCGGCCCTGGTCACCCTCACCACCAACGCGATTCCACTGCCAAACCACCCGCGACGAGAGAACAGAACCAGACTGAAATCATCAACCCATCCCGCTTCCAGTCTCTTCCCACAGGACGTCATCCCTTCCGCCCCGCAACGGGCCACGCCTTCCTGTCGCCATACACCTTTTTTCCCCTTTCTTACCTGGACTCTTCTCTCCCTCCCTGCTCTCTTGGCCCATCGTCCTCTTCGAGGCACAGGAGTACCGACGGTACCTCGCCGGGATCTGAAGCATTCGACCCCAAGGAAACAGATGCGCCATGGCCACCACCGAGCAGTCCCGTCCCGCTTCGCAGAAGCTCCCCGCAGGGTTGGCTGGTGTTCTAAACCCCTCCGACGACAATAGGGATTCGGCTTACTACTCGAGCACCGACGCCTCTAGCAAACGTGAGTCGAGCACACGCGTCGACAGCAGTACCTTTGCCCAATTGATCAGAGAGCTGACCTAGTCCCCTTGTTACCCGCAGACACTTCGGCCGCATCGTACCATGCTGTCAATGTCTTCAGCCCTACGAATGGCGGCTTCCACCAGTCACAAAACGACAAGACGCCCTCGCCCACCACCACCAACCTGCTCCCGCAGCCTCTGATATCTCCCGTCACCAGCAACATGAGCGTTGCGTCAATCGTGTCTCCGACCAGCCCCGCGGGCCCCGACGCGCGGTACGTGGACCGCCACCTATCCATCGACTCTGCCCCAAACAGCGCCACATTGGCCGTCGACGCGGGCGAGCCCATGTCCAGGCGCGAGAGTGTCGACAGCCGCATGAACCAAGATTTCGGGGGGATGAGGCTAGGCGCATCACCCTACGCGAGCAACAACCACTCCACGACGTCGATCCAAAACACCCTGCAACAACAGCGGAATCCCAGGACAGGAGGCTTGGAGAGCTTGTCGGTCCATCGCATCTCGAATGGCTACCAGCCCAGCACCGAGCGCAACCCAATTGATGGCACCATCAAGGTCGTCCGTACCGCGCCGACGATCACGGGCCCCACCACCGGCACCATAGCTCGCGCTGCCGAGCCCACCAAAGGACAGGCATGGGCCTTCCCGGAAGAGGAGCTGCATCGCATGCCCTCGGGGGCTCAGTCGCTCATCGACTCGAGGCGGAGTAGCGTGGCGGAGTCATTCGCCAGCAGCCAATGGACTGCCGAGTCGAGACTGCCACCAGGCCAACGGAGGTTGGACGAGGGCCTCACGCCTCCCGATTATCAGCGTATGTCGAGCAATTCGGGCGAGTTCCCCGCCGTCCACCATCACTCCCTACAACACAAGCAGCTCGGGGACCTACAGGCCGAGGACGCTGCCGCGCAGGCCGGTGCACAGCCGTACAGCAGGACACCGGAGCTACGGGTAAGCCACAAGCTCGCCGAGAGGAAGCGCAGGACGGAAATGAAGGAACTCTTTGAGCAATTGAGGGATCTGATGCCGCAGGAGCGGGGCTCCAAGGCGTCCAAGTGGGAAATTTTGTCCAAAGGTTAGTCGAGAGGGTCCAACACGGCAATCCTGGGCGGCATCATGACTGACCGTAATGCAGCAATCACCGAACACCAACGACAGTCTGACACCATCAAGTACCTGCAGCAGCAGAACCACACGATTGTGAGTGACGTGGACATGATGAGGCGAGAGCTTGCCGCGGCGAGGATGGAGAACTCGCAGCTGAGGGGGGAACTGAGCGCTGTGTCGTCCAGCCAGGGCGCTGGTTCCCACAACTCGGCACCTCCTACCGCCTCGTTTGCTCAGAAAGATGCACAGCGCCCGGAGCTCCCCCCCCTACGATCCCTCAGCGGTGAGGTACCAACGGCTCCCGAGTCCATGGCGGGCGTCCAGTATGAGCAGCCTAGATTCGGCGGCTACCGAGCACCTGATGCCAGATATTAGAGGGGCATTGTGTGGGCCCAGTACCCTCAGCGCCGACAGCCTACCTGGGATCCGCCGCGAATAATGCTCAAGAGCTCGGGTAGCTTATCCGAGACACATGGTGCGCGACCGGATGGATCTGCTGAACCGCGACAGCCAGTATCGGACTGCGATGATGCGACCGCCAGCATTTTTGACAAGCACAAGCACAAGCACGGGCGCCTTTGTTTCAGCTGGATCGTCCATCTCAACTTTCATTATGGGGATGATTTGATGGCGTACGAAATGACGATACCTTTTCTGGGCATTTCCTCTGATACCTAGTGGATTAGCCCCTTCACAAACGTTGACGTGAACCGGAGTCTCGGACGGTGGCAGGCCAACGAGCCTGCGCCTTTAGCTCTATGCGCCCGTTTGATAACGGCAGCGGTGGCTCCTCTTGTGTTCATTTCCCTCGACAGCTTGTTCTTCCCGGCCATAGCCTGTCACAGGCACGGTCGGACCAGGACCAGGACCAGGACCAGGGATCGCTTCACTTTTCCTCTTTTCCCTGCACCAGGCACGTTGCAGGTTCCTTTTGTCTATTCAGAGAGAAAAGAAGAGACGTGGCGGATTTTGCGGCCAAACGGGCTGTGCCCATTCTAAGGCTTTGGTTTTCTCTTTTATGTTTCTGGCGGTGGGGGGGGGGGGGGGGAGAAAGAGTCAAGAGAGGCTCGGGCATGCCGGGTTGCCAGTTTTACTTTGTGTGCTCTCGGTTCTATGTTGATTGATGGATTGCATATACCCATTGTAACTTCACTAAGGCGTCTGTTCACGGTTGTGGTGGTGCGGGAGTGATTGTCTCGATACGGACGGGCCTTTTCAGCCCTGGGAGACAGGGGGAACTGCTCAACGTACAGACACCTCTCCTAGGGACTACTACTACTACTACTACTACCTGGGGGACAAGCCAGACATTCTGGGATCGCAACGGTGCTTGCGAGAATATTAGGCAGTGGACTGGGGGATCAAAAACTGGGGTGTGGCGGTGGGGGAAAGAGGGCCAGATGTGTTTTTTTTTATCTGTGTCCAAGGTCTAATGATCATTCTCCGGGAAAAGAGGGGTGTCGGGAGATACGGAGAACATGGAGGAGTCACGTTTATTAGATTAACTGTGAGGATGTACAAGCACGTCTTGTCAGCGCTCGGCAATGCTTGTCGGATCCCAGCGGAGGGACAGCACAGGGCTCCATAATCTAAATCAAATATATCTATCTACCTAGGTATGTACACAAGTGTGCGAGCGTGCGAGTGTGCATGTGACTCCACAGCCCGCCCACCACGCAGGGCCGCCTGCCTCTCTTCCTTTTGCCCTTTTTTTGTTTCTTGTTGTTTTCTTCTCCCCCCCCCCCTTGTCATATCAGATCTGGATCTGGATCTAGATCTCGGTCAGGATGCCCTAGTGTTGGCGCGCAACCGTGCTCAGTCACTTCTCAGACGGCGTCCCCAAACGGCTGGGCGTCTTCACATGCCAGGAGTCTGATGTGAGCAGGCCCCGGACCAGGGTGGGCGCCTGGAATCCGGGGACGGCGGCTCGAGTCGCTGGGGCTTCGGGGCGGCGAGCACCTGCGTCATGTTGGATAGCCGCGGGTGGTGGGGAAGGAACCCTGGGCCCCGGTCGGCCGCAGCGACTCTTGTTCCTCAGCCGGCAACACCACACCACCTTGCCGCTTCTCGACATTGTTCAGTGCTTGCCGACGACCTTTCTTAGACGCACCTACCTTGAGCCTCTTGCCTACTTCATTTCCCGAGTCTTGCGCTGAGGTAGACGGGTGTCTCTGCTGTGCTTGACTCGTCTCTTGCCCATTGCGCGCAACGTCATTCTGCATTTGGGGTGCCACACTGCCGGGGCATTCGCCAGCACCCATACCGGTGTGCCGAGGTAGCGGACTGTAGGAAGCCAGCCGGCCCTCCTCCCTCCCCCCTGCCCCCTCCCCCCTCCCCCCTTTGGCTCCCTCACCACCACGGCCGCCACGTATTCAAGCACGGATTGCTCAATCATGTCGTCCTCGCTACAGAGCATACAGGTGAGCGCGTGACCCCAGGTGGTGCAGCGTCGAGGAGGCCCGAGGGTTACGGTCATGAATCACGGTCACGAATCTGGGTCATGGGAAAGAAGCACAGCACACACACACAGCCTGAACTGCGCTGACACCACAGCATAGACCGCGATCGAGCGCGTCATCCTCGACCCCAAGTACCATGACGTCCTCGCCGTGCTCAAGGGCGCCCGCAACGGTGCCGTGTACGGCACCAAAGTGCGCTTCCCGCACGCACTGGTCATGATATGCCTGTTCCGGTCTGGCACGTAAGTTCCCAGTCACGGCCGACAAGACCGTCCTGGCCCAGCGGCCAAGCAGACCCCCGAAGAGACAGCTGACACACGCCCCAAAAGTGTCCGCGAGAAGGCCTGGCTCATATTCCGGGCCACACGCACGCACGCGCGCAACCTGGCCAAGTTCGCAACCATCTACAAGCTGACGTGCTTGGTCCTCAAGCATCTGGGCCCCACGCCCGGCAAAGAGGGCGCCCACGACAGCCTGGTGGCGGGGCTGGTGGGTGGGTACATGGTCTTCGGGCGGCGGTCTCCACGCTCCGGCCGCATCTCGAGCGTCAACCAGCAGATCGTAATCTACGTGTTCGCGCGCGTCGTGCTGGCGCTGGCAAAACTGTCGGTGCGGGAGGGCTCGCCGTTCGCCCTGCCCGTCGTGTCGCGGGGCAAGGCCGCCGACGCCGTCAGCTACTACGCCTGGCCTGTCTTCGCCAGCGCCAGCTGGGGCCTGGTCATGTGGTTGTTCCGCTGGCACCCCGAAGCACTGCAGCCCAGCCTGCGGTCTAGTATGACCTACATCTACGCGCAGAGCGACCACTGGGACGGGCTGAGGAACTTTGTCTGGCATAACAAGTAGCCGGGCGCGCAGGCAGGTCGGGCCATGGTGCCGAAGGGGCGGCATGACCGGAGACGCGATGTTCTTGTACAGCGTTTAGGCGTTTTGGGAGTGCTCATCTCTGGCTTTGGATGTTAGGCACCGGAGGGTGGAGTGGGGGGAGGGCGGGGGTTCAGGAGAATAGGCGCAGGGGAGGGACACACACACACACACACACACACACTGAGCACACCGTCCCCGAATGTTGGGACTGCACATCGCAAAACCTGTATAGACAGAGATAGACAGCAACATAGCATGCAATCCGGTACGTGATGGGGGGTTCTTTTGTTCAATTGTTTGGCTCTTCTGTTGTTTATCTCTCATTGTTCTATATAGTGCTCGATCTTATAGATGCCGCCAGCCGTTCATCCACATGATCTGCTTCTCATTGATCAAGCAGGAAACCCCAGGCTCGCGCCGGGGCTCACCGTCGGGAGCGTCTGCCACCCACTGACGCAGTCTCTTGGCGATGGTGGCACCCTCGACATGGTGTGACAGGTGCGCTCTCCACCTCAGCCAGCGATTGGCCCAGGCGCCTGTGACGGCCGCCCACATGCCCGGGAAGCGCTCGCCGGGGCGGGCGCGGACGGCGTCGTAGGCGGCGGCGCTGTAGGCGACGCGCACGTTTGGGTTGAGCCACACGCCGCGCGCGGCCTCGCCGCTAAGCGGGTTGTCGGCGTGGACGAGGCAGCACTCGCTGCCCTCGAGGTGCAGATCGGCGAGGGCGTCGGGGATGGCGCGGAAGCGCAGGGGCGGGTCTGCACGGAAGGGGGCGGCGTCGAAGATGACCATGCCGTTCCAGCACGAGGCGACGCGCACGGGTTCGGAGCGAAGGGCCGCGTCCCGCGCGGGGCCCCCCTGGAACCAGGGCCAGTAGTTGCTGGCGGTCTTGCGGCCGTCGCCGTCCCGCAGGGCAAAGGTGTCGTAGTAGGCAGGCGGGTGCTTGTAGTCCATGCTGCAGGCGGCGGCGTAGGTGCCGTCCCGGGTGCGCAGCAAGGTCACAAAGTCCTCGACGTCGAAGATGACGTCGTTGAGCCACAGGACCTTGTCAAAGGCGACGCCGTGCCGCTGCTGGAGCTGGAGCATGGGCTCCATGGCGCGGTTGCGCTCACGGGCCAGGTAGGTGATGCGGCGCTTGTCGTAGACCTTGTCCTCCTGGTTCCAGATCCAGCCCTCCTGGCGCGGGGCATCGGGGGCCGGGCGGGCCCACATGTCGTCGAGCTGCTGCCAGACGGTCTGGCCGAGGGTGATGGTGTTGGGGACGCGGCGGGCGTCGAGCTGGGCCTTGAGGGCGGACAGCTTCTCCTTTGTGTCGTCCTGGGAGCCGGACTCGAGGGCGGAGAAGTAGACATTGGCGGGCCCCAGGTAGTCGACGAGGGCGAGCACGGCGGCGCCCCACTCGGGCAGGATGGCGCCCGTGTTGCGATGGACCGAGACTATGAAGAAGGACTCGTTGCTGGACGGGCCGGGGCCGGTGCCGGGGCCGGTGCCGGTGCCGGTGCCGGTGCCGGTGCCGGTGCGGCGAGGGGCATGGCGGTCGAGGGCGTGGGGGGCGGACCGGGAGGTGACTGGCCGGTGGCGCAGCAGCAGGATGAGGTCGACGGCGAACGTGAGCAGCAGCAGGGCGAGGATGGAGCGCCTCCTCTGTCGCAGGCGCCGGAGGAGGAGACGGGAGGAGACGATCATGGCAGGTGGGAGGAGGGCGTGGTGGTCATGACGGTCTGCAAGCAGGGTCTTGGCCACGACAGCTTCCAGGGGCCTCGAGAGGGCTGCTTCATATTTGAACGAGGTGGCCCTCTTGTTGTGGTTCCGAAGGACCGAAGGAAGGGGGGGGGAGGCGAAGGCGAGGCGGAGGGGGAAGGGAAGGGGGAGCCGAAGAGAAAAGCGGTGGTCAAGCTCGCACGGGGCGCACAAGCTGCCAGGCACACAGCACTCAAAAGTAGGTACGGGGATATGGATGAGCTCACCGTCGTAGGAAGCAATGCGGCCAAGGCTCGTCGGTGACAAACCAGAGGGGCCGAGGGGCTTGGAACCGCATTGGCAGCTGCTGCCTGATGAATGGGACAACACACTACCTCAGGTACCTAGGTACCTAGCCCAGAACGGTCAGGGTCGGGGTCAGGGTCAGGGTCAGGGTCAGGGTCAGGGTCAGGATGATGATACTGTTAGATACGGAGGGAGTACTAGACACTGGATCAAGAGCCGCTGTCCCTCACTCGAGCCCCGCCTCAATCGCGGCCAGCTCCTTGAGCGTCTCGTCGATGACCTTCTTGTCGCCGGCCGACGGCTCCAGGTACGGGCTGCGCGGCTTGAACTTGTGGGCCGCGTCCCCGAGGCCGGCGGGCCTGGCCGAGTGCATCGACGCGGCATACTTGACGGCCGCGATGCCCGCCTTGCACGGCTGCTCCGCCAGCGCCGCCTTGCGGTGCAGCGCCATGGCCTCGTCCGTCCTGCCCTCGTGCCACAGCTGGTAGATGCGCGAGATGCTGCGGGGGAACACGTTGGCGAACCCGGCAATGCACCCCGCCGACCCGCTCGAGAGCCCCCCCAGCAGGAAGTCCGACTGGCCCCCAAACGTGGCGAACTCGTCCGCCGGGAGCACCGCCGCCAGCCGCACGATCTTGGCCACCGACCCGCACGTCAGCTTGACCCCGACAATGTTCCCGTGCCGCTGCGCCAGCCTCGTGATGGTCCCAGAGTCCAGGTCGATGCCGTTGCACACCGCCGGGAAGTTGTAGATGACAATCGGCAGCTTGCTGCTGCCCGCCACCTCGTCGAAGAAGCGCTCCACCACCGCCGCCGTCGTCTGCTTCCCAAAGTACCCCGGCGGCAGGCATAGCACGTAGTCGGCCCCCGCCGCCGCCGCGTCGTCGATGAACTCGAGCACCTGCCGCGTCGAGTGGCCGCCCACCCCCGCCATGATCGGGTAGTCCGGCCCCACCGCCCGCCGCGCCGTGGCAAGCAGTTCTTTGCGTTCCTCCCTCTTGAGCGGGGGCCACGCCCTGGTCAGCCGGGGGCCACCCACCCTCGCTCGCTGCGGGTACTCACCGTCAGGAGGAATGTCTCTGCGTTCGTCCCCAGGATCACCAGCCCGCTCAGTCCCGACCTTGCGAGGTACGAATAGTACTTTGCCTGGTCATCGAGCTCCAACCTGTCCGTCTCAGGGTTGAACACTAGCAGCCACACAGTCAGCATCATCTGCGCTTCATGAGCATCGGGTTGACTGACACGTCACGGCCGGGCACCAGACGCCACTCGGGGGGATCTTTGACGGCGCCATGCTGAATGTATGCGTTCCGACAGCTCGAGTACTTGAACGCCGTAGTGCTGCTGCTATGTTTCCAAAGGTCAAGGGCGGACAGAAAGGAGAATAGAGAAGGAGAAGAGGAAGGAAGGAAGGAAGGAAGGAAGGAAAGAACCGGATGCACCCGGGGCATCAGTCAAGAGCATCTTGGTCAAGGCCAATGAGGGGAGAAGGCCATTTGACTGATCAGGCGGGTCAATCCTTGCCGAACGGGACAGCGCCCGACCAGAACCCCCCCAGCCGATTACGGAGTCGGCACGGCTACCGACGGGCACCCGGGTGTTGGGCACCGGAGACCGGAAAACGGGCACTCGCTCGTCCCCTCTGCAGGACCACAGTATCCGATCCTTTTGTTGGCCAGAGAGCGCCGTCCCTTGCGACCCCGGCCCTGTGTCACGAAACCCACCCTCCTCGTCGTGTCCTCCACCAACCAAGTCAGCGAGACCAGCAAAACTATCATGCGCCATGCTCACGTCCTCTTTCAAACAGTGCATGCAACATGGGACTGCGGGACCAGAGACCTTCGCATGATTGCTGCGCATACCCACCCCCCCCCAAAAAAATATATGGGTGTGTCCGTGCTGGATTATATTACTCCTATATGCTACGCTACGCCTCCCGCCCATGACAACTCCCGTGATATCTTGTAAACCCCATATGACCGCAAGCCTAGAGCCCCTATGCAATGTAAATGTCCCACCAGAAAACGCCATAAGATCGGTGTCATCGCTGCCCCAACTCATCATCGCTTTGTCCTTTTTTTTTGGACTAGGGACTACCGCCCCTCAGCTTCAGCCCAAGCCCCACCCCAGCCTCTCATCGCTGATATGCCGGCAGCGGCTCCAACGAGGCCGTGGTGGCCTGGTGTGCGAAGTACGTTCCGTACTCGTCTTCCTCTGTGAGGATCGGTGCCGAAGGCCCATCGGCCATCGGCGGCGCACTGGGCGCGGAACTGCTCCCGACCCCGGCGTCGTCCTCCCTGGGGAAATCTGGTGGGGCGCTGGCTTCTGCCAGTAACCTCTGCCGCTCGAGCTCCTGCTTGTCGTCCGTCGAGCTGCCGTTCGGCACGGTCGAACCCACCGCCAGTTCGTCAAGCGTCGGCGCTGACGGGGCTGTCTCGGAGGGCGCAGCCAGCAGCGGAGCAGAAGGCCCGCTGGGAGCAGATGGGCCAGCTTCGTCGGACCCGCCATATGCTGCTGGTGCTGCAGGTCCTGCTGTGGGCTCTGGCGCTTCGGGTTGGCTGGGCAATAGCCTCTGCTCTGCCCGCCTGACCCTTTCCTTTTCTGAGAGGCCGCTCTCATCTGCGACGTCTGGCGGCGGTGGTATGTAGTGTGGGGCTGGTTCGGCCGGCTCCTGGGAAGCCCCGTTCCAGTACGGGTATTGAGCTGCGGGCTCGCCGGGATACGGAACGTATTCCTGCGCGTATGCTTCCTCCGCGCCATAGCCTTCCTCTTCCCATCCCGCAGGCCACGACCCGTTCTCGTGGTACACCGCGCCGTCCTGCCCTGCGTTCGGAGGTGATGAGACCGCCTTGCCGCGCCGGCTGGTATCTGTAGTCCCCACAACGAGCTCGAATGAATCATATATGACCCCTTTCTCCCGCTTCAGGGGGTCCGTGTTGACCAAGCTGCCGTCAAACGACGCCAGACTGGCCACTCCCTCCCGGCCTGATGTCATCACACCGGTTGCAGGGCCGACTCTTGGGTTTTGCTGTATTTGTATCGCGTTTGCAAGCTTGCCGCCCAGGTCCACGATGACCTCCAACCGGTATTTGAAGCTGATCATCTCCCCAGGGACTCCTCTTATTGAGGGGAACGAGTTCTCCGGTACCCTGACCGAGGTCATCACGCTGGCAGTCAACGTAGCAGGGTCGATGATCAGGGGGCTGAATGCCTGCGAGAGGTCTTTTCGGAACACACTGCACGTGCCAGCCGACGACAACGACAACCCGCCCAGGCCGGTCTTTGACTTGGGATAATACTCCTCCTTCTCCAGTCTCCTCTGTTCCTCCTTGGATATGTTCTTAAACAGGGCAACCGGTGGCGCCGAGTCCACGCGGCCTTGCCTGTACAAGGTGACAATGACCCCGTACAGGCTCTTTATTCGTTTCGTATGCTGCACATCTACCTTGACGGATATCGTGTCGCCAGGTAAGCAACCGCTCTTCATAAGCTCGATCTTTGTTGTGATCGTCCTGTCCTTGGAGGAGATCGATTTCCTGGGCGCACCCGCCTGGACAGTCCCCAGGCTCCCTGACTGATTTGGGTCGGCGCGTTCTCTCGAGCTCAGGCCGGTGCTTCCGCTCAAAGCACTGTCCCCGCTCACCTCGCTCCTCAGGTCACTATTGACAGGACTCCTCGGGTTCTGGTGAGCATCCTGGTTTGCATCGTCCGCGATGAGGGATCCTTCCGTCGATGTTTCCACCGCTCTTGTCGAGTCGAAATCGGACGAGGACTCGCCTGCACCGTCCGCTGCGATTGTTGTTCCCCTCTCAGAGACGGTCGAGCCCGTTGGTTTCTTCTTTTTTGACCTCTTGGATATGGGCTGCAGGTAGATGGTTCGGGGGCGTGGCGCCGGAAGAGTACCAACATCAACCTGCTCCACCAGCTCGATCTTGCGGTCGCAGGTAGTTGTCGCGTTTATGGAAGTCGGCCTAGTCAGCGTCGCCACAATTGTGTAGCCGATGCTCCCTCGTTCGAACTGTTAAGAGTTAGTGGATCACGAACCTAGGCCGAGGGCGGCGACGCGCCACCGGGCAAAAAACGGCTGTCATCGGCGGGAACCAAAGGCGCTTACATCGATGCTGCTGGGCAGGTCCTTCTCGGGGAACAGGAGGTCGAAATTAAACTCGTATCTGCCCGACTCCAGCCTCCCATCGGCGCATAGGACCTGCTCATCCTGAAACAACGAGGCGTAGCCGTTGCCGAGAAATCTGAACTGAGAGATGCCGTCCGACTCGGACTCGGAGGGGTTGATGGGCTCGTTGGCGGCGTTTGGGTTCTTGTAGACTCGTACGTAGCCACGCAAGGCGACGGTCAGGTGGGTAACTCGGATGGGCTTTACGAGGGCCAGGACCACGGCGCCCCTCACATTGTCGCCAGCGCCGTACTTGCGATGGGGCTCGGCAGGGCGGATGTGGAAGTCGACGACGTTGCGGGTGCTCCTGGAGCGGATGGGCAGGGCGAACCTGCTGAAGAAAGAGCGGCCCGAGGGCTGATGTTGGTCTTCCAGCGTGGTCGAGGCGTTGCTGGTCCCGGATAGGGCTACCATCTGTGCGGGACTGAGGTTCACGGGGGGCTCGCGACGGGGTGGCCTCGTCGTCCCCGTGCCGTGCCTTGCGGAAGGTGTCGGTGGGTTCCAGATTGACTGGGGTGGGTGGGTGTCGGGCTCTGGCGGGTTTGTTGTATTGCAGGTGTCGTGTGTGGGTTGGGCTCCGTGGCTCCGTAGGGGCGGTGGATCGCCCGGGACAGTGAGCGAGGTCGGGTGGTGAGGCAGTTGAACAGCAGGACGGACGGAGAGCTAGGAAACGTCCAGTCCTTCCAAAGTGCTGGTTGTCCTCTCCACAGTCTTGGCCTGGAGCTGAGCCACCGGAGGCGACGAGGACAACCGTGGCCAGTGACGACGAGAGTGAGGAGAAACGGGGGGGGGGCGGGGGTTGAAGACAGAATGCCGCCACACACGCGTGCGAGTGTACACACACACACACACAATCTCTCTCTCTCTCTCTCTCTATCTGACCGTGTCTGTCTCTGTGTCTGTCTCTCTCTCTCTGTCTCTCTCTCTCTGTCTCTCAGTCTCGGTCGCACATAGGCGCACAGGCGCACAGGCACACAGGCACACAGGCGCGCGCAGCTGATGCAGAGCAGTTGGCGTTGTGCAGCTTGTTAGGAGGCTCGCGTGGGCTGCCGAGTGCCGGGAAGAATGATGTATGGAAGAAAGGAATGGGTTCGTTGAGCGGCATGCCAAGGCAAGACAAGACTTGCCAAGAGGGAAAGAAGTACACTGTCAGGACGGAAAGGCGCTTGTAGGACCTGGACGGGTGGACGGGTCGAGGCGACAGGTTGGTTTTGGGAAATGGGGCGGGCGTGCTGGTGGGTGGATTTGGTATTGTTTGGGGTTGTGCAGGGGGACGCTGACAGAGAGTGTCGGGGTGAAACCTGACACAGCGAGTATTGAACGGGGGACGGGGGATGGGGGAAGGGGTTGAAGGGACTCGAGGAGAGCTGAAGGGACCGGAGGGGAGAGGAGGGAGGGGCGGGAGAGGAGTTGAGGAGGATGGTGAGTGGTGAGTAGTGAGCAGTGGTGGTGACCAGAGGGAGAAGCACTTGGGATCAAACAAAATGCGCGGCAGGGCATGACGGACAGGACGGACAGGACGGGCAGGACGGGTCGACCTTGAGAACAACAACAACCGCCGCCTCCACCTACCGACCGACCGACCGACCGACCGTTCCGCAACGACAGTCCAATGTCTTTTATTTCAAGCGTGTACAGTATGTTACATGATCTATCCGATTGCATCTCTGACTGACTGACTGACTGACTGATTGACTGACTGACTGACCGACCGGCTTGATCGTGTCTTCCAGTCTGCCTGGTCTTGCCTGTCCCTTGTGCTTCTGCTTTCTCCACACACACACACACCCACACACCCCCACATGCACCTCCTCCTCTTGCTGCTCCTTCATCGAACTGCTGCTGCTGCTGCTGCTGCTGCTGCTGGGGAGGGACCGGATCTGCATCGTCTCTTCCGCGTCACGTCGTTGTGCCGTACTGCTTGCTTGCCTGCCTCGCAGGTGTATGCGTACGGGGGAACAGTTTGGGACCAGCAGGTACGGATACCTAGGTAAGTTAGTACCTCGTACCTTTTCTCTCATCAGGAACCTGGCACAATGGCGGGGCATCAGTTTGCTTGAGCGGCCCCCCTGCCAGCTCCCGACGAATCCTTCTCCTCCACCTTCCTGCAGCAAGTTTGCCAGCCAGCCAGCCAGCCAGCCAGTCAGCCAGTCAGCCGTAAGCATCTGCGCACCCTTGCCCTGCACCACTTGTTCCAGACCAGCCAGCCAGCGTGCCAGCCAGCGTGCCTCGGTCGTCGCAACCACGGACTGCAGCGAGCTTGAGCCAAACCTTGTACGGAGTACTATACAGATAGCAGCTGCTAGGTACCTAGGTAGGCAGGCTAGCCTGCTCCAGCGCACCCCGTTGGCTGCGAAGAGTGTGCAGCGCTCCCTGACAGCCTGAGCAGCCTGAGCAGCCTGGCAGCCTGACCAGGCCGCCCTCCCGAATGAACCATCGTCCCATCTTGGCCTCGCCGCTCCTGCCACACAGCACACACATGTATGCCCGTCGGGACCCGCCGTTCTGCAGCGACCACTCGCTGGCAGGACTACTATGTACAGTAGTACCCTGCTTCGAAACATGTGTGCCACTACCGACCAGCCCGACCAGCCCGACCAGGTGCAACGGGGCTCGGTATGGCCACTGCCGGGTTGTCGAGTCAAGGGGCCCCGTGTTGAGATCCCCCATGCCCGTCTAGCACAAGTAGCACAACACTCTCGGCCATCCAGTCTTGTCGTACTGTGTACGCGTCACCAAAATCTTGATGAGTTGCTTGTTTGGCCTTTGATGACAATGTCTCCCGCCCGCCTCTGGGCTGTGGTTGTGGTCAAAAGTCTAAGAATCCTCGGCCTGCCGGGCTGCCGGGCTGCCCACTGCCACTGTCGCCCTCTCCATCGAAGCGAGGGCCCACCACTGGAAACCTTAATTCACCCTCCCCCCCCCCCAGGCCCGTTCCACCCGGCCATCAACCCAGCCGCCCTGCCGCCCTACCGCCCAGCCAGGCTGCCAGTTACTGCCAGGCAGATGCTGTGTCCATACGCCCGGTTTAATTTACGGGGTCCACACGCCTCTGCGGTTGGGCGCCTCAGGAAACATGCGCTCAGACTCGAAACGTCAAAGTCTGGGGTCCGGGAGCGTGGTTCCTGTCTTGCGCGACTGGGCGGCTGGGCTTGGCTTTCTCTAGCCTCTTTTTCTCGTCGGCATCCTTCTCCTCACTCCTCATGCAGTGCGCCCAGATCTACACTACAACACCACCCAACGGCACGGCATGCACGCAACATGGGCGGGCGCGGCCAAGAATCTTGCACCACCGATGGGTCCCCCACCCCTTCAAGCTTCCTGGTCTCGCCCGAAAAGCTTCATTTTCGTAGGGCTGGCACCTCTTGGCCTTGGTCAAACAGCAGCACTATTTATAAACCCCTTCAATCCCCCCTCCCTCCCAGGGGGGGTCTCCCACTCCAGAGGGGGGGAGGAAGAAAAAAAGAGAGAGAGAGAAAAGGGCTTGGTCTTCTGCTGTCTCAGACACTACTACATAGTACTCAGCGTGCACCAACGTGCTTCACAATGGCTCCTGGTCACCACAGCTCGCAGTGCCGTCCTGCGTCTTCTCGCCACAACTGAGGCTATGTTCGGCCGGCTTGACCCTGGAGAACCGCACGGGGCCAGGCAAAGAGTAGCTGGCACCCAGGCACCTCAGGTGGCCGGCAGCCCGCCTATCACTTGTGTGGCAAAGCTCCACCGGACTTGCATTGCGGACATCGGCTGGTGTTTGACCTATGTATCAGCACCACCAGTTGGACACCACCCGAAAGCCCATCATCTTCGCAGGCAATGTGCCACCTGCACACCACCTGCACACCACACTGTGGGCTTGTCGGGGGACCAGCCACAACACTCACCGTCGTCGCAATCCAATCTCTCAAACGGTGCGTGGCAGTCTGCGTCCTGACACGTGCCACCATTTCCAATGTGTCTTGCCAAGCCACCTTGACAGGTCTGATCCCGCAGCCATCCCGTCAGCCCGCCCGGCTCTATATCAGTCACCTTGATGTAATCTACTTGTCACTGCCCACAAACACTTCCAGGCCGTCTAAATAAAGGCAACAAGAATCCACAGCATCATCATCCAGGCAGCCAATCACCAGACTGATCTGGTCATTGAATTTATCCCTTACCGACACTGCCTCGTCCTGGGACGAACCTCGTCTGAAGCAAACACACACATTGGCCACATGCACAAGAAACGCCTCACGTCGGGTGTCGCCTGGTCTCCTGGGCCAGCGAAACAAATGGCTCACTGGAACTGCCCCAATTCGCATATTTTCAGAAGCAATCAACAGCAGACTGGCCCTGCTTTGCCTCAGACAGACCGCAAGCCGCAAGGAGACGTGACCCATCTGTAGGAACCTCTACCCACACATAAACGCATGTGCTGCTGGGAGCTCAAATCTTGTCATTGTTGCAAACACTGCGGCATCCCAGCGCACTGGCACCCCGGCCCCGGTCACATCAAGCTGTGCTTCGGTGCCAGGACCTGGGGCGGTGCCAGGACGGGCTTACGCGTGATGCAAAAGGTCGAGGTCCTCCAGGACGCCCAGCTCTTCAACGCTTGCTGCGCCGACTGCCCCCGAATGGTCCCTTGGGGTGGCCGGTGGTCATCCTTATCAGTGGATGTATTCCGGAGCTGTTGGGAGAAAAGGCCGGCAGCGCGCGTGTCTCGCCAGCTGGACCCATAATCGGTTCGGGAGCGTCGCTGATCTTGAGAGGCGCGCTTGGTATGCCGAACTAGATGCTCAGTTACGAGTATGCTCATTTCCTTTGCCACTTAACCGTAGAGATTGATCGGCGATCATGATTGCCGACTCAATCAGCCTCCGATTCGCCCATCCGCCGCACGCCTTACACTTGGACGACGGTGCGCTCAACAGAGACCCGGCTGGCGTGTGCTCAGCAGCCGCAAAGCTGCCTCTATTCTCTTTGGTCGTCCGCGCAGCACGTCACCCACGCTGTGCATCTGACCAGGCCCTGCTGCCTGTCACATCTACGATCACCTGATGTGCAAAGATAGTAATGTCATATGCTCTACCTGCCCCTTGATGATCGTGTCCGAACCAGTCCCAATCACCAGGTGTTTCCAGGCGCGTACAAAGGTACTAGAGTATTACAATACGCCGTGACAAGCAATAAGCCAACTCCACTTCTTGAAATGATGCGTGGGTAGATGCGTCCACTGAATGCTCCCTCCGTTTTCTTCGCAAAAGGAGACATGATCCTTCCCTCCCGTTCCTCACTTTACCGCCATGCTTTTTGTCAATCAGTGGCGTTTCATAAAATGTGCAAAGGATAGGGGGGGAAAGGGGGCGGGGGGTGGGTGGTGGACAAAGGCTATTGATGACGACCCAGAACGCCAGGACAAGGAATGTGCGAGCATCCGTCCGCCCTTCCCATCACAGACTCCTTTCCTCGCCCCTACCTCCCTTTCCCCGCCGCCTCACTAGCTTTCCAACTCAGCATTGAAAGCTCACGCTCCGGGCCTTTTGCTTCTCTCCTCCGAAGCCTGCTCCTGCCTTGGAATCGTCGTGGGTTCTACCACCGACAACAACAGTAACGCTGCCGCCATTACCTGGGTTTCGCATCACGCCGTGCTCGTGCTCAGAAAGATCCTCCGGGATCGCCTAGAACCCAAACTTCTTTTTCTGCTTGGCTGGCTTCTGCTGATTACCCATGTCCTTGAGGATGTCGTCAAAAGTGCTGCTCAGGGTATGGTTGTGGCCTTTGCCCGCGCCGCCGCCGCCGCCCCCGACAGGCTTCCGGGCGGGAACCTCGCCACGCATGTTGTCGACTGACTTGGCGTTCCGGATAGTGCCCGGCGCGGAATCGCCCGGGCTCTGCGGCCTGTCGGGGCCGAGGGAATCCTGCCGTTGCGCTACCTGGAAGCTATACACGCGGCTCGAGCGGCGGTCCACCGGCGCGGCGCCGGCGGGCGGTGCCAGGGGCTCCAGGGCGGAAAGCCCCGCGAAGCTCGCGCGGAAGTTGGAACCTGCCCCGCGGCCGGCGGCCAGACCACTGTTCGGCGATATGACGCGCCTCTGGGGCCCGGAGGCGGGTGACGGCGGCGCCGAGCTTGCCGGCGAGTTGCCATTGCTGCTGTGGTAGCCGCCTGTTCCGCCCATTCCCATCACAGGGTCGTTGTCCTCGAAGACGGCACGAGGCGCCTCAAGTGGCGAGTAAGCGGAGCCGGCAGCCCCGTCGGCGAGCGGCGGTGGTGGTTGCATCCCAACCAGGCCAGCAGAGCCGCCGTTAACTTTGGCTTCCTCCCATGCCTTGGCGGCCTCCCAACAGTGCGAGCGCTCGAAGGTGCCCTCTACGGAGAACATGACCACATCTGCCGAGAGTTCCACCTTGACCTGCGATCCGGGCAGCTGGTACCAGGCCTTGCGAACCTCGCCTGCCTCTTCGAGCCACGGCGGGTTCCCCATCGGCGGCTGACATAGGAAATACTCAACACCTTCGGTGAACTGCAGATCAGGCGCGTCGATAACGAGAAGCGGGAGTGACTGGATGACCACGTAGAGGAAGAGCCATATGCCGAGGCGGTTATCAACGAGCTCGGCCTGGGACCTGCCCTTGGCCTGGTCATGGTCGAACTCCTTGAAGTGGAGGAGGAACGGTGACTTGACGCTGTCAGCGTCGAAGTTGTAGGACTTGTGCATTATGAGCTGTAGTTCGTGGTCCTTGATATTGCGGTCGAACTTGAGCTGGTCCTTCTCCTTCATCTCGTCGTACTTGACCTGCACAGTCTTCATGGTCGGCAGGATCGGGATGTCGTACGGGATTGGAGGCAAGACTGGTGGTGAGGACTGGTCGAATTCAGTGAGCAGTTTGCGCAGGGCCCGGATGTGCTCGTTGGACTCCTTATCCGAGATGATATCCTCGACAGCTTGATCTATGACGCGTGGTGTGACCGAGTCGCGGTCCACCAAGAGGTCATAGAGCGATGAGAGATCCGCATACAGCGTCTTCAGAACAAGCCTGTTCAGGCCGCTTTCTGAGAATGGGTTCTTCTTGCTTCTTGCCTTGGGCGGCCAGGCCCCGAACAGGGACTTGTAGTACCCTAGGGTGAAGCCGCGCATCCTCGAGAAGGACGATTTCCACCGGTTGAAACGTATATCCTTGAATTCGGAAGATCCTGCAACGCCAGAGAAAAGGGCCGGGAACTCAAATTCCTCCAGCCTGGAATTGACATTGTGCTGACGGTTCAACAGATCCAGATTTGAGCGTTCGAGACGGCGCCACACCTCGGGCGACACCTGCTTGGCGAGTGGTGATTTCAGGGAGACAATCGCCTGCCATTTCCCCACGGCATGAGTGAAAGCCTCGTTGTACAGCTCCCAGCACTTCATGCGCTCGCCCAAGATCACGGCCTCTAGCGTCTTTTCACGGCTGTGTCGCACGTCAGCAAGTGAGAGCTGGGACATGTAAAACCCAAAACTCAGGTCAACGCCCTCGCCCCAGGTCGTGCCATCCATGCTCATGAAATCGAACTCCTTCAGCAGGGATGAGATCTCAAGGAATGCGGAGAAAATGGTCGGTCGGAATTTGGTGGCCACGAGTGGCTGTCCGGTCAAGAAGGCGAACAGGTTTCGAATCGCAACCAGGCGCTGCAGCTCGGGTTGTGTCTTGGGGTCCTGGGCCGCAAGCTGGTCAGGGGCCGCGGGAGGAAGATACAGACGAATCACCCCGTCCGCGGGCTCGGGCATGAGCTGCTGGTGCGGCTGGCGGTCGGCGTCCCGGGCCGTCAGGTTGTCGCGCCCATCGAAGCTCCTCGACCTGTCCCTTGCGGCCCTGCTACTCGACAGCTCTCCCTGTATCAACTCGTGAAACACTACCGAGGCCTCGATCGCTTGCGATGAGACCTTGAAGGACGGTCCTTTTCCACTGGCCTTGGGCGAGAGGTAGACATGGACATCGCCGTTCTCAGCCCAGAGTTCGGGAACCTGTGGTCACTGTCAGCATCCGACTTGTGGCACCGCAGCTTCCCAGCACCCTAATTACCTTCTCATTGTTGGCCAGGAACGCTGTGTTATAATCAGCCTGGTTGTCAGCCGACAAGATCCACGCCTTGCTCGGGGACATCTTTTTCAGGTCCTTGGAGCCCGAGCTCGGCCGCCCTGGAAGCCAACTTCTTCGCAGTCTTCCCCGGCTGTCACTGCCGTCGTTGGACTGTTTTGACATGGGCCTGGGATATGTGACTGCATCCGCAGGATTAGACGTGGCCTGGGGAGCATCGCCCAGTACTTCCCTGTGCGTTGACGGCTGCGCAGAGCTGCTTCTTACGCGCGGGACCGGGGAGGAGCGCCTGGTCGACTGTAATTTCGCAGGACCGTCCCTCCTATCCGGGGAAGACTGGTGGGCAGAACTGCTGCGTGCACTTCCCCTGGATTTTGGCGCAACCGGTGACACGGGCGCCGGTGGTTGCTCCTTTGGCAAAGGGTCCTTTGGGGGTAGCGGGGGCGCACCGTCGGCGGACACGGCGCGCGGCTGTTTCTGTATTACTTGCGGCATGTCTTGGCCGGTATGAGTTTCGGCCCCGGTGTCAGCTGCCTCGGGAAACTCGGTGTGCTCGACGCCAAAGCCGAAGTCGCAATCGGAGGCCTGGGTGACTGGAGTCTGGATTCCAGGCCCTGCTGCCGCCCCTGGGGAGTTGTCGATGGTGGAGACCGAGTCGTGGGGGTTGGAGAGGGAGTTGGGGCTGCCGTCGGAGGAAGGGGGCCTCGTTGCGAGCTCGATTGTCGAGGCGACGGGTCTCCGCGGGATAGGTTCTTTTCTCAAGTGCGTGGGAGGCGATGCCTCTGTTGCTGTCTTGGGACGCAGGCTGGGGATGGGACCGGCGGGGTCGGTGAGAGTCGAGCCGCGGGAGCTGGGGGTCGCAAAGAAGGACGTCAGCACGTTGAGCCTCGACTTCCTCCTCTGTAGCTTCTCTGCGCCTAACTCATCAACGGCCTCCGTGTCGGCCGAGCGCGCCCTCGCCGGCGAAGAGCCACCAGAAGACTTGGCGTCCCTGTCATGGGAGGAGTTGGAGAGCAGGCTGTGCACGGAGGGCAGTGAGAGCAGGGAGGGCCGGCTGCTCTTGGAGGAGCGGGACGACTTGCTCAGCGGCATGCTGGGCAGACGGGTGTGGAGGAGAGCGGTGTCTGTCAAGTCTTATTCGAGGGCAGAGCAACGCAAGCAGGCAGGCCCACAGAGACGGGCCAAGGCATAGAGTAGGAGTAAGAACAGGACAAGAACAAGAACAAGAACAAGAACAAGAACAGCAAGACTGGCACGGGGAATACGAACCAGGTCGGAGGGCTGGGACAAGTTCAGGAGTCAACAAGTGGTATAACAAGCACACAGGGCTGGGCCAAACGGCGAGCAATCCGGCGTGTAAGGACCGTTGGAGGACCGTCTGCACAGCAGCCGTACCGTCGTGTCTGCTGGGGGTGGTGGTGGCAGGTGGGCGGCCTGAGGGCCTGTGGGCTCTCAGTTCGGGATTTCGTCAGAAGCTGTGACGCGTTGAGCGAGCTCAGACAGGCGGGCAGGGTGGAGCAAGGAAGGTCCAAGGTGTGACGGCGACAAGCAAAGAAGCGAGGTTCCGTTGCGTTGTGATCCTGGTCAGTCAATATAGGACAAGGGTTGTCGGGCAAGTGGGGAGTTTTGATGGGGAGGGCGAATGAAGGTGCCGCTGCAGTGGATCGGGCAACTTTAACTGGGAGAGGTCCGCGGTGGGAGAGCAGCAGTGCCGTACGAGGCGATGTATCGCAGTAAACTATGAGAGAATGCTCGGTGGCTTGGAGGGCTTGGTGGGCTTGGTGGGCTTGGTGAATCAGCACGAGGAGGGCTGGGAAGCAAACAGGCTGACGGGCAGATCTACGTGTGACGGCCGCCAACCTGTCTCGTGTTAGACAAGAAAACCCGGACCGGGACAGTACCAGCACGGCAGAGTCGGGTTGGCGCCCAGACCCTCACAAGTGAGTGACAAACGACGAACAGAGATCAGGAGGGAAGCCGGGAAGGGGCTGCCGCCCTGGAATACGAAAGTGGCCGGAGGGGGCGAGGCTAGGCGAAGGCGAAGGCGAGGGGGGGCGAGGCCTCGTCGGTTTCGTTGGACGTTGAATATTAGGGGATTGGGGCACCCTTAAGATCAAAAAAACGTTTCTGGACTGCTTTCTGGTAGAGCTAACAAGTTCACCAGCAACCCTTGAAGATGTCATATCATGTCATGCCCCAACGGGACTGGTACGGCCTGCAGGCGCATACAAGTGCCGTGGATAGATGAATAGGAGAAGCTAGGCGATGGCTGGCTGGCCTTGTCCGGTCTGGTGGTATCCCGTGTTGCAGCGGTCGCCTGGCTGGGCGTTGCGTGTTTGTGTTGGCAACTAGGCCTCCTGGCAGGCAGGCCAGGCAGCCCGCAGCTGACGGGGGGCACTTGACCTTGCGCGCCGTTGCTGTCTGGTCTGTTCACTCTGTATCTTTCGTCTCTGCCGATGCTATAGTAAGTTTCTATACGAGCTGGACGGGTTGCGAATGTGCATCGCTACCTACCTAGGTACCTAGGTACTTAAGTAGGTGCCCGGATACCTAGATACGGAGGTACTTAAGCAGGTAACCAGGTACCAAGGTACCTGTATCCAGGTAGGGTAGGGTAGTCCCGCGGCCTTAGGCTTGACTTGACAGTACGCACCAGAGTCCACAAGACGAAGTACATGTACTGTGTAGGATTCTGAATCCCGTCATTCTGCCAAGTCCCCAATCCTACAGACCGGTGACCTGCATGTACGTCTGTACGGAGTGCTGGGCAACAAAACGGGTGCTGGTGGGAGCCGGCTGCCCCAAAGTGCCGGGATGTGCGGACGCTGGGACGCTGGCCGCGTGGTTACCGTCCCACGGGGACTCAACTCAACGTCGCACTAGATGTACAAGTCCGTCTTCTGGAACAACCCGGAACGCCTGAACGCACTGAAAAGGGGTGCTGCCAGCCCGCGGTCACAGTCAGTGCCAGTCCAGTTGTCCTGACTCGGGTGGCTTTTTGTCCCGTCTTCAAAGACAGCACCTCGGGGTCGGGTCTCGTCCTCAATGCCGACCAAGGCCAAACACCGAGAGAAGGTCTATTTTAGGCTCAGTTGGCAGGCTGGGCCGGCCAACTACACTACCTACCTAGGTACGGAGTGCGTAGGTGGTGAGGCTGCCCCGGATCGCCTATCGAGAATCCATCAAGCCATCGCAGATCATCCCGCGTTCCCGCCTGCCCGCCTGCCAGCCCGGCGCACGATATCACGTCTTGGCAGCGACTCCTGCCCCCGCTGCCCCGGCCCCTTTTGCGTGGCTTTTGCGTGCTGTGGCATTTGAGTGCTATGGCTTTCGCATCAGGCACAGCCAGCCAGCCAGCACGGCTCGCCCTGGTCTGGGTCGGTCCCATCCAGCCCGCCATCGTCACCTACTGTGTACTTATTAAGCATCCAAGCTGCGGCCACAGTGGCGTGCCCCACCCGCTGCTTCTCCGTCGACTGCAAGCTCGCCTGTCTGGGATACCCCCATCCGAGCCCAGGGGCTGAGGGCCTGATCAGCACCCCATCTTCTCTCCGTTTCTGCCGCCACCGTTTCCCCCCCGGCAAGACTGCAGTGCCACGGCAGTGCTGGGCAGTTGTTCAGGGTGCCAACCGTCCCTCTGAACCCAACCCAGGCTTCAAGCGTCTGGCCGTGAGCCTGGTCAGCCTGACAGCCGCCTGCGGAACCGCCAATTCCGCTTCTCTGTTTCTCGAGATGGGACAAGCCGCTAGCCCACGCGATGCAATTCTTCGCTGTTTCAACATGCCCTAGTCCTTACGGCGAGGCCGTGCCGGACGACGGCACCAGAGCAGCAAGAGGCACCGCAGCTTGACAGGTCGCCTTGCGGGCCACCGCCCTGGCGATCCGATCCTACTGTGCACGACCAAGTGGCTGCTACCGGTGCCTATAGAGGTAGGTACCTGCTAGCAATGGCGATTGTGGGCTCATGTCATGACGCCCCCCATCGTATTTATTTCAGCAACTTTGATGAGCACCACAATACTGCTCTGGCTGTGCTCCGTGGCGTCTGGTCTCGTCATTGAGAACTCGGGCCGGCCCTCATTTGACATTTGGATGCTGCGTGCGCTCTGTTCGGCCGTCACCAACAAGGCCTTACCTGGCTGCCGCCGTCTCACTTCAGCTGACTTGCTCCAGATGCCGTCTTGTATGCTGCGTCGTGGGCATTCCAGGTTCGCACTTCAGGTTCGCACTTCAGGTTCGCACTGCCAGCTCGGACTTCAATGTTGTCGCCTCGCGGCCCCTGGGACCGAGCTGCGTGCGCACACCACGCAACATCCCGGCTGAGATAAAGCCCAAGCCACTACCTGCCTTGAACGGCTTCCTGTCAAGTCCGGCAAGGCCACTGAGAGCCGTTGGTGAAGGCCAAAACACCGCCTTACCTCTCAGACATGCAGCTACCGATGTGGATCGCAGCAGGCTGTGGAACATTGCAGCCTGCTGGAGCAGGGGCTTCGTGCGCCAGTGCGCCAGTGCGTACACATGTGCGTACAAGTGGGTGTCCACATGATGCCTGGCGCAATCTTCGGTCTGGCAGAGCCGCATCTCACAGCCCAGTCCTGGCCAATCAGAGGCGATGATGTGCCCGTTCAGGTGTGCACCCATATGACCTGCTTGCGCAGTGCTGGCCTTAGCTGTTTGCCTCGGTGTCAACTTTGTCAGGCACTTTGCTCCAAGCTTTCCTGTTTCTCTGATTGACCTGGCAGCGATCTTGCCCCTGCCCGCGCCAGAGAAGCGATCCCGGACGCTGGTCGAGTGACTACTGAGTACGGCCTGTTCTGCTATGATGAAGCCCGCATCGCCCAGAGCCGACGGGCAGGTCATACCCGGTGAGATTCAGACTTTTATCGAGCAGCTCCAGTACGACGAAGACGACGACAACTTCTTCCGCCAATACTTACACCTACCCAACGACGAACCACCAGCCTATGTACAGCCATCTTTAGACGGCGGTGACGACACGTCGACCTGCCTTGGGTCTGAGAGCCATGTACCACCACTGACCTCGGGCCAAACTCTGTCGCCCTCAAGCCGTAGCAGGGCATCGCCGTCTTCTCTCGATCGGCTTGAGGATCTTGACCCCCAGGCCCTCCTCACTGTGCCATGGCCGAGTGGAGGTTTCGACGACATAGATTTCACCGATTGCTTGCGCCACGTCGGTGGCGGTCAGGGGCCAATACCACCCCCGCCAGCACGTATAGAAGAAGATGACATCTCTATCCATCTGTCGCCCCGGAGTCCAAGCCGTCCCGGTCTCGCTCTGGGTCCTCCGGCCCAGGCGATGCCCATGAAACGCGGCAGGAGCAACCCACTGTCAGGAGAGAAGCGTGTCAAGGTGTCCAACATGCGCAAGATCAAGGCATGCATGCGATGTCGCATCCGCAAACGAGAAGTAAGATAAGCAGCGGCTCAACTTTGGCGGCCATGCTCTTCTTGCTAATACCCAGGTAGTGCGATGAAGACACGCCTTGTAAGCATTGCAGAAAGGCGTTCCCCAAACAACAAGAGGTGTGCGTTCGTGAGAAATTGTCGTCTTTTCGTTTCCCTGATGACGGCCAAAAGAGTGAGTTGCGCCCGGCTTGTTTTCAGTCTTCCGTGAGAGCGGCTACTAAACTGCGATCTTAGCTGACATATGGACCCGGGAGCCGACCCACGTATCGTTGTTGCAGCAGAATTGGCAGTTGTGCGGGCTTCCGAGCCCAGTTCTCGTAAAATTCCACCAAGCAAAAGATTCGCCCGGTTTGGTTCTGACCCTTCAGCCTTACGTTGTCAACGCGAGGCCGGTCGCACTTGGAACCGGCCACTCATCTCTGCCATCATACGCTGGGGTCAGTGATGCTTCCGCTTGGAACAGCGGCCCCAGTATTCAACCAATTCCGAGCACTGTGATGGGGCTGTGCCTTGCCCCCGGACAGGAGCACTTGCCCCGCGACCTGCTTGGGTGGGCAGAGAAGCAACTATCAGGAGAACTACGTGACAAGAATGCGCCAGACTTCGAGTCAGCCATACTCTCCTTTCTCCTAGTGTACCGCGACAGCTCCCCGGAATTACAGGGCTCCTCCTCCAGCTCGAGCTCCGGAAAGAGAAAGGCGCTCGTTTGTGTCGACCCGGAGAATCTTGTTCGCAAGATCTGCGAGATGAGGTGCTGGTACTTGATCTGGCAGACGTCGAAATTGTATGCGTGCGCACATGGAGGTGCACCTAACTCAGATGGACGCAGCGACAAGCACTCGAGACTGCCACCCACGGCGCTCTGGGAGCTCAGGAAGATAACAACAGAGGCGCTCATCGCTTACGAGAAGGAGATCCTGCTTGAGCTCGACGAACTCTCTCCGGATGCAGCCCGACTGATCGAGCTGCCGCTATGGGCTTGTATGTGGCAGATGATTCTCATCTACCGGCAATTGGTTGCGGGATACTCAAACCTCGCCCGCAGCCGGCTCGTGAGCTCGGTAGACGGCGGAACGGCTGGTGAGTTAACAGCCACACTTGGGTGTTACGCTCAAGGACTCCTGGCGTGGGCCACTCCTTGCTGACTTTTGTTGACCGCGCCCCAGGCTCCAATGAGATATCCGCGTTGCCAGTTGTGGAGCATCTGTATCGGCTGTTGATACTCAAATACAATGCATATTTCGGCTCGACATCACCTATATACCCCAAGAAGGGCCAGCCACCGACGAGTGAGGTGCTGGCAGGCAATGAGCACCTCAAACGAGAGTGGGACAATGTCTCAGTCCGCCGGAAAGAGTTTTGTAAGCACCTAAATCCTATGAGTCTGGCGATGAGTGATTGTGGCTGATCTTATCAACCAGATCGGACGATCGAAAACGGTGTGGTATCTGACACACACCTAAAGAACCTTGTCATCGATGTTGAGATGACACTCGAACGTCGGCTGCGAAGAAGGCCGAAAACATAGGTGATCGATCGATCCGATCCACGCCCGTGACATTTCAGCATATCACGCGCACCGCCAACAAGTCGTTGCTCCGGCCAGCATGTGCTTATGAACAACGCACTTGGTACGCGGTATCACTCCCGGGGAATGTGCTGTGGATTTATTGTCCAATTGGCGGCTTGTACTTTCACCCTTCAATGGGCTTCTCGCGCAATGTCCGCACGGGCCGATGCACGACGGCTTGTCGATGCCCATTAATATCAAATTATCAAACGCCATTTTTCCAACGATGCAAAGCATACGCGGCCAATCTACTTCAAATCTCGCGCTGTTCACGACGCCGGTTGGACCAAACGAGACAGCCTCAAACTCACAATCTCCATCCCTTGGTCTTTGGGATGTCAAGGCCACATTCCATAGTACATGCTCACAGCTCTGTCCGAGTCGCCAAAGAGCTTTGAGTACCTGTCCTGCCACATCACCGTCCCGGGCTTTTCGGGATCAGAGCTCGGCACTTCCATGAAGCCCCCATACTCGGCGCCGACGGCGTGGCTTCCGCCGCCATACGCGTTGCCCCTCCGAAGGGCCAGGTTCCACGCGAAGCTGCTCTCGACGATACCCAGCATGAACCCGGCGCGCAACATGATCTCGTAGTCTACCAGCGACCTCTGGTCCCATGTCAGGCGGTTATTGAGCACGGCCACCTCAGCTGGCGCCAGGATTTCTCGCTTTGTGACGACTGTGGCGCCGAACTCGGCGGCCTTGGCCGTGAAGCGACGCACGTCCGCGTCCTCGGCTTGCAGGCCCGACGCCAGGTAAACGACCCTGCCTGGGGCCTCAGTGGCGCCCAGGTAGTCGAGAAACCATGTCGCCTGCGCGTCGTAGCCTGGGAAGAAAGGCCGCTCGGGTGGAGGGCCGCCGCCGTCACCGTGAGTCGGTGGGGCCGCGACGTCCTTCTCGGTGCGCAGGTGGGCTCCCACAAAGCGCGGGCTCTTGTCCTGCCCAGGGTTGTTGCCGATCCCTCGGCGCGGGTCGAGGGGTATCCCGAAGCGGCGGGCGAGCTCCCAAAGGCCCGAGGCGGCAAGCAGCCTCACGTCGTCGCGCACGCGCAACAGGCGGCCGAAATCCCGGCGAAAGGCCTCACCATCATAGTGGACCGGCCAGGTGAAGGTGGTCTCCTGTAAGTCTACCCGGACGGGATAGTGACGCCGGTCGCGGGGCAGCTCGCGCTCGTACAAGTCGGCGAACCGCCGCGTCAGGTTCTGCGGGTCCGCGAGTATCGAGGTGTGCGTGCCGTTGAGCACCGCCACCTCGTCCGTCAACATGCCCATGCTCACCGGAAGCGGTTTCAGTAGGCTCGGCTTGTCGTATAGGTCGTCTAGGGACATGTGGACTCGCATCTGCGGGCAATGCCTCTGTAGGGAGGTGACCAGGTGCTCGGACGAGAACATGTAGTCCAGGGGCTGGCCCTTGGCCTGCTGCTCGCCGTGGAGGTTGGAGATATCGGCCGGGGAGCGGCGTGTTATCCGGGGAAGGACGAGCTGGGCTGGGAAGGGAGCAAGTGTCAGTAGCGACAACGGCAATCGCAAGAGGCACATAGCACATGTGGCTAGCTGACTAGTTGTGGGAACAACACGACCGGCCCAATGTATTGACTGACCTCCTATCTCTATCGCGAAGCGTACGCAGTGCAGCAGTCCATTTTTGACCTCGGCCACACCCCCCGGCACGGGCGCACACGTCAGAACGAGGGCCCTGTCATCAGGATGCCATTCCCTACCGCTACAGAGCCGTGCAAGCTCGGAGCCTTCGAACCTGCCGTCAACCTCATTCGCGAGCAGGTCCGACACGAACAGCTTCTTCTCGTCCTTGAAGCTGCGCAGGACCTCAGCGTACCGTTCGCTGACCTGGTTTCCCTCGAGATCCGAGATGAAATACAGAAGGAGCAGTGCTGGCGCGAGGTATTTTGCGATACGGATGAGCCGAGACGCGTCCAACAGCTTTGGTCTAATCATGGTTTGCCTGGGGGGGATGTTCCGGGGCTTCGAGTGACAGGTTAAGGAGGCAGGCAGGCAGGCCTCCAACGAGAGGCTTCGGCTATGGAGAGATCAGTTGTGGTGGATGAACAATTTTCAATCTGACCTCCCACATCGTCAAGAGACCACGGTCATCGGCTCCCTTGGAGCGTATACAGAAAGGTTCAGCAGCTAGGAGTGCCTTGTCTCACACGGGGGTGCGGGCGAGAGCTCTTCTCCCTTTCGGGAAGTCATTGCTTCAGCTGGTTCGGGATCAGATCGCCTTTCACATTGTGCGCGCCAGAATAGCCCCTCCCCCAGCCTCTCTGATGCAGATGGTCGAAAGCCTCAAGAGGCCTCACCGTACGGGTGCGTGCGCAAGGGCGGGCCCGACTGGGCATGATTAAGCTCCCGGCACCGACACAGTGGAAAGTTCAGCCCAGGCTTCGGATACAAGCCCCCGATCTGGGCTGCCTGGGGGCGAGGAGCAGTGTTATCATCGGGATCCGAGCGCGTGCTTGCAGTTCTCGATGTGCCACCCCGTGCTCCGCTGCCGTCGCATGCTGAGCCGTCTCAATCCGCGGGTGCGATTTTGTGTCGCAGGCCCGCTTGAATTGCCAGAGTTCACGCGGACATTGTGGCCCAACATCTGGCTGCTGCTGCTGGCGCCGCCGCTGGGGGAGGCCAAGTCCGACTCGAATTGGCCAGCCCACCTCTCGCCCGCCCCTGCGCAAGTCTGTGCGATACTAGCTTTGTGCGACAGGTTGCAGCACAACTCCCCTGGGGGGCAGAAGTTCATCTCATCTTACCCACGCCAGTGTTCTCGGCTGAGCCAGAGGGAAGATGGCGACTAGGAAGGCCGTGATGCGCTGGATGCCGATGTCCAGTCTTCTGCTCGGACTGATCAACTGGCAGTGAGGTCCAATGCCCAAGCCAAAATTATGGATTTGCACAACTGGCGGCGGTGCACCGCGGTAGAACGCAGATGTCACCAGTCGGGGGGGGGGGCGGGCGGCGGGGCGGGGGTGGGACCATCCGTTGATCAAATGCTGCATGTGTTCGACTCCCATGTGCTGGCGGATGGACCCTTGGGGAAGACGGACGCCACCCACCGGATTGGTAGTCTGTCCTTGACGCTTGGTAAGATTCTCAAACTCAATCTCGACCTGCCTGGTCGGGTCGGCTGGGGCGGGTCTCCTTCTGTGCCACTGGTTCTCTCTCATTATAGACAAGGAATCAGCACAGGCAGGCATCAATTACACAGTACTCGAGAATTAAGCGGCACGCGGGACGGGCGTGGATCGTGCCGCGTCCGCTCTCTTTGCATTACGCGCCCCGGTGACTGGGTTTCAGAATTGATAGAAACAATATTTGTTCCGTGCTACTGGTCAAGAAAAGGCCCGCGTGTCAATATCGGGGGCGGTGTATAAGCATACTAGCGACTATAAGAAGCCTCGTCCGGATCGCCTGGGCCTGGGCTTCATCTCGCGTGCAATTTGTGATGAGCGGCCAGGGGTATTACGGGATGCGGAGTACTGTGTAGTGTACATACTTCAGACGACAGCTTGTGGACAGTGGACACACCAGGCAGCCAGGATGCCCATCGAGAGGAAAGTGAAGGGGTCTCCTGTGTGCGCGCGCATTGTCGTGGGTGGGCGGGTAGCCGTGATAGCATGGCGGTATAGTTGTGCAGTATAGAGAGGTGTGTACCTACCTAGGTACCTACCTAGGTAGGTACTTAAGTAGGTATATATACTCCGTACCATAGCCCCTACACGCAACAGAATCTTGAGGTAACAACAACATGCCTAGCATGACCCACGCGTGCTGTCCACATGCCCAATTCCGCCTGGCTGCCCTGTGTATGCTGTTTTACATTAGAACCTGTGCAATGAGGCGCGATTCTCGGCTCTCGGGTGCTGTGGCGTTGCAATACGTGACATGGCAGTCTGCATTGCATGTCATGTGCACTTGCCTGCGGGAACACTGTTTCTGTTGTGTGTGGACCTTTTTCTAGATACCTACCTCTTAGCACCTACCTCTTATTAGCACCTACCTCCAAGTAGTACCTAAGTACCTAGGTAGGCAGGTGGGTACTTGCCCCCGGATCACCAATGCGCGTCCTGCTGGCCCCACTGTTGGGCCAAGGGTCTCTTGTTGTAAGAGCTGTGTGATGCTATTTGTGGTGTTCAGAGTTCGCGCCGTCGCATTGTTGATACAAGATTAGAACAACCGGTTGGTTGCGCACAGGATCATGATGGGGACCATGCTGACCATGGGGACGCTGCAGATGCTGGAGGATCGAGATAAAAGAGGGCCCAGAACTGAGAAGCCGCATGCAAAAGCGGGGGGGGGGTGGGTGCGCAGGCTAATATTGGACGGACGGTGGGGCTGGCCAGCACCCCGTTTCGACGACGCGTTTTTGCGCGTCGCTCTCGCGTCTCTGACCAGCCTTGACCGCCGTCTTTGATTGGACGGGCTGCTCAAAGCTTGCGCGTGTCTGACCAGCGGGCTGTACGGAGTACATCTACACACTCGTTCTTGTTCTTATCTTCGCGGGTCTCTTTCTCAGTTTTGCATCGCTCAGTTGCTAAAAGAGCATCTTCCACAGTGACCAACAGTGACCCTGGACCCCTGGGCGCTTGATCCTGCCCCAGCTCCCAGCCGTCCGAAACAAACCATCGTGAGCGCACGGCCTCAGCCGCCCCCGGCGCTCAGGACAGGGCACTCGGATCTCTGAACCATTCAAGAGTACAAGACCACCGAGACTTTCTGTCTCACCCTCGCTAGCCAGGTCAAGTCAAGTCCAAGCCCCAACCCAGGCTCGAATCCTCGCTCTTCTTGTCTGTCTTGCCATCTCTTGGGGGACCCTCACCAAACAACCTCGACTCCACCTGGCCTGCGCACCTGTGACCCCAGGTGCCCCCCCGTGCCCCCCCGTGCCCCCCCCCACAAGGCCGGCCCCTCTTCGCATCCACCACATCGTCAATCCGTCAAATCCAGGCCTGATCCCTCAAGGTCCGCTCGGGGGCAACTGCGCTGCAACTGCACCTCTGCTGCATTCGTGCCGCCGCCTGTTCGCCTCACCCACGCCTCGACTCGCCTCAGAATCCAATCTTGCCTTGCGCCTGCCTCCCTGCCTGCCTGCCTGCCTGCCTGCCTGCCTGCTGTTGATCTGGCCTTGATCTGACGTCGATCGGACTGTTTCTTGTTTATCTTATTCCCTTCCTGCAAGACATCCTCAGCGTTTGCACGGCCGCCTGCACACCTCCGCTGCACCGCAACCCCTCGCCCACTGACAGGCAGCGAGCGGCCCAGCTCCCGACCGCGACGCCTGTCTTCCTGTCCGCCCGCCTGGCCCATCCTCGACTGCTGTTCCTGCCAGGGGTCTTGTTGATTCTGTCGCACCCCTCAAAACCTACCAGACGCCGCATCGCATCGCATTGCACCACCGTGAACCGCCATCCTTTAATACATCAAGACGCGTCTGCCAGGGTCACTCCACACCACGTCCAGCCGTTTCCCAGCTGACGGGTCCTTGTCTTGACGTCCTGCAGACAGGAGACGGAATCCTGTACCTCTTCCCAGTCTAAAGCTTGGCCTTGAGGGCTGCCGCACGTCTGTGCTGTCTGCAGTACTGATCGGCTTGGGTCAATCATTGTTGGTGGTGGGCGTTGACCTGTACATGTGGGCCGGCGGTAAGTACGACGTCCGGGGTCGCATGCAGGTCGACGACAAGGGTCGAACAGGTACGTGGGTACGGCCAGACGTGATCGCTGCACGCCTCCACTGCCTTTAGCATCCTCCCGCATCCGCTCCACGCGCTGCAGTGCCTCCCTCCTCCTTCGGACCCGCTGTCTCCCACCCCCCTCCATCCTCTTGCTGTAAACCAGGGAACCCAGAACGTGCGTGCTGTTCCTACATATTCATACATCCCGCTCATCGACCATCCCGTGTTCCCACCATCACCCAACCCCCCCCCCCTTCTACATTGTTTCTTCCCCCCCCCCGAGGCATCTGCCCCATTTAACGCAACGGCGACGGGTCGGCCATCAAACCACACCCCCCCTCGTCTGTCTGTGACGGCTCGCCCATCTACTTCCACGATCTTGACGACTCGATTTCCTTACATTTCCCTTCGTCCTTTTCACGACTGATGTCTCTTTCATGATATTTTCTTGGACGTCCTGCCCCAACACTATCTAACCAGACGATCTAGCGCTTTCCCACTTGCGGTGGAACGAACAAAAAACGTGGCGTCCTGCAGAAACGGTACTCATCAGTCCAGCCACCTTATTGTTTTGGACGGTCTACGGGATTCGACACGGACTCCTCTTCATTAGTACCCCATACCTGGCCCAGGTACTTTGCTTGACGTGACCATCGCCAAAAGTCTCTATCAAGCGCGACATCTCATTCGCGCGCAAACCATTGGCAGCACTTTTGAGAAGATTCCTCCCTTGAGACCTTGACTCGGCTATACGCATCAACGATCTTATGACCCGCCCCGTCCTCTGCGCCAGGCTGTGAACTGAGATATGATGAGCGCAAACATGGAGTCAGGGTGGGGACTCCTCCGCCATGGTCGATTCGGCCTGCAGAGGACCCCAGAACCATCTACGGAGGCCGAGAGCCAAGCACCTTCCACGCCGAGACCACGACTTCGGTTAAAACGGCGTCACGATCCCCAACACCTTGCCGCACCAACACAGCAATTCCTCGCCTCAGTCGCTGCCGCGGACGTCCCACTGCCTAGCGTCGAGGAGCCTGCAATCGCCACGTACGAATCCGATGTCATGTCTTCTTGGAATGATCTGCAGTTCCCGGACGAGGGCCATGATATCGAGCATTGTCTCCATGTACAGTATGGCCACAACCAATCATTGACGTCCCCAAAGACTCCCGCGCCGGGAGCACCTCCGTCCCTAACGCCCTCGAGATACCCAAATTGGGCAAACGACTGGGTGAGCAGCTCTGAATCGAGCCCAGAGCCCGAATCCCGGCCGTCCACGGCGCGGTCACGTACGAGCACATCGTCGTTCAGCCAGTTGTCATCTTGCTTCTCGGACGACGACTTACATTTCAGCCCCGAGACTGGGGGCTCGGAGAAATCCATGTGTGTCGACTCGGAAGCTGGCCAGTCAGAGAGTCTACAGCTCCGAAGTGCGACGAGGATCGCGCGCAAGGCCCCGTGGACACCAGCAATGAGTCAACACCTGTGGGCGACGTACAACATGTATCTTTCAGACCCACGTGTAACACCTTTCCAAATCGGCAAGAGCGGTATCCCACCAGAGGGCGTGTCTAAGAGAGTGGCCCGTCAGGCCATCCGGAGTTGGAAGGGGTCAAGGACGGTTGCCAGGACCATGGGCGCCTCGGAAGCAAGGAGCGGTAGCTCGACACCAACGGCCGCGGAGTCGTCCGGCGTGTTCATGCAGTGGCCACACACTGCTGCGGCCACGCGAGCCCACCTGAGGACTCTCTGCAAACAAAAGGCCCGTGGACCTGACGGCGGCAAGATGCGGTTCTCTTATTTCTCCAGGAGTCCCACACCTTTGACCGACGCCACTGTCCGCTGGGCCAGGCGATCGACACCGGGCTCCGCTCCAACACCGTTTGGGACGCAGGAAATGGCCAAGTCTTTGGCAATGAGTACTTCGGAGATCATGACACCTCAGGGGCCGCTTGCACAGTTGACCAGCGCGGGTGGGTCCGACGCGCTGACCATTACACCCAACCTAGATCATGTGCCTCCGCCGGATGTCGACCTGGAGCCCTCGATGCTCGAGCGCCGGCGTCTTGGCTCGCCGGTCAACGCAAAGAGCTACGGACCAAGCTCGTCGACATCCCTGCTGGATGTTTTTGGGCTTTCTGCCGACGTCGGCCAACGGCAAACCCACACCGTGGGGCCCCGGCGGACGCTCCAGTCACCGGTCAGACTCAGTCGTTCGTCAACGCAAAAGAGGAAGACGAGGCAGGCTCATGAATCTCGCAAGCGGCCAAGCCTCTCACTCGACACCTGGCTCGACCCTCGCATCCTCGCTAGCGACTCGAGCAAGGCCGAGGATGCCTTCTTCGCCTCTCGGCCACGAGCGCCGCTGTCTTTTGACTCGGCACAGCCCACGGCCCGACCGGCCGTGGTTCCCATCGCCACACCCCCACGACTAGGCTCCCCCTTCTCGGCCTCCAGCTCGATGAGCCTCAGCGTCCCAAACAGGTTCAGCCAGCCCACAGACCTCGAACCCCCCATGTTCGCGCGGCGGTGCTCGACCGTGCATCAGTCCCGCGGAACGCATCCCACCGAGCCAGCCAGCGTCAACCTGGCATCGCGGCTCGCCTACCTTGACCAGCGCCTGAAAGATTTCAATGGTCCTTCTCGTCGGCTTTCCGAGTCATCTCTCTGATACGCCCATCCCTATATTATTATTATTATTCCCCTACTATAAACTCGATCCCACTCCTCTTTGATGGCATTACGATTTGATGTAGCCACGAAATCGGTCTTCGTGTGGCGGATCGGGGCGAATATGGGAAACAGGATCCTGCTCACAGCTTGCTTGGCGTTCGCGATCTCATGTGGTTACAGGTGCACGGATGGCCGTTCTCATAACGAAAGCAACATACGAAATTTCACGGCTCCATGATACCAAAAATGGCAAATGCTGCCCTCAACACGACTCACAGCCCGGCTCATATTCATGATGATATTCACTTGATGCTGTCTTCTGCTCCTCTTTGCTGGTTACTTTTGCGGTTTGGGTTTTGGTTTGTCCCACGAAGTGGGCCGAGACGGATGCATGCGTGGAATAAAATTCCACTTTTGGGTACGTACGGGGCGGCTGGTCAGGGGGGGGGGGGTTTTAAGAACTGGAGTTTTGGATCTGAGTGGACGGGAAATCCCACTCACTTGTGATAAACACGGATTATATCATGAAGGGCCCGCGAGGCACAATAGCTGGTATTAGGGGCTACACAGTGGTCCTAAAGATGATGTCGACGCTGCTCACAAGAGCGGCTACGCAGATCTCGAATCGATCATTTCGGCCGAAAGTTTGTGCAGGTGTGACTTTAGAAAATGGGAGTCGCGGTAGTACTCGGTAGACCAATGTTAGGCACCTGAAGTACCGATGCCAGCTGCACAGACTCTGCAATAGACACGGTCGGGGACTGGGTTGCGGGAGCTTGGCCCGGGACGGTCGGTGGGGAGGGAGGGAGAGTTCAGCAAGAGATGCCTGCCCGCGACGCGGGTCCCCGACTCACCGCAGCGCGCGGCCAGGCTGCCTTTGCCTTGCTGAGTGTCCTTTTGTGCATCTCTTTCTTTCTCTTTCTTGTCGCGCCACCTTGCTCTGCGGCGGATTAAATGAGGATATCATGACGACCACCGGAGCGGGCAGGATGCAGCCCCGCTCGCTCTTCCTCGCCCTCGCCATCAGCCTGCTGCTGTTCTTCTGCGCCGGCGTCGACGCCTCGATTGGCGACCGGCTGCCCGAGTTCCGCCAGTGCGTCGAGGTTCGTGGCGCCGTGCAATCTCACAATAACAGTAGAGGACCGAAGCTGACGCTGGCCTGCGCAGGTGTGCAAGCACGAGAACTGCAACCCGGACAAGCCGCAGGCCCCGATCCGTGAGACACGCCCCTGCCCCTCGTCCAGATCATGCCCATACCACGCACACGCAGGACGGGGCTAATCTTGCTCAACCTCCCTCACAGCTCTTCTCCACCGCCTCCTCCTCTGGGACTGTCCCCAGGAATGCGACCACGCCTGCCAGCACATAACCACGGCCGCCCGCGTGTCGGCCGGCCAGCCCGTGGTGCAGTTCTACGGCAAGTGGCCCTTCCGGCGCCTCCTGGGCATGCAGGAGCCGCTGTCGGTGCTCTTCAGCATGGGGAACCTGTGGGCGCACGCCGATGGCCTGCGCAAGGTGCGGGCGGCGATCCCCAAGTCATACACCCTGCGGCCCTTCTACGTGGTGCTCGCCCACGTCGGCATCGCCAGCTGGGCCCTCAGCTCCGTCTTCCACACGCGCGACTTCGCCGCCACCGAGCAGCTTGACTACTTCGCGGCAGGCGCCAACGTCCTCTACGGGCTGTACTACACCGTTGTGCACCACTTCCGGCTGGACCGCCGCGCGCCCCGCCGCCGCAGCCTCCTGCGCGCCTGGTCCCTGCTCTGCGGCGCCATGTACGCCGGCCACATTGCCTACCTCAAGCTGTGGCGTTGGGACTACACCTACAACATGGCCGCAAACGTCGCCTGCGGCCTCGTCCAGAACGCCCTGTGGTCATGGTACTCATGGGTCAAGTACGAGCGCACCGGCCGCAGCTGGGCCGCCTGGCCTGGCTTTGCCGTCGCATGGATCATGCTCGCCATGAGCCTCGAGTTGTTCGACTTCCCTCCACTGTGGGGCAGCCTCGACGCCCACAGCCTATGGCATCTGGGGACCATCGGGCCTACGATCCTGTGGTACAAGTGAGTCGTGTGCCATGTTCACTCTTGTCTACCAATGCTAACACCACTGCCTGGCAGCTTCCTGATCAAGGATGCCGAAGATGATTTGGCCAGCGAGAGGCTGAAGGCCTAGGCTGTCTGAGAGCCCGGGGGGAGGGGCTCCCAGCCCGCCGAGACACAGGTCGGAAGACACGGGGCAGAGGGGAAGTGGCTAAATGTGTCTACTAGTTGGTCTACACGCGATATAGGACGAGGCCAACACTCTCAAATCTCTCTACGTGGTTCATGGTACACTTATGGCATATTCATGCGTCGCATCCCAAAATACCTGCCCACATTCTAAGCATGGTTTTGGCCATCCTCTTAATTGTAGGTATCTGGTTGTGCTTCTATTCCGCATACGTCCGGGGACATATATGGCGCCTTCATACGGTGGTAAACGCTCAAGACCCAGGACTTACAAAACATACGGTATCCATACCAGTAGTTAAAATACGATGGGTGTGTGTAGCCTCAGCCTTGCGACGTATGGATAAGGCTAAGGGGCACCGTCTTGACAGTAGTGTTGACTAGAACGCCGCAGAAGTAGTAAAAAGAGAAACAAAAAGAGAAGCAGATAGAAGAAGAAGAAAACAGAAACAGACAGAGCCAGTCTTGTACAACGTCCCAGGGTTGTTTACTAAATTCTGAACATCACCTGGATGTTCATACTCCAGATTGTCACCACCTTGTCAGAGAGCTATTCACGATTCCAGCTCTACTGCAAAAGCCTCAAGCAATGGCGAGGCTGTCCTCGCCACCTGGGCCGGTCGATGTGCCAAGCCATAGCACAGAGCGAGATCTTCTGAGCTAACGCAACCATCCAATGCAGCTTTCTAGGGAGACAATGTCACGAGGAGCGATGAAGCTCCGCAAGTGCCAGGAGTTTGAGGGCGATAATCTCCTAGGTACTTACCTAAGTACTACTCGAGCATCAGAAGGAACGTGTCTGGGTGCTAGGAGAGCCCTGGAGCCTTGTATACGCTATAGCCAGTGAACACAGACCTATTTCTTATCCTCCAAGTCAACCAGCCACAGGCCCTGCCTGCTTCTTTATTGTTCAGGGGCCAGAGTACACATGGCACCCAGAGAGGTACTTAGGTAGCAATACCCCCCGTCTAGGTCAGATCCTCAAATGCCAATCCCGCCAAGATCGAGAGTCAAGAAGCCGGACAATACTTTCTGAACTCTACGGGCTAAGCCCAGGTAGCTCTCGAACCAATTGGGCTCTATCCTCATGCAACAAATCCTGCAAACCAAGATCTGTCCCGGCTCAGCCCACTGGAAAACATGATCCAGACCGGTCGACGGGTGTCACTGCAATTCAGCTCATTCCCCTCCAATTAATCGGCTCGCAGCCTTCAAAGACTCAAATCTGATATGGGGAGGTATTCCACCTGTTAAAGCGCGTCCCGGGTAGTCGGGCTTGGCCTGCTGGTCAGGGAGGACACCTGCGCCCCTATCGAATGGTCTTTGTGTTCCACAACATGTGCACGCGTCAGTGGTGAACACACCTCTTGAATATTCGACTTCCGCAAGTTACCAGCGCAGAGTCTCTTGAATGTGAGCCCCCCATTGGCGCCCAGGTGCCCCACCCCCAACATCAAGGAGAGGGTGGGAAAGAAGAGGGAATGCTGGACAATGATTTAATGCTCGTTGCAGGTGGTGAGACCCGGATCTTACCCAGCTATCTGAGTCGAATTCACCCATCACCCTCATCGATTTGTTTTGCATGCGCAGTGCCACCTAGCACAGACTATTTCAGACGTGCACAATGCAAGATGGGAGATCGTGGAACGATGGCGAAGATCCAATCGCGGACATGTGATCGAGACCAGCACACCATGGCTTTTAAACCCAGCAAATCAGACTCTACACTACAATCCCGACCCTCAGGAGATTTGCGCTGGCTCCCTGCACCCGGCAGATGTACCCATCTTTCAGACCTAGCCAAAGCCAGATCCGCTTGGAATATGTCCGGAAAAGCATACCAGTGCCAAGATATGGATGGGTTGGCGAGAAGACTGGTGTCAGCCTCATCCGCGGCCTGCATTTTGGATATGGACTGTGCAGAACAACACAAAAAAGCAACGCGGCCCGGCTGACAGCGGTCTCATCACCCCTGTATCACCGCAAGGAGTCTGATTGTCATGACAGACTGCACGTATCGACCATGTACACTTTGTTGTTTAATGGTCAAAGAAGATATCGGGATAAGAAGATTGGCATGCTGCGAATGTGCACTGTTATGTAGCTCTGCGTATACCTGTACTTGGACTACAAGGGCTCGGCAACGGATGCGGTGGGTGCCTTGGTTTCCCTGGACAGGTCACAACGCCCTCGAAAAGACTGGCTGAAATTTCGACGAGAGTGAATTAGAGGCCCGACCGACGCCCCCATAGTGGCTGATCAAGGGCGTCCTAACAAGGAGACAGCTTCTGCCCCACAATCATGGTTGGAGCCGCAGTCCCTCTGTTGAGCGAGGCCACGATCACGAGTCTAGATTTCCCAAGCTGCACGTACTTGCTTGATGGGCGAGGAAGGGTCCAATGACAATGTGGTCCGCTTGGCCTTCTTGGCCTTCTTGGCCTTCTTGACCTTCTCATAACTACTAGTTCCGCTGCCACGGGATTTACTTCCATCATACCAGTCCTGGCAAACGCGTGAGATGTGGCCCTGAGTGATTGTAGGCTAATAATTGGGGAGGCTCGGTTCTATCGGGAGGATGAATCTCCTATGAGGAGGAGAAATCGACTGGCACAAAGGGAATATCACAAAAGTGCACCTACCACATCTTTCCAACAGTGATCTGATCTCTCTTGTTGAGCTGAATTCCAAAATAGGAAAAAGACGTGCCGCGCATCCCGAGCCCGAGGAGCTGGATTGGAAGATCAAGCCTCCTTCACCCCCAACATTCCTTCAGAGCCTGGTTTTGAAGCAAGAAAAAATCTCTGGTCAAACGAACAGATTCCGGCCATGTCGAATCCGGAGCCATGTGTTGGACTACAGACACCCGTCGGGTCTATGCTCGACAACGTAAATCAATCAACTGCATGTGCCCCTCGTCTTCTCACGGCTGATGTTGGATCGATGGAAAATGGGATTGGAGGGCTGCATAACTGCAGAATGCCAAGTGACCCTTTTTACCATACCATCACCAGTCTAGGGAGCCCCAAAGACCTGGTTAGGAGGACGCTAGCCACTTGCGAGGCAGCTGGATACCCAATTTTAGACTCCATGGCGACGGAGTACTACGCTGTCTCGTTGCCTACCACTACTTATTGGGCACCGACACGGAGCCGCAGCAGCTCCCGAGATCTGCCCCAAGTCCCGGACAGCTCTTATACGGCCCCATTGCCTTAGGGCCACGAGGGGCGGGACATTTGGCCTCACAATAGGCCCAGACAATTCGTCAGTCAGTATTAAGAGTTACTAAGAATATTCTTAGAAGCGAAATAGGTTGTCTTAGGATAGCATATAGGGACTATAATATACTTCTTTATATTATATAAATAATTTTTAATTATTTTACTTTTTTTATATTATATAACTTAAATTAATATAATATAATATATTATTATTATTATTATTATTATTATTTTATAAGTATAAAATATATAAATAATAATATATTTATTATATAATACTATTTATTAATTTATATATTATATTAAACCTAGGTGCTAATATCCTACTTAAGTTTATTCTATAGAAAGTGTATGTTGTGTATTGCTTAAGCCTTTACTAAAGAGGTGTGAGAAGGTGGCTACATCCGGTTAGGTAAATATGGTGTACTTGGCCCTGTGTGACGGCTATAACTACTATATAAGTATATGCGTTCCTTCTTATGAATCATCACTCGAACCAGACTTCGGTTTGAGGTGTTTGAAGCCGGCACGTGATTGACCGGGGGTGGGGAGCGCCAGAGGCAGGAAGACAGAAGAAGTCGGCATTGCCTCGGCAAATCCCCAAGAAATAAGCCGACGGTGATTGGCTCCTTCCTCGACGTTCCGGTTCTGCCCAGTGCGACCTTTCTCGCAACATCATCCATTCTCCCAAGCTGCAACTTCACATACACACAGCTTGCAGGGCGAGTTTCTTGTCTACCGGAACGCACCTCTGTCTTGTTTTGACCCTAAGACCGTGACCAGTTTCGACCATGGCCCCAACAATGGCTATGAGGAGGCTTCTTTCGACGCCGGCTGTGAGCTCTCCCCCATCCTCTGCCCTTGCCCGGTTACATGCGCGCCCCATCCTGCTCGACTCGAGCTCTGCCACGTCCCATCTGCTCACCTTTTCCACATTTGATAGCTAACACAATATTGTACACAGGTGTCCCGCCTGGCGAGAAGCCAGTCGAGGGCATTCTCCTCCACTCCAGCAGCCGGTATGCTTTTGCCCACCACCCGTCGCCACACAGCTCGGATCTCCCGAAACTGACAGGATCGTCCACAGCCAAAATATTCGCGAACCGACCTCTGCGAGCCCAAGAGGCTTCGCCTTTTGTTAGCACCAAGTATCCAGTCATAGTGCGTCCTGTCGATCGTTCCCACCGCCACCCCGCCCGTCCCTGCATCGGCTGACTTGAGGACTCACAAAAGGACCATGAATACGATGCCGTCGTCGTCGGCGCCGGTGGCTCCGGTCTACGGGCTGCCTTTGGTCTTGCCGAGGCAGGTTTCAACACCGCGTGTATATCGAAGCTTTTCCCTACGAGAAGTCATACAGTCGCTGCACAGGGAGGAATCAACGCAGCTCTTGGGAATATGCATGAGGATGACTGGAGGTGGCACATGTACGACACCGTGAAGGGTTCAGATTGGCTCGGGGACCAGGACGCTATCCACTACATGACACGAGAGGCACCCGCCTCCATCATCGAGCTCGAGAACTATGGTTGCCCTTTCTCACGGACAGAGGATGGGAAGATGTAAGCTCGCCCCGGCGTCGGATTGCGGAGATTGTGGCTGACTTGGGGTCACAGCTATCAGCGTGCCTTTGGCGGCCAGTCCCAGAAATACGGCAAGGGCGGACAAGCCTACAGGTGCTGTGCTGCTGCTGACCGAACTGGCCATGCTCTGCTACACACTCTTTATGGCCAGTCCCTGCGACACAACACCAACTACTTTATCGAGTACTTCGTCATCGACCTGATCATGGAGGACGGTGAGTGCCGGGGTGTGCTGGCCTACAACCAGGAGGACGGTACACTGCACCGGTTCCTCTCCAACAACACAGTTCTGGCCACGGGCGGCTACGGGCGAGCATACTTCAGCTGTACCTCTGCACACACGTGCACCGGTGACGGTATGGCCATGGTCGCCCGTGCCGGTCTACCGAACCAGGATCTTGAGTTTGTTCAGTTCCACCCGACTGGTATCTACGGTGCTGGCTGTCTGATCACGGAGGGTGCTCGCGGCGAGGGCGGTTACCTGCTCAACGGCCAGGGCGAGCGTTTCATGGAGCGTTATGCCCCAACGGCCAAGGATCTCGCCTCCCGTGACGTCGTCTCTCGGTCTATGACCATGGAGATCCGAGACGGTCGCGGCGTTGGGCCTGACAAGGACCACATCTACCTTCAGCTGAGCCACTTGCCCCCAGAGGTCCTGCACGAGCGCCTGCCTGGCATCTCTGAGACGGCTAGCATCTTCTCGGGCGTCGACGTTACGAAACAACCCATCCCCGTCCTGCCTACTGTCCATTATAACATGGGCGGTATCCCAACCCGATACACCGGAGAAGTGCTCACGGTCGACGAGAGCGGCAACGACAAGGTGGTCCCCGGCCTGTTCGCCTGTGGTGAAGCTGCTTGCGTGTCCGTCCACGGAGCCAACCGCCTGGGAGCCAACTCTCTTCTGGACTTGGTTGTCTTTGGCCGTGCTGTCTCGCACACCATCCGCGACAACTTCACGCCTGGTGCGAAGCACAAGCCTATCAGCGCTGACGCCGGGGCCCAGTCAATTGAGATGCTCGACCAGATCCGCACCTCGGATGGACCCAAGAGCACGGCCGAGATCCGACTGGCGATGCAAAAGACGATGCAGACGGATGTGAGCGTGTTCAGGACACAGGAGTCTTTGGACCAGGGTGTAGAGAAGATCACCGAGGTCGATGGGATGTTCAAGGATGTTGGAATCAAGGACCGCAGCATGATCTGGAACTCGGACCTCGTCGAGACCCTGGAGCTGAGGAACCTCCTGACCTGCGCGTGAGTACCAACCAAGGATTGGGTTCCGTATGGGAGTTTTATTTTGCTGACGAGCAGTAGTACCCAAACCGCCACATCCGCTGCCAACCGAAAGGAGTCTCGCGGTGCCCATGCTCGCGAAGACTATCCCGACCGGGACGACGCAAACTGGATGAAGCACACATTGTCCTTCCAGAAGGAGCCGCACGGCAAGGTGGAGCTGGCGTATCGCAAGGTTATCGGCCACACGCTTGACGAGGCCGAATGCAAGGCTGTCCCCCCCTTCAAGCGTGTGTACTAAAAGTGTGTGAGTAGGTGAAAGGTGGTGGCAGAAGCATAGACTTTGGTGTCGGGTCCGTCGCATGGCCTGGGATTGTGTGGTGGGACAAGAAAGGTTGGGCAGAGATAACTCGGCGATGGACGCGATTGGAATCGGTAGTGGAAGAAGGCCTGCCGGTCGGTTGCTCGGCCGCGTCTGGGGGATTCGCCAGGCAAGCCAGCAGTGGAGGAAGCAGACGGAGAAAATACCTCGTTATAATGTCATTTTCGGCATGTGTATATGGCAGTCAGGCCAAGGTGCGAGAGCAAGACTTGTTAAGTACTGTACGGTTTTTACAAGCGTCTTCATTTATCTTCTGTGGAACAGGGCCGTCGCCCAAGATCAACATGGGCCTGCCGATACCGTGCCCCTCATGTTGATTGTGTCATTTCGGGCAACAACAATGTCCCAGGCGTCCCCGGTCCCAGAAGCGCGCCTCACAGACTCTGTGCGGACGACATATTCATCGCCGGCATAGAGGGGTGAGAGTGCGCGGTAAACGATGTCAGCCGGCTCCCTGGCAGCGCCATGGACATCCCTCCAGTAATCCATCATGGCGATGAGATTCAGAGGCCCGTGGACAAGAGTGGCTGGGTGGCCCTCGACATTTCTCGTCCAGCCCTCGTTGTAGTGGATCATGTGGCCGTTGAAAGTCAGGGCGGAGAAGCGGAACAGCGCGACAGGCGACCACCGGAACCTGCGGTGCGGCGTGCCTGGTTGCAAGGTCAGCAGGGTGGCAGAGCAGGGTGGCAGAGCAGGGGCACGGGCGGCTCACGCTCACCAGAGCCATGCTTGGGGGGCACATCCTCGACTGTCGAGTGGCGCCCGACGGCGCCCGGCACGAGGCCGGCGACGTGGGCGTCGGACCTGGCAAGGGCGTCGGTGGGCGGCGGGCGGAACACCCAGGCGCGGCGGTCGACGAGGGCCAGGCCAGCGGGGCCCCAGAACTCCTTGTCGACGTCGACGAGGACCATGTCGGAGCCGTCGCGGCTGCGCTTGGCGGCGGCGGCCACGAGGGTGGTGCGCTCCTCGGCCTCGTCGCCGACGCGCAGCGGTGGGGCGGCGGGGGCCCAGGCCATGCGGCCCCCAGCCCACATGCGGCGCGAGAAGGGCGCCGGGGGGTTGAAGGTGCGGTCGGTGCCGTCGGCAGCGAGGTCCGACTCGAGGCTCGCAGGCGAGAAGTAGGCGAGGTGGTAGCCTGGCGGCAGCGGGGTCCCGCGAGGAGGCGGCGCCTCTGTCACGTCCAGCCCCGGGTGCAGCTGCGGCCGGTTGAGCGTCAGGCTGAGCTTCTGCAGCTGGTGCCCGTCCAGCACCTGCCGCCGCACCCTGGTCTGGCCCTTGAAGGCGTGCAGCACCTGCTGGGCTGCCTCGGCGGCTGTCATGAGCGTCCTGAGCGTCCTGAGCGTCCTGAGCGTCCTGCTGCCCCGGCACGCCTGTGCCTGTCTGAGCGGGCGGGGCGCGGTGCAGAGCGACGAGGTGGCCAATGGTGCCATTTTAATGGTCTTGTTTTCCTCTGGTGTGTCTCAGCTTCTCCCGAGCAAGCCCGTCCGTCGTCTTGTTCACCAGCCTCCAGTTCCATCATGTAAAACGGCCTGTCTCATCCCGGCAACTAACCGGGCCTCGGTTATATGCTGCCATTTTTGGGGCCCGTCCCTGCACTAGTCTACTATATCAGTCGTAGAGGCCTGCCAACCAATCTATATTTCAGGTACTACACAGTAGTATGACTGCACAGGACCAACACGGTTTTCCTTTCAGGCCGGCTCCATGCCGAGTTCAGCCATGATCTTCTCATTATGCTCACCCAGGGCCGGGACAGCATCCATCCGAGCCTCCTCGACCGCGGCAAACCCGGGCGGTATCAAGGCCGGGACCTGGCCCCCCGGTGTCTCGATCGTGGTCCATCGCCCCCGCGCCCTGAGCTGCGGGTGCTCCCAGACACCCTGCATGTCGTTGATCTTTGCGTTCGCGATGCCGGCGCGCTCCAGCCTCGCCAGCAGCTCCGGCGCCGTCAGCCGTGACAGCACCTTGTAGATGATGTCCCTGAGCTCGCCGCGGTTCTCCACCCTGAGGCTGTTGGACGTGAACCTCGGGTCCGCCGCCAGCTGTGCGTCGTCGAGCACATCGCTGCACAGCCTGGACCACTCCCTCTCGTTCTGCAGGCCCAGCATCACCGACCCGCCGTCGCCGGTCGTGAAGGGGCCGTACGGGTAGATGGTCGAGTGCGCTGCCCCGACCCGCGACGGAGGCGGCTGGCCCTGAAACGTATAATACAGAGGGAAGCTCATCCACTCGGCCATGCTCTCCAGCATCGAGATGTCGATGCGCCTCCCCTTGCCCGTCCTCCCCCTCTCAATCACCGCGCCGAGGATGTTGGTGAGGGCATACATGCCCGCCGAGATGTCGGCGATGGAAATCCCGACCTTGGCGGGCTCGTCCTCGGTCCCCGTCACAGACAGCAACCCCGCCTCGGACTGCACAAGGAGGTCGTATGCCTTCTTATCACGATAGGGCCCGTCCGACCCATAACCGCTGATATCACAGACTATGAGCCCTGGGTTCTGCTCCCTGAGCACCTCCCACGACAGTCCCAGGCGCCGGCTCGCCCCGGGAGCAAGGTTCTGCACAAGCACGTCCGCGCGGCCCACCAGCGCCCTGAGGACGCCTAGATCCCCGGATTTCTTCAGATCGAGCGCGAGGCTCTCCTTTGAGCGGTTCGCCCATCTGCAACAACCCGGGTCATCTATCATGGCATATGTGAAGAGGGCCAGGGCTGTATCCAAACATTGAGAGATGCTTACACAAAATGCGACGCCTGGCCATTGACCCGTCTGTCATAAGCCCGCGCAAAGTCACCCACCCCGGGCCGCTCCACCTTGATTACCCTCGCGCCCAGGTCCGCAAGCTGTCTCGTGCAGAACGGCGCCGCGATTGCGTGCTCTAGGCTCACGACAGTGATGCCTCGCAAAGGGAGAGATTGCCCAGCCAAGGGGAGGGAGGAGGAGGAGGAGGAGGAGGAGGAGGAGGAGGAGGAATTACTAGCAAAGGGGCGCCTAATAACCCTTGTTGAGAATGCACTGGGGAGCTTTGTGAACTTCCATGATTTGGGAGACAAGACAGGATGTGGTCGACGCATGCTGTATGTAGTCTGTAGTGGCTTGTTGAACGCGTTCAGTAATGCCAAGCCTTGTTCATCATGGACAATCTCAGGTGCCAGTTAATCCTGTTTCTTCCAATTGTATTTCTAGGAATTGGAGAAAGTGGCGGCATGGTTGGCGCGTAGGGGGTTGCAGACACATCTTCGACGAGGCCGCTCATAGACCGGCTGGCCGAGGCGAAAACCCAAGTAGCCGAATTGAAAACAGCCAAGTAACCGCTCATTTATGCCTTGCAGGTGTGCATGCTTAGTCGAGAACTAACCATCTGATTAGGTCATACTGTCTTGCACCCGGCCGTTATAACTTGCTTGGTCTGTTCTGTGGTCCGTGAAGCGTTCTCTCCGATGTTAGACTATCCCGACCAACCATGTCTCGTGTGCTCTTCAGACACCCGTGCCGTACAAGTCGGCAGCCTGTAGCACCAGCTATCAGACTCGCCACCCGAGCACACAGCAAAGGCAGCCATGGCTTCTCGACTACGCCGACAAGACAAAACCTAATGGAGACGACGGGCTTCACGGAAAACCAGCTCTCAGTCCGGGAGGCGGTAGGGGCGGTTTGTGCCCAGTTCCCCAACACATACTGGCAGGACAAGGACCAGCGGGAGGAAGACCCGTCCGAATTCCACGCCGCGCTCGCGAGGGGCGGCTGGTTGGGGATAGCGCTGCCGGAGGAGCTAGGCGGGTCCGGGTTGGGCATCTCGGAGGTGAGTATATTCAACATGACAGGTGCACTACTTCAGTATCCACTAAGCGCTCATAACAGGCGACCATGATGATGCAGACCGTAACAGAGAGCGGGGCGGGTATGGCGGGTGCGCAGGCCATTCATGCCAATGTGTATGCGACGCAACCACTTGCGCGGTTCGGCACGAGACGCCAGCTAGAAAGCATTATCCCGCACATAGTTTCCGGCAAGTGGCGGACGTGCTTTGGCGTCACAGAGCCAAATTCCGGCCTCGACACGCTGCGCCTGGGCACCGTGGCGAGGCGGCAGGCGGACGGGTCTTACCGCGTCACGGGCCAGAAGATCTGGATCACCTGTGCCCAGGTCGCGCGAAAGATGATGCTCCTTGCGAGGACGACTGCGCTGGCCGAGGTGCAGAAGCCCAGCGAGGGGCTGTCCATGTTCTGTATTGATCTCGACCGTGAGCAGCCCGGGTTGGATATCCGGAAGATCAGAAAGATGGGTGGCAGGGCCGTTGACGCTAACGAGGTGTATTTTGACAATTATGCCATCCCGCCCGAGTCGCTTGTTGGCGACGAGGGAAAAGGCTTCAAGATGATCCTGCACGGCATGAACGCCGAGCGCTGCCTGCTTGCCGGTGAAGCTTTAGGGCTTGGTTATGCTGCGCTGACAAGAGCTGCCGAGTATGCCAGGGATAGGACCGTCTTCCAGCGTCCGATAGGCATGAACCAGGGAATCTCTCATCCACTGGCTGATGCCTTCATGAAGCTCGGTAAGTGTGTTCCATCGCCGAGGTGAGCTGTAGGCCGCCGCGAAGTTGCTTTCTCTTGGCGAACGTGAGCGGCGCACCTCTTTCTCTGGACCTATGTGATTGTGCTGATTCTGCTCACAAACAGAGGGGGCCAAGTTAGCGACATACCACGCAGCGAGGCTATTTGATGCCGGTAGGAACGATGCTTCGATACGGCCAGACCAGATCGGGGTCGCCTGCAATAGTGCCAAGTACATGGCCGCAGAGGCAGCTTTCGAGGCTTGTGAGAGGGCCATTCTGACAGTAAGTCTTTTATCCATGGAATTCGAGTATTGCGGTGAATAGACTTTACTGACCCGGCCCGATAATAGCACGGCGGCATGGGCTACGCCGCGGAATACGATGTTGAGAGGTGGTTCCGCGAGTGTCTCGTCCCGAGAATTGCGCCTGTAAGCCGCGAGATGATTCTAAATTACATCAGTGAGAAGGTTTTGAAGCTACCCCGAAGCTATTAGACTTCGATAGACTTGTAATGTATACACATGGCTGTATTCCAGGAGCCGCACGTGAGCTAGCCAAACCTGAGCCGCACAAAACACGTGCATAAATTGTGTGTTGGTAACGGCCCAAGGCGTGTACTTGGAGCGTGTCGGCAGCAATTCAAAGCCAACAAGTCTAGATCCCAAATCTCACAGCCACCTCTCTAGGAAGTTCAGCCCATTGACCTGCATTGGTCCTCCAGGAGACTGTGTCTGGATCGAGGTGCCTAGGATGAAGCCAAGATCGTCGATGGCATTATCTCCCTCCCAATTTGTCTGCAGAAGGTTGAAGTAATGGTCCTCGAACGAGTCTGTATCAGGCACCCCGGTCGGTATTTCCTGGCCTGGTAGATCGGAGTTCATGAGGCCGGCACTGCTCCCCTCCCTGGAAATGATGGCCGAGGTCCCGCCGTCCCGGCTGGTGTCGCCGTCGCCCCTGAGACGCTTTGCGATGGACTCGTCAAGATACTGAAGGAAAAGATCCAGGACCGTGTTGTTGATGCGCCAGAACTTTTGGACTTCCTTCAGCCCGAGGAGGCAAATCTGAGCCCTGTTCTCTGCTAGTCTCCTCCCGATCCCGTCTGCGGTTTTTAGGTTGATGGCATGAATGCACAGTGCAGCAAAGAGGCTGGTGATCAAGTGCATTTGGCCGTACTATCGAAAGTCCTCAGCGACGAAGGTCATGGGAAACGGTGACTTACCTGAAGAGTCTTGCGTTCCAGCATGTCTTCTGCGATGCGACTGATCTGATTTGCAGCACCGAGTGCAGCCTTGGTGTCATTTTCAAGTTTGCGCAAGAAGCCGCTCCGATATATCAATACTCTTAGATGATTGTAGGCCAGATGAAGCAGACACATCCATACAGACGGGCTGTCCTCGTCTGATATCCTCTGCAGGCTAAGTGGCAAGGTGTCCTTCCAACCTTCGAGTGCAGACTGTAGCTGCACGATCTCTTCCTGCGCAGTTGGTGTCTTCCCAGGTATGAAATGGATGTCTATAATGTTACCAAGCAGCCTCGCGAGGTCGACCATCTTGATAGGGTAGATGAGATGCTCGGGGGCGGGAGATCCTAGAGCCGTGAGCGGGCTGTCATCGACGTCGTTATCCAGGTCCTCCACCGTCAGAAGCTCGATATCGCAGTCCTGGTCCCTGATCCTCATGGGTAGACCTAAAGATGCGGCTGATTGTCTCTCGCGCGTGTAGATGGACCACCAAATCCTTCTGCGTATCCTGGCAACCTGGAGGTCTCGAGTGGTCAGCTTTGTGGATCGGTGGAGACCACAGGTCTCGGATAGAGTTATCGCTGCACCGAGCCAGTATCGGACGTCCCGTACGTCCGAAGACTCGCCACGCCAGAAACTCATCAAGAAGAGACTCTGAATGAGTGTGATCTGGTCCTTTTCCCAATCTGCATGGAACAGTAGTCGGGCTCGGGTGTAAAGCAACGACTTCGCCTCTGAGCGATCCCGAAACCCCATGGAGACGATAGCGCCATCATCACAGTAGGTAGCGCCGATAAAGAGCATGGCCTGAAAGAGGAGGGGTGAGATGTCCATGGACACCAGCTGCCTGGCTATCCTTGGGCGGTCCAGTAACGGGAAGCACGGGTGAAACCACTGAAAGTAGGCTTGTACGACAGGCAGACATGTCTGAAGACTTGGGAACGTGAGCGCACCCTCTTCCCTTAGGTATCTCTCGGTGCCCTGGCTGAGGTGGATGACGTTTGTCGAAGGAGAGGCATCGCTGTGTGACTGGGGTGTTGAGGCAGCCTTTATAGAGAACGACATGCGGCTGTTTGGAGGCCCTTCGGCATCGGGAACACCCGCACGTTTGGATGGAACCAGGGTGAGGAAGTTTGACTCCCCAAAGAATAAATTGCTGCCGCCAGAGGAGGCCGCAACCGACTTGCCCGCCACCACACTGGATGCAGCAGGCACTACCGCAGTGTCGAAGCCGCCCGGTGAGGCTGCCTGTCTTCTTGATGATGCCGGGCTTTTGCTCGGCTCCCCAAGAGAGTCCACACCTTCAGATGACCTCGAGCCATCTTTCACACTCGAGTGACGAGGTTTACGCGGATATCTAGATCACTGTCAGCATGGTGGTATTCCCCGCGAAGCCCCCTTTTGGCCCCGTCTTGCCCTCCTGGAACGACCCACCGTCCCCTGCGCGAAGGCAGAATGACACATGTCTCCTGGGCTGACTGGCAATTGCTACATGGATGCCTCTGCATCACGTCACAACGAACTCTTCGGAGGTTGCATTCTTTGCACGCGTGCTTGGCCCTAGACTTCTTGTTGATTGTGCTCATAATGTCAGCGCCGCCAAGGGCGTCTCACGCACGAAAGCGCTCTGGGAACTGGCCGCCTTCTGGCAGCTTCGGGGGGCCCACGTGGTGTGCTGATAGTCTTGGCCCGGATGCAACGGACTCAAATCAAGAAGAGAGAGCGAACCAATTGCCCATGAAAGTCCTCAGCATGCTGCCCTGGTCGCGTTCTGACAGACCTGCCCCATGGGGTGTGGGACAACGAGGATGCGCATGGGGCCGTTGGGGTGTCTTCTTTCGGCGGCTGAGCAGGCTTGTTTGTATTGCTGATGAGCGAGACGCGCCTGAAGCCCAAGCGGTTGCTTTCCTCGGTGCCGAGAGCTCGCCAAAAGAAGATGCCGTGTGTTCCTGAGGAGGAAGTCGGATAGGCAGTTGCCGTTGGGTACGGAGTAACAACTTGTAGTACGGAGTAGGTGTGCGCCAGCCGAGGCCCCAGGGGCCTAACCCAGCGGTCCTGCTGTGCATCCTTGGCCCCAATGGGGCTGTCTTCCCCACACCCCCGCACTGGAAGCAGCCGCCGGGGCCGGAGTGTCGGATTCCAAGCTTCAAGTTCGGTGACCCCAATTCCTCGGCAGCAACTCCGCTGCGTCTGTCAGGGTCCCGGGCTTCAACCAGTCGCAGCAGCAGGGTGGGAGAAAGATGAACGGCACCAGAGAGGATCAAGGACACCACGACGCAAACGCAGCTCCCACCGAGGCCGAGGTGCAGGCAGTTGTGCAGAGCATCAGAGACGCATCCGGTGCCACAAGTGTAGCGACTACGTCATCGCCGTCGCCAGGACTACACAGACCCCAGGACCCGACCCCTTCACAACCACCACAGCCAGGCGAGTTCGACGCCGGCGAATACTGGGACCTGGCAAGCATGGCGCCGTTGAATCAAGTGTCACGGGTCAGTAAATGAGCAAGCTGGAAAGCCACGGCAATGGGCACAGGCACCTTCACACAACCCCCCTCCTCCCCCGGACGTGCAAAGCCAGCCCCTCGTCTTCCGCCACGGGCAGGATAGTAGTGACAAGATCAAAGGCCGCCATCGCCCGCCTCCGCGCCTACAAGCCGCCGCCCTTCCCCTTGTGGGACAAGCTGCCCCTCAGCCGGAGGGCGGCGGTGCTCATTCTTCTGTATGCGGACCGCCAGGGTGACCTGCGCGTCGTGCTCACCATGCGGGCGGCGAGCCTGAGGAGCTTTTCTGGTCCGTTGCGCTTCATCATCCCCTTACTTCCCAGCCGTGACAGGTGCGCTGACCGGGGGCCCATCTGCGACACAGGCCATGCAGCCTTCCCTGGTGGCAAGGCAGATACCTTGGAAGAGACCCCGTGTATGTTCAACCAGCGATGCACTTTCCTCCCCCCCTGCCAGAGCCCTGCCAGGGCTACAGCCCAGTGCCCTAATTTTGACCCCTGCAGACCAGATAGCCCGGCGCGAGGCCTGGGAGGAGATCGGCCTCCCCATCGACGACAATAAGATCCCAAGGCCCTTCCGGATCGAGCACCTGTGCTGTCTCCCCCACAGCCTGGCCAAGACGGAGCTGGCGGTGCGTCCCTGCGTGGCACTGTTGCACTCGGGCGACGACGACGAGGCCGACGAGCCCAACCGGGCCAGGCCGCCGTCCCCGACCGTCGACGAAAGCCTCATGCCGCGTTTGGATGCCAAGGAGGTGGCGGCTGTCTTCTCGGGCCCACTGCACAACTTCCTGCTGGGCGAGGACGAGGTGCTGCCCGGCGACGGCGAGGCGCGGAGGCGGGCGCTCCTTCCAAAAGGGAAATGGTACGAAGGCCGGTGGGCCGAGTTTCACGAAGCGCCGTGGCGCGTGCACTACTTCTACGTGCCTGTCAACCACCAGCGCGTGACCAAGCCCAGGGTGCGCGAGGGCGGGCTGGCGGCCATCGCTGAGCAGCTTGAGGACGAGGACGAGGACGCAGGGCGTTACATGGTGTGGGGGATGACCGGTCGGATGCTGGTGGACGCCGCACGGGTCGCGTACGCGCGAGAGCCCGAGTTCGAGCACAATAAGCATTTTGGCGACGAGGCCATCATTGAGCGGCTGTCCGCCTCGGGCAGGCTCACGGAGAAGAAGAGGCCTGCCCAAGTGGACCTTGCACAGCACGAGGCAAAAAAGGCCAAGGACGGGGGCAGGATGTGAAGTGCGCGTCAGTCGCGGGCGCTACAAAGGCAGCTTGCCACCTTGCCCTCTTTTTTGCACCTTGTTCAGTGGTGATGTGACAGAGTCTTGGGGTTTAGGCTCAAAACAATCCTGAGCAGGGCTATATAATTCCACAATACCTCCTCTACCTCAGGCCAGTCTGCTGCGGACTCTCCATATACGAACGCTATGCTTTGTGAACATAGGGGTGCTAACCCTGGTGTTCTCGGGGGATGCTAGGCGAGACAAGAACGCCTTAATGATGCGCAAAGGTGCTGCAGGTCTGCAGAAGCAAAACTTCACCTGGACACACACATGTAACCTCGCCTTCCTTCTCAGTGGCATTGCGTCTCCTTGTTGACAGGCGTGTGCGCTCCAAACACCAAGAAGCCCAAGAAGGCGCCCAGGGTGACGGCGACCATCACCCAGCCATTGTATGTCATGAAAATCAGCCTGCGGTGGTGACGGTGAACGTCAGTGGGGCGTTCGCGAGTGGTAGGTAGGTAGGGGGGAAGGTGACGTAGCTGGGTTCTGAGTTGGCTGGGCTTACATCAACATGAAGGCGTAAAAGGTCTGCACCGCGTACAGAACCGCCTTGACCAAGTGTGTCCTCTGGTTCACCTGCGCCTTGTTCTGCCCTGTGGCCCACGCCAGCGGCGTAGTCTCAGTAATGATGTCACCTCGAAGGTCGCAAGGTAAGCGCGTGGCATGGCAACATGTTTGTCTTGTTCGGTCATTGAAACTCAAAGCGCAGAAAGACACAAAAGGGACCGCCTTTTCGAGGCCGGAACATTGTCCAGTGCGAACCTTGGATCAAGAGGGCAAGCATAGGGTTGGACCGTGTTGCAGCGATGGGGACGACGCAGGGGGCCAGTCTCCTCTCCCATCGCATCTTCGCTTTACTTCAAAGGGCCAAGTAGGTCTTGCAGCACGAGCGGGGGACTCACTCGGGGTAGAGTCCAGCCTCCGGTCCATCAAGACTTCGTAGCGGCGCGTGCCTGCGCGCAGGGCCTCGTAGCCCATTCCGATAAGAACGACGGCGATGAGGCTAAAGAGCAAACCGGCGGTGGACCGGATGTGCCATTGCTCGAAGACGATGCATAGGTTGGTCGTGTCCCAGGTGAAGAGCATCTGAGGCGCGGCGGGAACAGACAAGACGGTCAGCACGGCGCATACCAGGCGGTGGGGACCGGGCTGGGATCGAAGGAGTCTTGTGCAGTGCTTACGCTCATGCTGCACATGGCGCCGTGCGTGGGCATATCGTGGCCGCCGTGGCCGGGCATGTCGCCCATGTTGCCGTGATCCATGTGGGAGTGGTCCATGTGGGAGTGGTCCATTGTCTTGGGGGGGGGCGGGGTGGTCTCGGGATGCGATCGGCCGGCTTCTCGAGGGTCGGAAGGGCCAAGGTTGGCGCTAAGCGGCTTGTCGGGCGGGCCGTTGGACGGTTGACGTGGTTCGGACGCGAGGCTGAGGCAAGCTCGTAGGTGTGCAGTGGAGATAAAGGGAGGCAGGGGAGGGAAAGGGGAGGAAAGGAACCGAAAGATATCTACTTACTAACGGATGCGAAGGACGAGCTGGTTTCAAGAAAGTGGCTTGAGCCCTGCCACCTGCCGGCGACAGCAGCTGACTGGTACCTACCCTGCTACCCCGTAATTTGCTCAAACTTGCGCAATCGCACCTGGAGCTGCGCGCCACGCCAAGGGTGATGCACCTGTCGCAGGTGGGCGGTGGGCGGTGGGCGGTGGGCGGCCTGAGCCGACTGGACACAACGCAACGACAAGGGGGTAGTGGCCGCATTGGATCATCAGGGCCGCAGGACGGAAACCAACCGATTCACATGCTAGTTTGGGTCCAGTAACGGCACCACGGTGAATGGGCAGTCACCACCAAAGACTGCATGTTGCTCGCAGGACGAGGCCCCGAGTCATTGGGAATTGTACTGGGAATCCCAATCTAACTCGGCCAACGGCTCAGGCTCGGGGAGGCCTCGCAGCTCCTGCAGCCCCCCCATAAACAGCCACTGCGTGGCACGTACGCTCGTACGCTCGTACGCTCGTACGCTCGTACGCTCGTACGCTCGTACGCCCAACGCCCGAGGGGCCCTACCAGCACAGGGGCACGATGGTTTCTCAAGGCCGTTCGTTTGACAAAGAAAGGGGCATCCACATCATGTCTATGTTGTTTATGATAGTACAAAACAATGCATCCCCTGGACCGCTCACGTCTCGTGGAAGACATAAGCGCCCGTACTCTCCTCCACGGGGACCTCCATGGCCGCCTCTTCGATTTCCTTGCCGTCGACGCGGATTCCCGCTGTCATGACGTCGCCGGGTACCACAGGGCCCACTCCCTTGGGCGTTCCCGTGATGACAATGTCGCCCTCCTCGAGCGTGACGACGCGCGAGATGTCGCTCAGGACGCGCGGGATCCGGAACAGCAGCAGCTCCGTCGAGTCCTCCTGCTTCGTCTCGCCGTTGACCTTGAGCCACAGCTCGATCCGGTGCGGGTCTGGGATCTTGGCCTTGGGGATGAGGCGGCTGATGGGCAAGAACGTGTCAAACCCCTTGGAGATGTCCCACGGCAGGCCCTTCTTCTTGGCCTCATTCTGAATGTTGCGCGCCGTCATGTCGATCGACAGGGCGTAACCTTGTTCTCAGGTCAGCAAGCAGCTGCTGTGAGGCGGCCAGTCGACTCACTCTCAATGGCATCGAGGGCGCCTTGCTCATCGTCAGGAGCCAGGTCCTTGACCCTCTTGCCCATGATGAGCGCCAGCTCGATCTCATAATGCAGGTCGACGCCCTTGGGCCTGATGACCGGGCCCTGGCCGGGCTGAAGCACACAGCTTGGGGGCTTGAAGAAGAAGAAGGGCTGTTTCGGCCTCGCGCTGTTGAGCTCCTTGACGTGGTCCCTGGTGGGCGCGGTTGTGAGCGGGCATCCCGCCTCCTCTCAGGTCATGGACGGAAAGGGGGGCCGCCGCGAGGGCAGAGAGGGCGGAACTCACGCATAATTGCGGCCAATGCAGACGATCTTGCTTGGGGTGGTCTTGAGCGATGCCATCGTGGTCAAGCCTCGTCGGAATGTGGTCATCTTGGGCAGGGCTACAGTAACATACGTCAGCCAGCGAATCCCAGGGACCATTTTATATGTCAGCCTCTCTCCCTGAGCCGGCAAGCCTTCTCGGGTCTGCCACTGGTGAGGGGTGCTCGGTTCCGTCGTAGTTCCGCCGGAGCCAAGCTCGGCTCATAGAACACGACCCCGACTTTGGCCCGCCCCTCGGGTTTTCCGGGCCCGCGTGCAGAGGTGTTCAGGGGACAAACTCGCCTTGGTGAAGTGAACCACGCATGGCTTTGGATGGCCGGTCGGTATTAGCTGGAGGGTTGCTGACCTTGTCTCTGTTTATTTCCAAGCCGCAAGAGGCCCAGCACACTACGCACGCACAGCCCCACCACGACCGAGCCCTCGGGCACAGCGGCCGGGTTCGGCGTGCCCTAGTGGGTCTTCGCTGTAGAGATTGCCGGAAGGAACTCTTAATAGTCTTCAAAGCCTACATTGTTATCCTGGCTTGCCTAGCAGTAGATGTCTTCCTTGTTATTACTCTTAGGACACGTACTCCAACTGATTAAACCTACAGCTTGTGTTATTATATATTATCATTACCTTATCGATTAGCGCGGCACATATGTGACACATTAGGTATGCTGCTCTGTAGAGCCAACGCACAAGTGTTCTCTTGCCTCCAATGTTCCAACCAAATCTGGCCGGATATTCCGGCTAAAACCCAGGCCATTGAGCGTATAATGTTTAGACACCGTTCCATCTACTAGTACCTCTATTAATACTATAGCTAACATTAAGAACTTATTACTTATTAAGTAGTTAAGAATATTCTATTTATATAAGTTATATTATACTTATATTATAAATAAATATAAAATATTAATATATATAAATAAAAAACTCTTTTAAGTATAAAGTTAAAAGATTTATAATTATAAATTTTTTATTAATTTTTATTAATTTTTATTAATTTTTATTAATTTTTATTAATTTTTATTAATTTTTATTAATTTTTATTAATTTTTATTAATTTTTATTAATTTTTATTAATTTTATTAATTTTATTAATTTTTATTAATTTTTATTAATTTTATTAATTTTTATTAAATTATTTTATTATATAATTATTTTAAATATTAATAACTTCTTTTAAAATAAAAGTTTATTTTTATATAATTATAAATTTAATTAATAAGTTTAATTAATTTATTTAAATACTTTATTATTTAATTAAATAAACTTTAAATTAATATAAATATATATTATTTTATTTAATTATTTTTATATATATAAATTAAATTAATTAATATTAATTAATTATTAATTAAATTTTAATAATAATAATAATAATAATAATAATAATAATAATAATAATAATAATAATAATAATAATAATAATAATAATAATAATAATAATAATAATAATAATAATAATAATAATAATAATAATAATAATAAGTTAATATTAATATTAATTTATTAATTTAAAATTATTAAAATTATTAAAATTATTATATATATTATATATATTTATTATAATTTTAATAATTTTATTATAAATAAAGAAAATTATTAATAATTATATTTATAATAATATAAAAATAAACTTTTATTTTTAAAAAGTGATTAATATTTAAAATAATCTTTTTAAATATAAAGTTAAAAATTTATAATTATAAAATTCTAATTAATTTTTATTTAATTATTTTATTATATTATAATTTAATTTAATTTAATTTAAACCTCTTTTAAGTTTTTAATCTTTTATTTTTAAATAAATTAAAGCTTTATATTTTTAAAATTAAGTTTAAAATTTTTATAAATTTTAATATACTTTAAATTAAACTTATAATTCTTTAATTTTTTAAAAAATATATTAATTATTTTAAATAAAAATAACTTTTTTAAAATAAAAATCTACCTTTATATAATTATAAATCTAATTATTAATAATTATTTCTTCTTTTATTTATAATATTTAAGTAAAGCTATTATTATAGGATATATTAATACTATAAACTATATAAAGTTTAAGTTATAGACTTAAAATTCTAGTTTTTTACTAGCCAAGCGGTCTATTACACACATAGTTAATAGGTTTCGTGTTAGTTTCAAGTTATATAACAGGGGTTCAAGCCCCCCTATTAGAAAATTATTTAAGATTTTTAAGAGGTCTAAAATAGCATTTAAGGTAATTAGGTAAAGCCTCTATTTAATAAACAACTAAAAAGTAAATAACCTACTTATCTTATTTTATTTAATTTTTAGACTATTTATAGTATATTTATTTACTTTTAAGATACTTAAAGCTTTATAAAGGCTTTAAAAGGGGTAATATTATAGGATATATTAATATTATAAACTATATAAAGTTTAAATTATAAACTTAAAATTCTAGTTTTTTATTAATTAAGCGGTCTATTATATATACAATTAATAAGTTTTATATTAACTATTAGAATTATAAATTTAAATAATAAAGTATAGTTACCTTACTTAATTATTTCTTAATTTAACTAAGTAACTACTTTTAAATAGTTTTACTTAATAAATATTTATTTAAATAGAGTTAAAACCTATATATATCCTTAGAAAAATAATAACTTTTATTTTTATTTATTTTAACTAACTTACTTAAATTATATAATAATTTTATATATAATACTTAATAATATTAAAACTAAATAACTTATAATTTATAATAATTTTAATATTTAATAAGCTAATAATATTAATTTAAATAAATATAACTTAATATATTAATATAAAAATATCTTTTAATAATAAATAATATTATAAATATAATAAATTATAAAGTTATTAAAAAGTCTTATATAATAAATTTAATTAAATTAATCTTTAAAAGATATATTATATTTTATTTTTTAAAACCTTAATTATTTACTTTTAATTTAATAATAAAATTTAAAAATATAAATAGTTTATATTTAAAATAATTAATATATTTTTATAAAATTAAAGATTTATAAATATTTTAAATTTAAATTTAAAAATATAAAGCTTTAAATTTTTAAAAATAAAAATATTAATAAAATTTAAAGAAAATTAAATTAAATTATAATATAATAAAATAATTAAATAAATTTAATTAAAAATTATAATTATAATTATTTTAACTTTATATTAAAAATTAAATTTAATTATAATAAAATAAATTAATTAAATAAAATTTAATTATAAAATTATAATTATATATTTTTAAATATATAATTATATAATATATTTTAAAAATATAAATAATAAAAATTTAAATTTAAATTATATTTAATTATAAAAATATATATAAAAGTAAAGTTATTAAATTTTTAAAAATAATTAAAATTTAAAACTTATTTTTTTTAAAAAAAATATTTATACTTTTAAATTTAAAAAAGTTTTAAGTTTTAAAAGTTATAAATAAAGCTAATATCTACTCACTTAGTAATTATATCTACTTACCTAGTTTTTTTTAACTACTTACCTAATATAAGAATTTATATATAGGGCCTATATAAAACTATATACCTAACTAGGATTCTTTAAATTTTTAATACTTTTAATATAAGCCCCTTCTACACACCTTTTAACACACCTTTTAATATACCTTCTAGCACACCTTTTAGCCTATATATATTTAGGTACTAACTAAGTATTTAAATGCTAATTAAACACTAGAAGGTTAGAAGTTTATAGGGTTAGAAGGTTAGAAGGAGGGTTAGAAGGCTAGAAAGTATATATTCTTTACCTTCACCTTCTTAGCTTTTAGCCCTCTAGTGTTTAGTTAGCGTCTAAACGCTTAGTTAGTACCTAAATATATATAGGCTAGAAGGTGTGCTAGAAGGTATACTAGAAGGGGCTTATACTAAAAGTATTGAAAATTAGAGAAGGAAATTATACTATAGGGTTTTTTAGTGCTAACTTAGAAGGTACTTATAAATGTAAGAGAGTTACTTAAAAAAATTAGTACTAGGTGAGCGGTTGGTAGGAATTAGGTGAGTGAATATAATTACTAGGTAAGTAAATATTAGCTTTTATAAATAATTTATATATTTAATTATTTATTTTAATATTTAATTTTATATTTTAATAATAAATTATATAAATTTTAATATTATTTAAATATACTTTTAAATAACTTTTATATTATTTTTAAATTTATTAAATAATTATTTTTAAAAATATAATTTAATTATTAAAAATTATAACTTTAAATTAATTACTTTAATTTTAATTTTTAATTTAATAGTTATAAAAGTTTATATTATTATATATATTATTATTAAAGTTTTTATTATATAAAAATATAAAGTGTTTTATAATATATTTTTATAGTATAAACCTTCTATCCTTAATTCTTAGGGATTCTAGGGTAGATAGGCATACTTATAGAATAACACTACACCTGGAGCCTAATTTACCGGAGGTCTGGAAAAAATAATATTTCCCAAGGTCACTTCGTGAAGACCATCTGGGCAGCTAGCTCCTCGGCGAAAATACCAGGTTCAAAGCGGGCGTGGCAAGCGTGAAGTTATCCCGCAGGCCGCCAAGGAAAGCCTCCTTTGTTTGACCCGGAGCCATTGCGACGTCAAACTTGCGTGCGATCAGGACTGTCACCCGGCGGACCTCCATCAGGCCGAGTTGCTTCCCCACGCACGAGAAACGACCTGTAAGATTAGCATGCATGCTAACTGGGTAATCTTGCCTTTGAGAAAGAACCGGGATCTCGTCTGGGGAGAGGGCATCTTACCGACCGAGAATGGCACATTGACGGCAGGGTCCCTGACCAGTTCGGGCTGGGTGGTCCATCGCTCCGGAATGAACTCATCGCCACGCGGGAAGGCCCTGGGATCTGTTTTGGAATCATTAATGACTTTCACTTCTTTTCACTCGTGTTCCGTGTCTGGAATGCTGGGATGCAGTCATGGGTTGAGGTTACCTCGGCACATGGTGTAAGTTGGTGTCATCACAATGGTATTCCCGGGAATAAACCGCTCGCCGATCTGAATCCCCTGCGGTGGCGTCTGCCTCTGGAGGCCGGACATGACAGGCGGGAAGAGCCTGAGGGACTCATCGATACACGCCTGAAGGTATCGTAACTTGCCCAGGGCTCCAGTGTCGAAGTCGCGACTCAGCATCCCGGCTGCGAAGAACTCATCCACTTCTTTCTGAAGCGTCTTGTACACTTCCGGGTGAGTTGCGAAGTGATAGAACAAGCAGGTAAGTGTTGCGGCCGTTGTGTCACTGCCGGCAACAACGATGAGGCTTGCGTCCCCTACGAGGTCTTCAGTTTCTTGCCAGCTTGGGTTTGAGGTCTGCTTATATTCCTTTAATATCCAGTGAAATACATCTGGGACATGTGGCTCGTTCTATACGGCAGTCAACTTGGTCAGCCACAAGTAACTTTGAGTTTGCAGCCGATTCGAAGCGAAGATCGGGGTAGTGAGATGCCTTACATCCATTCGTCTCTTTGTCGTAGAGCGGATAAAACGTTGAAATCTGTGATATTCGTGATTTATGATGGGTGTGGCCTCTGTGATTGATCAAAATGTTGGTCAATCTCCGAATCTGTGGCTCTCAAGAGATGCTGGGGTAATTGGAACAATTGGTGAGGACGAGATTTATACGAACTGTATATGGGAAACAGCCAAACGACACGGCTGAACATGCCGATCAAGACCATGTTCAGGTGCGTGGTCGTAAAGAAGTAGTGGTCAACACCGTCTCTCATCATATGGAATGATCTACCAAAGGCGAGATCCTCGAGACAAGTCAGCAGGCACGAACTTTGAGCCCAGAGGCGGAGCGACCAACCCCCATGATGTCAAAGGAGTAGTAGTTGAAATATTTCGCGGCATTGAAGGGTTCCCCCTTGGTCTTGGTGTCAAGGACTCCCAGGAGCTCATCCGTGTAGCCAGCCACGCGGCCTTCATAGTCTTTCAGGGCTGCATGTGTTGAGACTGGTCAGCGATGTGTCAAGGTGACGAGAGCACTTGAGGTGTTGGTACGGCCACATGCCTTTGCTACTAAAGGCTCTGTCCCAGGCCTTGCGGCGGCGAGCATGTTCCTTGCGGTCGCGCACCATCTGAAGGGAGACTGTGGGGTTGAGTATGTTGTACCACGGCCCCCTCTCGCATTGAGAGGTAGCCGAGTGAATGGCGTTAAAGGCATCTGGATCCGCGATGGAGATCTCCGTGGGCCCGACCCGGACGTAGTCGCCGTAGATTCGGTGGAGAGCCCTGACGTCCTCGTAAACCTGCCCGCGCCTCGCACTTAGATAAGTCATGTAGAAGGTTGATAGGCGGGCGGCAAAAGGGCCGGGGAAGGCTCGTAGCCGATGGAAGAAGGCTCGGTACAGGATCATGCTGAGATAAATTCCTGCGACAGCCGTGAGGATCAAGCAGAGCGCATGCTGCACGGCAGTGACCAGGGGCTCAGACAACCGAACATGGACGAAGAGGGTCAGAAGCGTGTCAAGCACGCCGGCTCCCACGATTAGCTTGAAGCTATACTTATCCCACTCCCCATGGCGCAATATGGTCTGTTGCAGAGCTGCACCTGCGGCGAATGCAGCAGCGACTTGTTCTATGGTGACTTGCAAATTAGACATTCTTACGATGTTGACGCGAATCCACCGGGACGGCGTATCGGCTAGGTGGCTTGGGGATGGTTTATATGCTCTTTCTACATACATAGTACGAGATTGGGCACTTTCTCCGCACACTGAGGTGCTTTATCCGACAACAAGCGTGACGTCGAAATACCGAGGCTTTCTCCAACTGGTCCGACGTGAAGTGGTTAAACGCGAGGTTTCAAATGTTCAAAGCGTTGCTGCCACCAGCAGGCCGTTTTTTCCTCCTGTTTCCCCCCCCTCCCCCCTCTTTTCTTTTCTGTTCATACTATCTCTCATCTTTTCTGTTTTTTTCGTCTCTTTGTTTTGTGTTTGTTTCCTTTCTTTTTTCCCCCTCTTTTTTTGGTTTTTCCTATTTTGATTTCACCTGAGCGTCGTTGACGTCACAGGACTTTTGTCGCGGTCTCGAGGGGCCACTCTGGACCCGGCCGAGACATGCTTCAGGTACGCGGCTAGAACTGGTAGCAAATAGTGCACGAGTGTCATGGTGACTTGTGCTTGTGCAAGTCCTGTAGCGTTTTATTACTGTACCGTGCAGGAGCGAAAGAGGGTGGATTCTGTCCACAAGTGGCACACGTCGTCTAAACCTGTCAAGGTATGATCCCTGGCGGAGAATGCGAGTCTGTGGGGATGGGTGCTGGTTGGGAAAACAATCTCCGCACCCCTTCCAGTAAGATAGCCGACTTGGGTCCCCACGCCCCCGAGAAAAACATTCTCGTCTGCCCGGGCCCTGGCCCCTGCCAGGGCTGTCGATGAGAGGATCGCCCACCCGGCAGCCCGGCTTCTTGGCTTAGTGTATCTAGTGTAGGCACTGAAGTACCCAGGTATGCTGAGGCTATCCCTGCCCTTGCCAGTCTGCACTCTGCAGATGTCCATCCCGAACAGCAATCTGTGGCCCGCTCGATACTCCGTCAACCGTCCACAGTACCAACCCGCAACCCAGGGCTGCCAGGCTTTTCGGAATGTTTGGTGCCAGCATGTGAGCAATGGGACCTGTATCGATGAATACGATCATTGGCCCACCCTCTGCAAAATTCGACTAGACTCAATCTCTCTGCGACAAACCCCGCCGGACCGCTCCCACGTGCCGAAGCCGACGACGACGACGCCATTGTCGTCGCCTTGGCGCCTTGGCCGCCAGGCCTGTCTTCTTTTGCCCCGCGGCTCTCCTCGACCCGCAGTCCGTGTTCCAAGGCAGGGCCTCCCTGCCAGAGGCAAGGGTTCCGAATTTACCAAAATGTGGGGCCCTGTGCAGCCGAGGCCCTGTTTGCTGGGCGGCACAATTACACAGACAGCCTGGCAGCCTGGTGGGATCCAAAAGAAGCAGGCGAGGTTGCTCTCGGCATTAATTGACAGGTCATATCAGAGATCTGCCCTGCTCCTTGGTAATAACAACCGGGACCGGCGATATCGCCCCTAAATGGTGACATCCTGTCAGACCCGTAGTCTAGACATGCGACTTGGGCTGCCAAGCTGCTTGCAGGGCACCGTGGATTGAATATCAGACAGGCCGCGCCAGGTGCCTTCACAGGCCTCCGCCGAACAACATGCAGCTTTGGTGCTACCCCGGTAGAGCCAGCTGTCAGTTCCACGGGAACAAGTTGAGGAAAAAACGTCTCTCTCCCCTTGATGCCAGGCTGCTGTGAGGACGGGGCAGCGCCGACGCAGCAGCAGGAACGGCCAGCTGGCACTTGAGCAGAGTGCGTGCACACTTATACCACTTTGTTAGTCCAGCACGGTGCTTCCTGTACATTTTTATGCTGCAACACCGAACTTTTAAGGTTCCTGCTCATCTCAACCCGGTCATCAAAGACAGGACTTGGGCCAATGGTGAAATTGTTGCGTTGCAACGGGGTCCTTCCCTCGCCAACGGCAGCGCAGGGGTCTTGATGGCCGGCCCTTGTATCCCGAACATGTCCCCTCTCAACGGCCGCTACCCATGCGGAAGCTCATCCTTCCTCTGCCAAGGTTCTCCTATTCTTCCCAACTCGTCCGAGTCGGCCCTGCTACTGTGTACGGCACAATGGCAAGGGACCAGACGCCCAGCGCACACGATGCGGGGCCCAGCCCCGGTCCCCAACCCCGGTCAAGGCGTAGGCCCCGTTGTGTGCGCATGTGCGTGTGAGTGTGTCTACACTATGTGAGCTTGTGGGTGAAAGAGAGAGAGAGACCTGTTGACGCAGAGAGGGCGAGCGAGTGGGTGGATAAGTGAGAGTGTTTCCGGCTGATCTCCTCTCGGCACCGAGGAAGCTCCACTGGCCATGTTCGCGCCCTCTTTCCTCCTGTGCACGCGAACGGCGAATGCTCACGCTTCTCGAACGTCTCGGCCGTGCGTAAGGATCTGAGATCCGGTTCATCATTTTTGTCCTTGGGTTGCATGGCCGCCTCTTCCTTCCCTCCCTCTCAACCTCCCAATGGCAATTGCCAGATCCGAACCACCACCACAGACACCCGATGTGCACTGAGTGCAACCCGTCATGCATCTACTCCAGGCCCTGAGGTTTTCCGCCTTACTCGCCATCTGCGCCGCCCTGCCCGCTTCGGTTCTTGCCGACCCGCTCTCAGCCGCCGCCGGCTTGACTCGAAGCCGCTCCCAACTGACAACACAACTACCTCAGTGTTCGGTACGGAGCCATCTCCTCTTCCGGGCGGTTTGCGGCCTGCCCTGACCAGTCTGCCGGTGACCGCTGACGCCTGCCTTGCTACCTAGGTATCATGCTTCGAATCTGCCGTCAACAACTCGACCTGCTCTGCCTCGGACCTGTCATGCATCTGCCAGAACCAGAGTCAACTGTTGAGCAAGTCGGCATCCTGCGCCCTGACCAATTGCACCATAGAAGAAGAGCTGAGTGAGTCCTGACGCCCTTACAATCCCCGGTCCCGATCCCCTTGAGGCTGACCGGCATGAGCAGAGACGGAAAAGGTCATCAGGACGGCATGTGCAGACCCAGTCCGCAATGATGGCAACAAGGACCGGGCTATATATTGGAGTCTCTTCGCCGTGACCATGGCCTCCTTTGGCTGCCGCATGCTCGCCCGCACCGACCGATTCGGCGGAACCCTGTGGTGGGATGACTACTTCATCGTGGCTTCCTCCGTCGTGGCTTTTGCAGTCACGATCGGAGCCGAGATCAGTGAGTTCGAGACCCGCCGCGTTTGCTTACAGGATGCGGCGGCTGACGGTTGGTTTCTGCAGTGGTGATCTTCGGACTCGGACAAGACATCTGGATGCTCAGCCCAGCCCAGGTCACGGTCGTCTTGGTGGTAAGTTCCACGTCCACCGATGGCATGCCATAGACCGTCTCTCTTGCTGCCGTGCCTGGGTACTGACCGCTGGCACAGCTCTTCTACGTGGCCGAGTTCGCATACGTGATTGAGTCTTCGTTCACCAAGGTCTCGATCGTCTGCCTATACCTCAGGATCTTCCCCAAGCAGGGCTTCCGGCGCATGTGTTTCGGCCTGTTGGCCCTCATTGCGTGCTTCTGCATCGTCTTTGTGGTGTCGTTGTTGTGTTACTGCCAGCCGTTCAGCTACGTGTGGACGCGGTGGGATGGGCGCATGCACGGCAAGTGCATCGACATGACGGCGCAGACCTGGGTCTGCGCCGCCATGAACATTGTTCTTGATGTCTTCATCTTCTTCCTGCCGATCCCGCAGCTGTGAGCCCCCAACCCCGCCGGCGACCCGTCAGAGCCAGAGAGCTGTAACTGACCTCTGCTCGCAGGCTGAAACTTGAAACGAACTGGAAGACAAAAGTCGGCGTCATTCTTGTCTTCCTGCTCGGTCTGTTTGTCACCATCTGCTCAATCGCCCGCCTGAGGTTCCTGTCATCTTGGGCATCGTCTCCGAATCCGACCTACGACTACTCCGACCTCGCACTGTGGTCTCTTATCGAGCTGTACGCCGGCGTTATTTGTGCCTGCCTCCCCGGGATGACCAGTCTGTTCCGCCGAATCAAGCACCAGCACACGGAGAAGAAGAAGTCGTCTGCGGCTAACAGCACGGGGGGCTCGCGGATGTTTACGGGGACCAGCAGCGGCCTGCGGTCCTTTGCTCACGCCCAGAAAGATGCAGGAATTGTCAAGACCACCAATATTTCCGTTTCATATGGTGCGAGGTCAGGGGATTCGCTCAGTGACGAGGTTGAACTCATGGATCGCGAGATGGGAACGAGCACACACCCGCGGACCCAGCCGCCGCCAAAATACACGCCAAACTTCTAGCGCCGGCTCTTCAATGTTCCTTCCTACTTAAGTACCTAAGATATGCTCCCAACTAGATTTATACATGGGCATTCATTATACATATGTAAATATTCGAACGGACTGATCAATGTACAATGTGAGGTCAACCGGATGTTCACTCGAGGGCTGAAACCCGTACGACTGCTGAGCAGTCATGGTGTAAGTGAGCAAATGCCACGGGGCTTTGTTATCTAGATACCTAGGTACGTACCTAGGTACCTAGGTAGGCATAGGCTGCGGGCGATCCGGAACGTAGCTTGGTTACTGGTAATAACCTTGGAAATGAAGTGTATCAAGTACCTAGGTACTCAAGTGCCTTATCCAGCGTACTGGTTCTGCCGGTTCGGTTGCCGGTGGTGCCGTTGGCCCATGACTCGGAAGCCTCTCTCCAGCCTTTGCTTCGTGAGCCATCTCGCCTCGCCCACGACGGTCTGACAAGAGGTTGCCGTGACACATCACCACAAGCTTAGAGCTTCTGTACACTACTTGAGTCTACAGGGACCTACCTAGGTAGGTAGGTACGAGCCGAAAGCTTGCGGGACGGGGTTGCTCCTGAGTCGTGAGAACTCAATAGACAGCCAGAGAGTTGAAGCGCCATGGCAGGTGCTGGACACGTGTGAGTCGTCCCACCCGCGGGCCCGGCGAGTTCCGCATCAGGAAACTAATTTGATAATGCCGGTGCTGATCATGTTTGTAACCATTGCATCAGGAACATGATGGACGACGTCCTCATCTCGCATTGTGAGCCTCAAGGCCCTAGAGACGTACATCGTACATCACACAAGCTGGACCAGAACCAATGATCTCACCACATTCCCGTCTGTCCAGTACCCCCTGTCCTGCTCAGGTCGGCCTTGAGGCTTCTCGTCTCACGCGGCGTCGCGACCCAGCGCCCCTTCGTCGAGCACATACGCGCGCAATTGTTGGAGTCACCACCGGCCTTCACCGACGCGTCCACCCTCTTCCCCCCCGGGGACGATGGACGTCTCTCGAAGGACTGCTTGCGCTACGTCGCCTCGACGCGGTGCATCTTCTCGAGCAAGCTGGCCGAGGCCGCACTTCCATAGTGAGCACTGCCCGCCCTGGCGGGCCCGCCGACCAGTGCGACGCTGATGCTCCGACCCAGCCTTACCCATTTCGTTAGCAGCCTGCAAGAAGCAGGAGCACGGTGGGCACCCGGGGATGAGCTGGATAGACTTCTTGACCATGTCTCTGGTGACATTGTGCAGGCCATCCAGGCACTCAAAGAGTGCGAGCCAGAGCCCACGTCAGCTCTGTTTGATGCTTTGCAGGGTCTCTTGGACAAGCTCGAGGCCGTGTCCAGCTACTGCTCCAGCGTTGGCCCCCAGTCCCTAAGATTCCCTTTCACTAGGGCAGAAAGGCAGCTCCGGGATGCCATTGGCTTTCTGTACCCGGGAGCAGCGGCTTCACTCTCGTATCCAGAAGCAGCCAAGACCATCAGCATAAGCGTCACGAAGCGGCGTGCCGATATAGAGACGGTCCAGCTGGGCCCATACCGCATGCCGCGTGTGTTTAACGGGTTCTGGCAGCTCTCTTCTCCCGCATGGGGCAGCGCAAGTTCACAGGGCCAGGAAGCGGCCCTTGCTGAGCTCATAGAGCTCGGCCTGAGCACTGCTGGTGAGTGGATCCTGGCCTCGTGACTCCCGTCCTGGTGAACATCGGCAACCAGGAACAGCTGAACTGCACCGCCAGGGGTAAATGTGTGCACATCTATCCCAGCGGCGTGGTTCTGTCTTGGCCCAGCCAGTGCCAAAACCAGCACGCTTCTGCGAACCCCTCGCGACCCGTCCTGACTGATCGTCGTCTATTAACAAAAAGCGGGTATTCCTCACTAACAGAACCATCCGAAGATATGGCAGATCATTACGGCGACGCCGAGCTGGTCTATGGGGGTTTCCGGAATAGGCTACCGGCTGAGGTGCGGGATGCGGTCCACGCGGCCACGAAATGGTGCGTCTTTGGCCCTGTGAGCCAGCCGGTGAGCACACAGTACGTGCTTCAGGCTGTTCAAGAGAGGTCACGTCGGCTCGGTGGCCGCGTCGAGCTCCTGCAGTTCCATTGGCATGATGTGAGTGGTAATGACCTATCAATGATATTACTGACGATCGTGCATCGGATATGACATGATGTCGAGACTTACATTATCCGCAGTACACCTCGCATGAGTACCTGGATATACTCGTTGAGCTTGTGAAGATCACACATAGCCATCCTGATCTCGTCTCCGCCATCGGGCTCTGCAACTTCGATGCCCAGCACACGGCATACGTCTGTGAGCATATCATGGAAAAGACAGGAACAGTAGGGATTGTCTCCAACCAAGTCCAGGTACGCGATGAGAACCTTGTAGACAAGGCCCGTGCCTAACCGGGATTTAACAGTTCTCGCTAATTGACTCGCGCCCTCTGCGACGCATGTCTGCTGTGTGCGAGAAGTACGGCATTAAATTACTCACTTATGGCTGTTTTGTAAGTTTGTGCGATTGCGAAGAATGACCTTGACAACCGCCCTGAGGGTCAAGTTCGGTCGCTAATGTGGAACGAGTCGAAGTGCGGCGGCTTCATATCGTCCCAATGGCTTGGCCAGCCGACGCCGGAGCTCTACTCCGAGACGAGGCCACTTACACCTTCACAAAGAAAGGTATGTAGTTCCCCTGCCACCCCCGCTGAACTCTGAGAGACTTGTATGCTTATCCACATACTAGTATCTTGGAATGGTGCAGATTTGGGGCAGCTGGCATGAATTCCAGGCGCTCTTGCAGACGCTCTCCTCGGTGGCGAGGAAACACGGCAAGGGGATCTCACTAACCAACATCGCAGCACGCTGGGTACTTCAGCAGCCCGCCGTGGGTGCTGTAATCATAGGAACTAAGCTAGGAGTGTCGAACCACGCAGTTGAAAATCTCAATGTCTTCAAATTCAGACTGGATAAAGAGGATATGGCTATCATCGACATGGCCAGCTTGGGCAAGAGTGGGCAAAAGACAAAGGCAGTTTTCCAAAGTCTAGGAGATTGTGGCAATGAATATCGGGCTATGCACTAGGTCCTGCCCAGGTTGTTAGACTTCAGTACTATATACCAAGGATATCTAGCTTATTCTTGCTAGACTACCTTCGTAATCAAACTTGGTCATGACTCAGAAGGCTCCAAAGAACTATAACAACACTTGGTACGTCCTCGGATGCATACGGAATAAGAATAACAACATTGAACGCAACCAATAGCTTCTACCTGGGTACTTGGATCACCTTCTTCCTCGTCAGATCAAGTCAGATGGGCAGCACGAAATTCTCAAGAAAGTGTCAAAGCCATGGCATGCCTTTCTTAAGTAGGGTGAGTATTCTGACATGCTCCATGATTTGGCCTACCATACGGTACAGGCCATATGAATTGACTTCAGGAAGAGTTACGAGCCTGATGCTAAGGTGTTGTTTACATGGTGAAAAGCGGTGGTCGTATTGCAGCCTGGCTGGGCAGGGGAGACATGGCGCCTGCTATTCATGCGGGTTCACTCAACAAGGCCTTGATGATGGAGCACTTGAGATCGAGGGTCTGGGTCATTAATTTAGAGCATTGTTGGGGGTCTTTGAATCTCTCTGAATTGTTTTCAAGCCATCATGAACCATACTGGCGATGATGATCATTCGTTCTTCTGATCCCTACCAACCTCGCCGTCCCTCGACCACCGGATCATTAGTCAAGGCACCACGAGGGAAAAAATGAATACCTCCTCAAACGAGCGAAACTATTCGAGGAGCTCCGCGTCAAAGCGTCCGCCACACGCTCCAGAAACCTGATGCCCACCCTCCTCTTCCCCCAGAATATACTAGTAGCACATGGACTGCAATCTAGCAGTTGGCGAGCAGGTAGACGCCTGCGCCCTTTTCTGCGCTCCCCAAGAAGCTAACACTCGCATTACGAGTGTCGGTATCAGGTATCTCAAAAAGGAATTGCAATGTACCATCTGAGCGGGCCTGGGGACAGGCCATAGAATTAATGGTCACTCCATATTCACCGGGGCTGACACCAATAGTGCCGAAACGCGTCAGTGTCACGGAGACTTGATTGCCCTCACCGTGGGGCCTTTGGGTATGACCTGTAGGAGGGGCCTTCAAGGCGGTTGCCATCGATTGCCAGGTTGTGAAAGGCGATGGCTCAGGGATGCCGACCTTGAAGCCATCATGGTTGGGGTGAGTATGAAGGGAGGAAGCATTGTAGGAAGCGGTATAGACGTCGAGGCTGATGGGGCCGGAGTCGAAGTTGCCCGACCTGGAGACAGAGTACGCATTCAAAGCGGCAGAGGATGGCCTGTCTCGAGCGGTTAGCCCTATCGCCAGCCATCCTGAAGGCTGGCCGGCAGCAGAGATACGTACCAAGAGATCATGAGCTGGCAATCCCATGAGCCGCTGGCGATGTTGTCGAAGACGACGTGTTGGTGAATGTGGTCGAACTTGATGTTGTCGGCAAACGAGACGGACTGGGCCACATGGAATGCCTTCGTTTCCTTTGCCGTATTGGCCCGCTTGACATTCGGGGCAGATTCGTCGAGCTGCCGCATGACAGAAGGAAAATAAGTGGTGCAGGTGGATGGTGCAACGTGGGTCGGCGCCGCCGTGGTTGAGGATGTCATGACACGGGTGGGAGCCGACATGGCAGTGCCCAAGAGGCTAGAGATAGAGAGGATGACGGACGTGACGCGGTGCATCTTGGCTCGTTTATGCGTATGCTATGTAACAGTGGTGAAGTTTTCGGTAAGAGAATTCTGGGTAATAGTCTCTGGAATTTCGTCTTTGGTCTGGATGAGGCGGATGATTGAGGACTTCACCTCCACTGTTCCCGCGGCCGAGGCGGACTCACCCTTATATACCGGTCTAGGTAGATACCATGCGAGACGGCATGTTTTGATCGTAGCTTCCTTCCCCTTCAACTTCTCGACGCGAATCAGGTGCTACCCGTCACCTATTTGCGTCAGGGGAAGAGCCCATCAGCTGTGCCTTCCTGAAGACATGGATGGCAGCACGGATGCGGGTGGAAGTGACCTCCAAGGTTCTTTCAACCGGGCAAGGCTGACACAAGATGGTCTCCTCAGTTGGAGAAAATCTCATGTTGTGACGGATGCACACGCACACGCCGCGCAGGTATGGCCCTTTGGTACCAAAGGCGAGGAAGGCACCATGAAACGATGGCTGAGGGAGGCAGAAGACAAGCAGGAGTGGCCACCATCAGGAAGATTGTCATGGCCTGTCGGATGTTAGCACCGTTCAAACTACAGAGCAGCACATTCATCTCGACAGCGAATAAGTCTGAGTAGAGAGGAGCCCAGAGACAAGTGGAAGGTGTGGTCTTGCATGCCCAGGTGGTCATTGTAGTCGAGGCAATCCGCAGGTGCCGCTGTTATTATGCTCTTGGGCTCTTACCTGCGTGCATAGACATCCCTACCTACATACCATAGCGCTAATATAGGACTTTTTATATATCATTTCCTTATTAACCCTTTCTAATAATAGTTATAACTATTAATAATTTTTTTTAATAAACTTTTAAATAATAAATTTTTTTTAAAAAAATAAGTGTAATAGTATAAGCTTATAAGTAGTAGATTTTAAGTTATAAAATAATTTAAAATTATAGTCTTTTAGCTAAAATATTTATAGATATTACTTTATAGATTTATTTTAATTTTAAGTTAACTAGGGTTGTAGGTTTAAGCTCTTATAGTTTAAAAATCTTTAATTAATTTCTAATTACTTTAAAATAAGTCCTTATAGTACTTAGAGTAAAGGTAAGCCTTTATTTAATAAATAGTTAAGAAGTAGGTATTTGTTAGGGCGAAGGGTTACGAGTAGAGTGAATAGGCACACGCAGCGTAGGCGTAGAGTAGGCGTAGGGGAGAAGTAGTGTATTAGGTAGTAGTGGGCTACTGATCGTTACCTCCCTTCCTTCCTTCTAGACCTTCTGGTTTCCCTCTATCCTCTTATAGCTAGCGCCGCGCCTGCGCGGTGGGGTATCTGCGCTGCCGGGGCGCCGGTACCGGCGTCCTTTGCCGGCACCGTATCAGAGCCCCACTGGTGCCAGCTTATTGTGACAAACGTCTCTGACAGGCTGCCCTCCCTTCCATGCTCCTGCCCTCAGGAGCGGTAGTGGTGCGGTGTCGCGGTGTTATCGTGGCGTTGCCGTAGTGTGGTCGGGGCCGGGTTAGGAGTGGAGGGGCCGGGCCGTGGCGCGCCGTGCCCTGGGGTGGCACAATAGCGACCGGGGGGTATTGTTGATGTGGGGGTTTTCGGCGGGGCTGGGCCGGCACGGCGGCGGCGTCGCGGAGGAGCGGGGTAGTCGCGGCCTCCAAGGAATCCTTCTTCCGTCCCATTGTTGTCGCCCTTCCTATTGTCCTGAATAGCGAGCCGTATTGTCGGGGGTGCCTATTGTTCTGAATAGCTTCGTTGCCGCGATGCGGGCGAGGCGCCCTCCCGCCCTCATACTTAAACCCTTGTACCCCTATCCCCTTTCCTCCTTCTCCTTCCTTCCCCCTTAGTGCGACCAGTCGAGCGGTGAGTACCCCCCTATATACGACAGTTCGCGAGAGCTGCGCTGACGCATCGCGGTAGCAGCAGCAGAGCAGCAGCAGCAGAAACAGCAGCAACAACCCCAACAGTAAGTCCCCCCTTTTGTCGCCATCGCGGCGCACTCGCGCCGTCCGAGCCGGGCACCCATACTAACTCATCTCCTTAGTCACCCACCACAACCACCACCAACGTTAGTCCCCCTAGCATCTTCCACACGGCGCACTCGCGGCGCTTGCGCCTCATACTAACGGCTCTTATGGGTTCCCAGATGTCTGGCGCTCCTGCTCCCGCTGTAAGTTGCATCCCCTCATAACACTGCGCTTACGCAGTGTGTGAGCTGCGTTTACGTTGGGCTCTCGCTAATAGGTGCCTTAGTCTTCCTCCGCTCCCGCTTCTCCCGGTGGCTCCGCCCCCCAGGTGAGTGTACTCGGGTTCGCTTCATTCGCGCTGCGCCCCCGCTGCGGTCCTCCTGGGCGCACCAGGTGCTGACGCTGCGCCTTTAGCCACCTTGCAAGAAGGTCAAGAAAGCGCCTGGCCCCGCGCGCGCGGCGTCTGCGTGGTGCGCGCGCTGCGTGCGCCACCTCGAGAAGGACAGCACTCATCGCTGCCATCACCAGACCGGTAAGACATATATCTCGCGCAGCGCTCTCGCTGCGTGCTTGCGTTGCGCACACGCGGCTAATGCGATTTCGTTTAGGCACCGGCAAGCGCTGCGCCCATTGCAGCCATGGCAACCGGACCTGCACTCCCGTGGGTACACCCTGGTCCCCCTTTTCCTGTGCGCTGCTGACCCGCTGCGTGCGCGCTGCGTTAGATCCCCTTCGCCGTGCGTGAGCCGCTCCAGGCCTTCCTTCGGGATGGTGAGCGCGAGCGCCTCATGGAGGCGATCCGCCTCCTGCCCGCCGAGGGTGCGGTCGCTGCGGCCGCGCAGGTTGCGCCCGCCGCTGCCCCGGTGGTCGCGGAGGACGAGTTCATGTCGCTGGTTCGCCGCGGTGTCGTTGCGCTCGAGAAGCTTGCGCGCGAGACGCGGGCGCTGCGCGTGCTCCGCGAGGAGCAGATGGAGGATAAGGAGGACGATGAGGAGGAGTAACCTGGGGGTGTGTGAGGAGCGATAACCTCATAAAAAACGCGGGTGGGTGGGCGCGCTGCGCCCTCGCGGGTGCGGCGCAGGGTTGTCGCAGGGGCGACATTAAATCCCCGGGTGGGTGGGCGCACAAAATATTTGTGCGGGTAAAAAAAACAAATGCAGATTGCGCTGTGTGCGCAGCTTTGGCGCCGCGTTGGCGCGCTTCCAACTACCTCTTGATCCCTGCTTCGTATTCCCGTGCTAAGTCGTCCGATACATGGGAACGCGGCTCCCACGAATCGTCATCGTGGCTATAGCCCTTCCAGTGGATGAGGTATTGCCGTGCCGACCGTGGCCCTCGGTGCCCCAGAATAGCTTCCACCTCGAAGACGTCGTCTTGTTCAACCTCAACATCAGGTCGTGGCGCGGGCGCTTCGCCTTTGCGGGGCCTGAATAGCTTCAAAGCGGTGATAGAGACAACATTGTGGATGCGATATTGTGCGGGTAGGTCCAGCTTGTAAGCAAGGCCATGCTTCCCAATCACCTCGAGGACGCGGAATGGGCCTAGATACTTATCTGCGAGTTTCCTGCTCCTGCACTTCTGCCGCAAGTGCTTTGTCGACATCATAACCAGGTCGCCTTCCGCGAATTTCACATCAAGGTGTTGGCGGTTGTACCACTTCGCATACTCGGCGTTGGCGTGGTGCAGGCACTGCGTGATCCGGGTGTGTGCGGCCTGGATATCCTCGCTGGCCCTGACTGCATTTGGGACGTTGGTTTCTCGTGGTGGGGGTGCGTCGGTGGGTGCTGCTGGGTTGTAGCCAAATAGTGCAAACGAAGGGCTGGCCTTGATTGTTGAGTGTTCAGAGTTATTATACGCAAATTGTGCGAAGTGTAGTCGCTGCGCCCAATCACTCTGTTCAATGTTCCCATATGCGCGGAGGTAGTGTTCGAGGTTTTGGTTTTGTCGTTCCGTCTGGCCGTCGGTCTGCGGGTGGAAGGCGGTGCTCATGCGCCGCTTTGTCCCTAAGTTCGCGCAGAGTCCCGCCCAGAAGTGACTGGTGAAGAGGCTGCCTCGGTCTGATACGATCCCCTGGGGTATCCCAAATACAGTGAAGATGTGTAGGGTGAGGATGTCCGCTAGGCCGCTGCTTGTTAGCCGCGTGGTCGTCGCGATGTAGACCGCGTATTTCGTGAAGCGATCCACTACCACAAGGATGGCGTCACAAGGCTTATTATTGCGTGGGTTGATTGATGGGGGTAGGCCTGTGATGAAGTCCATTGAGATCTCCTCCCACGGTCGCTGGGGCGGTAATAGCGGCGCTAGGAAGCCAAGCGGTCGATGCTTGGGCGCCTTTATGCGTTGGCAGACTACACACGTGTTAACATACTGTTTCATATCTTTTCGAAGGGAGTCCCAGTAGTAGCTGCGTGCGAGCAGCTTAATCGACTTGCTAACACCAAGGTGCCCTGCGAGCCAGTCGTCGTAATAGGTGCGCAGTAGTTCCATTCGTGTGTTTAGGTCGTCCGGTACATAGACCCTATTGCCGAAGCAAAGCAGCCCGTCTCTCAGTCGCCATGTTTTCCCAGCTTTACCGCGTCGCTCGCGCCTCTTGCGCCATGCCCCTCCCTGTATAAAAACGTCTTCTTGCTGCAGGTGTTGCAGGTGCGCTGTCATAGGTCGCTCGAGCTGCGTTGTCGCTATTACCACGCTTCGCTCCCCCGCTCCACGTGGAAGGGCATCCGAATGTGCACTTCGGTCCCAAGCGGCTACAGCCGTTGAGCGCACCCTGCGCTCCAACGCTGCTTCTCCGCGTCGTTCGAGGCCCCCTTCTTCCGAGTGTAAGTCTGCGCTCCGGCAGCTACAGCCACGGTCCGCCATCTCCCTCAGCGTCACGAAGTCGCTGGGTCTTTGCAGCTCAGTCTCTGCCTGGTCCCCACGGGCATGATCAGGCCTGCGGGATAGGCCATCCGCCGGGTTCTTATCCCCCGGCCTATATTCAATCACCAAGTCCACCGCCGCTAAGGCGTCGAGCCATCGCAGCTGCCTCGCAGAGAGGTTCCTCTTCACATACCAATATTTCAGGTTTAAGTGATCAGTCAAGACGGTCACGGTGTGCTGCGAGTATTGTAGGTAGTGGCGCCAAGTCGCGACGGCATCGACGATAGCAAGCAGCTCTAGATCACCGACACCATAGCGTTGCTCCACAGGGGTCAGCTTTCGTGACCTGAACGCAATCGGGTGCCAGGCTCCTTCAGGGGAGAGTTGTGAGATAACCGATCCAATGGCTTCGATAGACGCATCTGTCTCGAGACGTGTGCGCAGCGAGGGCACGAAGTGTTGCAAGATAGGGGCTGTTGTAAAGAGTAGTTTTAAGTGCTTGAACGCTACTCTTGCGCGGAGTGGGAGCTCAATTGGCCCTGCGGCGCCACCCTTTAGGAGGTCGGTTAGGGGTGCGGTTACCCTAGAGTATGCCCGGACGAACCGTCGATAGAAGCCTGAGAACCCAAGGAAGATGTGGATTTCGCGAACGCTGCGGGGTAGCGGCCATTCCTCGATGGCAGCGACGCGACTTCGCTCCATAGCAATGCCATCAGGTGTGACCACAAACCCAAGGAACTCGACCCGGGTAGTCCTGAATTCGCATTTTTCAAGGTTCAGATATAGTCCCCATTGACGTAGGCGTTCCAGAACGCTGCGTACATCCCTTGTGTGCGCTTCGTCATCGCTACTAAAGATGAGGATATCATCTAAGTATACGATACAACACACATCCACAAGCCCTGCGAGGGCGCGGTTAATATATGCTTGGAACGTTGCGGGGGCGTTGGTCAGTCCGAACGGCATCACCGTATACTCGAAGTGACCATATTTCGTGCGAAAAGCCGTCTTCCACTCATCGCCTGCGCGGATCCTAACCCGATGGTACGCTTCCCTAATATCCAGCTTGGTATATACTTTTGCGTTCCCAAGTTGATCCAGGATCTTAGAGATCAAGGGTAGCGGGGTGCGGTCCTTGCGTGTAAGCCGGTTGAGCGCGCGATAGTCGACACAAAGGCGTAGCTTCCCTCCTTTCTTAGGCACAAACATAACAGGCGCGCCTGCTGGGCTGGTGGATGGCCTAATAAATCCTCGTGCGAGCATGTCGTCCACGTAGCTCCGGAGCACCTCTAGCTCTGCGCCTGAGAGGGGGTACAGCGGTCCCCATGGAGGCTGGGCGCCCTCTTCTAGCTCTATCTTGTGATCTGTGGGCGTGTGTTCGGCGAGGGTGCGCGCGGCTTCTTCCGAGCAGACGTCTTTAAACTCAGCGTACTCGGCTGGCAGGCGCGGTGGGGGCGCGGCTGGGGGGTCCTCGTCCCTGCCGTCCGCGCCCTTCGAGAGGATAGGATGGGAGTAGATGGCCATAACGGTGGCGCTGGGTGGGAGCGGCTTGTTCGAGGTGTGAACGCTGAGTTGGTCCTCATGTAGGGAGAAGCGCCATTGTCGTTGCTTCCACTGGATGAGCGGGTCTACCGCCTCCAGCCAGGGAAAGCCGAGTATAATGTCTTCGCTGGGTAGGTCCGCGATGACGAAGCGGTGGCGCTGCGTACGCGTGGTGCCACAGGAGTCCGTCATTTGGATGAAGAGGGAGCAGCTACCATAGGAGGGGATTGGGTCGTTGCTAATATTGATGAGTTGCGGTCCGTCCTCAAAATAATACCGATGCTTATACGCGTCGATAGCGTTGCGGCTGATGAGGTTCTCCTCCGATCCCGAGTCAATAATGCCTCGGAAGGGTTCCATGTGGTTGTTGATCCTGACCCGCATGCCGACGCGGAGCTGTCGCTTATTTGGCGCGGCGCCGCCGGTTACTTGGCGTACTCGTGACCCCAAGGGTTGTTGGTTGGTCTCCGAGAGGGTCCCGGGGCACCGAGCGGCAATGTGGCCCTTCTGCTTGCAGTTACGGCAGGAGGCGTTCGGGCACTGACCGCTAGCGTGGTCTGTCGACCCGCAGGTGTAGCAGTTGTTTCGGCGCGGCTCAGGACATGCGTTGGCGTAGTGTCCTCGCTGGTGACAGTTGTAGCAAGTCACTGAGGGGGCTGGTTGAGAGGACGGGGGTGTTGCTTCTTTCTTGGCAGCCTGGGTGGGAGCGGCTGTAGGGGCGTCCCAGACGCGTGGTTGGCTCGTTGTCGCTGCGGGTGTATTCCTACAGTACCGAGAGATGTGCCCGACTTGTTGGCAGGTATAGCACGTGGGAGGGGGTCGAGGAGCTTGGCGGGGTTGCGGCGGCGCTGCGTTATCGCCGGTTGGTATCGTCCCTTCTACAGCCTCTATACGCCGGGCTTGGCCAACTGCTTGTTCCCATGTGGCGGGTGGTTGCGCCTGCGCACAGAGTGCCATGCGAATGCTCGGCTTGAATCTGTTGATTACGTCGTGCACGCGGTGCGACTCCGCAGGGTTGTCGGGGGATTCCATCTCGGCTTCCTGGTAGCGACGTAGGAAACTCATGACGGACTCGTTGTCCCTTTGTCGGATTGTCGCGAGCGTAGCGGATGCGGTGATAGCGCGCGTGGTGGGATCAGAGAGTTGGTTACGCAGAAACTCCTCGAAGTCTGCGAAGGGGGTAGCGAGGGGGTCCATGCCTTGTGCTTGTTTTCTTGTGGCAAAGCTAATCCAATCCCGCTTAGGCGCGCCTTTCAAGCAGCGCACCGCATAGCCCACCTGCTCCCACGACTCCGTGATCTTATATAGGCGAAGGTGATAGCGGAGGTCGAGGAGGAAGGTTCGTAGGGCCATATAAGATTCTCCGCCATAGGCAAGGGCGGGGAGTCCGCCAGGGCGGTAGCTTGGCTCAGGCGCGGTGGCGACGCTGCGTAGGTCAAGCTCGCCTTGCGCTTCGGGACGGGGGGGGGTGGCGTCCCTAGGTGCGGGAGGGGCCGCTGGGGCAGGGACTAGGGCGGGTTCGCCTTCGCTGCGGAGGAGCAGTGCGAGCTTGGCTCGCTTAGCACGAAGGCGCTGGCGGATAGCTTCATCCTCGAGTTGTTGGTCGAGTTCCTTCTCCTTGCGCTTGAGTTGTGCGCTTGTGAGTTGGCTGTCGTGCGCCGCGTCTTCGACGCTGGGCCGGGGCGAAGCCGGGTCAGGGAGGGGTTGCGCCGCCTGGGAGTAAGGAATTTGGCCGCCCTCATGGGGGTCGTAGGTCCCTTGTAGCTCGGGCGCGGTGGTGCCGGTGCGCGAGCGTGTAAGGCGCGATGCTGATGCCATGCTGGTGTCCTAGACGGTCTACTCCCCAGGACGGGTAGAACGATCAGACTGTCAGGGCGAAGGGTCACGAGTAGAGTAAATAGGCACACGCAGCGTAGGCGTAGAGTAGGCGTAGGGGAGAAGTAGTATATTAGGTAGTAGTGGGCTACTGATCGTTACCTCCCTTCCTTCCTTCTAGACCTTCTGGTTTCCCTCTATCCTCTTATAGCCAGCGCCGCGCCTGCGCGGCGGGGTATCTGCGCTGCCGGGGCGCCGGTACCGGCGTCCTTCGCCGGCACCATATCGGAGCCCCACTAGTACCAGCTTATTGTGACAAACGTCTCTGACAGTATCTATAAATCTTAGAAATTAGTGCTATATTATGGATTTTTAGGCCTTTTATAGGTTAGTATATTAATTTAATAATAAGTAGTTAGTTACTATAAATTAATATTCTACTATTTAGGAACTATATTTTTATTTTTAGTTTTAATAAACTTTAAAAGGCCTTAAAGAGGGAATGTAATAATATAAGCTTATAAGTAGTAAATTTTAAGTTATAAAGTAACTTAGAATTATAGTCTTTTAGCTGGGGTATTTATAAGTATTACTTTATAAATCTATTTTAATAAGTATTTTAAAAATAAGTATTTTAAAAATATTAATTTTTAAAATCTTTTAATATTATATTTTTATTTTATTTTTATTAATATTTTTTTAAAAAAAACTATAACTAACTTTTTATTTACTTTATTTATTTTTAAAACCTTTTAATTAACTTCTTTTATTTTAAAAAAGATATATTTTAAACTTTAAAAAATATTTTTAAAATAATATAAATATATTTTATAATTATTATTAAAAATTAATAAAAGAGTTATAAAATAATAAAAATTACTTAAGGTATTATTTTAAAATAAAAGGAATAGTTTAAAGATTATATTTTAATACCTTTTAGAGTGCGGTATAGTACCTATCTGGGTAGGTACCTAGGTAGTTAGGTATATCACTTAAGTACCCGGACTGCTCGGTCAGGACACCCCGCAGCTGCATCGTTCGGCAGGACTGGGGGAAGGGCCAAAGAAGGCTTCTAGAAGATGTCTACTAGTGCAGGTACACAGAACACAGAACACAGCCTCCAGGCATTGCCAGCCAGTAGGCCCTGTGTTGCCCCTGGCCAGACCGGATCCAGACCGTCTTGTGTATTGTAATGAGATCCATGGCCAGTGCACCAGTCCACCGAACCACCTCATCCTGATATGCTTGCATTGGGCTGTCCAGGTAAATTTGCCGCAACCCATGCTACCTGGCCTCCTGCCCCTCTCCCCACACCCAAAAAGAAATATGCGCAAAAGCATAAAGCGGATTTCGGGCGTGCGGGGAAAAGAGGTCGGGGGTGGGGGTGGGTTGGTTGACGGGTGATGGGGAAATGGGCTTGCATCTGCACCCTCTTTTATTCGTTCTGAACCGTGCAGAGAGCCAGCACACCCTTTCCTCAACCAACTTCCAACCGCACGCCGCTCGTCTTACCCATTGGCGTGCTACCACCACATCGTGGCTCCCGGACAGGTAACCGAGTCCCTCCCAGGCTTCTTACCAAGTAGGTAGGTAGGTGTTTATACCGCGGAAAGGCAGGCACATCTGGCCAGCCACTGGGTTTCCCCATCCTTCTGCCCCCCCCCCCCCCACAGTCACCCATGTCACCCAGGCGCCCCAGCCCTCACCCACCTCCCCGGGGTGCTCTTCCCCGTCTCGAACTTCGCGAACTCTTACCCACCTACAGAAATGCTGACACTTCTCACAGAGTATTTTTACCTACCTTGCCTCTTCCTCCACTCCGGTCTCGCGGCCATTCCTCTGTCGGACCAGCTGCTTCCCGGCCGCGCAGGGGGGCTTGGGTAGAACATCAAACCCTCTTACACGCCGTCGGCTCTCGTACCTGCGACGCTCCATCCCAATCACCTCCTTGCTTCTTCCAGCCATTCGCCCTCGACGACCCCTGACAACATGGGCTCTTTAGACAAGTCCCACGACGAAATAACCATCCTGGTCACTGGGTTCGGGGTAAGTCTGCTTCACCCATGCCTGATTTGACCCGCCTGGCCGCAGTTGCTTATCGTACACATGTAGCCGTTTAAAAATGAGTTTCCTCGGAATCCCAGCTGGGACATTGCCTCCTCGCTACCAGAATACCTACCTCCCCTGAATGCTAAGTCTTCAACCGCCGTCCGTGGCGGGTCCCTGCCTCTGCCTCCGGTCCGAATCGTACTTCACCCTGAGCCAGTGCGTGTCACGTACTCGGCCGTCCGGCACCTCGTTCCAAAGCTGTGGCAGCCCGGATTCGAAGGAGTCCAGAAGATCGATTACGTGCTACATATCGGCATGGCGTCGTCTAAGAAGCAGTACGTTCTTGAACGACTTGGACACAGGGACGACTACACGATCCCCGACCTGGATCAGAGGCTGCCCAACCAGAACTCTTCCTCTGACGATTACCCCTGGCACGATATCCCTGCTCAGTTGGTGACCGATCTTGACGTAGCAGACATCAAGAGGAGATGGGAATCGTACTTGCCGGTGAGTGCAGCTGGGCCGTCCTGTCGGCGGTTGGAGCGGGGTCCGGGTGAATCTAACGTGGGCAATACACAGGACAATCTTACGCTCAAATCATCGGAAGACGCAGGTCACTTCCTTTGCGACTACATATACTTCAACAGCTTGGCCACCTGTCACCGCGCTGAGAAGCGCAAGACAGTCTTGTTCATGCATGTACCGGCCGTCAGACCAGAGCCCGCGGATTTGTACAACAGTTCGATTGATCTGGGCCGGGAGGTTGCGATCCAGCTCCTGAGATCACTCGTTGAGAGCGAGCTGACTGCTGAGCGAGCAAAGGCTGAGGCCGAATCGTGAAGGTGCATGTCTTTTGCCGCATTCGGAGGCGTCTCTCACTTACCGGGCCCGAATTATGTCCTGGCTCTCAAGAACGTTGTGTGAGTCGTTGCAGGAGAGCAAGGGCGCTCTGGGGACCGGAAATCGAATGGGCGACGACCTGAGAGTTCCAAGTGGCGTCTGCATCCCTTCGCAACGAACCTTTGAAACAATAGTGCTCGCTGTCCAGTACTGTAGTGTGCAACAAGCTTGAATACCGAAGGGCGATCCTCCCGCGAAGTGAGGTTTGTGTCTTCCCGCGTCAACTGGGCATCAATGGACAGTTCCAAATCGGATGATCAGCCAAGGCAAAGTCACCTAGATGGGCGAGGTAGTCTCCCGATCAAGATATGGGCTCAGTTACCGGTGTCCATGAATGCTCCAGATTGTCCCCAGTATTACCCAGCCAAACCCAGCTCATGCATTCGATGCGACGCCGATATTGTATCCTGACCACTTGGCTGGCGCCTTGCCTCACGCAATGGTTTCGTGCCCCATGTGCACGCTGAGCACGTTCGTTTATTATGCAATGGATGGGTGCTTTGTACGACGTGGTGCTTACCATCGAGGACTCCCCTCTCATAATATACTAGGAGCCGGAGGCTGGTCACAGCTACACCTTCTGGTTTTCCGGCCAACCAGCTCGACCGTACTGGTTTGCCCACTTGACCTTTACCCCCAGGTGCTGCGCCGTCCGCAAGACGAACTCTGGTTCCCTCAGAAACTGTCTCGCTATGATGACTACATCGGCCTTGGACCTGTCCTCGCCCTGTTCTGCCACTGCCACCGAGTCCATAGCGCCCTTCTCTGGGTCCTCACCAACCGTGTACAAGCACTCGCGTTGTACAATATCCTTGGCCATTTCTGGTGTCGTGATGAGACCCACCGCACCGATGAGCAGGGTCTTGCCTGCCTCCCTGAGGCTTCGCCGTATCGCGGCGGCTGGGTCGATCTGGTAGAATGGATTAAGGTTGATCTTTTGCTCGTGGTTATTTCCGCCCGAACTGCAGTCTAGGAGATCAACCCCGAGCTCGGGGAGCATGTGGGCGAGTGCAATGCTCTGCGTGATATCCCAACTATCCCTGGTATCCCATTCCATCCATTCAGTGGTGGAGATCCGGAGGAAGAGAGGCATGGTGTCAGGAATGACGCCGCGGATCGCCTTGATGATTTCAACGAGAAATCTAATGCGGTTCTCAAAGGAGCCTCCCCACTCGTCCGTCCGCGTCTACGAGATGGTCAGCAAGGCACAGACTGTGCACGGATTGGGGTATTTCCTCACGTTGCTGAGAGGTGACATGAACTGGTTGATAAGATATCCGTGGGCGCCATGGATCTCGATCAAGTCAAAGCCAGCCTGGACAGCCCTCTCCGAAGCCGCAGCGAACGCCTCGATGGTCTCGCTGATCTGCGGTGCCGTCATCTCTTTGGCCCGTGGAAATGTGTCTGCGAATGAGACGGGACTCGGCGCCCACACATTGTCAGGCCACCCGCCGAGCTCCTCAGTAGCGACATGCCCCTCACCCGGCTTGCCACGATGCCATGGGGCTACGGTGCTGGCCTTGCGCCCTGCGTGGGCCAGCTGGCAGCCGACCTTGTGGCCCTGGGAGTGAATGAAGTCGGTGATGCGCTTCAGCGGCGCTACCTGGCTGTCCTTCCACAGCCCCGAGTCCTCGGGGCTTATCCGACCATTGGCAAGCACCGAGGTTGCCTCGATGATGGTGAGGGCGGCGCCGCGCGCGGCGAATGAGCCGAGATGGACAAGATGCTTGGCCACCCGTCAGTGTCTCCTGTGTCAGACCCAAGGGGGGGGAGGGTGGAAGCTGCAAGTACGCACCCAGTCTGTGAGATGGCCATCGTCGGCGCTGTACTGACACATGGGCGAAACCACAAACCGATTGCCAAGTTTGACCCCCCGGATGGTCAGGGGATGGAAGATTGTAGGTGTCTTGGACGGGTTCTCAGGGTCAAAGTCAAGGGCTGTGCCAGCGGGGGGGACCTGGGCAGGGGTGTAGAAGGGAACACCCTCGGCGGGCTTGCTTGCCGTCGGTTTGTTGGGCGTGCTCATGGTTGGTGATTGGGGGCGGTTCACAGGCTTTGGGCTGAAGCAAAGTCCGGGCTCGAGCCCAAGGGCGAGCTCAGATGCAGGTGCGGGAAGGTGTTTTATTTCAAGGCCGCTCGCTGTTCGAGAACCCGCGGCCTAGACTACTTACGCTTGGGACGTAGGTTGACCCTGGATGGGCGCGATATGTTGATGACGCCTTAGTGGCCGGTGGAATCCGACTGAGAGGCGAGATCTCGCCGAGACTAATGAGGAGAAGGACCCTGACAAGATCCCCGCACGTTATTCCTGTCGCATGCAAGTTGCACAGTAAGCTGCTTTCACGATCACACCCCGACAACACCCCGACACGGTGGCCCCTCCCGGCAGGAAACAGGCACGGAGCGCGGGACAGCGGATCTGGATCTGGGTTGGGAGCGTGTCCGGCGCACATATGGTCTAACGATGTTCCAGCCCTATCAGGTGGACCTTGTCATCGCTCTGTGCACGCACTGCGCTCAAGCGCATTTGGAGCACCCATCTCAAGGGCTCAAGATGGAAACAACTCTCCCAGCAGCATGATTCACACTCGGCCGTGTATTGCGGCCCGGTCCGTTGGTGGGTACGAGTCGCCGCCGCGGACGACCCACTACTACTAGACATCTATCTAGTGTAGGTACCCAAGTACCTAACTTACCTACCCTAGGTACATAGGTGGGTACTTAAGTATCTTGATGGGATTCCAACTGGAGATGGCTTAACTGCCTAGGCACGTGCGGGAAAAACCCCATCATCACTAAGTACTTACGCACCACACTCAGTCCCTGCGGGTGACTTGACTTTGAGACCCATCAATGCCAGCCTCTCTACCGACCTCTCTAGATGCTGACGCGAAAACGGCAGCCCACCTGATTACCTGCCCCCATCTCGCCCAGGCACAATGGTGCAATAACAAGCGCAGCCCCCGTGCCCCTTCCCGCCACGGCTTTGTCATCTATACACCCTCTCCAGGGCGTCTGTGCCTCTTCTTCATCACTATTCCGCAATGGCCCGTCGGTGCGAGTTTAGGCGGTCACATGCATTGGTCTTTCTTGAGGATGCGTGCTTCTGTTCCGTCTCGTGCATCAGCTGTGTGGCAATATGCTTTATCCTGTCGACGGTGAACATGAACGGCTCGCTGATGTAACGAGACATAGCTGGCAAATAGCAAAGAGTGAGACGGGAGCTCCCTGCCCGGTCCACTGGCCAACATCTAATGTCCGGGACATGATGCTTGAATCGGATAGCCCCCCGAATATGAAAATCCCCTGTCGTGGCCTAGCACCTAGTAGGGAGCGGGCTTCCGCACTGCAGCGAGACTGAAGTGCTCATTGATGTCAGAGCACAGCTACGAGGCTGAGGTCCTGGAGTGCATGTTGAGTGTATTTTGAGCGTATGTTATGAGTATGGCCTGGCAAACAAGAAATAGGAACCGAGTCTCCCGCACGCCGGGGTCTATACACTGCTCGACGCGTTTCCGAGCTCTAGGGCCCCAAGACCCGGGGCTATTCTGTCCTATACACGGCAGTGATTCCGACTTTGACTTTGAGACGGGCCGGTGCGGAGCAAAGAGGCACTAGGAGCGGCGGTTTGGTTCTCTCACTTCAAATGCTCCGCAGTTGTATGAATGACAATATTCTATCTCCTCCTCGGGTGGCGGGCACACATGTGGCCAGACAGCAGCACAGCGTTGTCTGAGGGCCAGAATGCATACCCACCAGCCAACAGTCCTCTGCCCGTGGTAAGATGGCGACGGCACTGGTATGTCTCAGCCGGCAGGAAAAGCAACTCGCTGGTCGTGCCTTGACTGGAAGAGCTGAGGAGCGTCGACCTCTTTGCGTTTCGTCTCGGTCCTCAAAAGCGGCAACTCGCAGGCAGGGTCAGGACGAGAGGTTCCGAGGTTGAGATCGGCGCCAGAAGGCGCAAGCGCAGGTGCAAAACGCCAAGCTGGCAGCTGCGCGCCGTTGCAGCATTTCTCCACTCGGCCATCCCGCCTCCCAGCCCCTTCTGTGCGCTGCCGGGGCGGGCGCGCGGACAGCTCACCTACCTAAGCAGGTACCTAGGTTCCTACCTGCCCAGTGTCCACGCCGCGGACTCGACCGCATCCTGGACCGCGAGCTGGAATTTCCAAAACACGAGCCGCCGCCGACCAGCCTCTCCACGGGATGCCAATCCGACAAGTCAACCGAGAACCACTTCATCTTGCTACCTGCAAGTTGTGAGCCTCCCCCCCCCGAGGCCCCCGTCGTCTCAACCTGAACAGCTACGGCCCGGCGGCATCCCATCCCCAAGCTCCCTTGCCTGCAGCACACGACATCAATACCTCCATCCTTGTTTCCTTGGCCTGACAGCCCACGCGCTCACGGCCTGCGAGGCTCGACTCTACTCACGTTCCAACTCAGTATCTCTCACTGGCTGGCAGGAACCTTCGCGACTAGCAACAACGGAAGCCGACAGCCAAGTCCCCTTCCACGAGCCACTCGAGGGGGCAGAACTGGGAGCACCGACCGACCAATCGCCAGCGACGCCTACAGGCCACCGGTTTCGATACAACCAATCGCCAGATTTACCTTCTTGACTTCAAGGATAAAAACAAAGTAAAGGGACCAACCATGCCTTCGGCACGGCGGGTGCGCCTGCTCCTCGTAGGCGTCATCGCCATCGTAGTAATGACCTTGGTCTACACCTCTCAGCTACGGCAGTCGCAAAGCCCAGACGTGAGGACATTCGGGGACTTTTACGACCGGACCAAGAGTGAGCTGGAACGAGCGCGCGGCGGCCAAAAGAAGCAGCAGTCGGTCCTCGATTCCAAGCCTGGGAGCGATAAAGACGACGATGCCCAGCTGGCCAAGGAAATGTCAGACCGGCTTAAGGCTGCTGAACAGAAAGCAAAGGACTCGGCCAATGCAAAGGCACCAAAGCCTGATGCACCCGACAAGGTCATCGGCGTGGGCAATTCGGCTGCCGGACAGGACACGTCGAAAGACAAGGCCGGCAATCAGCTCACAGAGAAGGAAACTGACGAGGACCACGAGGTCGAGACCACCATCAACGAGATACTCAAAAAGTCACCAGGTATGAGCTTGTCAGGTCGCTGCGAGGCTTTGCATCATAAGACGCTGACACTACCCGCAGTCATAATCTTCTCCAAGACCTACTGCCAGTTTTCCAAGAAGGCAAAGGCCCTTCTCCTTAACAAGTATTCCATCACGCCCGAGCCCTACGTTGTCGAGCTGGATGTGCATCAGCTCGGCAGGCAGATACAGGACAGGTTAGCAAAGATGACGGGCCGGAAGACGGTGCCAAACATCATGATCAATGGCAAGAGCATTGGAGGCTCCGACGATATCGCAGAGTTGGATAATGGCGGCGAATTGGCTGAGAAGATTCGATCGCTTGGGAGCGTGGGCGGCAAGACCGTCGAGGTAAAGGAGCGAAACTGAAAGCAAATATAGCATCCTTTCCTCAACTCAACAAGAGACCCAGGTTGGGACTTGGGCGCGGCTCTCTTGGACCGCTGGCAAATGCGCCGGGCCCCACGTCTGATACGGATTGACAACCCCAGGGTTTTCTGCTCATGGACGGCTGGTGCTCAGCGGCGTCCCAGGCGCGGAGGAAGCTGCCCTAATGGCCGGTGCAGGGACAACTCCGGTCCCCCACCGACCGACTTCAAACATCCTCACGGCAAGGCAAGGCTCAGTCTGAAAAGTAGTTGCTGCGTCTCACTCGCTCCCGAATCCTTCAGGGGTGGGTTGCTCCCGCTCCTACGTCGGATCGCGACGGTCCATGGTGGACGGTCTTCCTCCAATGTCAGGTCAGAAGGAGAAGTCCTGACTTGCACGAGCCCAGCCAAAAACAAACCGTGTGTGGGCCGTGTCTGACTAAATGCAACGGACGACGACATCCTGCGCCGCCGTACAGATGCACTCACTGTACCTACGTCGTCGAAAAGGTCGACCATGGCCTGCATATTAGGGGGATGCGGTCTTTGGAGAAAGAACTTAACGACAATATTTTTCTTTAAAGACGTTCCACGACTAGATACCTCTGGACACGTCTGGACGGACCTTACCATGGCCGCAGATCTTGTGACAGCAGTTCGACGAGGTCGTACAAAGCTTGCATCTCGGGCATCCATCTCTCTTGGCCAGAGCAGCCATGACCGGAAATGACAATTGAATTGCGAAGCTTCTTTCCCTTCTGGCACTCCTTCTGATCTCTGGTGTCCCACGTCAAACCTAACAGTCACAGTCGCAGTCACAGGGTGAAGCGTGGGCGACCAGTAACTTCACACCACGGAAGTGACCCATTGTGTTTGGTGCGTGTCGGAACATTCAAGCTTGAGTACAAGAAAGAGCCCTAGTGGCCCACACTCAAATGAGACAATTGTCATGGGCCTTCCTTCCATCCACTGGCACACGACGGCAAAACAATGGCGACTGCGACCCATTCAACAAACCGGAAGGGGGGCTGACCGCGTCACTCAAAGCCGTGAGTGCCCATCAAGGTACCTGAATGGATCTCGACTTCGAACACCTTCATGTCCTCTCAGCCACTACCCGCGAGGATACAAAAGTGGCTGCGCCGCACCATAAAGGGTTCAACCTTCGACAGCTTCTTGATTCTGGTTGCAACCTTCTCGCCTTTGGCCCGGTGCATAGCACGAAGCCGTCTTACGTCCACTGCATTGCTATACTGAATCGCTTCTGTGTTATCTTAGCGCTTGCCCTCGCTCCTCACCATGGCCAGTCAACGAGTCAGTGCAGATTTGATGCTCGATATCGCTGATCACTGCGACCGAGCGACACTGAGTACCTTGATGCAGACGAACAAGGTAAGTCAGTAACTTGACCCATAGACACCCACTCACCACCAATCGTACACGGCCATTCCGGCCAGGCCCCTTCGTCTTGCCAGCAATACCACATTTGCGCTAGAAGTATCTGGACATGGATTAGTCTGTTCCTGGATCGCTGTTAACTGCGGGGCGAGCGCTCATGCTAACGTAGAGCAGGGTATCAAGGAACTTATATCAGGCAAGGAACGCAGCATAGTCATCGCCAAATTGAAGATGTTCCTGATGCCACCTTTGGGCGAGGTTCTGTCGTCTGAGGACGAGAGGCGATGCCGAATCGTGGGAAAGTACTCTTTTGCCACCATTCAGGAGCTGGACTTGCGCGAGCGGCGGATGGTTTCTATCCTCGAGAACAGCGGGTTCCTCCTTACCGATGATGGCAAGAAACTCGGTCTGCCTGGTTGTTCTCTCGTGAAGTTCAAGGCTGGCCTCAAGCGCGCTCTCTACATGGCCGACCGTTTCAGCGACCTGGAGACGCAGCCAGAAGTCCTGCACGTCCAGGATCAGTTGATCAGGCGGCTGTGCTCATTGCAATCCGGCAGTGGCAGTATCGGCAGCGTCATCGACGAGATTGATCTTGATAAGATCGAGGCATTCGGCGAGGAGGCCCAGGCGCAACACTCGGCTATTACGGTCCACCGAAACCTTCAATTCGAGATGATTCGTGGACTTGAGACGATCGATATCGCCTGGCTCCTCACCCTGGGCGAGGGAGCGATGAAGGGCTGTACGCGGTAAGTACCTTCCCAGCAGATACCGCCCCAGGGGGGATGGGGCGTCTATCTAGGTGAATCTCGAACAGAACCCGTGATGTCGAGGACCGCTAGGACAGGGTCAAATCCTCCATTTGACTGGCACGGAAACGGAGTGATTTAGCTAACGAACTGTAGGTATTATGAAAGGATGTTTGAGTCGGACCCTGCGGGAACCCACTACAAGGTAGTAGCCTTTAAGGAAGAGCTGTTGCGCAAGGGTTCCTTCATGCTTTGGGCGTTCGTGCGCGGCGGGGGTCCATTGGCCGCCTTCGCCAAGACGTCCATGAGACAGACTGGCGAGGAGATCATGGGCTTCGAGATCGGCCACCACCACAACTGTGGGCTGTCTTCGATGCTCCACCAGGAGATGAGACGGCGGGTTCTCGTGGAACTCCAGCGCAGGGACCCTCTCCTTATCGACGAGGAAGACGACGAAGACGGATGGGATGAGCTCCCTCCCTCGAGAGTCATGGAGGAGGCGCACCGCATGATCGGCAAGCAGATCGGCTGCCAGAGTTGGTGCGGATACAGCAGCATTGTGTATCCCCCTGTGGAGTGAGTTGCCAAGGAGTCAACGGCTAGCCACGATGTGGCCTAAAACGGCACATTGTTCTCACAAAGAAAGATTTAAATCACTGCTTGAAGCCGGGCGCTGTTTTCGGTGTTTCTCTGGACTGCCTTTCGGCATGGAAGGGTGGCATGGCGACGCAGGGGAAGCGTCTACGAGGAGGCAGGGTGTCAGGCGTTGCGGGTCTGGTTTAGCGATAGAAGGCTGGATATCATCGGTGTGAGAAAGGAAGGAGTTTAATCGGTGCTTTGTCTGCCTACGTGGACTCTCTCTTCTTACGATACACACTAAGAGAACTTCTTGCCGAGGTAGAGCTCAATAGTATTTTGGGGGGGGGGGGCAAAACACACGCGGGACCCTAATTGCAAGATTGCAGCACAAGAAGGACATGATGGCTAGACGCGCCTGTGCTTCCGATTTGTGGCTAGATGACAATCACGAGATGTAGTTGTGCGGCAACTTCTGCAAGCAAAACCGTCATTTAATAGGCAAAACATATCGTTGCGCCTGTCCCGCAACCTCCCTCCCTTCAAACGTCGAGTCACCTCGGTGGGCCGGTTGGCTTTCCAGTAGTCCTTTTGGTTACTGTAGTTCCCAGAAGAGGGTCATTTCGCAGGGTTGCACAATACTAGCTGGGCGGTGGGGCACAACAAGCCACTCCAGATGTCCAGCCATCAATGTGGAAATCGGCCACAGCACGCAGGCGGCTCGGCTGGGCTGCTTGTGTGCACGTGCGATGATGTCGACCGGCCGACAGGCAGGCAGGACGGCAATAATATCTTGGTAGGTCCTTCTCGGGTAGGGGTGGGCCGACCAAGGGCTGCCAGGGCTTGCCGAATATGACTTGGGACGGGGCTTGGCAGCGGCACCTAGTGGCAGGTCCCTGCCTCTTTGGGCCAGCAGACGACAGGGTCGGAGCAGTTGCCCCTCTTGAGGCACCCCGACGTGGCCTAGCGGGGCTGGGGTCTTGCCCTCCTGGCCTGCTGGCCTACCAGCCTACCTATGTACCTACCTAGGGTAGGTACACGAACTCGGTATGTGACCGTTTTATACCCTGGAAACCTGGGAGACCCAGGCAGACAGACAGTCACGAAGCCAGCCACAGGTGTGCAGCAACGCCGCCACGCCAACAAACAAGTCTTGCTGTGCCTGAGTGCCGAGAAAAGGATGAAATAGAATCCAACACAGGCGACTTAGGCAACTGCCTGTGAGCCAATGAGCCTAGATAGGCAGTGTAGGTAAGCTAGGTATCGAGGCCACCCAGTACCGTGGTACGCCTCCAGCCTGCGAGCCTGCCAGTCAGCGACAGTCCTCGTGCTGGTGCTCGTCATTTATCGCCTCTCCTCGACAAACTGCTACCGCTATCAGCGCTGATCTTGCCGCCTTTCCTGAGGAAACCACCCACCCCCCCCCCCAACAACCACAACCACCACCACCTCCTCCTCCTGACCGAGGACTCCCGTCCCCTGCCCAGCTCAGTCGCTGCTACCACGCGGTGCGCAAGCAATAGGTACTGTACTGTGGTGTGTGTATGCTTGCACGCCCATGCTGGCAAGTACCGGCCTGTGTGGATACTTGACTAGATGCGTATCCCTAGGATCCTCCTAGACAGGAACGGAGGCGCGCACACCCAACCAGTACCTCGGTATGCAACTAACTCCATGCCCACCACCCTTCCACCCACCCGTCTACTACTACCGTCCCGGCCACCTGGGCCTGCACCGCCTGCCTAGGTACCCTGCCCGGGTCGTCTGGTGTCTCTCTGGTCTGTCTGTCTGGTCTGTCTGTCTGTTCTGTCTGTCCAATTACACACACTTGTACCTACCTCGCCCCACCCACCTGGGTACTACGAGTATTGTCTGTCAGCCAGGCCAGCCAGCCAGCCAGCCGTCACTCCAAGGGTCGGCCCTTCCAAATTCTTTGGTCAGCTTTGCCTCTGGGACGGCTTTGGCATTGAAAGTTTGCGCGCCAGCTGGTCTAAGGCCTTGCCTTTTACCTCAACATCCACACGCACGCGCACGCACACGCACGCACCCCCCCCCGATCTCCCTCTGCCACTCCTCACACTGGCATTCTACGTGCAGACACTCTGCTCGCACACAACGACACAATCCCGTCCTCGAATTTCCCCTATTCTCGGCCGCGCCCCTAAGCGGACACAAAACAGCCAGCCAACCAGACCAAAGTCTCGCTGGAAACAAGACGAGCAAGCAGCTGGGCAAGCAGCTGAGCCCGGCCCGGCCCAGTGGGACCTGCAAAACGCTCGGCCGCATCGACTTTCATTACGCAACTAACCACCGAGGCACGGTCGTTGAATCGGTACTGTACGAGGTCCACCGCCTGTTTCATACAAGGGCGAGCGAGGGACAGGCACAAGTAGCAACAATATTACCGAGCCGCGCCTCTGTTCCCACCAGACAGAGCCCCGTCTTCACGCACAGCCCCAGTCCCTCTTAGCCGCCCAAGACCACAAATACTCAGGCTGCCTTGGGCCACCCCGGGCAGAGCTCGCGCCACGATCCCCAGAGTCGCGCCACGCCACAGCCTCGCCATTCCGTCACTTCCACCCTCAACCCTCCCGCTGCCGCTTCCCACCTCGCTTCGCTTCCGCGCCAGCCTTATTAGATATGCGCATGCCCATGCGCGACCAGTCGCGTTAGACGCCAACGCCGGGTGCGCCCTGTCAAAAGTCCCCGTCCCCGTCCCCGTCCCCGTCCCCGTCCCCGCCATCCTACCTGTTCGCCTCAAGAGCTTGCCCAAAGTAAAGCCTCATGGCACCGGAAACCGGGCCCATTGCGACACCACTCCCTTCCATCTCCGCCGCCGCCGCCGCCGCCGCCGCACCATCACCACCCCCACAGCAGGAACCGCAGCGACAACCCGCCCCAGCCTTACTCCCGACTGCGTCTCCAGATCCCCGCGCCGGTGACATCAACCAGTTATCCCTCAAGAGGCCACGCGACGAATCACCCTCCTCGCCCACCTCCACAGCCACAGGCCGGCGCGAATATTCCCCTGCCAAAGTCGCCCGCCTTGGCCTCTCGGCGCAGGCATCCGCGCCGCCGCTTCAGCTCACCGGCGTCGCTGCGCTCGAGGAGGAGCGACGCCGTAGGGAGGAGGACAAGAGGCGCAATCCGCCCGGCGTCAGCGAGAACCCAAACCACAGGACTTTGAATGAGCTCCTCTCGGGAGGCACCATGGCAATAAGTCGCCCGCAAGACGCGCCAACAAACATGGAGGAGATGGCCCTCGCCGCCGAGGCCACCAAGGCTCTCGGTGGCCCCGTCACAATACCTCAACCTAATGTGTCGGATGCGAGGACAGACATCACCCCAGATAGTGCTGCAGGCCCTGCCGGTGCTACCGGGAGCCAGCATGTCCTGAGCAGTCCGGCGCCGATGGAGGTTGATTCCCGCGGCGAGCGCCAGCTCGTCTTGCCACAGCCCGAGGCGCACACGGAGGAGAAGACGCCGACATCGCTGTCTTTCCCGGGGGTTCTGCAGCCTGGTGCAGCAATGGGCGCTCCAGCGCCTCCGGAGCGCCACTATAGCCTGCCAAATAATGGGGAGCATGCTTCAACGTCGAATAAGAAGCACAAGTGCCCGTATTGCGATACCGAGTTTACGCGCCACCACAATCTGAAGAGTCACCTGTTGACGCACAGTCAGGAGAAGCCTTACCTGTGCCAGACCTGCAACCTGAGATTCCGGCGTCTGCATGACTTGAAGCGGCATGGCAAACTCCACACGGGCGAGAAGCCTCACATATGTCCGAAATGTGATCGCAAGTTTGCGCGCGGGGACGCGCTCGCCCGCCACAGCAAGGGGGCAGGCGGGTGCGCCGGGCGCCGGGCATCTGTGGGAAGCTACGGCGACCAGGCCGATTACGACGGAGTGCCTCGGAATGATGGTGATGATCCATCAATTGCTCTCTACGAGGGTAACGGTGATGTGGACATGGTCGACGAAGAGCATCGGCGGATCAGCCTGCCCGCAATGAAGGCACAGCCTAATCCCGGTTCCCCTGAACCCGTTGGACCACATTCTCGCACATACCCTCCCATTGGACCCAGAACAGGGCCTACTGGGGTGCTCTACCCTCCGCCCGGTGAGCGCGGTGCCATCAGCGCCGGCTCAAACACAACTCAATCAAGTCTAGTGAACAGCATTGCCAGTAGGTCCATCTCTCTCCCTTACAACCCCTGTGCCCTCTGCCACTGCCAAGATTTCACCTCTCCGTTGCACCGGATACTCATGACTGAATCTCCAAGGCATTACCGAGAGCCCCAAGCCTCTTAGTCCTGCTGTGCACGATCAGGGCTCCATAATTCGACAACACTCCCCGGGCTCCACTGGCCAGTATCAGCAACAGCAATACGTCGGTCGTGGGTCTGATAGGGAGACGGCTTCCGGGGCACCGCTACCTCCACCACAAGGTAAGCTACCGCGAGCAGATACAGCGGCCTGTCTCGAGCACCAATCTGATCCAGTTGAAGGCCAACAACAAAATTCCGGAGCAACGGCACCAGACCACGGTCACGTGAGAATGTCGACCGGTCCAACCAATCATGTCAACAGCGGCGATGGCCCCGCGAACATGTACTCTCAAGGAGAGCAGGGTCTGTGGAACTACATACAGCAACTAGAGGAGAAGGTCAAGGACCAGATCGAATGGCGTGTAACCGCCGAGGCAGACTCCAAAGACCTCAGCTTGCGGCTTGCGAGGGTTGAGAGACACAATGCCGAGCTGGCGGACGAAGTTAGCAGCCTGCGCAGAGCGATTGAGCTGTCTGGGGGTCGGCCATACCATGGCGGAACAGCGCCAGCCTGACAAGTAAGTTCTCGTGCTTCTCTTCCCGCGTCGCGTTTTGTCCGCTACCTTTGCGTGGCCCCGGCCAGCTGAACCTTGCTCTCAGCAATGCCACCAGCTCCTAGCCAGGAACACCACACCCAGCACGAGCGCTTGCTGTCACAAACCGGCGTACATTCCCAATCAAAGTCTCGGATGGGATGGCCTTGCCAGCCCCTGATTACCGGTGATTCCGATCGTCTCGGTGCCGCCCAAGAGGTCCGGGATCCAGACTTGAATAGGACAACAAGTCCACAACACCTACATGGGCGGATACTACCATCTGCCGGCCCAGAAAAAATAGCACATGACCAGCAGCTAGACAGTTTCCTATACCCTCGCTAGCTTTTATTTGCGACATATCTCATCATGCATTCATAGGCGTGGAGTTTTCACGGAACGGGAATCTGACTCCTTCACAACTATTGCACCCATTAATATCACCCACTCGGCAGATGCACCTCACAGTTGTGTCTTTCTTACCATCGTTGCTGCATCATATCCGTTGGCTCTTTTAAGTGGCGACGACAGGGGACTCATCTAAAACACTGGAGGTCTGGAATTGCTGAAGGATACAGGCGTTCATGGCATAGCCAAGTCCAGTCGTTCAATTGGACTGGAGTCCTCGGCTATTTCTTGACAATCTTTTAATGCGATTAAGACTGGGGGGATGAGGATGAAAATCTTAGGAGGCAATGGAAAATCGAGTTTCACACAAATCACACACTCCAAAAGGCTCATTTACCGACTGAGTCCCCTATCCTGAGCCTATAGGGAGGCGCACAGCGTGGACTGTTTCAAAAGTCCAACTTCCACTTAGCTTACCCCACTCCAACTTTCCACCCCCTATACGTTAAGTAGTAACCTACTAGGCTATAACTTTTCCCCACCCTATTTTTAATTATTATATCCCCCTTAATCCTACTATTATAACACCCTTTCCTTAAATATATATATTTAAAATTTATTATATTTACTTTATAATTTTCTATTATAAGTTATTATAATAAATAATAAAAATATATAATTATTTATCTCTTTCTAATAATAGAGCTAATTACTACCTACCCTTAAAAAAGATTTTATTAAATATACTACCTCCCTTAAATTTACTATTTAAGTTATTAATAGCTTTATATTATTAAGTTTAATAATACTTATTATTTCCTTAATAATATTTAAGTAAAATACTTATAGCTTCTAATAATATTATAAATTTTAATATAATTATCTCTTTTATAAAAACTTAAATACCTTTTACCTTATTTAAAAGTATATTAATAATATTAACTAGCTATAACCTTTTAAAATTAAAAATTAATTTTATTATATTTATTTTATTATAATATACCTCTTCTTTAATAATATATTTAAGAGAAAATATATAATTTATAATAAAAATTATTTAAAAACTACTAAATAAGTACTTTATCCTTATATAAAATAATACTAAAAGTACTTATATAAATTACATTTATTTAGGCTATAAAGCTAAATACTTATATTATATTAATATATATTTTAGATTTTAAATAATAAAGTATTATTAATATAAATAATACTTAAAAAAACTAAAGTAAAAAATATATAACTAATAAATTATTTAATAAAATTATTAAAATAAACTAAAATTTATAATATTATTAAGCTTAAAAGAATTATAATATATTAAACTAAAAGATTTTATATTATAAAAAGCTATAAAAATAATAATAAATTTAAGAATTTAAACCCTTCTATTAATATATAATAGATAATATAGGAAATAAAACATACTATAAAAGTATTTATAAAGCTTTAAAAATAAAGAAATAATAATATAAAAATAATATTTAGCTTATTAAAATAATATATATAATATATAGTAAATTAATTAAAATTTTAAATAATTAATTAAATATAAAAGTTATTATAAATATATTTTATAATATAATATAAAAGATATAATAAAAATTTAAAAATATAAATATATATAGCTAGTATTTAATATAAAACATTAAAATTATTAATTATATATTAAAGTAATATAGAAAATAATAAAATATAAAAGCTACTAGCTTTAAATATATATATTTAAAGTAAATAAATAAGTAAAATAAAATTTAAAAACCTTTAAAGTTAATAAAAATTAAAATTATATTTTTATATATATAATAAAAATAAATAAAACTTATAATTTAAAAATAAATAATATAATATTTATTTATTTATAATAAATTTTATATTATAAAATTATATAAAGTATTAATATTAATATATTATTTAATTTTTAAAACTATTTAATTTATTTATTTTATTATAAAATAAATTTTATTAAATAAATTTTATATTATTTTTATTTATTAAAATATTATTTAAAAATAAATATATTTTTAATATAATTAAATATTTTTAAAAAATAAAATTAATATATTTAAATTTATTATATAAAAACTTTTAATAATATTTTTATAATTTATTATTTTTATTATTTATTATTTTTATTATTTATTATTTTTATTATTTATTATTTTATTATTTATTATTTTATTATTTATTATATTTATAATTTATTATTTATTATTTATTATATTTATAATTTATTATTTTATAATATTATTTACTATTAAAATATTTTTAAAATAATTTATTAAAACTTTAAATAATTATAAATAATTATTAAATTTATAATATAATAATTAAATATTTTTAAATATAAAATTAAAAAATTTATAATTATAAGTTTTAATTAATTTTTATTTAATTATTTTACTATATTATAATTTAATTTAATATTATTTATAATTATTTAAATTTTTAATATATTTTAAAAATTAAATTTAAAAGAATTTTTAAATTAAAATATTAACTTTTATAAATTTTAATTTTTAAAATTTAATTTATAATTTTTATTTTTTAAAATATATTAATTATTTTAATATTAATAACTTTTTTAAAAAATAAAAGTTTATTTTTATATAATTATAAATTTAATTATTAATAATTTTCTTTTATAAAATTATTAAAATTATAAATTTAAATAATAAAATTTAATTATTTATTTAAAAATATTTATTAATAAAATAAAATATAATATATATATATATATTTAAATTTAATATTAATTTAAAAATAAATAATTAAAATTTTAAAAATATAAAATATAATATATTTTAAAAATTAATTTAATTAAATTTATTATATAAAGCTTTTATAAAATTTTTTATAATATTAAATTTATATTATTATTAATTAAAATATATAAATTTAATATTTATTAAATATTAAAAGTTATTATTTTAATTTATTTATAAATATAACTTTAAATAAATAAATTTATATAAATTATATATAAAAATTAAAATAATAAATAATTTATTTTATTTTTAATAAACTTTTAATTAAATATTTTATTAAAAACTATTAAATTTAAATTTTTTAAATATTATTATTAAAATTAATTCTTTTTTATTAATAATAATTTTAAAATATATTATTTTTTAAAAATAGTTTTAAATTTTATAATATTTTAAAAATTAAAAGTAATAATAATTTAAAATTTATATTAAAAATATTAAATATTTAATTTATTAAAAATAATATTAAAATATAATTTAAATTTTTATAAATTTAATAATTATAATTTTTATTTTATTAAACTTTTATTAGTTAAGAAATTAAAAATATAAGTTAGAATTTTTAATAATTTTACTTTTATAATAAATATATAAAAGGATACTTTTAATTTAAATTAAAATTTCTTTTTTAAAACTTTTAATTAATTAAAGCTACTTTTTTAATTTCTTTATATAATTAATTAAATTATTTTTAATTAATATTAATTTTAATTAATTTTTAACTTTTAATTAATTTATTTAAATTTAAAGTAATAATATATTATTAAAGTAAATAAATAAAATAAATAAATAAAATAAAATATTATTATTTTTTAATTAATTATAATTTAATAATTATAAAGTTTATAATTAATTATTATAAAAATAATAATAATTTTAAATAAAAATAATAATAATTTTATATAAAAGTAATAATAATTTTATATAAAAGTAATAATAATTTTATATAAAAGTAATAATAATTTTATATTTTAATTAATTATAATTAAATATTTATTAATTAATTATTTAAAAATAACTTTTATAAACTTTAAAAAGTTATTTATATAATATATAAATTAATTATTAAAATAATATTTATTAAAATTATTTTTATAAATTAAATAATTTTAAATATTTAATAATAATAAACTTTTATTTAATAATATTAATTTTATTAATTTAATAATATTAATTAAATTATTTTTAATTAAAATTATATAATTTAAAATAAAAACTTTTTAATATAAACTTTATTATTAATAAAACTTTTTTATTTTTAAAAATATATTAATTTTTATTTATATTTATAAATATTAGAAAAATATAATTAATTTATAACTTTTAATTTATTTATTATTATTAAAATATTTATAAAAATTTTAATTTATAATTTTAAAATCTCTTTTAAATATAAAATTAAAAGATTTATAATTATAATTTTAATTAATTTTTATTTAATTATTTTATTATATTATAATTTAATTTAATTTTTAATTTTATTTAAACTTTTTTAAAACTTTATAAAACTTTTATTTTTATAAATATAAACTTTAATTTAAAATTTTTAAATTTAAATTTAAAACTTTTATAAATTTTAATATATTTTAAATTATATTTATAATCCTTTAACTTTTTAAAAATATATTAATTATTTTTAAATAATAATAACTTTTTTAAAGTAAAAGTTTATTTTATATAATTATAAATTTAATTATTAATAATTATTTTTTTATTTATAATAAAATTATTAAAATTATAAACTTAAATATTATATATAATAATAAAATATAATTACTTTATTTAATTATTTTTAATTTAATAAGTTAATTAAGTAATTATTTTTAAATAATTTTATTTAATAAATATTTATTTAAATAAAATTAAAATTTTAATTAAAAATAATAGTTTTTATTTTTATTTATTTTAATTAATTTATATTTAAATTATATAATAATATTATATATAATATTTAATAATATTAAAACTAACTTATAATTTATAATAATTTTAATTTTTAATAAATTAATTTATATTAAAGTTAATAATATTAGTTTAAATAAATTAAATATAGTTTAATATATTAATATAAAAATATTTTTAATAATAAATAATATTATAAATAATTATAAAGTTATTATAAAAGTTTTATATAATAAATTTAATTAAATAAATTTTTAAAAATATATTATATTACATTTTTTAAAATTTTAATTATTTATTTTAATTTAATAATAAAATAAAAATATAAATAATTTATAATTTTTATTTTTATAAATTTTATTAATTTACTTTTAATTTAAAATAATTATATAATATATTTCTATTAATTTTATATTATATAATTATTATATATAAAATAGTTTTATATAATATTATTAAATATAAAGTTAATATAATAGTTTTTAAATTTATATAATATTATTAATATTAATTTAATAATAATAAAAATTTTATAAAATTATATTAATTTAAAGTTAAAAAAATAATATTTTTTTAAAAAGTATTTAAAATTAATAATATACTTTAATTTTAATTTTTAATAAATTAATAATATTTATTTAAATTAATATAATTTAATATATTAATATAAAAAATACTTTTAATAATAAATAATATTATAAAAGCTTTTTTATAATAAACTTAATTAAATTAATTTTAAAAATATATTATATTTTATTCTTTTAAAAGTTTAATTATTTATTTTAATTTAAAAATAAAATAATATATAAATAATTTATATATAATATTAATTAATATTAAATTAATTTATAATTTATAATAACTATAATTTTTAAAATTAATTTATATTAAAATTAATAATATTAATTTTAATTTATTTTTATTAATATATTAATAAAAAATAATATTA